TTTCTCATTTTAGCACGATTTTTGTAGTTTAAAATTTTTTTCTAGCGCCACCGTAACCCGAAAAAAGGCCGGAAAACCTATGAAAATCGATCTAACGATTTTATATCATTAGAATAAACCACCGTAACCAGTTATTATCACCACCATGATCCAAAGTTGCGATCATTAGCCACTTTCACAGTACCATGAATTTGACCAGTTTCGGGTACAATCTAAAATTCGTAAATTTGTAAATTGAATGGTGTGGTTGATGCGGTTAGGGAAAAATCGTTCCACCAATTCCGCGAATCCGCCAAGACCCGGACCCAGAAAAACGCACTAATTTTCGTGTTTGTGTTCCCAGCGTGTTTTTGGGAATGTGACCAACTTGGTGGACCCGGATCAGAATTTTCATAGATTTTCATAGGAGCACGTGATTTTAATGACCCAAAAAGCACGTTTTACATGACGCAGAAAAAGGTGATTTTCGGGGAAGATTGTTTGAAGTGATTTTCCGGAAAACACGGGCTTTGCTCTCGTTAGAATCCGCTTAAAATTTCACTGTTCTTAAGATCAGCGGGAATAAATCCAACTTGGGCTGTGAATGGCGAGCCCGTCGAAATTAATTTGAAGCATAAAGTTCAATTCTGATTGAATAGACTTTTCTAATTTAAAAGGCACGTTCAGGGACGTATTTTGGAAAAAAAGCAAAGATTTTTGCCGCGGCCGGGGGTCGAACCCGGGTCCCCCGCTCGGGAGGCGCGGATGGATACCAGTCAGCCACAGGTACAACCTGGCGGGGGGAGGGGCGCCCGACGCCCAAAGGAGGGCATCGCCTGTCCAGCACGGGCGGCATGCGCGCGGTCCCTCGTCCATAGGGTGTACACGTTGGGACGAGTACACGCCCCCGCCCCTGAACGTGCGCTTTAAGGGTAAGTAAAACGCACAAGCGTGAATTTTATAGGCTCGGGATTTCCTTAAATTTTTCGGTGCCCCGCGACACGCGCGGCATTTTGACCTCGGAGGCCTAGCTGAATTGCTTAATCGATCACGCAAAGGAAATACCGTGGCTCGCGTCGCGTATCCAGACTTAGGAAAGGGAAAAACCAAAATGAGAAAAGGCCATAACCTTGCCTTGCCAGCCCCTTTAAAAGCAATCAAGCTGCCCTTTTGAGGCTCTTCCGAGTTTTTAAAGAAGCCAGGAAGTGCACGAATCGACGTTGGGTCGACTGGGTCTAGACAGATACACGACGCGCCCAAATACTATCTCAAGCCCCCTGCTTTGCTTATAAGACACGTCTCTAAAAGCTATAAAATCGATATCGTAGCAGTCGAGACCCAAGCGGAGAAAGAGGTCAATTCTGTCGCTTCTCGGCTCCTTTAAAAACATACGGAAGTGGCTGATGTAGGATTTAGTTTTTTTCTCATATCGGAATACAAAAAACTAGTTCACTGCTCAAAAACGGCTCAAAAACTCAAGTGCCAAAGCTTCCCAACTTCTGCTCAAACTTTAAGCTTCGGAAAATCCCATAATTTGCGGAGTTGCTGCAGCCTTTCCCTCATCACAACATTGTTTCCTGTCTCGCTGCCGAACGATTCAGGAAGTGCGCTAAAATTTTGCTGTTCTCCGGTTTTCACACACAGGGCACCTGATGGTTAGTAATCTGTGTTTTTCAACCCACCTCGAGGCTCAGGAAGTTCTGTCAAAATTCTTGAACCCTAGAAATTTTTGCTGCCACTTTACGGCCGGGCCAGCCAGACTGGCACCCCGGAGATCAAGGCTCAACGATGAATTTTTTTTTTGCGAGTTACGAGACCCCGTGAGGTTGGTCATAGACCCCATGACACTCCGTAACACACCTATAGACACAACTAGACACATAACACGGAGATGAAATACCAAATTACCCTCAATGGTGACAAGCACGACCTGGCACCCCGCCAGGATAAGCCCCAATTTTGGCCCGATTTCGCTATTTTTTATGCTAGGTTTGGAGTGCTAATTTTTGCGCATCTTGGTGATCAAAATTAGCATTAAAAGCTGTAGGCGGATGACCGGAAGAGCGGCACAAAAAAAGCGGAACGCACAAAACAAATTAAAATTGCCGCTTTGTCGGAGAAACTCCAAAAAAACGTTCTTGCCGGACTTTGAAGCTTGAACCGATTTTATGCGGCAGTAAATCACATAATATAATTGATTCAACTTCGAAAAATTGTCAAAATGGCTAAAATTAGAAAAAGTGAGTTTGCACTAAAAACAACCAAATATTTTGAAAATTTGAGTGAATTTTGAGCTCGGTTTGCCATTAATGCTCGATTTGGGGGCTTCTACCCAACCCTATATCACCCAGCACAGTGTTTTTGTAGCGGCTCAAAATTCCGTTCCAGAACAAGCCTATGGCCATTCCAACGAGCAGATTTTTCGATCGCAGCGTGTGGTCTATGCTTATTCAGAAAGCATTTTACAAGGCTTTAGAGCGATTAAAAATTGAATATCTTGTTATCAGTTTGTGGTGAAAACATCTGTAACTCTTGACCCCGGGTTCCTCCGGAGATTTGGAAGCACAGATTGGAAATCAGCGAAAAATTTTGCACAAGGTAGGTTTGGCCTCGGATGGAATTTCCATACCATGTAAAAACACTTCACAGTTATTTGCTTGCATCGACCTTGTTAAAATTTTCTATTTTATCTTGTGCCCAGACGCAGCTTTTTGCTACCACGTGATACTTTAAAACTCTGCTCAACGCAAAAGTATTTTATTGTTACTGTAACTCCTACAGCTCCTGTAGTTTTTGGCCCTTTACTGTAGCGCTTTTCCGCCAATCTCCAGAGATCACAAGGAACCGTAAGATCCGGTTGCCGAACTTATTCCCACTGGCTCACCTGCAAATAGTCTAATCGGATTCCGGGGTCATGATTTAAGAAAAACCGGGGGTGTCAGTGGCGGCTTAACCTATGCGAAAAATGGCAGAAAACCCGGAAATCGAGGTTAAAATATATCTCCTTCCCCGGCTTAACCTTTACACTTTTTTCCGGACTAGGATTTCCGTTCAATTTAGTCAAAATACCCAAGCCGTTCGGTCCATTGTCGGATTGCGGAAAATCCGTTTTTTTCGCTCGTCGATCCCGGAAGTAGATTTATATTTGTAGACTGTATGGTTGGCGGGGGGTACGGTAGCTGAGGTTGCGGGGCCTAATCCGGTTGGCGGTCCCGGATTTGCCCCTACTGCTCGATGAACCCGAACGGATAGGGAGGTGAGGGTACGGTGGGGGTTTCTGATCGGAAGCGAGGGATCGTCTCGAAAAGCGTGAAAATTTGCAAGGTTTTGCTGACAGGAAATCGTACTCGTACTTGCGCCATCCGTCGGATTATGTTTTTTTTTCGAGAAATTCCGGTATGGGATCCTGCAAAATTGTAGAAATCTAGGTGATAAAACACAAAACTGTGGAGATGCCAAAGATCCTGGATAGGTTATGCTTGCACGCTACGACCTTACTGACGCGGTTCTGAAACACTCATCTTAAAGCCCCATTGTCGCAAAACGCGTTATGTCATTTGGCCCGTTTCCGAATTAAAGCGGACGTTCAGGGAGGGGCCGTGTACTCGTCCCAACGCGTACACCCTATGGACGTAGGGACGGCGCGCACTGCCTGCCCGTGCTGTGACAGGCCATTCCCCTCCTTTGCGGCCTGGGGCGCCCATCGCTCCCTCGCCAGGTTGTAGCTGTGGCTGACTGGTATCCATCCGCGCCTCCCGGAGCGGGGGCCCGGGTTCGACCCCCGGCCGCGGCAAAAGATCTTTGCGTTTTCCAAAAAACGTCCCTGAACGTGCCCTTTAAGTCCGGCTCGCTAATTTTTCTTAAACCATGCAAAAAAATTAGATTATAATAATTTAATTTATATTGAAAAATTTTAATTCTCATTGGCCGTATTTGTTCTTTAGGCATTATAGTATTGAGTGGAAATCTGCGTTCAAGGAATTTGAAAGGGAGTTGTGAATATTTTTGTTGTAAAACCCGATTTGTACTTTCACATTTTCAAAACGTTATTCTAGTCCGATAGGTGGAGAAAAATCGAAATTTACAATTAAAGATTTGTGTTCACGATTAAGCCAAAAAGTATATAAAAATTATGCACCTAAAAAATTTTGGATTTTAATTTTTGTTCCGGGCAGCAATTTGTTTATTCCATGTGTGCTTATATTGAAAATGCGGCCTTTTTCCATGAAAATCCTTCTAAACAAAATCCGACTTCAGAATGTCCTATTAATTTTCTAATTATCCGCTAAAGGTTTTATGGTTTTGCTTGCAATCTCTGAAATAACTTTTGATCTGATTCTCTCGGTTTTGTGCTCTTTCTTTTTGTCGCACTTTCTTTAATTTCTCTTTAGCAAATTGTTCTCCTCAATATTATCGTTGGCACAATTTCCAACCACTTAAACTCTGTGCCTTCCTCCTCTCAAACCCCCATAGCACACCCGGTTGCTCACCCAAAAATGAGCTCCCTCCGTAATTTCCCCCCAGGGGGCAGGTGTTCCAGGCCCCGCCCCCCGTTCGCAACATTCCGCTCCTGTACACCGAACGCCGGGGCTACAGTAGCCCCTAATCAAAAATTCCCCCAACTTGGGGAAAAGGGGCGTGGCTTACACGTTCCGCACCACTACTCCACACCCCTTTCCTAGTTTTTGGGGCCGTGGTTTAGTGGCGGAGGCCCGGAGAGGACCCAGAAAGGGCCCAAAGAGGGGCCCAAAAGGCAGGAGGCCGGGCCCAGCCTCCCCCTCTCGGGGTGGGATTTGCCTATTTCAAATCCCCTTTTTTTGTGGCGCGCGTTCGCTCCGCCCCCTGGTGTTCTCGTGGGGCTGGCGGGCCGGAGAAGTATCCATTCCGATTCCAGACCATCCAGCGATCGGACGGTCCGCACCGGGAGACACACATCTACCATCTAACTGCCTGTACTCTTGAGTTGCTAGCTCGGGAATACGGTAGTCGCTGCTGCTGTCGCCGCTATGTTGCTATTCAAGATGCCGATCATGGCCGCGGCCGCTAGCTTCGCACTCGTCTGTGCTGTCTACGGGCAACCGCTCTCGGCGGTGAGTGATTAATTTTATTGGGTTGGAATCCTATAGGTTTCACAGCTATCTTAATTCACTTATTTAGTTTAATTTTTCACTTCTGATTTTACAAATTTTACGACGATAAATAAGCCAGAATCTATCGGGTTAACTTTTGTGCGCGCTTTTGGGATTAGCCAAGTCGATTTAAGCTTTCTTTAAAGTCTTCTCAAGTCTACTTGGCGCAATATCGTAGCGTGCCGTACTAAGAGCGTGGTTTAAGGCTAATCAAACCGCTTACTTATTAGGTGTTTGACCTAGCTTCTAACGAAGACAAAAAAAATCTGGTTGTCGCTTGCCAACACGAGCTTCCCATTACGGGCCTTCCGAGTCCACAACTGATTACGGTCTGAAAATAGGCCAAGGAGTTGAAGCTTTATTAGCTACATTAAGCTTGATACTCTATGGCTTACTTCAGGAAAAGCAGTAATTACTGCTTCTTGAAGGCGTAACGTCTCTAAATTGAAAACATCGCGTAACTAGATGGGCGCTTCTTTAGGATAATGCTAAAAGCGCGGAGCTACAAGATTGGATTTCGGGATTTTTATACGAGTACAGTACCTAAAGCACGCATCCGGGGCCAAAAGGATGTCTAGATTCGGGCAGGATAATCCGCAAAGACCAGGGTAACCCGCATTCCGTAAGGTTCAGGTTTCGGAGAGCCTTCATTATGCCATTCCAATTTATGGTTGGGGCAGGCGGGTTTGAAGTATCCTTTATAAATTAACCCCGCACATTGATCTACCGTACACTAACAAGGAGACGTTTTTAGGTGGGCACGGAGTTTCGTAACGAGACCTAGCTCATCCGAAAGCGCTTGAAAAACTGAACAAGATCCCGTTTTCCATTTCTGCGAAACGATAGCGATTGATTTTTAATAATTAAATTAAAGAATTAGCAGAAATTGGCATGGTTCCCCTCGCGCGGAGCGATTTCCTTCCAAAAGTCCCCTCTCGCGGAAAGCCAGGCCCGGTCTTCCCTTCCCCATAGCGATTTGGCGCAGTCGGTACGGCGTTTGTCTCTCACGAAATTTTTTTGGAATTTTTGTCGGTTCGACCCCTGAGCCCAGAATTCGTTTTGCTTTTTATTTTAGGGGGCTGAATTTTGATTTTACTTATCTCAATGCGTTAAATAAACGTTCTGAACAGCATCGGTGGAGGCACAAGCGGGCCAGTTGATTTTAATCCCTGAGACGCGAGTGCAACGCTACCGGTTTGGGGCATACCTCAAAAAAAATTAATTTTGTAGTAGATTCCACATTTCAAAAGCGTTCAGGAATTAAAAAGCAAAACGAATTCTGGGCTCAGGGGTCGAACCGACAAAAAGTTCAAAAAAATTTCGTGGGGGGGCAAACGCCCTACCGACTGCGCCAAATCGCTATGGGGAAGGGAAGACCGGGCCTGGCTTTCCGCGAGAGGGGACTTTTGGAAGGAAATCGCTCCGCGCGAGGGGAACCATGCCAATTTCTGCTAATTCATTAATGTAATTATTAAAAATCAAGCGCTATCGTTTCGCAGAAATGGAAAACGCGATCTTGTTCAGTTTTTCAAGCGCTTTCGGATGAGCTAGGTCGCGTTACGAAACTCCGTGCCCATCTAAAAACGTCTCCTTGTAAGATCTCAGAAACAGGCTCATACCCATAAGCAGCTGAAAAACCGGTGCAACTTTTTTTACCCGCTACACCAAAAGTCCAAATCCCGCCTCAGAAATCAGATTTTACGTGCTCTACCGGGGTATTTTTCTCTGGTTCATCAAATTTTCGGGGGGGTCATTAAAATCAAGTGAAGTTGCCAAGGATGCTGACGCACTAATCGTAGCCCGTCGCGTCGCCGCCGGCACGTGGCAATTTGATTTGTGCACTATTCCCGGGACCGGGGGTTTCCCGGAGCGCAAAGCAAATCTGAGAGGCCAGCGGGGTATTGTGACAAGAACAAAACCATAGGCGTAACCTGTCTAAAAAGGGAGAAAAGATACCGTACTCAGCGTCCTGGAAACCACAAATATTTATTAAAAGAAAGGCAAAAACTTGCACCTTCCAGAGTAAGAAGTGATTGGATTACCGTAGTCCTACTATAGGGCGGATTAGTGAAGGTGCACATTTTAATCTACTCGTACTACTAATACCCAGTTTTAGTTGTTAATATCCATTTCCGCTGAAGAGGGGTTTCCCCAAAAAAAACGGTATAACAAATGATGCGATAGGTCTCAGATCGAAAAGAGAGGATGAGTAATAAGCGACCGAACAGGAAACCCCATGTATTGTGGGAGTATCGGTTTGCAGAAATTATAGGGATTCAGACAGGGCGTTCAAAAAATTAGATAAAACAAGAATTTAAATAGTTTTAGTAGTCGTTTAGTCAATCAAAACAGAAAATCTGAAAATTACTCTGCTAACTCCTCCTTTTCAGTCGGACTCCGGTTCCTCGCACGACCAGGTGCTGCGCACCGTCCACCTGGAGGATTGCCCATCGGAGATTGAAAAGTCTGGAAACTACATCGTGCCCCCACAACCAAATGCCCCCAACGGTGCCGCATACGAGCCGACTTGCCAGACTCGCATCCGCGTGCCAGAAGGACACGTCGTGAAGATTCACTTTCCCGACAAAGACTTCTACTGCCGTGCCTATCGGCCACTGCAGGTATACATTTTTCGAACAGTCCGATAGACTTAATCTCTGGATACCGTAGAGAAACCTTTCGTTAGTAGTTAACAAGGTATCGGCCTCTTAATTCCGTGGGTTTTCTAGGGGCTAAAGGGACCGGGAAGCTCACTTATCGGCCTCTACCTCCGGTTAGGTATCGACAGCACTGAGGTACGCCAATATATGATTTGAAATTGTATAGCAAGAACATTATCATGACTTTTGTCGAGACCTAGTCACCAGTAGGGGTCGATTCTCGGGCTTCCCGGTCCCTATAAGAGTGAAACAGTGAATTTTAAAAGGGGTGGTCAACGCAAGTCAGACAGTCAGAGAGAGTGAGTGAGTGCGAAAGAGAGAGAGAGAGAGAGAGAGAGAGAGAGAGAGAGAGAGAGAGAGAGCAATAGAGATGAGAGATACTTGAGGGTGAAGGAAACCTCAGCGATCAGGGACGATAAGTTTCGACATTACGGTAACCTCTTCACCTCACTGTTCCGGGAATTCACTCTGTACCTCGTAACGCACGCATACTGGCACTTTAATGCCAGACTATGACGAATATAACCTTTTTTACGTGACTTTAAAGAACGTCAACTTCAGCAGTCAAAGTTGTTTTCAATCCGAATAATCCTAAAATATTCACCCCCCCCCATTTTATAAAGTGGGTGGTCGGTGGTAATAGGGGATTTAAGGAACGGTCCCGGATGAAGTGAAGGCGTCGTGTTGACTCAGAATTCCCCTCTAAAAATACACCCCGGCTTTTGTGACACATTTCAATCCGTCGTTAAGATTCTGGGGTAATCGGTATTCCGAACTTTAGTATTTTTTCAAGCTTCCGGGCCGATCAACAACTTATTACACTAGAGATTTTTGGAACACCGAACAGCCCTGGGAATCGGATTTCCGGAGCGCCAGTCTCCGGAATTTTTGAGGAATCGCCGGAAATTCGAGGCCTACCGTTAGGTCTTATGCAGATTAGGAAAATTTTTCGAGGAACGATTCCTCTGTCGAAAAAACTAAAAAAATAATTTTCGAAATTCTGCATTGAAATTCCTTGGAAATTTTGAAGCAGGCAAAAATACAGATTAATGTAAGGGTTTAACATCGTGAGCTTTCATGTTTAAGAGCCCAACCACTAGAAGCTAATTCTTTAGCCAAGAAGGCCTGTAGAAGCCCTACGCCACGCTCCACTGAACACTATAATATTGCGCGTTCCAATTTGCATTTTTTTCTAGCCTTTAATTATGAAAATTGTGCGGGATTTTTGACACGGAGCTGCAAGGAACGTAAATCTTCTGGGAAAGTTGGTTATTTATGCAAATTGTCGCAATCTGCTGCCCAAGGAAAGGATATCAGAAGTTTATTTCCAAGAACGTGCTATTTAGAAATTTCCTCTCTCTTCCTTTCTCTCTCTCTCTCTCTCTCTCTCTCTCTCTCTCTCTCTCTCTTATCCTCTCTCTCGATTTCCTGTTATCCACGAAATCGTAGCAAACATGCCGGTTTCTCGAAAAACCACCGTACCCAAATCCCCAAATCCGGGCCGGATCCCAGTTTCCGCGTGGGCCCCACGTTTTTCGTAGTCGCTCAGGGTGGGGCCCGGTTCTCCAAATTGGCTAGGGATTTCCTTGATCTTTTTCGGGGTCCTGAAGCGGAAATTTCCGGATGCTGAGGGCCCCACGGAAATCAGTGGGCCATAGTTGGGGGAGGGCAGTTTCCGGCGTTCGTTTCTTACAATTGTGACTCAACCGGAGGGGGTCAAAGAGGAGGCCAGGAAAATACCCCCAAGGCCCATGGAATTTGGGCCCGAGGGCCCAAATTTTTGGGGTTCCGCTTGGCTGGGCGGGGCTGGGTCCCATTGAAAGTTGCCATTTGGCCTCTAGGAAAATGCTAAAAGATGGATAAGCTCTCCGAGACTTTGAAATATTAAGCCTGGGTATAATGCGGCGATGAAATGAACCTTTGCCTGGGGGTTCCCCTCATTTAAAATTGAAACATTTGAACTTCAATTCAGGAGTGGTAGAGTCTAGCTAATTCTAAGCCCATGTCCAAGCTTAACCGAAACCCAAGTCGAAGCCGAAGCCAAGCATAAGCCAATCCTAACTAAGCATCAGACTAACTAAATAGAGAAAGAGAGAGAGAGAGAGAGAGAGAGAGAGAGAGAGAGCGAGAGAGAGACGGGGATTATTACGAAAGTTGGTTTATTTGAGTGGACATGTGTTGCCCGGGCACTTTACGGATTTCGGCGGCTCAAGGCCTGGAGCTTTTAGGGAAAATTTAAATAATGGAGGATAATGGAAGCTATACCCCTGAATTGAAATTTTGCATATTGAAATTGCCACTAGAAAATCGTTCGGGATTTTGCGAGAATTTGGCTGTTTTTAGCGAAAACATCAAAAATTCACATTACAGGGAACTTTTTAAGAGCATTTTTTTGACGAAAATCCATAGCTATTTATGCCTGGTGCGTCCCTTTCAACTATTTTTTTGATAATTTCATAAGGCGCTGTTTTACTCTAGTCGGTGCTCCCCTAAAATCCCGCTATTTTCTACCATAGTCCATTTTCCCGATCGTTGCACAAACGCGGAACTTTGGCCTGCCACCTCGCAAACACGCGGCCGGAAATGGCAACTTTGAGACGGCAAAACTTTTGGAGGGCCGTTTGCCGCAGAGTGCTAGGCAAAGTGGAGTTTTGCGGAAGTTTTCGGAATTGCAAAGGAGCGGCAGCTCCTCGACCAAACTAAAGCCCGACTAAAACAGCGTTTGCAGGTTTTCAAAAATTTTTGGGGGAACGCAAAATCGGGATGTGAATTTTTGCGTCAACTAAATTTATCAGACGATACTGGGTACGGTACCTTACGGCCGATCCTGTTTTCTATACGTATAAGAAATTTTTGGAGGCGAAAAATTTGTTTGACTCGAAAAAACGCGCGTCCGTTTCGGGAATTTTTTTGAAGCCGAAATACTGTAGCCGATCTCCTGTTTCTAGCCCTGCCGCAGTTTCCGCCCGGCCTACAATAGGATTTAATGGCAATATCAAAAACTACCGTAGTCGCCGAAAAATTAAGGTTTTGCCATGTCTAGGGTAGTCCGGAATTTGGGAATAGGGTAGGCTACGCGGCAGTACCTCCGGGACAGCCGATCTACCGTACCCCATCCCTCACATAAATTTCCGGTCTCAGGAACCAGACGATCCTACGGTAGTCTTTCAGCCCCTAGTTTCCGGCCCACCTACCGTAATCCGCTCCCTTGGCAGTACAGTTGATCCCTACTTTTTCTGCAGCTCTTTGAGGGCACGTCCCCTTATTGGGGACCTATTTAGGCGTGGACGTGTTTTTTCGACACTTTTTGCCAGCCGCCAGGCGAGCGGATTAGCATTGTGTACGCGGCGATACAAAGAACTCCGCGGGGCGGCTGGGGCGCGTGTTGCGATTAGCATTCATACACATTCACACATTTATGAAAAAACCGCATCGTGAACCCGGGCGGATTATGCGAAAAATGGATCGTCTCGGAACGCGGGAGGGGTGCTTATTGGCAGCTAAATCTGGAGGGCAAGACAATAGAGCGGGAAGCAAGGGGATAAGCTGCCGAGGTTGTGGATGGGTTTTTTGGGGGATTAGCGAGATATTGTATGAGGTGCCAGAGTTTATGAAAGGAGGCTAGGGGCACAGTACCCTGATATTAAAAGAAATAGCTCAAAAATCATGGAAAATTAGAATTTTTTGGGAAATACGTTCTTAAAGCGCACGTTCAGGGAGGGGCCGTGTACTCATCCCAACGTGTACACCCTATGGACGTAGGGACCGCGCGCGCTGCCCGCCCGTGCCGTGGGAGGCCATTCCCCTCCTTTCCGGGGTGGGGCGCCCCTCGGCCCTTCGCCAGGTTGCACCTGTGGCTGACTGGTATGCGACCGCGTCTCCCGATCGGGAGGCCCGGGTTCGAGCCCCGGCCGCGGCAAAAATCTTTGCTTTTTGCCCAAAAACCTCCTTGAACGTGCCCTTTAAGGGAGTCGTATTACAGTATTTTTTTCTATACAAAACTAACTCATCTATTTTTTTTTGATCGTATGAAGGGTAAAATCTATCACATGAGGACATTTTAGATCTTTACATCCAACAAATTGTCCAAAATTGCATTTTCAGTCTTGAAAACTTAATTGCTCAATTTTGGCCAATTTCGTCGGACGCTTAAGTTGCTCAAAACGTCCAATAATTACTGGAAAACCGATAAGCCAAAACGGACATGCTTTTATGTTCTAGATAATTTTGTAGATTCCTGATTTTTTAGATATTTTTCTGAAACGAATTCAAGAATCTCTGATCTTTGCTAGGTTTTGCACTAAGTTTGAATTGAAAATCAGTTGGGGAACTTCAAACTATTATCATTGAAACTTTTGCGGCACTGTCCCCTTAAAATAAGCAATTTCACAAGGCCCGCAGTTTCAAACTATTTCGCAAAGAGCCTCATTCAACCAAAATTCCCACCTACCGGGATCCCCGTACTACCCGAAAAACTGATTTTCGACCCTCGAAACCTCTGCCCAGTTTGGCGCTCGCAACAAATTAACAAGAGACCACTTTTGTGATCAACGCCACCGGGCGGGCTACCGTACTCTACTCGCTTTTTATTGCCGGGATCAGAATCCCGGGCCACTACAACCCCCGGTGAACCGAACGGAGCGGACTAACCATTCTGCAGGTTCCCAAAGGCGGTGGGGATTAACTCCCAGTTTTTGTATAGGGTTAGATCCTCGGACTACACCACAGCCGATCGTTGGTTCTGGCGGGAAGGGATCTGGGTATACGGTAGATATAGGAGTTGGGGATCAAGAAGTTGCTGCGCTGAACTTGGGATTAAAAGAGAAAGGGAGAGAGAAAGCGAGAGAGCGGGAAAGTGCGAGAGAGGGAAAGAGAGAGGGAGAGAGAGAGAGAGAGAGAGAGAGAGAGAGAGAGAGAGCGAGACAGCGCCGTGAGCGAGTGCTAGATAGATGGGTGAGAATGGGCAAACTAGCAGGGATGCTTTCAAAATACATTTGAAAATCGTGAAGCAAAAGTTTTCCAAAAAGAAACAGAGAAGTAGATCAGCTAGCCGGGATTCTTGGAAAAATTTTCCGGAGATTTTTTTATGGCAATGAGGCCAATTTTTGCGAAATAGGTGAACTCCCTGAAAACGCTTGCCTTAATACTAAAAATAACCGCCGAAAATCTAAAATATAAAAATGCCGGCAATAAGTTACTCTAATAATTCCGACCATGCGAAATTGTAAAAAAAGACGGCAGGACCTTGCATAAATTCAAATTCAATTTCAAGTCTCAAAAAACCCGTCTATTTTCAGATCTTCTCGCGCGGCATCGCCGAGCGCGGCGAGGGCGAGCTGTTCAACATGTGCACCAACCCGGAAGACCAGGCCATCCTGCACGCGGGCCACCACGAGCTGTTCCACATCCGCCACCCGACGCGGCCCTTCCAAGTGCGCGTCAAATTCGTCCGCACCACCCTCCGTAAGCAATAAGATGGATTTTTGTGGCGGCTTTGTCTAAGGCCAGTTAGTCGAGTCGCCGACATCCAAAAAAATACCGAAAAATTCCACCTAGCCTAAAAATTCTGGGGACCTTAGAAAAATCTGAAAAACGGACCAAAAACCCGATTTTTCAGCTATGTTTTTGTCCTAGCTTCCCGGCTCCTTTAGCGCCCCTTTGGCTTTCTTGCGCTTTAATAGATACCTTTTTGTAAATAGAAAAGCGCTCTCGGCTACTAGCTTACGACCCCACAAAAATTCGGCTTACCCCCAACGAACCCCCCACATGATCCCCAGAATAAATATTTTGTTAACATTTCACTCGTCTAGCACCCCGTATGCCAAAATTGCACTATGGACGAACAGGGTTAAAGCGGCTTCAACAGCTTGTTCGCGAATTAAGTTTAAGCCAAGCCTACTAGGCGTGCCAAAGCCCAAGAGCAACCGTATGTCAAAGCCAAGACGCCTGAGCCAGGGAGAAGCCAAGCCCTAAGCTTTAGCCAAGCCGAAACCTAGGCCTAAATCTAAGCAAGGTGTGAGCCTAAGTTTGTCTAACGCAGCCGAGGCCTAAAGGGTACCTAACCCGGCCTAAACCCAAGCCAAGCCGAAGCCAAGCGTAAGCCTAAACGCAGCCTAAGCCTATGCAAAGCCTAAATGAAGCCTAAGCCAAGCCTAAGCGAATTCTAGGCGAAGTCTAAGCGCAGCCTAAGCCAAGACCCAGCCAAGTCTGGGCAAAGTCTAAACGAAGCCTAAGCAACGCCTAAGCCAACCCTAAGCTAAGCATAAGCCTGAGCTAAGCCTAACCCTAGCTCAAGCTTGAACTTGCAAAGTGATGTCAAAACCAAACGCCCTTCTAATTCAGGCCTTTCTAGCTATTTTAGTTAGCCAACCAGCTTTGTATATTTTAAGAATTCTCACGTTTCCCTCCCCCCGCGGGACCAGACGCTATAAAGCAACATTTTTCTTTATTTAGGATGAGGGGGCCAGACACAACAACAACTACAATTTGGGGCGATCGTGAAAGGCTGTTTACCATGCCCTTAGGGCACGCATTTTTCGTACGCATCAAAAACCGACAAAACATGCCCAGGGGAGCACCGGGAAAAATTTGTAATTGCGCCTATTTTGGTGATGAACATTTCCAGGGGTTGACCGTGGATCGGGGATTACGGTAGTCGTTCGAAAATCAAGGCATAGTATTAGGTTGGAACATAAATTCGTGCAATCGAACATTGGAAATTTCTTTCTGAAAATTTAGTGGCCAGATTCCGATATTTCCTCTCTGCATATATCTATTGGGTTCATGAGTATGTGTGGGATCAAAATTACAGTTTTTTAGCCCCAGTAGTATTTGAGATTTTTGCGTTTCTCTCGAGGGCACTTCAAATTCATTCATTCAATTTTTCATTTTCGCTTAAATCTAGCTTTAAAAAATTCTAATAGGGAAGCAACGCGATTCCGTCCCACACATTGAATAGAGAATTTTATTGCATATCCGGTCATCCAAAAAAAAATTTTGCTTCTTGCCCGTTTTCCGGTCCGAAAATTACACAGAAAGAAAAATATTGCGCGAACTTTAGTTCCAACCTAATATATCGCAGCCGTTTGACCCGCCTACGGCTTGGATTACTGTAGGCGTTCGGCAACCAAGCTCCGGATACAGCAATTTTTAATCAAGGGTCCCAAAGGATTATGGTCACCGGCGGTAACTTTTTTGAAGGCAAATGTAGGCACTCTCCTATCCTGGAGCGGGGGGGGGGCATATACCTCAACTTCAATCAACCAGGGATTACGGTAGCCGTTCGGAAATCCAGGTTGCCATCGAGGCCATACCCATCCATCAGATTACCGGGTTGCCGGTGCCATATTGTAGACGTCCGGAAATCCGGGGGCGCAGGGTAAAAATAGGCAGCGGATTATGGTGTGATCTTCGCTAATTTTTTCAGACTCGAGATCAATTACTGCTTTTGGGGATACGGTAGCCGTTTGCAACTAGGGATTGCGTATAGCAACAATGTTCAGGCTTGCTTCCAAAATTAGTCACCGGATTACGGTGGCCGTTCGGAAAATTTTTCCCACCGTGATTACCATGTGGGAGCAGGGGTGTAATTGCTCTTCGCAATCGTAGCAGAAATGGAGGATCACAGGGAAAACTGTGGTCGAACTTCAAGGTATCCTTTTGCAGGTTTTCTCAGAATTTCCCATCTCACTTCCGCTTTCCTAACTCTTTTCAGACAGTGATCAGACCCTTTGCAGAATTTGCAGACCAAAGGCCAGGTCGGCTTACGTTTTTACCAAGTTTTTTCGGATTATCGCCAACCGGGTGGGAATACGCTCAAAACACAAAGCAAAAAAACCGGCTCTAGGATTAGGAAATGAAGGTTGGCAAGGAGTGGAACCCGGGGGGAAAACCATCTGCAAAGGCTTTTAACAAGATTTAAAAACTTATATAAAACTGAAAATACAAGACATATTGGATAGAGAGGCGGAAATTACAACTATAATAATATGATATAATAATAATTTCGTATTTTCAAGACTCGACTGACATTTTTACAAATTTTTGACGAATAAACGGAAAAATTTTAGAATGTGGTGGTCGCGTCGGGCTCGACCAGCTCGATCTGCCACTGATGGTGGTGAACAACGCCCCAAGCAAGAAGGACTGGCTCGGTCGCCAGACCTGTCTGCTTTACCTGCCCGGCATGATCCACCTCGTCGTCATGGCCGGAGCTAAGGACGCCGGACCGCTCGGAGAGGTAAAAAATATATCTTATTTATTTTGCTTACTACTTACCACTGCTTACTCAATTGTTTACAAAGGTATGGTATCTAACGGATTTTTTGAAGACTCACCCGATGAAAAAAATACGACTTTTTGTCCGTTTTGGACATTTTCAAAGGCGTCCTTTTGTTAAAAATGGTAATAAATTTTTATTATTGGTATAGTTTGTAACTTTAAAAACAAAATAGGTTATTTAAATACTTTTACTATTTATTTTTCAGTGCAACACCCAGCTGATCTTCCAGCAGGGCAACCACGTCAAGAAGCTCCGCCGCCAGACACGCATGTGCTACCGTAAGTTTCGTGAAAAAAGCTTCACATAAAAGCATGAAACTCTTAAAAAAATGTACGTACGGGGTATCTCGAGCGCAAAATAGAAATTAACCTTTATGAAAACCTAATAATTCCGCTCTTTGCATTCTTTAAAAGCCTAAAAATCGGCGTTTTGGTCGAATTCGTTAAATCCCCTTAAATTCGAATTTTCCCGCTCAGAATTCAAATGCTTTTGGGGCGCCAAAGCAGAGAAAGCCCAATCTAATCCGAGTCGAACTTCATCCATAAATCTCGTGTGGCCGACGTAGTAATTCGAATTTCCGGCCGGGAGCCTGAAAAGTGTAAAATTGTCAGCTTTTTCGTCGTAAGATGCCCCGGGTCACGTTTCCGGCTTGGGACAACCTCTACAAATTCTGATGGGTCTTCAAAAGTTAATCCCGACGTCGTAACTGACCAAAAAACTTGGTGGATTAGATGGGAACTGAAAATTTTAAGCCCTGGGGAAGAAGCCAGAAATTGAACTTTCAATTCTGCCGCTCCGGATTAAGCTGGGTTTCCGGAATTTTTTTTGGATTGATTGGATTTGGATTTTGGATTTTCTGTGAGGCCGTAAAAATCGCGGAAATCGGAAAACGTAGGAAACTACCGTAAGCCCGGAAAGAGCTAACTAGCCGATTCAATTAAAATTAATTTAGTGAACCTCAAATTATGAAAATGCCTTAAATCAATAAACAATACTCAATAATTACCGATGAAAACAAAACAATAATTTTTATAATTTACCGAAATTTATCGATTCTTTTTTTCAGCGGAGACCACCAACCAGAAGCTCCAAATCACGTGCAACGCCGGCTCGATGCGCATGCTTTCCATGACCGGCACCACCGCCGAGTTCATGCTCACCACACAGCCCCAGGACGGCATCGACTCGAAGGAGTTCAAGCTTGTCGAGTGCAAGTAAAGGTCGAAACGGATTGGGTCACTGTATTTGCTCCAGGATAATCGCCGTGGTACTAGAATGCAAAATTCAAAAGTACAGCAAATCAAAACTCCACCAGATCTAAACATTTTTGCGCCTTTAAATTGCACAACAAAATTAAAAACGTTTTCACATCAAAATTTATGAGCTGAATATTAAAATTTAAGAAATTCTGGTTTCGTTGTGAGTATTCTGGAGGAAATACAGTACCCAAAACCCCTTTCTTCTGACGCGCTAGCCATGAATCAATGCATTTAATCTGTCTGGAACCATTTCTGTCCTGAGTTTAAAGGGACCGGGAAGCCAAAATCCATGGACAAAGGCGGTTTTCGCTTCTAAAAATTGCGTTTTGTATCTTTGTGGTTCTTTTAAGCCCATTATTACAACCTTAGAGTATTGCATCGATTTAGAAAAAGTCAATACCCACTGTAGTTTTCCAAAATCGTACTTTTCTGGATTTTTCATGGTTTTGCCTACTGCGCCCGTGTGCGCCTCTGCTTCTATGGTATTCTGCTAACCTATCCCGCAAGCTCTTTCACGATTCGGTTTTCACGAAAATCCCGAAAACAGTTCAAAACCACAAAAAAATCTCGCTGGGGCCCCGGGCCGCCCGGTGTTGCTTCGTTTGTAGCATTAGTCTATTTGACTTTTGACTTCGTTAATTTTGTGTGTTTTCTGCCAATTTTCATCAATTTCCAGCTTGAATAATGTGTTTTACATTTAAAATACCAGTAATCCTCGAATCTCTTGATTTATATTTTTTTAGCTAAACTTGTTCTTTAAAATTTTTGTATAATATTTTTGGTTTTGATTCCATTATGTTTCATTAATACATTCATTTGACCCCCTTCAAGGCAGCGCCATTAATGCATTTGCGTCCCCGAAAATGCGATTATCGATTTTTCGCGCCATTGCTTGTATAATTTTTTGCTTTTTTGGCCGATGTTATCTGTAGATTTGCCGTGTCACATATCGTATTTTCTGTATTATTTATTCCTTTTTTATGTCGAATTTTCTCCAGTACATTGTATTTGTATCCCTATTTTTGTTCTATCTTTGTCGGTCGAGGTCAATCTGCTGAATCTCCACGAATTTCCACGTGGCCCGGCCAATCCCGGAAAATCCGGATTACCGTAGTTGACCCCGAGGGAGGATCAAAAGACCGGATTTATCCCTGGCTACTCTCGAAAACAACGCACGATGATCCCGATGTAATATATGATGATATTCATAGAATCCCTTTGTCATGATATCCCCCCATAGAATAATCCTTTTCTGTTTATGAATAAATAATTAAAAAATAGCTCGAGTCCGCACCGCGCTCAACGAGTAACCGCATATGCGTTGCTTTGTGAGGTTTCTTAAATGGATTAGGACACCGGAATGGACCCCTCCTTTGCCTAGGAATCGACAAACACGAAAAATATCAAACTAAGCACAGGCTTGATTAGCAAAAGTTTTTTAAGGAGATTTGATAGTTTTGTGATGCAGCAGAAGACATTCCACAGAGCTCCGAATTCTCAAGAAGACCTGTCTTTCAAAATTTGTGGATTCACAAAGACCTGCCAGAAAGAGAGCCGTAAAATTTGGGTTCCGCTGGATGGCGCAAAAACGAGCAACGTCGGACCTTGAGAACAATTTTTTTACCAAAACCGCAGGCGTTCAGCAATTCTCGAAAGATCGGAATTGTTCAAAATTTCGGGCTGTATCGAATGCGCTTAGGCTTAGGCTTCCCAAACGTAGTATGGCCAAGTTCCAAAATTTGGTGGGGGTTTAGCTTGCCATGGACTTACGCCTTCTAAGAAACCGCAAACAACATAAGGGATGTCTTGGAAGATGCTGAAAAGATCTTGAAGAAGCCCAATCGAGACGAGATAATTTGCACTTTCGCCCATTTTTTTGGCGATGACCCATGCTTGAGGCTCAGCAGGATTTAGGGGCCTCACAAAAACGCCAACTACATTATGAGTAACGGACCTCTAAACGCTCTCGGTTGAAAAACTTGCAGATAGCAAGGCAGAGAAAAACTTTAGACTTTGGGAATTGTGTAAGAAAACGGAGAAAGATTTCCTTTGTTCTAGACACACCCGTTTTCCCGATTGAAACGTGAACACTTTAAAGGGGCTCCGAACTGCCAAATCAAAGCCCTTTTGGGAGGGCTGTTTGTTTTCTGGGAAATTGCCAGCGGGCGCTGCGGGACGAGAGCCCTCACTCTTTCGATTTCTTAGTGATCACACGAGAATTCGCGCATTCTGAGCCCATTTTTTGAAATCCTCATTCTTTTTTAAATAGTTTTGGTGTTTTAATCATCAAATTTGGCCCCGAAACAGCCGAGAACGTGATTTCGAGGTGACAACAGGCAATTTCAAATTTTGCGAGCTTCCCGCCCGCTGGGCGTACAGAGGCCTCCGACGTACAGGGCTCCGATTTCCGGGCCGTCACTCAATTTTTGGCATCTCGTAGCCCCTTTAAGGACCCGATAAAGCAGGACTACGGTAGCTCAGTGGAGGGCATCAAACTTCTTGCCCATCATGTAGCCCGTGCCTTACTAATCCCTTTAAACAAGTTTTCTTTTGCAGGGTCCATGTTCATTGTGCTCTCCGTGAATCAGTGTGATTTTTCTCATTTATTTTCTCACCTAAATTTGGGGGCATTGTGTACTACTGGGCGTGGGTGAATACAATCTCGTGTTTAGCCGCCCATACATACACAAAAATTCATTATTAGATTCACACATACCGGTGGGAGGGAGAAAACCAAAGAATGAACTATCTCTCTCTTTCCTTCTCTCTCTCTCTCTCTCTCTCTCTCTCTCTCCCTCTGTCTCTCGCTCACTCTCTCTCTCCCTCCCTCTCGTTTTTTCTATAGCGTGGGTTGATGAGAATTTTCGATACAATAGAGCCTAATAAGCCGAGGAACTATGTTGCCATTTGACGTGCACCGAAAAGGGACGGAAATAAATTCGGGACGCGATTGTAATCTGAGATTTGATTGTATGAATGGAACGACCACGAATAGACTTATAATTCTAACGAATTCAGCGGTGCCACGGCTAATTGGCACTTCTATAACCGGCATTCCAAAGGCCGTTCCATTTTCAGGCTGGAAATAGAAAAGTTTGAGTCACAGACGTTCAAAGATTTGGAAGAAGAATTTGTAATTGGGGGCACACTCGAAAGCTCGGACAATGATGCTGGAAATAGGCACATATCTGAGCACTCAATGCAAGGCCGATAGGAATACGTAGGGACGCAAATTTAAAAACGTCATTAAAGGGCACGTTCAGGGAGGTTTTTTTGGAAAAAAAGCAGATTTTTGCTGCGGCCGGGGGTCGAACCCGGGCCATCCGCTCGGGAGGCGCGGAGCATACCAGTCAGCCACAGCTACAACCGAGCGAGGGGATGAGGGGCGCCCCACGCTGAAAAGGAGGGGAATGGCCTGTCACAGCACGGGCAGGCAGTGCGCGCGGTCCCTAAGTCCATAGGGTGTACACGTTGGGACGAGTACACGGCCCCTCCCTGAACGTGCGCTTTAAATGCTCGAAAATCTGGCGTGGTACGCGGCGTCTGGGGAATCTATCAAGGGTTCGAACCCGCTCACGATTTTATTTTTTGCTTTTTGGTCCAAAGATTCCTCTTGGCATTCCAAAGACCTTTAATGGCTTTTTAGGCATTCACCAGGAACCAGGAAGCGTTGCCAACAATAAAGCAGTTTGGCGAAAAATTTAAAATTTTGTGCTTGTGCTCATGCCTCCTCAAAAAATTTTGGAGAGATTTTCAGAAGGCTGGCAATCTGCTTATCAACACTTTATCGTATTCCAAGCTGCATGAAAATAATCAAAATTATTTTCTTTGAACTGATGGTTACCTTATGGTTGTTATGGTTACAAATTATGGTTACCTTGCCTACTTTCAAAATTTCCAAAAATTTTTAGGAGTGGGATTTTTTTGCTGCGAGCGCAAGGTATTTTCCAAGGCAAAGCCTAAGCCTAAGCCTAAGATCAACTCAAAGTTTCTGGAAAAGCAAAAATCGACCCTAGGCTCCGATCGGGTCTCGACAACTGTGAGTAACCCCAAGCCGTTTGCAGGCTCATTTGCCCTTTTTAACTTTAGTTCCATCGAATGGATGTGAAAAGGCTTTTGTCGTCGCTCGTAAGGATTGAAATGCGCTTGCGACTACTTTTTCCGGCTCATCCCATCCGCTAAAGCGATACATCATTGGCGTCACGCTATTTATTGTCTGTACGGTCCTGGCGCCTTTAAATATCCCTATGCGGTTTTGCTTTCACTGTGGTAATTGAATCCTTAAAGGGGCTCCGAACTGCCAAATCAAAGCCCCTTTAGGAGGGCTCTTTGATTTCTGGCAAAATGCCAGCGGGCGCTGCGGGACAAGAGCCCTCACTTTTCGATTTTTGCGCGAAGTTGTTTTTGCCCGGTTTCTGTATGAAAACACTATAATTCGCGCATTCTGAGCCCATTGTTGAAATCCAAACTCAATTTTCATAGTTTTGGTGTTATAAGCATCAAATTTGGCCCAGAAACAGCCGAGAACGTGATTTCGAGGTGACAACAGGCAATTTCAGATTTTGCGAGCTTCCCGGCCCCTGGGCGTACAGAGGCCTCCGACGTACAGGGCTCCGATTTTCGGGGCGTCACTCAATTTTTGGCTTTTCGTAGCCCCTTTAAAGGAAAAGGCAGCGACGCCTTAGCAGTTAATTTTGACCGTCTAAAAGGCTCTAGATGATATCACCTATATCACCTATATCACCTGTTCGAAAATCACCTGTTCGAAAATCATCTGTTCGAAAAATCATCTATTCGAAAAACGTCTGTTCGAAAAGTCATCTGTTCGAAAAGACACCTGTTCGAAAGGCGCCTGTTCGAAAACCATGTGTTCGAAAATGGTCATTTTTGGTACCATCTCTAGGCAATTCCACATGCAAATTTTTCGAACAGATGATTTTTCGAACAGGTGTCTTTTCGAACAGGTGATTTTCGAATACATGAGTTTTGAACAAGTGATTTTCGAACAGGTGATTTTCGAATAGATGATTTTCGAACAGGTGATTTTCGAACAGATGATCGGCCACCCTCTAGATTCTCTATGGCTGCGAAAAATCGAAAAGAACCTGAACTTTGGTGTTTTTTCGTAGCTCGATTTTTCTGAAGTTGTTCCCAAGAATATTCCGAACCCGCTTACTCTGAATCCAGAACTTATCCCCGGAATACCTAAATGTCTCGGAATTCCAGCTGTCCCCAGGGAGCAGCGATTCCACGGAAAAGGCCACAATACACGGTTTATTTCTGATCGGCAAGGTGATGGGGTGGAACCAAGTTCCAAATTACATCTGTATACAGTCTGGGGAGTGGCAGAGATTTTCCGGGTTTGCTCAAATTCTGCGGGTGGTGTTTTACTGATTGTTGGTCAGCCCAGACGGGCCGGTGGGTTGCTTCGGCTGAAAAAAATTAGATAGTTAATATAAGACAGAGAGAAAGCGAGAGAGAGAGAGAGAGAGCGATAGAGAGAGAGAGCGAGAGAAAGAGAGAGAGAGAGAGAGAGAGAGAGAGAGAGAGAGCGAGAAGGGAGAATTTACCTGCTCGCCATCCTTTCCCTTGTTAGATCCGTAAGCCCAGACCCCAGGATATGCAGCAGCGTATCCGTAAGCTCCGTACACATATGGGGAGTAGGCGTAGGCAGCAGCTGGGGCGTAGACCTGGATGATATCGGTAGTTCAGATGACGCTCATTGTTTTTCTCCCCCTCTCTCTTTCTATGTATCTCTCTCTCTCGCCCTCTCTTTTACTCTCTCCCTATCTGTCTCGCTATCTCTCGCTCACTCTCGCTCTTCAAGTTTCCGGTTCCGCGTCACAATTTCATGTTTTCAATTTTTCTATCGAAAATCCAAGCTACCGGAAGTAACATTAGCGGAACAAAAAGTTGACGCCCGATTTTCCACGCCATTCATCACACCATCCAGGTGAGTTTTTGCACCCAAAATTGCAGATTCCGCCTCGAGGACCCGACTACACGTCCTTGCTGCTCACCGATTATGGCTCCAAAAATTACGATGGTGCGTAAAAAGGGGTGAAATCATCAGCAGGTGTCCCCCGCGCGTAAAAATGAGTGTCTGGGCTAATTGTGGGCCGCTACCGACTACGTGAATTGGTAAACAGGTGAGCAACACGTGGGGTTACGGTAGCCAGCTTGGGGAATAGGGTACGTCAAGTGTGGTATTGTGTAATACGGGGGAATTGGTGAAATTAAATAAAAATAGCCCTTGATTACGGTTGATCTTGGCTCCGACTACAAGCTAATTAAAAATTCCGTGAAATTGTCTGGGATTACGGTAGAGTGGCGCGGGATTAGGTTCGAAAAATGCGCACCAATTCAGTGAGTACTACAAGAGACGAAAAATTAACAAATTCATGGAAGCTAGTGGAATACGGTAGCGAATTTGCGTAATAAAAAGAAAAATATAGTTTTGCTCATTGCAATAGAAATTAAAATCCGTTTTTGCTTGCTACAGTACCTTAAACGCTGGCGGCAAATTTCACAATAAATTATGACAGTATTAAATTTGGATAAATCAACTTATTAAAAAGTAAAAACGGTTTTTTTCAGGCGATTTGGAAGGACGCGCTTTTGCCGATCAAATTTGCTTTTTATTGCAAAGACCGTTTCCGGAGCCAAACCCTATTAAAGCAAATTATTATACCAAAAATTTAACTTCATTTTTAGGCATTTTTTTATGGACGTTACGAGCCTAATTTCGGGTCAGCCATCTGAGATTTGCTGAAAAACTGCCGATCGATGCCTTGGAGTACAGTAACTCGATCAGAAAACCACCGAAAATCCGTTTATAGATCAAACCTGGTCTGTCAAGATAATAACGTAATTTTTACTTCGGTTCTTTAGGATTTCCGCGGGGGGAAACCAAATTTTTTCGGCCCAGGCCTAAATTTTTTTCTAAATAGCGCATGCGTTTCTAAATGGTTTTTAACTATTCCTGAGCATAAAAACTACCCAAATTTTAATTAAAAAATTTAATTTTAGGTCGAAAAATCCTATAGAACCTTTAGGATTAGCGGGGGGAAAGACCCAAAATGACCAATTTTCGACTTTTTCAAACATTTTTCTAACTTTTTTGAAAGGTTTTTCTACTTTAAATATAGTTAAAATTTACTAAAAACAATGTAAAAACACTTTGTATTTGATTACTAGGTCAACCGGGAAAACCAGGGAAAAATTTGGTTCCCCCGGAAATCCTAAAGAACCATTACTTCGCTTAAGGTAGAATACAATTTACCGTTCCGCTCCTGGAACCTACAGGACTCGCTATATACCCGAAAAACCTGATTTTTGATGCTTTAGACTACGGTATTCCAATCAGGGAGATGGAATACAACAAGTCTGTGTCCCTAAAAAAGCTCGGGCGTGAATCAGTCCCAAATTACTACTTCCTCGGATACGGTAATCAGTCTACGCCGATTTTTTATGCTAATTAGCGACTCATGGATGGCCGACTCCCAAAAGGGGGGCCTCAAAACGGAACTACTAAATGACTATAGGAGGCATCAGATGATTAGAGTCGTAGCGCGGGGAATCCCAAAAAGGAAGGAAAAATTCCAATTTCCGAGTTTTTGCCAGTTCCGCCCGAGACTACGGTAGATTAGTTGCCAAATGGAGAATGAACAAGGAAACCCACATATTGGGCCTCCATTTCCGGGCACATGCTGAAGGCGATCAGGGCGAGGATGGTGCTAAAAAATGATGTAATTTGTGGTCTTAAAAATAGAGGTAAATTTGGTAAAAAAATTCTTCGGTTGATGTAAAGATAACAAAATTTAAAGAACTGAAAAGCTAAAGATCGGCAAATTTTAATGTATTTTTAATTAGCTAATACGCCATTTAAAATTGCTTAAGCTCGAAAACCACGACAATAGTCCAATTATTCATATATAACAGATTTAAGGGACTGTTACTGATCAAATTGGAATAACTTTAATAGAGGTTTTTAGCCGAAACTTCAATCAAAGGTTAAATCAATCGAAGCTATTATAATGTTTTGTCGAATTCCATTACATGGCTTTTAAATGTGAGCTGAAAAATCCGATACGGTTTGCTAAAATTTGAAAAGCTGACAATTTGAAAAATCAAAAAAGTTATGAAAATAAAATGCAAAGCTAAATTGTTTTAGAGTTGATGAAATTTAAAATTTAAAATTTATAACAGTCTGGAAAAACCCACATCTTGGCGAACATGTTGAAGGAGTAGTTTGTTGAAGCGATTGGTGCCACTCTCGCAAAATTCAGCAGCTTTATACCCTTCAGCGTTTGCCTTCCATCCCGGCCGAAACAAAAGGAAAGTTCAGTAACTGTTGTCTGTTTGCTAAGAGAACTCTCAAAGTCCCACCATTCCGCCAGGCGACAATGGCCATTCCGTTTATTCAACTAGTCGCGTCGCCTGGGGTCCCAATTTTTTAGGTACAGGTTGTTTGCCAGGGCCCCTCTGGCTTGTTGTCTTGTTGACACGCGCCCAGACACTAGACAGTAAACCTCAATCGGGTACAAAGTTTCGTCGGTTCGGCAAATAACCTAGACGGTGCTTTAAGTTTGCTCTGTTTATGCTTTAAAGTTTTATCGAATAGAGGTAGCTCAACTTTTTCTTAAATTTTAATTCATATTCCAATGATCTAAAAAATAAAAATATCCTAATACAAAACATCATTGGCATGTAACTTAACAAAACCTACAATTTTTTGTATAATGATGATGATTAACATCGTTTTCGTTGTGTAGACCGTCAAATTTGGCTTTCACTCTCTCCATCTATCTCTTAGTTTCACTCCTCTCTCTCTCTCCCTCCTTTTCCCTCTCCTCTCTCTCTCTCTCTCTCTCTCCCCCTCTCTCTCTCTCTCTCTCTCTCTCTATTTATCTAACTCTCTCTCTCTCTTTCTCGCTCTCTCTCTCTCTCTCTCTTTCTCGCTCTATCACTCTCTCTCTTGCTCTTCCTATTTCGCGCTCTCTATCTTCGTGTTTCGATTTTTTACTTGTCGATTTCCGTAGAAGATCTCCCTTGCCTCAATGATATCACTCTTCGAGTCCAAAAATCTAATTTCCCCGACCTTCAGTACCCGTTTTCCACGGCCATTTGCATGTTTCCATAGCTGTACCCGGGTAGATTTGCGCTTTTTTGTTGCGAAAAAGCTTCTCACGTCCATTCCGGGCTGGGTATTCATGTTCTTTCGTTTTGTGAGCAAACGTAGCACGCAAGAGTTCAAGATTGGTAAATTTTCTTAGGGACTACAATGAAAAGCTAAAACCCGAAAAATAAAGCCTTGGCTTTAGGTATAGTAGTATACGGGTGCTGTAGTAGTGTACTGTAGAGTACGGTGGAATAGTGAAGCGTATGGCGACGTACGATAGAGGACGGTTCTGTACTGTAGCGTACGGTGGCGGACTGCGACGTACGGTAGCGTACTGCAGCGTATGATAGCGCACCGTAAAATGTCCAAATATCCTATTTTATTACTTATGATGGGGGCAAAGTCACTGCCCCGAAAATCACTGCCCCGAAAAGTCACTACCCCGAAAAGTCATTACCCCGAAAAGTCACTACCCCGAAAAGTCATTGCCCCGAAAAGTCACTACCCCGAAAAGTCACTACCCCGAAATAATTTGCATGATTTTTCCGGGAAAAACACTGCTATCATTTTTCGGGGTAATGACTTTTCGGGGTAGTGACTTTTCGGGGTGGTGACTTTTCGGGGTAATGACTTTTCGGGGTAGTGACTTTTGGGGTAGTGACCGGACGCCCTTATGATACCTTCCAGAAACATCAAGGCCAAAATTATTCTTGTCGGATACCAATTCTTCGTTTACAAGTGTATGACCGGGATTACCGATGACCAGAATTGGCTTCGAACTATTGCACTTGAAATGCACCCGCAAAACTACAACCTTTTTTGTGGCCCCAAATTAATCACTTTTGTTCTCAATTTTTTAACAAGACCAAGTTAGTCTCAACCCCAAAATTCAAACCAATGGTAATTTTTAACCGAACCCCAGGGGTGAATTCAGACAAATTGGCCAATTCGTGGAACGCCTTTTTTGACGTGGCCAAAACGAGCTGAATGACTAACGAGACGAGACCAACCCAAATAAGACGCTTCAGACTCAAGGACCGCTCCGGAAAAATGTAGCTAAAAAGGCAAAGCGAACGCGACAGAGCTTGAATTCATCGAGTAAGCCGCCCTCCGGATAGGTGTTGACGACTTGGAGCCGACTTTCCGAGTTGGTGAGCCGACCCTGCTAACCAGAATGTGATAGAAAAGGCTTCAGGCTTCATGATACGCATAATCCAAAAAGCGAAGGAAGCGTCGCAGGGCGAAAAAATCGAATTTTTGCTCACCGCACCGATCAAAAACTGCAACCAGTGCAACCGTAATTTGTGCTACCACCGCGGTCTTTTCTATCTGATCCTAAGCCTAAGCCTCTATTTTGGAAACCAAATGCGTGTTTTCAAACAATTTGGAACCAAAAATTAGACATCTGTGTGCAAAAGCTCGTATCTAGTGTTGTTATTGCCTTTCCACACCTGGATTAGTCCGAGAACCTCAAAAGCAAAATGTCACCACGAATGCGATTATGTGGGTCTAATCTGACCTTTTTGCTATTCTATTGTATTTTTATGTATGCGTAATTGGTTGCAACGCGTAAAGAGGATTATTACGCAACACGGAAAAATACTGGTTCCGCGAAAATAGGGCCCGGATCTCCGGGAAAAAGCAAGCGTACAGAAATGGGGGGACCGGATTTGGGATGGAATTTTTGAGGGTCCAAAACTACGGTAGTGTCCAGAAACGTAAATAGCATTAGCCCGGAATTTTCCGGGGCTTCCGGTTCTGTGGAGCTTCTTCTGGATTACTCACTAGTGGCGAAAATACGGTGAAATTTATACGAAGGTGAGAAAGAGACGAGGGAATACAGGAGGCTAGCAGAGAACCTTGAGGAATTATAAATGCCTCCTTCCTCAATATCTCTTTCTCGCACTCGTCCGCTCTCTTTCTCTCTCTCTCGCTCTCACTCTCGCTCTCTCTCTATGCGCCTAACGGGCTCTTTATCGATATCTTCCTCTCTCTCAATCTCTCTCGCTCTCTCTCAATCACTCTCCCTCGCTCTCTTTCTCTCTCTCTCGCGCGCTCTCTCGCTCTCTCTATCACTCTGCCGCTCTCTCTCGCCCTCCCTCTCCCTCTCTCTATCGCTCTCTCTCTATCTCTCTCGCTCTCTATCACTTTCTCTCTCTCGCGCTCTCTATCACTCTCTCCCTCTCTCTCGCTCCCACCCAGTGGCACCATACTTCAACTCCTTCATGTAATTAATCGAACGTATTGACTAGTTTTACTATGTTCCAAGACGCGGCAAGTACAATCTACCGGAAGTACCACGTAGAGCTAATCCCGAGCAATAAGTGGTACTCGGTATCTCCTGGAAAACAATTAGACCTAGGCGAAGGCACCATCGAAACAAAAATTTACATTAGTGTGTTCGAGACAAGAGAATATTGGCATTAAACTTCAGATTGAAAAAGGCAAATTCTTCCTGGGGCGCGCCCGGCATAATTATGGATTTTATTGGGCAGGGATTCCTACGAATTTTTGCGCAAAACGGCCTCCCTGTATGCGAAACTAAACGTGTAAATCTATAAAAATTATGCCGGACGCGATTCTTTTTCCGCAAAAATCTCTGCTAGCCTCGTCTCTCCGACGTGTCTGTCTGGGTCTACTTTTCAGTTTTTATACATCAGATGTATAAGGAAACAGCCAGTTTCAGATATGATATACTTTATCACGATGCACACAAAAAAAGACACGCGTGACTTGGACTCTCTCTTTTTACACAGGTATCAGTAGTAAGAAGTCGTGTAAGACAAGGAAAAAACAAGAGCGCGATATTATGGCGTTCATTTAAGAGGCGTCCAAAGCAAAAATTGGACTCAAATATACAAAAATCAAACACAAATAATATCATGGAATGTGGGGCAAATTAAAACTGACGAGAAAAACGAAACAAATGTGTTTTTGAAGAGGGGGGCTAGCACTGATCAAGGCCGACCATCCTCTTCCATTCAGACGCGTTTTCAAGGAGGGCACGGCGGTACCATTGAACCTGAAAAATTTATTTTTTAGAATTCATTTAAATAGCGTAATCGGTCGTGGAAAGCGACATAGAGAGGAGAGAGAGAGAGAGAGAGAGAGTCGGAGCGAGAGAGAGATGAGAGCGAAATTCTTAAAAATTCTCACCTGTGCATCCAGCTCCCCGACGACCTTCTGCAACTTCAGGTTCTTCGTGGCCAACTTCTTCTCCTCTTCCACTAGAGTGGAGAATCGGGACTTGATCTTGTTGCGGTACTTCTGGGCGGCTTCCTTGTTTCTGATCTTCTTCACGTCAGAGTCGTAGCTCTTCTCATCAGAGCAATCGGATAGAGGAACGCTGTCGCAGGTTCTGAAAGCAGTACGGTAATGGCTTGCGCTTAAAATGGCTTAAAATGCTTAAATTGTTTCAAATTTAACAAATTTTAACCTTTTCAGTCGTTAAAAGCAAATTTTGTAACTTTGTAAACATGTAAATTCTAGATATCTCTTACCTGCTGCACTTGTAGCACTCATCCGGTCTCAGGAAGTGTTCGCATTCCTCTGCCAATTCTTGTGCCAATTTTTGAACCGGAGTGGATGGTCTGGGCTTCTGGACGTGGCCATGGGAGAGGTGGATGTTCTCGTGGTTGTTGTGGTTGTGGAGGAGCACCTAAAAAAACAAAATACTGGGACATTTTACCACATTTCAGCGTAAAATATCTCGAAAATACAAAATTTAAGGTTTTAGGGCGTTGAAAAAATCAATTTTGGCAAGAAACGTGGTGTCACTGTCCCTTTAATTCGAACCATGTTTTTTTTATTAATTTTCCAGGTGTTTTAGACAATTTACTTACCGAGTGAGCACAGATGTAGCCATTCTCATTGTTTGAAGGGTGGATTGAGTGTGTAAAGGAGCCGAGAGGCACTAAAACAATTACATTTAAATCAATAAGATTTTTCTGAACGCTACAGTAATCTTTTAAGAGCGGAATATCAGAAAATTTGAGGCGCTTTGCAATGCTTTACGTATTTTTCGTATTTTAAACTCACCGGCCGGCTGAGAAGGGTCACAGCTCGGACAGGGTTCCGGTAGAATCGTTCCAAACGTCGAGTCGATATCACTGTTATGGATGGGGAGGAGCGGGCAGTCGGAGACGCATTCCTGTAACAGAAAACTTTATATAATTTTGGAAGCTATTACAATCGTGCCGGTAGGTAGGGAAAGTGTGCATATATTGAAGTGTCTAACCTTAGATTCTTCATCAAACTCAGCTAATCGACTTGAGTACACTACAATACCCCTACAGTACCCCGAGAAGTATCCCCAATTCGAGACCTCTCAGGTTCCGTCTTAGTTTGCGAGAGAGAGAGAGAGAGAGAGAGCGAGAGAGAGAGAGAGAGAGAGAGAGAGAGAGAGAGAGAGAGAGAGATAGAAAGTCGAAGCCAGGGAGTCTATCTCACTCATCAAGCAGCGTAATGAGGTGTCGGGCGTAAGGTGTCACTCCCCGACTACCGTACTCTATCTAGCCCCAAAGTTTTCGCTGCCTTTTTCTTCTGTTTAGCACGGTTTTAGACACGCTCGAACTGTTTTCATTTCCCGAATTTTTTCCATGCAGTCAGGTGCAGGTGCACCCAAATTTCCCAAAATTCCCGAAACTCGCAAAAAAAGAGGGGGTGAGGGATTGGAACCTGATGCCAAAAAAATAGTGGAAAACGGGAGGGGATTATGCTCTGGAAATAGCTTGAACAGCTACATGCGAATTTTAGGCTACAACTACATCAAAGTACAGTTATATTTTGTCTTAAATGACTGTTTAATTCCAAAAATATCAGAATTTTCCAATCGTGACCTGATTTTGAGAGGTCTATCCAGCAAAGTTTTTTGGGTTTGTAAGTTGAATTAGGTTTAATTGAATCTTGTATACTGGAATCCATAGAAGTTAAGTTAGTATTTATAGATGAAACCAAGAATCTGAATTTTAATTAACTCACAGCAAAGTGATTCAGCTCCTGATCGGGGATATCGGAGAGGCAGCACTGGAAGTGGGGGTCGGTGCTGCTCTGGCCGTTGTGGTGGGCGTAGGAGTAGAAGCTGAAATAATACAGATAAATGTCTCATCTAAATGAATTTAAATGATTCTTAATGTCCATGGACTCAGTATCGTTACGTCGATGAGACGCAACGATACGCTTAATAAGTAAGGACAAATTTTATTAAATTAACATTCCGGCTAGGACGTTCGTTCTTATGCAAAATACACTTAAAAAATTAACAAAATTGATGGATTATACCGAAATTGAAGCCAAAACAGAAATTAGGCCGGATAAGGTAGAGCGACGCGGCGATCCACTTGCTTTTAAAACCAATTTTTACAAAAAATTATTCGGGCTTTCGCGTATCTCTTCAAGCTAAATTAGGCCAAAAAATTCCACTTTAACGATAAATTTTCTCTCAAAATTACATTACTTGCACTTTTGCAGCAGCTGTATGAGATCGACATGTCGGATTCCCATCAAAAATATAGGTTTCTAGCGTTCTAGTCTAATTTTGGTAGCAAGTAGAAAGATTCCTTCAATTTGGGCAGGCCTGAGAACGCTTATATAGTGGAGCGAGCGCATTCTGGCGATTGCACGAAATGACGTCACATTGCAATCCTGAGCCACGCGTCGGCTGATCAGTCCGGGGCCACACGGATCCGGGGAGACTAATTTAGGTATTGACAACCGAACTTTAGATCCTACTATATATAAAAAAATAGTGTCTGTGTGTGTGTGTGTGTGTTGCCACTTTGCATCCACTTCCGTATCGTTGTTCCAGTCGTATCTCTATAGGGGAAGAAGTTAGGGGCGGGTACGATATGTCATTATGTGCGTAATGGTCTAGGGATAACTGCCCACATATCAGACTTATAAAAATCTGCCATTTTCGATATTAAATTTAAGTTTTTGTAAAACCCTCTTCGCTAGGAAAAATTAGCATTGACCGGAAGTGGAGATCGCCTATATAAAGGGTCAGAAGCGAATCATTTTCATTTTTTTCCATCTGAATTCAGCACAATTATGCAAAGCTTAGAACAGAGTGCGGTCCAAGTCGGGGCCAGGGTTGAAAAGTCGCGAAGCGACTTTTCAACCCTGGTTCTAACTAATTGTTGAACTGGCAAAGGCAAAATTGTGCACCCCCATTGCTTTTTATGCTCATAATGTAAACTACGTTACTCTACGCCCAGCCTTAGAAAGCGTTTTGTTAACAAGACCCTTTAGGGTCTAGGAACAAGCCATAGAGACCAATTTTAATCTAAAGCTCCGAAATTAATCAAACCCTTTCAAACTGATGTAAGATATCCAAATCACGAGGCCAACTAGCAAAGATCATGTAGGAAATTCCCCAATCAACTCACTTATCCTGGTAGCCTTGCTGCTGGTAGGGTTCGGGGCGGTAGTAGTGTTCCATCGCGTGCGCGCACATCAGTTCTAGAAAACGAGCATTTTAATAGGTTTTACAGGGATGGAACAGCTTAAATTTATGAACATGAAACAAGAACAATTGGAGTAAAAATAGATTGAGTTGATTAAAATTAGATAACTTATAAAATATCTAGAAAATTCACCACAGTGTTCTAGCGTTCTAGCGCATCTTTATAAAATGGATAAAATTTAATAACAGTTAGTATGAGTTGCGTCTTTAACAAAACGAAGACGTGCATATTGAAAAAAATAAAAATGCTAAGCAATCTAAAAGGTTTTAAAAAAAGGTTTTAGATTTTTTAATTTGATTTTTTGGAAATAAAATTGCTCCCAGCACGGATTTTAACAAAGCTAATCGAAATAATTTAATAAGATTTGTTTTTCACAAAACAAAAAGCTCGTGATATCCTTGAACCCGTGGAAGACGGATGTGTGGCTAGGGTGGATATTGGATAGGGCCGTCTGGCGGATGAGGGGGGCTGGGTGATGGATGAGTGATAACAATGAGAATCAGGTATTTGGCGCCACGGCTGGTCAGCACGAAAAAATATCGATAAAAAGGGGGCAGCGGATGTGGATCTCGGATTGCCGGGTTGTTTTTGATGGACAAAGCTCTGGGGCTCAACTTTGATTTCTTTTTTCGTGCAAGCAAAATTCTTTAGCCACCGACATGTTTTCCTTAATTCCAAAAACTTCATAAAGAAGCCGAAATCAATAAACGATTTTTTGGTATTTGAAAAACGTTGTGAAAGACGCAATTTTTTAATTCATGCTTTGTGGATGATCGTAGATAAAGCAAACTCCCACAAAATTTCCACCCCTCCTCGAAATGCTCTTTAAAAATCAGGTAAAATAATATGTGGCGCCCCGAATTGCAGAAAAGGCCCTAATAAACAATCATAAGTACCAGAAAACTATTTTTAAATTAAATTAAAAATTATTGAATTTTTAAAAAGTAAAATTATTTAAGTGAACATTGAACCCTTTTTTACCCGCGTGGTGACTCAAAAAATGTCTGGAGTGTCGAAAATGACGAAAACTAGATGCGTTTTCAAAGTACGTCCTATTACGTTCATTAAAGGAGCCTTAAAAACCCTGCTAAAGTAAAACAGCTTTTAATAAAAGTAAGCAATAAAAACATTAAAACGATCCGAATTAAAGAACTAAGCCCAGGCTTTGAGCCTGAATCTGCGAAAATGGCTGATATGCTGGTAAAATTGAAGCAGAAACAAGCGGAGCCATAGAAAAATACGCGCAAAAAAGTAGTAAATATAAGTTTTCTGCAAGAACATAGTCTACAACAAAGGTAATGTAACTAAAACTCAGCAGGTCTGTACTACCGTACCAGTTCAGTTTGGTGGGAGTGGGAACTTTTTGATCCCGCCCCGATTTTGGGATGATAATGATGAGATTGAGGGAATGATCCACAAAATTTTGCTTTAATTCCGCGACACTCCGCCCATCACCGAGTTTCGTCTCTATCAAAAAAGGGGCGGAGTTTCCGGTTGATCGTCCAAAGACGAAATATTACCGGCGCTGCTGGCCTCTATTTGGGGGTAGAAGCGAGAGAGAGAAAGAGAGAGAGCGAGGGAGAGAGAGAGAGGCGTTGATAGGCGGATAACGGAATCGTCGCGCGTTTTCTTTTCTTTGCTTATTTGGGGGTGGGAGGGGGAAACACGAAGTCGCCTCGCGACCGTCATCAATCACCATCGTCAGCCACAAGATTCAGCCAGTAGACGCGCACGCCGGGGTTGCGGTTTATTTTGCGCGCCCTTTTTCTCTCATTTTATGCCAATTTTGGAGGAGAGATATGATACAGTAATTAAGGGAGAGTGTGCTGATCGCTATGGTGCTTGATCAGGCTAGTATGGGGCAAGAAAAAAATATTTTGAGCCTGGCACTCGCAAAAGGCTTAGAAGGTGAGAAAATTGCAGAATCTAGATTATATATTACATTGTAGATATTACATAACCCCCCCCCCCCCCCCCCCCCCCCCCCCACCCACCCCCCCAAAACACACCCCCCCCCCCCCCCCCCCCCCCCCCCCCCCCCAAAAAACCCCACCCCCCCCCCCCACCCCCCACCAACAAAAAACAAAACAAACCCACCAAACCCGGGCCTACACCACGTCAGAGTACCATACAGTACGATAGAGTATGAAACCATACGGCAGAATTCGGTACAGGACGGTAAAGTACGATAGGTACGACATGATACTATAGAGTACGGGTGATACGGAAGCGTACGGTACAGTACGCCCGAGAACCGGTCCACGCCCGGGAAGGCAGGCTAGCGGAGTTGCTTTAGAAATCTGCTAGGTACGGTAGCTGATCTCTCGTATGCCCCTGTTGAGTCAGAGATCCACTTTGCAGCCGCACTTTCATAACCTGTTGTTCTTTCCGGCGCCTCTTATATCCATGCAGCGGTGCCCAAGATGTCCATGAAAAGTCGGAGATCATCAGTTCGATGGATCAAAAACACAGTGGGACGCACGTCATTTTCTATCCCTACAGCGTGCTAGAGCGGGGCAAGATGGAATCAGAGTTCAGACCTCGAAGGGGATGAGTAATGGAGGGACGTTCGAAACCAAAAAAGGGACAAAAAGGTCCTAGAAGCTCAAGCAGAAAAGAAAACGATATTCGATGAGCTTTCAACTGATGGGTTAGCAAAAGATTAAAGAAGCATCTAAATCTTGTTAAATAATTTTTATAACTTAGCTATTTCTAGACTACATAACGCATATTAATAATTTTATGCATTATGTCATTAAGATACCGTCGTGTCGGAGCGAGAAGAGAAAGAGATGGAGAGCTAGGGAAAGAGAGAGAGAGAGAGAGAGAGAGACCGAGAGAGAGAGAAGGGAGAGAGAGAGAGTAGAATGACGGGCATTAATGAGAGACCTGAAGTATTTATGGACAGAAAATTATATTTGCCGCAGTAACGAATAAATTTTGGGATCGAAAAACCAGGATTTTGGCTTTCTTTCTAGCTCATCATGCATGCTCAAATCAGCATGTCTAGCCCAGCGTTAGCGCATTGAAGGTATTTAACCTTAGCATTAATGACGAATTTTCCAAGATTTTATGAACGCAGCAAGGCCGAAAAAACCGTTTCTCCACTTCTCACTGATACCATGGGTTGCGGGTTCGGCCTGCAGACTGTGTGGAAACAAGAATTCCACCCAGAATCCCCATCCATCATCACACAGTTCAACGGTGAGCTGGGAGAGTTGACAGTCTTTCGCTCTTTCTGGTCTTCCTATGCCTCACTCTCGCACTATCACCGGCTCCCTCGCTTTATTGCCTAAAAAGTGCCCTTCTCGGCCTCGTGTGACGGTCGGTTCGGCCTCGAGCGTTATACGAGAATTGGCAAGATGGGTTTGGTTTTCACTAATTGTCTGTAAACACTACGAAATCAGTAGACCAAGAGAGAGAGAGAGAGAGAGAGAGAGAGAGAGAGAGAGAGCGAGAGAGCGAGAGAGAAAGAGATATATAGAGAGAGGCAGGGCTTTCAACAAGGTATAAAAACAATAACAGCATAACAAAAATACGAAAATAATTTCCAAATTCGGGAAGCTATTTTTGGCGTGATTTTCAAAAGTTGAGTACGAAAATCGTACCTCGGCAGGTTTGCAGTGCAAAAGACCGGACTAGGAATCGAGAGATCGCGCAAACAAACTTTTAGAGATTGCGGGCAGTGCAAAAACAACACACTATGGCAATCCGAACCTGGTGGTTAGGGGTTTGTTTCTGATTTTGGTGAGAAATTTAAAACCTAGGAAATTCTTCATTAGGGTTTTTGGTATGCATGAAACGCAAGGTCAGTATTTACGTGACTAGCTTAAAGTGACAGCGAACATCCATCTAGCGAGTCACAAATGGCAGACCGAGTGAACCGCGAACCACGCGAGATTTGCATTGAGCAGTGCCTGGACTATGAACTTTTTGCCCCTTCCCTCCGCCCGAATTGGCGCTGAACGGGGGTTGGAGGAGTGAAGCTGGTTTCTGCTTATTCTAGCCGTCGAAGCTTTTAGTTTTGTGGTTTCAAAGAGCAGAATCGACTAATTCTGATGGACCGGACGTGACAGTTACGCGTCAGGCCCATTAACGTTCTTAGTGAGAGACTTACTGAGTTGGCCCAACTGACGTAGGGCCAACTCTAATCCATTATGCCACATAAACCCGTATCGGGCGATTTATAGGGATTCTCAAAAACAAAACGGAGTTCTTGGTTCTGCTTTACTCATCCCTGTAATGCTTCAAGCGACAACTGGATACGTCGTTTGGAGCCTCGCGTGATGTCGGGGCCTATGCGACATGAGGGTCGATTTAGGCACTCCCGCCTCCTTTAGAAGCAACTTTTGCCGGATTCATACAACGTTGTTGCAGAAATACCATTTTTCTTCACGCCTGGCGTTTCGCCAGTTGCCAGAAAAGCAAAATATGGTTGCCTTCCTAGCCTCTTAAAACCGAATTTCCATTAAAGCTTGGCAGTGCTCGCTCTCTACACTCACCAAATAATATTTGTCCTGACACTTGCGGCGACTCGAGCTGTCCGACCCCGACCAAATCGGAAACAAGATTTTGCCCGCGTGGGCCCATCAATCAGTGGGTTTAGGGATAGAAATGGCCCGGGCGCTCTATTGGATATTGTGGAATGCACAACGGACAGTTGATAAGAAGCACACACCACGAAGACGACGACGATGCTGATAGCCATCCACAACAATTACCGGGTGTTGAAAGTCGGATTTCGGGGGCTTAAAGGGACTGTGTCGTGAGGGTTTTCCATAGCATAGTTTTTTTGAAAAATCCAGTAAAAAAAAACAGAAAAAAACTGCAAGTTTCTGGGTAGTATAAAAAAATCAAAGTCCACTGTCTCGAGCTTGAAGAATTCGAGTAGCCGTATGGGGCCTCAAGGGTGGACTGAAAAGCTCAGGTAGTCCACAACAAGTTTGTGAAATAGGCTGCCAAAAATCCCCCACGAAATTTTAAACCATGAATTTATGAAGTTGCTAATCAAGTTTTGCTGGAACCCAACGGGTTACGGTATTGTTATTACGACACGATGGATGCTAAAAGGCCTTCATCCCCTGACGAGACCTTGGTTCAACTAGCATCAATTTACATAACTTGGTTTATCTAAAAAAAAACCAACTTCAGCTTAAAGTACCCGACTACAGTGATTACGTGAAGCCTCCTTTCAATGGGGCACTCTACGGTGGTCAGTTTTCAAAAATTCGTTAAGTTACAGTCAGATTTTGCGCTTTTTCTGCTTATTTTTGATCCACTTGTGGCAAAATTGTGGCTTCTCTAGCGCGCAATGTCCGGGACACGATTTTCCCCATCCGGGCCAATCCATCAACCACCAGTCAGAGTCAGGGCGTCGACCGTTGCGGATGGTGGACGCGGGAAGTTGATCCGCGCACACAAGGAGTCCATGAGGCAAAGAATCACGTGAAACAGGGTAGGCAAGGTGTTGCAAAAATCAGAAAGTTGAGGTAATCGAAAAATTTAACGAAAAAAATCGTCTGGCGCGGCTAGAGCTGAGAACGTGAATCAAAGAACCAGAGCAGCCATTTCGAGGCACCACCCCTTTAAAACGACTAAAGTTGCTATAGATTAAATTTTAGATTTAGAAACTTTGGATTTTATGGGGGTCAAGCTCCAAAAAATACGCTTCATCTATGCTAATAATTACACAACTTTATTTAGAAAATTTCCAGCCCTGGACCTTCCTGTCACGCCACCTTTAAAGGGTTAGGAAAGACTAAAATCTTCCCCTTCCTTCCGCTAGATATCGACCGCTACGCTTATTGGACAACTCAAGTTTGTTACGACCGAGTGACGATAAGAGGTCGACTGCGGCTTTTCCCAACCTCTTTAAACATCACTTCCGGTTTGTCTTCGAATCATCACGTCTATTTTGAAACGTCTCCAAGCAGTCGGCTGACCCCGGCCATACCCACACAGCCGACTCGGGAAACATGATTGTGCCCGTGGATGGCCATCAATCAGCCAAAGTCAAGGCGGTCGGGATGGGGAGGGGGAAGAGGTGGCCGTTGTGGATCCACCCGGCCACTCCGGGGGTCGTCGGCGTGATAATCAAGCGCTATCAACCACAAAACACTTTGGATGGGGGTTTAAAGGGAGAGTGACAGTAAAATTACAGAACCGATCCGGGTTTAAAGGGCTATTGAAGGCAAAAATGCAAGGACAGGGAAAACGTGGTTTCAAGGGGGAATGACAGTAAAATGTCATCAGACAGCCCGGGCCGTGATTTAAGTGCTGGTGTGAAAAGGCTGCTTAAACTTCCGGATCGCGTTTTAAGGGAAGCATGACATTACAGTTGCTTAAACGTCCCCGAATGAAACTTAAAGGGAGAGTGACGGTAGCTACGGGTCTTTTTAAAGGGATGGTGTACGGGATCATCTTGCAACGCCCGAGCCCTGCGAAAAATTGAGCAGTGTTTTCACATTCATAGCTACTTACTGGGGCGCTGCAAAATCCCATTAGTTCTCTGCTCCTGATCTGGAGCTCCCCACCTCGAATACCTGCTAAATTTACCCAGCTCTAACGCTCAAAATAGTCTCCTGATCATCACCACCACAGCCACATTCTCCTGTTGATGTGCCCTTCACGGCTTTCGGAAGTGTGGTGGTGGGGCGACCCGATTTAGGAAGGGAAACACGATTGTGCCCGTGGAGGGCCATCAATCAGCCAGTTAAGGGAGAAAGAGGGAGCACGAGAAAGTGGAGGATGAGGTGCCCGATGATAGGCAAACGATATCCCACACGGTCTCTTCAATCCTAATAAAAGCTATGGAGAGAGAGAGAGAGAGAGAGAGAGAGCAAGAGAGAGAGAGAGAGAGAGAGAGAGAGAGAGAGATTTTTCGCGCCAGCCGACGTGTGATCAGCCACGCGATGCTCGCAGATCAGGGGACCTCGAAATTCTCGAGCTGGTCTTTTAAAGGGACCGGAACGTCTAGCCTGGAGTTAAAGTTTTAGTATGCGAAAGCGCTCAACGAATTGTTAAGGTCGTCATTATTTTCAACACGGAAATTTATAAAATTTCCAGCACAAATCTCGAAATCGAAGTTGATGAAGGAGAAAGAGAAGAAGAGCCGCAGTAATTAATATGCAACGCCAAAAAGGTCTACAGTATCCGAGTTACAGTATTGGTTTGCCTTAAATTTATAAGGGACAAAGCGTCATTAGGTCTCCCGCCGTACTCCTCATAGGTGCTACTTTGCTCGCAAAGACCGTCCCCTGTGACGTGCCCTCCTACTGTGCTTTTGGTTGGGACAGGGAGGGGTGAAAGAGAAGCGACAATGGGATATTGAGGGGGATGAGGGAGAATGGGATTGATATCTTAGCGAGATGATTACTGGGAGTACTGTAGCTGCAAATAGCACTTTTCGAAAAAAAAGCCGGAGGGGTTCCGAAAAAGCCGCCGGGGTCCTTATCAGAGACGCAACGCAACACGCCAAGGCATGCCACCCTTTAACACTATCATGATACCTTTAAAACCCTGACCATTTCCACGAAATTCAGGAAGCTCCAGAAACGGAACATAAAGTTAATAGATAAAAATTAATTATTAAGAACATCTAAAAATCAACTTTGTAAAATTCCAAAATTCGAGGGAGAATAGTGAAAGCGAGAGAACGAGTGCGAAGGAGTGTTAGGGTGAGTGATAGAGAGGGGAGAGAGAGAGAGAGAGAGAGAGAGAGAGAGAGAGAGCGTGAGTGCGAGTGAGAGAGACAGAGAGCGAGAGAGAGAGCGCGAGAGTGAGAGAGTGCGAGTGAGAGAGACAGAGAGCGAGAAGGAGTGAGTGAGAAAGGTGGAGAGCGAGAGCGAGAGAGAAGGCGGCACAGGTGGAGCACCAAAAACTAAAACAGTAAATTTTTCGACCCAAAATTCCGCGGGGTATTTTGCAGCTCTACCAATATTTCCACAAATTTCGAAGCGGGGGTTACGTTAATACAGATCAAGGACAAATAATGCATGAACAGAATTCACAGAAACACCATAAATCTCATTTTTCAGAATTTTCTGACAATATAAAAATATTTGCAACAAAAAAAGACACAAATTCTCAGAAAGTCATGTTTTAGGGGTGACGGAGGCCTATGCGAGGGCCTTTGTGAGGGGCGAACGATTGGCCTGACCGGGGGAGGGACTACAGGAATTTGGAGGGAGCAGAGAAAGGGCTGTGAAGACATATCAGAGAGTGGCTAGTAAATGGAGGGTTCAGAATTAGGCCGAAGGACTGTAGAGACCGAGAAATACCAAGAGACCCAGAGAAAGGCCAAAGTATAGGCCTAGAGAATTTGACCCCTGAGAGGGTGAAGACAAACATCAGAGGCAAAAATCAGAGGCCTTCCCGCAAAAAAAACGGACAGCGAGAGAGAGAGAGAGAGAGAGAGAGAGAGAGAGAGGGCGGGGGAGAGAGGCCTTCCAGAAGGCCTTGGAAAACACGGGCCTGCCATGTGCCTGTGGAAAAAATTGCATTTTAATGCGAGAATTGCGTTTTTTATGTAATTCTCTCGAATTTTGAGGATTTAAGACATTGATCATAATATTTAGGCCGCGCTTTACCTCAAAAAAATCGCGAATTGAACCAATCACGGGGCTAGCTGATAAGATGGTGACAAGAAAAAGGGTCTAGGGTTTCGGGGGCCTGTAGCAAAAAAAACCCTAGAATCCAAATTATGTAAACAGAAAAATGTGTTTAAGAACGTAAAATCAATTTACATAACAAAATCCCAATTGAAGTTAAATAAAATCTATTTAAACGTGTAAAAGTGACCAAGCTTATAAGCTATGAGAAAGTGTACTGGAATTCAAGCTTAAAAATTAAATACAGAAAATTGAGAATAAGCTTATACTATGGGACGATTGACCGTATCTAACAGTATCTAATGACTGAGCTCTGAAATAATACGATCAACAAAATTGCTAACTAAAAAACGCTTACAAACGCTTAAATTAAAATATCATTAAGGTTGTTAATCGCTCATACCTTTCCGCCACGTAAATCCAGTGTTGACGACCATCTTCGGAAATTATCACAATACTGCGGCGGTTTTCCAGAAGTAATAGGAGCACTTTTCAAGGTGCAGCCTTTGCAAGCCTCAGAAACAGTATTGAATGTGTACGTTGAACGCGAAAAAAATCGGCTTCCCTCTTCGACGCGAGGGCCTTATCAAAAAGGCCGATCAGGCGAGTGGGCGAGGCCCATAAAGCCACGCTTTCCACGAAATTTGATTCAGGGCCTAATTTTTTTGGGAGTGTCTGGTCAGTGCAGAATCTTCTTTGGTCAGTCTGGCAGACGAAAAGTGGCGAAAGGTCACCATTACGAGGGTTTTGCAACTTCTAGAAGTTGCACTTCGCTGTGGGTGGTCCCGAAGTCCAAAAATGATAGGACGACGTCAAGCGAATCAGATGAGATGAACTCACTAACAACCGGAAGACGTCGTCGCCGGACTTAGAATCAAGAAGAATTCCATGAATACTACAAAATTCGTCTTCAGGGGAGACCGCGATGCAGCCGCTCGGCATTCGCCCTTGCTGCACAAGGACCTCGAAGCTATTTAGTGCGTCTCCCAGCGGCTACATGCGGCTCTCATCAGGGGAAAAACATCATGGAAACGTCGATAGTTACGAAACGTCTAACCTAACCTAATTCTAAGTGCAACACGTGCTAACCTAGTCAATCCTACCTTACGAGTTCCTTTAATAAAACTTCAGAACCCAGTCGGCTATCTAATTATCGTTATTAACAGCTATCGACATTTTTGTTCGCGTCGGCTTTTTTAATATTTTCTTTAAGCACATATTAAAAGCCCCCATTTAATGTAAGCTTATGCTTACCCGCTATAATAGTAAAATACCTCATTTCAAGACCACCAACGCACTTTTCCAACCCCAAAAATGCCTCCCGTTTTCGTTCGGCCGCGTATGAAATCGAGATCTCGTTTTCAAGTTTTCGAACTTTCCCCTTCATTTTTCGGGCTATGTGGGTGGTGCGGAACGGCGAAATTGGGCCATCTTGCCGGGTCATCTCCGCCGTGTGTGGCTATGAAACAAGAAGCTTCTGCTTTCAGTCTCACCCGGGCTTCGTTTTCTGGGCTTTAAAAATTCTGGACTCTGCGGATGATTCCTTAGAATTTTTGGAGATTTTCGAAATAATTTTATTAGATGAACTATCTCGTCTTTCCAGAAATGCTCTTGCTTTTGGTGGTCGCCGTCATTTTTGGTAGTGTTGAAGCAGAGTTCAGCCACAATCGTAAGTTTTTATCGCCCTGGAATTCCACTAATTTTTGTACTTTATCGATTACCAATTGGTTAGACAGCACGCCATGCGTTACGTGCGCATTCCGTCAAAAGACTTAATTTTGACGTGATGCGCCCGTTAAACGTAAAGATGATGATCGTCAGGCTCTTGAATCTCCAGTTAACGAAGTGAAAGTCCTAATTTCCAAACGTCAGAATTCCGCAACTACACCTGTGTACGTCAGCCGGCCGACGGGCAGACGCAGTGCCGTTTGAAGTTTGACGAGAATTCCGATGAATGGGATGCTCTGAATGATAACGGATGCTTCATGGTAGGGCTCAATAGTTTCTTTGGTTTTTTCAGTAGCTTTTAATAACTCCCGTTGTCATGATTACATTTTTATAGTCTGGGCTGGGGAACTTGATGTTAAAAACTTAAATATACAATTATTACCATAAATCAATATATTTTTTAAGGAATTCGACCCGAAACGCAAGGAGACGCTCGAATTCTGCCCGCTGCAGTGCACTGACGCCGAGACGGCCTACATCGAGGCCAAGACACCGACCAACAACAATCGGTACATATTTTCTTTGGGTCTTAAAGGGTATAGAAGGCATAAAATTGACAACTTTGGTGGTTAGATCTAGACAGCTATCAGGGACTACAATTCTAGCTATTTGCGTTATTTTGCTATAGCAAAAATCTAAATGAATGCAAGTGTTTTTGGAGCTTCGCTTAGTTGTTCATGGATAAAAATGTCGATTGTGTCGCTTTCCCTTTTCTGAAATCCTTGATGACACGGTTCCTTTAAAATCAAAAAAGATATGACTTCCAAAAAGCGGTTTTTCTTTGGTCTGCCACGTAGCTGTTTGTTTCTAGTGGATTCTAGTCGAATTTGGCGCTTTGAGGTCCCGCAAGATGATGATTTTATTGAATTTCTGGTCGCAGTCCTGTTGGCGCCATCCCTTTAAAGCGCACGTTCAGGGAGGGGCCGTATACTCGTCCCAACGTGTACACCCTATGGACGTAGCGACCGCGCGCACTGCCTGCCCGTGCTGTGACAGGCCATTCCCCCTCCTTTGCGGCGGGGGCGCCCTCACCCCTGGCCAGGTTGTAGCTGTGGCTGACTGGTATCCATCCGGGCCTCCCGAGCGGGGGGCCCGGGTTCGACCCCCGGCCGCGGCAAATATCTTTGCTTTTCCCCGAAAAAAACTTGCCTGAACGTGCCCTTTAAGACGAAAATAGTAGTATTTGAACATGAATTATCTCTATTTTCTGTTTTATTCTGTTTCGTTCCAGTTGCGTTGCCTTCTTCAACTACAACGTCATCCACCGCAACACCGACTGGTTCCTGTGGCGCGCTGGCGATTGTATGAGCGTGAGTTCCTACGTTTTTCTTCTTTTTTTACGTTTTGAACTTTTACAGTTTGACCAGACGCAATTGTTCAAAATCACAATTTTCAGGAGGAGATCCAATTCCGCGTCGGCTGCACGTTCCCCTACAAGAAGCGCAAGTTCGACGAGAAGCGCAAGTTCAAGAAGGAGAAGAACTAATTAAGGATGAGGATTGAGTTGGATGGATTAAGAACTTAATAAATATTTGGATTATGCTTGTATTTAAGAGCGCTGGATACTTTTTTACGTTTGTCAAGTTTTTTCCAAGCGTCCCCGCATTCCTATCAACGCGGGATAGCTCCAGAAATCACCCGTTTCCTCAAAAAACCCTGCTAGCTCCCCACCAGCGCTGAATTGGTATTGTGCTTTAAAGGTATCTTGAAAACGAATCGCACGCCGTTTAGAAATTGTCAGGCCACTTTAAAAATGATTTCAAAATTGTTTCCTCAAGAGTCTTTGATAGTCTGCCTAGGTCTAGGATAGGCCGCACAGGGATCAAGAAAACAACTTTTAGATGGGTTTTCAACAGTTTTATGATTTTGCCTTATCCTACGCGTTACGGTAACCTATTTGGCTGTGTCAAATCATTTAATTTTGACTTGCCTGAATCTTGAAACATTTTTTTTGGCTAGATACAGAACACAAATGTGAAACACAAACACATTTCGAAGAGGTCGCTTATGACATTTTTTGCCCGATTCTACTCTTTTCCCACACTCCCACGTGCCCGGAAGAGAAATCTCACTTGCGAACGCTTCAAAAAAAAGCAAGCACCGTCAGGTACATCCACCGATTTTTGGCCCCAAAGGTGTTGCGAAACCGCCTGTGGCGACCACGGATTTTCAAAGAACCCGGCGTCCAAATTGAAAGGAAACGATCTGGTTTCCGTTTCATTCCGCATTCCCTCCGGATTCGCTGTACCCCGGCCTGGATCTGTACTTTTCTAAAGGCCCCCGAATCGCCGAAAATCGGCTGATTTTTGGCCTCGCCCCAAAAAAATGGGGCGGGTCCCGCAGCGGGGGTTTACTGGGGGGGGGTGAATAGTCGGGGTGAGGTGGTGTTGGCGAGTTCCGGATCCGGTTACAACCACCGGCAAAAGAGGGTGAGATGGGGTCGTGGAAGGAATAGCCGGAAGAAGCACTGATCTGTCAGCACTGATCGGAAAACGAGTAGCGAAAAGAAGCGAGAACGGGGAGCGGAAGTTAGTGTGTTGCAGTTGAAAGCAGAGAACGGGAACGAAATGGAGAACCTATCAGAAGAGGTACAAAATCCGGACTGGAAATGTCCTGTGGTCAACAACGGACTTTGAAGCGTAAACAGTCAGCTTTCTACCAAATTCAGCCACTTCCTAACCGAGTTTGCAACCACCTCGCCTATCGCTTACTCGGCACAATTTTAAAGCTGCTAAAAGGATTTCGCAGTGCGTAAATTCATTCATGTCAATTTTTTACTTAATTTGCTGAAATTCCGAAACGGCTATGAGATATACTGCCTTGAAAAATCGAGGTAACCGCGTGGTTAGTAACTGCAATTCCTTATTTGAATTATTTTGCAAAACATCTTCTGATCACCTTCTGATCTTTTCTGCATTGAAAACACGTGTTTTCCAGTGGGATATCGGAAAAATTCATGTTTAATCTTAGCATAAACGGTTCACAAAACAGCTCTTGTTTTTGGGGGTCAATAGGCAATAGCAGCTATGCAAGCAAAAACACGCCCATCATCCGTGCTAAATTTAGTTGCAAGCAGCCGCCAAGCGCGCTATAAAAGGCTTACAAGAGCAACACTAAAAGCATCTGATTTAATTAGTATCTTCGGTAGGCTCTCTAATATCTAGTGTTCTTAAGCGTTCACTTCTGCCGTTGTATGCAGCCTGATGCAATCTAGCCGAGGTTTTTGAGGAAGCCTTTAGGTCGCAAGAAATTAGCTATTGATTTTTTGATTCCTGATTTTTTTCTGTCAAGTTCACCGCTGCAGAGAGCGCGCGTCGCGCATCACCTGCGCAGCGCGATAATAGTGAATCCACTATCAAGGAAATTTATCTGCCATCCCCTCAGCTTCACTTCAAGGAGGAGGCTTTGAAACCACAATGGCAAACTTTTAACAGCCTCATACGCGATTTCCGAAACTATACGCACGCACTTTTCGGAGGAATGCAACCTCAACCCCTTGCGGAATTCCTCAATTTCCCACGCCCACCCTTCCTCCTTTAAAGTCTTTAAGAAACTTTGCACCTTGGTGTGCCGAACGCACTATTTTTTGCCACTTCCCCCGAACTCCAGGGCCCGGATCCCCGAAACCGCAACCCCCAGCCAATCGCCGCCGGCCCAGGTGGTCGCAATGTGTTTTGTTCAGTTTTCCCCCGCCTGGCTGCGGCTGTAGAGTCTATTCTTGGTCGACCGTTCGGAGTCCTGGCGCTAGAATTCAAAAACCACGCACCCCGGGGGCGTAAATCGACGCGCCTCCGCCCTCCATTTGCGAACTGGAGAACGTTCGAAAGAATGCGCCTGCGCGCGGCGCGCGGGCCATTCCATCCATTCCGCGGTTCTCCAAAGGTTCGGAAGCAACACGCACATGTTGAAGATGATCCCGGTGTTTTTGGAGCGGCTATTTTGCCTTGGCTTTCACCCAATTCCTCGAGGATGGCCAGCGTAAACACTTGGAAAACTAGCGCGAGGTTTCGTTTGCATTTGCATGTGTTGCGACTAGAGCATTTTGGACACTAGAGTGTATTTTTTGTGATCCTTGGTGTGATCATGAGTGATGATCTTTCTGATGGTAGTAGGCGATGGTATCCAGTCAATAAAAATTCAAACACCGAACTTAAAAAAACGCTTCGCGGCTTTTGAAGCCTGGCCCCGTATAGGATCTATAAAAATTATATAGAAGCAGCGTAAAAAGCAGGGCGTCTGTCCCTTTATGAAGCCAATCGCGCTTTCACTCTAGTCTAATTGCCTACTAGCAAGGCGGTCTGGACGAGATTTTTACCCGTAAAGTTTCGTAAAATTCGCGTATTCCTGCACAAGATTCCAAACCAGTATCACCTAATGACGTTTCTTTCCTATCCAAAAAGCCCTTCGTTAAGACTCTAGGTGCCGAACAACCTTACCAGAGTGCGCATGCAAATGCATACACAAACACAATTCTTTACATTAGGGAAACATTTTAATCGACGTAAATTCGTTTTTTGCGTCGTCGGTATTTGTCGATTCTAGGCCTCAAAAGTAGTCCATTTTACGGGCTTTTAGTTACTTAGTTCGCATTGATTCTTCTGTGTTACCGTACCCCTGCCGTAGTGGAAGTAGCGCTAAAAATTAAGACTTCTCTTCACGAGATATATTTATCTTGGATCGCCTCCTAGCCGATTCACGGAATTTTATGTCTACAGCGTCAATTTAATGCAATTTAATAAAGTGCATGGACCCTCCCGAGGACCGCTGTTGCTTACTTATGGCTAGACTTTATCTTACCCACAATTTTTTGTAGACCCCGGCTATGTGGTCGGGATTTTCGCTCCGCCATTCGATAGACCATCAAAAAATATACTAAGAGTTTTCATTGCGGTCCGAAATAAGGTAAAATAAAAAAGCTATATAGCTAAAAATATTTGTTGAACCACCGGCTGGGGGGTATAGTAAAGCTTTACCCTAATTATTCCTCTTCAAACATCCTAATTTTTACCGGTTATTGCCCTGACTATGCTGAAACTTCCAAATTCCTCCCAGCGACCGTAATCCGAAAAAGGTAGCGGCCGCACCTTTGTGGCTTTTTTGGCGTTGGGCCGTGTGGATGAGCCTATAGAATGGGGGGATGGTGTTGACCGATCGACTTATTTGGCGCGAGAAAGCCGATACTCCCGAGATCACGGTCTCCAGCTGAAGACACCCACACCCCCTCCCGACCCCCAGAATAACGCACCTCATTTTCACCTCCAGCTCTTTGTTCGGCCGGGAAGCTTTTGGTGCGTTTGGAAGTTGCGATTTAGTTTCGAAACTGAGAACACATTTTAATTGAATTTAGCGGCAAAAGCGAATTTGGTTATTTCTCATGGCTGCCGCTATAACCGTTGCCATTTGCCTACGTTTTGGGACTTTTTAAAGTTCCATGCGGAACTGGAATGCAGCTCAACTAGCCCCGGAAGGGCTCTGTAATGGATTCCTGCTGGCCGCCCTTTCCTTGTCCTTCCCAGGGGCAAGCAAACATTGACACCTTTAAGACTACCTGTCGCATACCGTAACCCCGACTACTGACTTTGCCTTTTGGCATAATTCCACTCCCGAAGCGTCAATGTAGTCTTGTCGCTGTTGAGGTCAATATCAACGTCGCTTAGGATAAGGACTGCATCTGTTGAAGCCCCCCTTGGGCAGAGGACTTAAATTTTTTGGCAAATAGCCGACGGCGTGAGAGACCCAAGCGTGAAGCGCACGGACCCCCTTTCCCCGTGTGACCGATTGATTTCTGCTGACCACACCCCTTTAAATAACATGAAAAGTTACTGTTTTTGTCATCCTTGCCAAAGTGACAACCATCTCTATTCCTTTCCTCATTTTCTATTTTTTTTCGCTCTCATTCGATTCTATTCTTTGCGTTTTGCTAAAGTTGCTACCACATTATATGCAACAATCCAAAATACTCCAAAATCTAGAAAGTGTCGCTGTCAAAGATACTGTATCTGAACCAGAGTGCCTGTGCGCACTTCGAGAACGTGCGCCGATTCTCGCCCTTGCTGGTGCCTTTAAGTTTGACAGCGCCGATATCACAATTTTCTAAAATAGGCCTAAATCTTCCATTAATTATATTATCTCTGGCATCCTTGCATGAATATTGTTTTGTTCGATTGTCTCGATGATCCTTTGTCAGTTTCTGTGTCGACCGCGAAGCTCTATCCCGAGGCATGTCATGTCGGCCATCCCCCGAAGTAGCGACAATGTCGTTAATGTATCGTTAACGTCATCAAAGCCATAGTTTGTAGTGGTCTAGAAGTTTCTTTGTCACCCGCGTTCCCCCAAAATAGGCCCTCAAGCGCGCGAATAGCCCGCTTCTCCCCGGGCTCGGCTTTGCAAAAAACAACACCAGACACCTTCCGTGGAATCGTTCTGTCTCTCGCTCTCTCTTTCTCTCTTTCTCTCTCTCTCTCTCTCTCTCTCTCTCTCTCTCTCGTCCTCCTCCTCCGCATCCTCATACTTCAGGTTCAATCCGGCCAAGTCGGCTTGGGAAAGAAGCCGAAAAGAAAAACAGGGGGATCCCTTTAGTCGCAAAAAGGCGAAGAACGCCCAGGGGTCCCCTGGAGAAACAGAACAAATATATCGAATGACCCCCGTTTAGAGGAGCCGGGCGAAACGAGCCACCCAGGAACAGGGATCCCCGGGGATTGGGACAAGGATCCGGGTGTGACTTGGGGCCCAGATTTGGGATTTTTGAGGCCGAACCGTGTGCGGATGGTTGGTGCTAAACTTGGGGTCCAGGCTTGGCGCGGCGTGGATTTTTTGCGAAGTTCCGAAGAAATTCAAAGAAGGACTTGTGTTAGGAGATTGGCTAGTCGAGGCTCTACCTATCGCATTCCATAGCAGCCGAGTTTAGATTTTTTGGAAAAAACCCAGTCGAGCGTACTGTACTAGCGTTTATGAATGCCTACATCATTTCAAAACATCTTTTTCCATGACCCTAGCAAGAGATAAGCTTCTTCTACAAAATTTCAATGGGCACCAAGTGATTATTTTTGTAAAAATTTGCAAGTTATGGTCGTTATAATAACCTGGATATCTCGATGGCCAAAAGGAAAGACGCCAGATACGACCCTTCCCGCACACAGCTACTTCGACAGCTACGGACGCGCCAACAGGCGTTAGGCTAGCGCTTCAAAGCAACAGGGGTGTGCACGTTTTGAGTCCGGGTAAAATAAAATGCGGCTTTTGGCGTATTTTGGAATGGCGCGTAACAAGACCTAGTCAACGAAACGCGTCGAATTTGTCACTTTTTTTTAAGAGTAGTTAGTTTTGGTTTTTTAAGAGTACCTAGTTTAACTATCAGATTTGGCCGCTTAGCCGCTTTTTTTGGTGGCGGGATATCTTCATAGATTTATTAATCTGGTCATTTGGTAGACCTTGAAAACAAATGCGAAATCAGCGCAAAATTCTGCAGCAGGCAAGCTTGGTTCCGTGCGAAAATGTGATTGGCTCCCAGAAACATTGCCTTGTTTTATATGATGGCGCCGTATGCCCCCTTTTCATTAATTAAATCTAACAAATCTACTTCTGGAATTCCGCAGCCAAACAGCCTCCGACTCCAAGGTTCACCGTCTGAACCCTGTACAGGGGGGGTCGTTCGACACACGTCTCCTTCGAACAGGGGCCTAATTGAGAGGAAGAGAGCTCAAACACTCATAACCAGTCACGGACCCTTGTCCCGACACCCACTTCAACAATACTGATAGCCCGAGGGGATAGGGGTGGATGGGGGAGACTCCCAACAATCTGTTCCCGGTGTACATAGTTGCATTTCGGAAGCGGCTTGAGCCCTGCACGAGCAAGCACTGTTGCGTTAGATTTTCAAAAAAAGTTTCTCTCCAATCCTGCCCCTCTGGCTACTGTAGCACCGTCTTATCTTGATGCTTATGCTGTTTTGTAGATCGGAAGTCATGCCGGGCTGGTCTTACTAGAATTTTCTTCCGGATCGGTTTGCACAAAATTGTTTAAAAAATGTATTACGTCACACCCACCGCAGCTTAAGAGATCCCGGTGTAGCCACACGTAATCTTTCGTAGCTTAGGGCAGCCTCGCATAGTCTTGTATAGCCTTGCGTAGCCTTGCGTAGCCTTGTGTAGCCTTGTGTAGCCTTGTGTAGCCTTGTGTAGCCTTGTGTAGCCTTGCGTATCCTTGTGTAGCCTTGTGTAGCCTTGCGTAGCCATGTGTAGCCATGCCTAGCTACCCGTAGCCTCGCGTGGCCCGGCTTAGCGTACGTAGCTTAGTCAGTCTGTCTCAGCCGTCTCCTGTCATAGTTAGAAGGGCTTGACCATTGCACTTGATGTGACGCGCTGAAGCGACTACCCGGAATTTTCCGGGGTTGGTATTGTTATATTCGCGCAAATTTGCCGTAGCGTAACGTATTAAAGTTTTTACCGTCATGGTATCAAACTTCTGCTTGGGTCAATATTTGCGTTTTGCAGTAGTACAGCTACAGTAGTATAGGGCAGCCTACTCGAACGCTGCTGTAGCGTACTGGGAACTTACTAGCTCACTTCAACGCTAGGGCTTTGGTAGCGGCATAAAAACTAGCGTAAATTCCCTGATCCCATTTTAAAATACGCGGAAGCCAAATTCCCATTTTTGCCAGAATTCCAAAACTAGCTTAGCAGCAATGCCCCACCCCACCCCTACCGTACCCCCGTTTCGTTCCGAAACTTTGGCGGGTTGATCCCTGGAACTTTGAGCATTGGGTCAGATGTTCCATTTTATTCCCAGCCAAGTGCCCATAGAAATCCGGGGCGATTCACCCCCAAGGGGCCGGATCCGGAATTCGATACCCCCTTGTCGACCCGGCCGTTCATTCTTCCGCAAAACCTCCCCTCTTCTTCCGCTTCTTCCTCTGTCTGTGGCTCGCTCTGTCTCGCTCTCTCTCTCTCTCTCTTTCTCTCTCTTTCTCGCTTCGGTTCGAGCGTCTGTACGCCCCGAAACAACGAACCCATCCAGTGGGCAAGGCAGAAACAGCACACCCCCGCAAACGACCACAGGTCGCGCCAAGGACCTCATTATTGGCGGAATTGAATTTTATCCGACCTGCAATTCCTTAGACGCCTATTTGAAGAGCTGAGCTGTCCTGACATTACGTTTCATCGTGCTAGGTTCATGCGGTTTTTGCCGGCTAAGCCACTTAAGACAAGTTTATAAGGAGACGTTTTTAGTGTCCTTGGTGCTCTCAGTGGGAATCAAGCCTGTAGGGTGTAAAATTTTGCACTGATCCCGAATAAGTTTCCCACATGCGCAATCGCGTTTTTCCGCGAGTTCTGAACGACCTAGAACCGAGAAACACTCAAAATCAGCCATTTTTCAAAGTTTTTTTTGTTTTGAAGCGTTTATAACTTTCGAAAAATTGCGACTCTGTAAATTTTAAATTTTTTTGGAGGAGCGATCGGGCGCACAGGCACTTCTGATACCCAATAAACCCGAAATAATTTCGCAAAAATTGATTTAAAGATTTTGTTTGTATGCTTCTGTTTTCCTGCTAAATATTAGATATTTTGGGGTAAGAGTTTACTTTCCTCCCCCCGACAGCCGAAGGGTCTCAAAGTTTTCGGTATTTTCGCTTATTTTGTCGGGATTTTTGCAAAGCCATTCGATAGCGCGTCGAAAAATCTATTAAGAGTTTTAATTTGAGCCTACAGTAATGTAAAATAAAAAAGTTATAGCCAAAAACTTCCGGCTGGGGGGTAAAGTAAACCGTAGCCTTATTTTGGTGATCTTTGGACCTTCTGCTGACTGGACATTTTCTACCCGGTCTTAAAGCGGCTCTGGCAGCACACCGATTACGGCATTTTGGGGACCGGGCAGAGACGCAGAGTTCTGTCTGCGTCTCGCCTCTGGGCGCGCTCTTTCTCTCCCTGCCGCGACGCACCCGACCGCGACGCTTCCACGAATCGTGGAAAAAGGGGCCTGCTGCCAGAGCCCCTTTAAATGGGTTGACAAGGCTAAAGTTACAAAATCCAATACCTTTAAGCTTTTCCTATTCCGAATTTCGTTTCTTGTTCTTCATTCCTTGAAACATTCTTGAAAACATTCATCGTTTCAGCCCAAACTACACACGCCTCCAGAATGGGTCTACAGGCACGGGGGAGTTCCCGGTTCCGTCCGAGTACTCTATTCTTGTTTCTGTTGGCCTTTCAGCGGGTGGCCGGCCAGTTGACTGACATCTGCGATCCTTATATTTGTACGTGTTTTCCCCGATTGGGGTTTTGAGGCGAAAGATCAAACCGAAAACGTGACACATTCCGAGAATTTTCTCGAACCATTGCGCAAAATCTTCAAGGAATGGGGCCAGCTTTTTTGTCAAAAAAGTGTCGATCGAGTAAAATGGACAAAATTAAATCTGAGTTTTTGCCTACAGATTCCCTGGAATTTGAAAGCACCCGCAGCACGCGACGCTCCCCGATCCTGTATTGCGTAATTGAATGATTACTAGTAGGGTATTTGGCCGGGTTTGATGCGCGGTGTCGCGGCCAGGCGTGGCGCGCGCCGTGGCTCGCGGGTCAGTTGAGTGCGTGTCGCGTTGAGCGGAGTTGCGGATCGTTGCACTGGAGGGCCAGTGCGCGTTGGGTCTCGCGGGCGAGCCGAGTGTGCGTTGCGTGTCGCTGCCAACGCTGAGGCCGTATCGCGCGTTGCGAGGCGAGCCGATGCGCGTTGCGTGTCCCTGCCTAGCGAGTCGCGCGGTGCGTGTCGTGCGTAGCTGGATGTGTGTGAGTGTCCCAGCCAAGTGGATGCGCGTTGCATGTTGCGGGGAGCCTGGTGACAGGCGACGATTCCTAATGATATTTCATTTCAGTCTGCTTCGGCCCGAACCAATGTAACGAGGGCTTCGAGTGCAACTTGCTGACGAATCAATGTTGCGTATTTTTGACTACGACCACTACAACAACAACTACCACTACAACCACTACCACAACTACAACCACGACGACAACAAGTTGGTCCAGGCATGATTGCTGCATGATTTTTACCTTACCTTATAGACACCAAATCGAACCTTGGTGAACACATTATATAGTGTGAATTTGGGTAGCGAGAAATACTAACATTATCTCCATTTAGAGAGCAAAACGTACCTTTCCGTAACTATGGAAACTAGGGAGGAAGAAGAGAGGGCGGGAGAGAGAGAGAGAGAAAGAGAGAGAGGGAGAGAGAGAGATAGAGAACCATAAGTCTATTTTTATCCCCCATTTTCCCCATAGATTTTAGCCCTAGTAACTCGATTTAGCAGCGGACACGACAACAACTACGACAGCAGCCAGTACGCCTTTGATTAGGGTGTGGACTAACCGGATATCCTTGCCTGCCTAACACGAGTTATGCCGATTTACTGTCTGTAAATAAATGTTTTTCTCTAACAAATTTTGCACAGAAGAGAATGTGACTAACACCTAATTACATTTTTCCGCGGCTTCTATCGCTGTTGACTTTTAAAGGAGCTGGCAAGGCATGACAATGGATTTTGCGGTCATGTGGATTTTGCAGCTTGTCCCATTACCTGGAAAATCCATAGTCGCGCTTGCCTGTTCCTTTAGTACCTTGGTACGTAACCGTTATTCGTATTTTTATAGCCACCACGACTACTGAGGCGTGCTACGACAAGGCTTGTAAGTTCTTCTTGTAAGTTTAATAAATACCTTGTGACATTTAGCAACAAACGGCCTGTCGGACTGCGCAAGAAGAGCCTTTCTCTGCAATAGTCCGAACTACTACGCGGTGATGACGGAGGAGTGTGCGCTGACGTGTGGGCGGTGCTCGACTAGTAAGTCAGATCAATAGAAAATAGAAAAAATTGGGAACCCGGTATCCCAAATATGTTTTTGACGAATATTGGAAACTTCAGCTTGCGTGGACGCCGGCTCTAACTGCCTCGCTCAAATCGCGCTCTGCGATCTACCGCAGTACTACAGTATAATGTCGCAGAACTGTGCGCTGACATGTGGAAGGTGTACCGCTACGTCGACAGTTAGTAAGTTACTACCTTAAAGGGCACGTTCAGGGACGTTTTTTTTGGGAAAAAGGCAAAGCGTTTTGCCGCGGCCGGGGGGTCGAACCCGGGCCCCCCGCTCGGGAGGCGCGAATGGATACCAGTCAGCCACAGGTGCAAACTGGTGAAGGGCTGAGGGGCGCCCCACGCCGCAAAGGAGGGAAATGGCCTGTCACAGCACGGGCAGGCAGTGCGCGCGGTCCCTACGTCCATAGGGTGTACACGTTGGACAGAGTATACGGCCCCTCCCTGAACGTGCGCTTTAAAGGGATGAGGCACCCCTTTCCCGCGCCTAATCGATTGAATTATGCCGGCCTTATCTCTTTAACGATACACCCTGTGATCAACGCGATAATTTGTGCGGTCCTAGAATCGAAAATCTATATAAAAAGCTTATATTTTAGCCTGCTCCGACCAAGGCACCGGATGCGCCGAGCGATCATTCCTCTGCTTCGAAAATGGCTACCGTACCCTGATGGAGCTGGAGTGTCCGCTGACCTGCGGTTATTGTTCGATCGTGAGTTCATTTTGCGCTGATAAAGTTAACACCAGCACTCGATTTTTCAACTTAGATTAATTCCGTTCCTTTTTCAGAGCTCGAGCACCGATTTTTCGCTTGAGGCCGCGCTTCAGGTATGGTCTTTTGCAAATAGAACTAAGAAATAGCATTGGAATTCTGGAAAATTCTTATTTTAGTTGATCGCATTTAAAACAATCGGGTTTAGGCTCAGAATTCCGTCCAAACCTATCTGCCATCTTCGGCCCTACAATCTGTTAACAGCATTCTACAATCTGGAGCTATTCAAAAAGCAATCGATACGGCAAATGACATACGAAGTGGAAGTAAGTGTTTTAAATTCCATTTCGTGCCTTCTTTCAAAGCTTAAAATTTGCTGATGCGAAAAAATTTTTTGTCTTTTCTACGCCGCTTAGGTTAATAGCAAATCTGTTTTTTTTGCAGAACTTTCCATCCCCAAAATCGAGATGGTCACCGTGAGCACCTATCAGGTATCGCATAAAAAATCTTTGAAACCGGAATTTTAGGTGAACTGCAGTGGGAAACGTTGCAAGCCGTCGAAAAAGTGGAAAAACGCTACTTCTACCGTAATCCGGAAATTCAAACTAATTTTATGTACCGTTTTCAGGAAATCCTGCACCTCCCCGAGCCGCCTGAAGAATCTTTCCGGGTTGGCGAGCCGGAATTTGGTAAGAATATCTACTTCAACATTAAAAATACTCAAACGATTTTTTTATTTAAGTAAATTTTTTCTAATCCTTAAATATCAATTATTGTTTTCGATGAAAGCTACCTAGCAAGATTTAGGAAATCACGTTCGATATTCCCCAAGTTCTTCGCCAATTTACAACCCAAAAATCATCCCAATTCCGTCAGTATCGCCAGGTATTTCAAGTACCCTAAATCCCAAAATTTTCGTTTTTATATCGCGCTCCCTTCATCCCACCGAATAGCCGGGCATCGACAGAACAGGTTTGTTACTTTTTAGTGAATTTAATCACTTTCTAACCATTTTAGGGCATTTTCCAGCCTTTCCAGCAATTCTTTTCGGTAGGGTTGAGTGAAAAGGACCTCACTTTGATAATTCTAATTATCACAATTCTTAGAAAATACCTTAAAAACCCGTTCCTGAGTTCATTGTCACGGCTCTTTATCGTTTTTCACAAAGATTTTCACGTTTTTACTTATTTCACGATTTGCTTCTTATTTCCGCACTTCACATCAACCAAAAAAAACACCACTCGCAATTACACGAATCTCACTCAGTTAATCCATTTAATAAGCTTTTTTACTTTTGATTTTCAGAACCTCAACATCCCCGCCGTTGCGCCAAACTTCCCGTTGCCTTCCCAGTTGCCAAGCTCGGTTTATGGGCCGCAACCTCAACCATCCATGAACTCCGGAAATTATGGGCCGGTGGTCTCGAATTCGGTTGTGGTGGGTAGAAAATATTAGAACTAGAGAAAATTCACAGAAAAATACAACTCAAATAACGAGAATCGCTGGAGCTTTGTGAGAACTGTGATTACTAGGGTTGGTATCGAAAAGCCTGGTCACTGTAGGTGTGAAACAAGTTCACGAAAGTGCTTATGATTATCCACACACAGACACTTTTTTTTATAAAGTTGGGTTCTGTTCTATTTCGCGTGGGGGAAAAAACTGTGCGGGGGGAATATGCTTCGCGGAACCTTCCATCTTTTCGCTATTTTCTCGGGATTTTTGCAACACCATTCGATAGAGCATCAAAAAATATACTAAGAGTTTTTGTTTTAGCTAAAAATATTGTAATATAAAAAAGTTATAGAGAAAAAAACAAAAAAATATTTTGAAACTGGTTCCGAAATGTTAGTTTTCGGCATTTTCGCCAGTTTTTCGATATTTTGAACCCGTCATTCGATAGAGCATCAAAAAATATACTAAGAGTTTTAATTTCATCTAAAAATATTGTTTTATAAAATAGTTATAGCAAAAACAAGGTTTATTCGGTGTTTCCACATGGGATCTTCCAAATCCAAATTTTCGTACTGTCGACGGTGCGAACAATCTCCAATCGCCCTGTCCGGTCGCTCCCCTCCCTTCCACCCGATATTACAGTATGCTGGGCCTGTGGTCCCCAAAATCACAATCCCCTACTGCCCAACCGCCTCCTTTGAAAAGAGCTGCCACTAATTCGCCTAGTGCGCCTACTCAAGGACCTGAAAGTCCTGACAAGGCCATACATGGATTCATTAGTATCAGTCCGCCCGAAGCTTTCCCTGACCCTACAATTCCACCTACACCCTATTCCTTCGAAAATTCAGACCAATTCATGACGGCATTGATTCTTATTACAAAACTCCGAGAGCAAGGCCAAACTATTCAAGAACTTCATGGGCTGGTTGCTTCAATGAACCAGCAAATTGCTATGCTAAACCAAACGGTCCTCACTCTTCAAACGACGGTCACTGAACTCAAAGAGCGTCCTTCCCTCAAACTACCTACGCTTCGAAGGTTGCTTCCAATCTCCCAACCATCCCTTTGACCGCCATGTTCAAGCAAGTCATTCGGGACGAACAGGCTTCTTCAGAATATGAACGTCAAGTATTCATACGAGGGAATGCCTGAGGGTCTTACGCCCGATAAGGATGCCGTTGTCCAAATCTCTGGACAATCCACGCCCACAAAGGTTTTTCGTCTAGGGGGCGCAAGACTCCCAACTTCCAACGCACCCCGTCCCGTCATTGCTGTCTTCGAGAATCAGACGGAGGCACAGAATTTCCTGAAAACGGTCAATACCCCGAAAAACCGCTCGTCGGGACTCCAGGCTCGCCCGAACTACTCACCTTCCGACACGCTCTTGTACAAGCAGGCCTGGAAAGAAGCCATCGACAAGAACAACCAAGAGAAGCGAGCGATCTGGACAGTGAGAAACTGCAAAGTTACTCGTCGCCAATATCCTCAGGGCATGGAACCATCCCCATGGACAGTTCGCCCAATCAAAAATTCAACTTAATCCAGCTACTTCTACGTCCCATTCGCTCCATACGCTACTTATTAATTCCTGCTTGCTCTACCCTAATATCTCTAGTCTAAATGCCCTTCTATTATTCAACCATTACGATTTTCTTCCTGGGCTCATTGAATCGCCGACCATCGCTGAGCCTTTCAGCGTTCACCAGTCAATCGATTTCTATATTTTGCTTAGTCACCATCGGCCCATTCCCCTCCCCCACAGGCTAAGAGATTTCCTCCGTGCCTCCTTTGAAGAAATAAACCGGCGAATAGCGGGGACCAATCGGAACACTATCGCAGAAGAAATTCGAAGAACATCTATTCGCTAATTTTGTGCCCTGGGTGTCTTGCTATGCGATGACTTCAGCTGCTCGCCAAATGTGGTAGAGGTGACAAATAAAGCAGTTCGCTGCTCTTTTATATTTAAAAAGAAATTTTTCATGGCAAAATTCCAAATTTCTGCTCTAGAAACAATTCAGCAAGACTTCGCTCGACGTGTATGCTACCGGTCGCGTAGGTCTCCTATTGTTCGGCATGTACTCAATCCAATCTCGAACCATTGAACCATAGGAGAACCGCGGACTTTCTTTTTATTTTTCTTTCACAAGATTCCTTCTCATATGTCTGAAAATACTTTCTTTAATGCTGCCCCTCTAGAACCCGTGGTCCTAAAACCAAAACCAAAATCAGCCCTATACTTGCTCAAAAAAACCTCTGTCAAAAGCTTTCTTCTCCTCTCGCGTAGATGCTCCCTTAAATTCTTGTCCCCAAACTGCCATTATATTCCGTCTAAAGTCTTTAAAAATCATCTTTCCCGACTTATCCACATCTCCTATCTACTAATGGTGTTCTCGTCATTCTACTCTTCTATTCCATTCCCCCTCTTTCACATCTTCATAATATTTACAATTAATCATAATTTTCCCCTTATTTATCTATCCTCTCCACCACTCTATTTACACCTGATTCCTCACACTGTAAGAGTTGACTTTGTGAACCTTGTGTTGAGAATAAATATTATTATCTCAAAAAAAAATATTGTAATATAAAAAAGTTATAGAGAAAAAAACAAAAAAATATTGAAACTGGTTCCGAAATGTTAGTTTTCGGCATTTTCGCCAGTTTTTCGATATTTTGAACCCGTCATTCGATAGAGCATCAAAAAATATACTAAGAGTTTTAATTTCATCTAAAAATATTGTTTTATAAAATAGTTATAGCAAAAACAAGGTTTATTCGGTGTTTCCACATGGGATCGTGGCGTCGAAAGCTATTTTTCGACATTTTCGATAACTTTCAAAAATTTCTTTAATGCCATTCGATAGAGCGTCAAAAAATATACTAAGAGTTTTAATTACAACTCAAAATAGCATCATGTAAAAGAGTTATAAAAAAACGAAGAAAATTTCCCCCCGCACAGTTTTTTCCCCCACGCGAAATAGAACAGAACCTAAAGCTGTATTTACGACAAAAAAATGCTAAAATCGTCCAAAAGACTTCAAACCGGCGGCCTGGGGTCGACAGTCCCTTTCTTCAACCCTCCCCCTCTTCCCACACTTGCCGCCCGGTTAGCTCAGTCGGTAGAGCACCAGACTCTTAATCTGGTTGTCGCGGGTTCGAGCCCCGCATTGGGCTTACTTTTTGCTTTTTGCGTTAGAATTTCGGACCAATATCCTACAGTGGCTTTTTGAACTATTTTTGCTCTGTTCATTCGCAAAACTTCACTAGAGTGTTTCTGTTACATCTATAACGTCCTAAAAAAATTCTAGGTCCATCCTCCTGCCGCAACGCCATCGCCTACCGGTGCTGAATATGTGCCTAGCGCCGGCGAGATTCAGATTAGTCAGGTGGGTCTAACAATAAGCGAAGAAAACCGGAAACCTCTGAGCATTTCTTCGACTTCCGGTCATTTTAGGCCCTGCAAACACTCTCGCTCAACCCGATCCTAACGCTTTCACAACTGCTCGTCGGCGTTGGCAAGAATATGCAGCGGATGCAAGGGCCGGGTAGTAGGTGTGTATTTATTTGTAAGTCCGTCCATTTTTGTAGTTTTTCGATCGTTGTCATCCATTATTTTTAGCCCAACCCAACCACCAGCTTCAAATACTTACATCTCAAACCCGAACAGCCCGTTTTTCGGACCCAGAAGGGCGAGAAACATGCGAAATGGCGAGATCAGCGACAAGAGCCGAGAGATACTCCGCAGTAGAGTGGTGAGTGTTTAATTGAGAACAAAATAAAGTAGAACGAGAGCGCGGGAGGGAGAGAGAGAGAGAGAGAGAGAGAGAGAGAGAGAGAGAGAATGAGAGTGAGAGAGAGGGAGAGGGAGGGAGATACTAGGAAACCCACATTTCAGGAAGCGCTACGAGCAACTGAAGGCGAAACAACGGCTGTCAAAAAGTTATCTGGCTTCCTGGCTGCGATTCGGCCGGAAGAAGAGTCTAAATTGACGCTCGTCGAGCCGGAAGAAGCTACGGTTAGGAAAAAAAATATTGATCTCTTAGGATTTTTGAAAAATTAAGTTAGTCGTCGTCGTCTAGGCAAATTAGCGTTATTGATTTCATTTTATTTTATTTTTAGACTCATCTGCAGCCGACTCAGCTTTTTGCCACCGGCAAGAGCATCACGGCAGAGGTAAAAGTCATTGCAATTGTGTCGTTTGCCCTGATTAACTATATTGCTAGTAAAAATCAATGAAAATTGTCAATGCCAGCTCCAACAGCTTGCTTTTTCAGACCGACCCGGTCCCTGGGACAAGTCGCCGAAGCCGAAATCGTAGCCAAAAGCAGCTGGAAGACACCATGTTGCTGTTCAATGAAAATGCATGATTTTCATGAATGCGTCACGCCATCCAATGACATAACTATCATATTTTGTGTTAGGATTGAATTACCAACAATTTCCCGAATTTCTTTCCCACCCTACGGGCCTTCTCCTCCCTATTTTTTCGTGCTTTCAAAAAAAGATTCCTTTCCCCCAAAACTTCTTCTGTGTTCCACCGACGGGTTCGACGACTTTCCTACGGCACTCTTTTCTGCAATAAATAAATAATTTCAGTTTTTTGATGCCATACTTTTTATGTTAAACATTTATTAATACACGAATTTAATTGAAGAATTTATTTCTTGTCGTTATTGTTGTTGTTCTCGTTCAGCCGGGCCAACATTTTAGCAGGGACATCCTGGCCGAACGTGCTAAAAATCTATGGGTTTTGGGCTACACGATTGGGCTTGAAAATCGTGAACTAGGTGGCTTCAAAATTTGCAATAATTAGGCGCCAATTCTCATTTTAAATTAATTTTTCGCAACTCCTTACTAGGTCCAGGAGACGACAATATGGGTCCAGGGGCGTAGCCAGAAAAAAATTTCGGGGGGGGCCCCGAAAAATTTTTTCCGAAAAACTCAAACAATTAAAAAGAAAACAGCGCCGCAGGCAAAAAAATTTAGAAACAAGGCTATGTAGCTCTACAAATAGTCGTAAAAACGTGAAAAAATAGCGCCGCAGGCAGCAAAATTTTTGAGAAAATAAAAATCATAAGGGTCCCCCCTTATGAAATTTTCGGGCCCCGGCCGATTTCGGGGGGGGCACCGGGCCCAGGGGGCCCACCTTACGCTACGTCCCTGTATGGGTCCCAGGCTCGGCCTGCTCGAAAAGCAGCTTTTCGAATTCGGCGGGATCGCGAGTTGACTGAAAAAGGTATTATTTTAAACGGAAAATCCAATTATTTTTTTCGAAGTGTATAGGCAATAACAAATAATAAATTCAAAATAACTTAACTCCACAACTTAATTAAAAAAGAGCTGTAGTTTCAAGAATTACGTCTCAGGAAAACAAAATATTTTTCGATTGAAAGTATCATTTCAAGTTTACCTGAACTTTTGGCCGCATGAACTCGGCGAATTGCTCGGCCGGATAGCCAGCCACTTTGTCTCGGTTGGCATATAAAACGACGGCATCTACATACGTGGATGCGTTGATCAGTCCATCGCGGTAGAGGGGACCCCAGCTGTAATGTATGACTTTGGTATGATCAGTAAATTTTAAGCAAAACTTAAGCTAAGCTAAGCCTAAGCTAAGCCTAAGCTAAGACTAAGCTAAGCATAGGCTAAGCATAGGCTAAACCTAAGCTAAGCCTAAGCTACGCCTAAGTTAAGCGAAGCTAGGCCTAAGCCAAGTCTTGGCCGAGCCTAAGCCAAGCCCAAGCCACGCCGAAGCCAAGCCTAGGCTAAGCCTATGCTAAGCCTAAACTAAACCTTAGCTACACCTAAGCTAAGCCTAACCACCCACTTCAATTGCCAATGCAGCGGGATCCCAGCCACGATTCTAGCCTTGGGGCCGACGTGCTGACGCAGGGCTTTTAGAGTGGCGGTGACAGAAGTCGGGTGATAGCCATAGTCACGCCAGATTGAGATGCCGTTGCTGGTGCCGATCTGAACACCATATACAATTGAGATTTGCAAAACTTATCTAGAAAATGAAATTCTAGATTTTTCGATCCAAAATTCTGATGAAAGTAATAAATTTTGTGTAATTGATGATTAATTAATGTAGTTAATGTAATTACTGAAAATAAATGATTGTAATTAAAGGTAAAATTAAAAAGAAAAGTTGCAAAGAAAAGCAAAAGAAAAAGTCGTAAAAGAAAAACAAGCAAATACCCTTACCTTAGTCAATCGATCGGCGGCCCCTCTGAAGCAGGACAGCGCTTTTGCGGCTGTGAATGTGCTAAAACATTTGATTTTTTAGGCTGCTCTTTCAGATTTTAGTTTTTAATTACCATTTTTATTGCTTAAACTTACTCAACGCCCACGTGTTCAGCTGCGGCAATGGCAGCCAAACCGTTATTCATATTATGCTGTCCTAGCATTGACCATTCCACTTCCGCGCTTTCCTTGCCATCGATAAGCACCGTGAATTTGGAGAAGTCTTCTTTTAAGGCCTTTCCGGTATACCTACAAATAAATTAATTGTTGTAATTGTAAGGACTTTTGTAAACGCCTAGCTTGATTTATGTAAAAATACCTTTCATCAAACAATAAAACGTTTTTCTATCGAGATTTGATGTATGGCTCTGCTCAGTTTATACAATTTTCCGAAAATTCTTACCCTTCACTCCCAAATTTCTTGGCAGCGCAGTGGATTCCGCGTGCTTCGATGCTTTTCACCGATTCAGAGTTGGCCGGGAATACCAGAAGGCCATCTGAAAATGTTTTACGTAAAAAATTGGAATTAATTTAAGGCGAAAATCGAACCATCTTGCAAAAAAGCATCTTGGCCGCGCCGCGGTTTTGGTCGGGGCACCCTTCTTCTATTCTCTCCCCCTGCCCTCCCTCGCCGCCCGGTTAGCTCAGTCGGTAGAGCACCAGACTCTTAATCTGGTTGTCGCGGGTTCTAGCCCCGCATTGGGCTTACTTTTTGCTTTTTGGGTAAAAAGTTTGTAGAAGCATTCGAGAGTGGAAATCTATCGTTTTTCACATTTGAAAGTGATTGTTGCCCTTTGTTAAGTCGCAAACTGGACTAGAGGATTACTGTTAAGATAAGGCCAGTTTCAAAAAGGTCTTCGGCAATAGGAAACTTTTTAAGGTCAATGCGTTCCAGCAAAAAGGATTATCATCAGATTTACGGAATTTATCAAATTTTACCAAAATCGGATTTATAAAAATAGGAGTTGCAATTAACTTACTAGACGGCACCAGCAGCGTGCAGCTGTGGAAGGCAGCTTCAATCGCTTCCAAATTAGCATATACGGAATTGTGGTCCTCTTCGACGTTGTTGATGATCAACTGAAGGTATTTGCATTCTCAAAAAGCCATATTTTACAGTTTTCGGGCGGTAGTGCACAAATTTCGGCCTGGGGTCCCAGAACGACGTCTTGTACTCGTCGGCCTCGATCACAAAGTAGGGTGATGCGTCGGTGAAGTGGAAAGAAGTGCCGAGGCTCTCGGCTACGCCTCCTGAGATTGGATGTAGATGTCGGAATTAATTGGGCAACCTATTAAGTAAGAAGGCTGTTTGCCGGCCTCTTTCAGAATGTGGGCCAGCATGCTGGCCGTGGTCGTCTTGCCGTGCGTGCCCGAGACGCCCAGCACCCATTTGTCACTAAAAATCGGCTGTTTCATTGGTGGTTTTATCAAAAGTTTCTGTAATTAGAAGCAGACAGGCTTGAAGAGATTATTGAGGAGAAATGTTCTATACTTAAAAATCGGCAGACGGAGAGCTTTTTTCCGAGTATACCCCCGATGGGAGCAGACAAGCTAGCAGTGTCTTTTGAGGAAAAGACGTGAGCTTTCGCGCTAAGTTATTTAATTATTGTCCAAAATGGGCAAGCTCGCATTGATTTTTGTGGAAAACGTAGACAAATACTTTATACCTAATACCCATCTACAATATTACTTAAAGTATACCTAATAAAGTGTTGCTTACCGTAAAATATATTCACCAATAAAGGCCGCCGCCGAGATGTAGCGAATGCCGCTGGCCAGGATTTGCTCCACGATCGCCTCGCCCCGTATGTGGGTGGTGCCGATTAGGATCAAATCCGGGGCAAAGTTCTCAATATCGGAAAAGTTGTAGCCCTGAAAACAGTAGGTTTGACTAAATAACAAGTGTAATAAGTACATTTTTTATGATTATGGTATTAAACCATAAGTATATCGATTTTCCAGTAAGCTTAAGGTATACCAATGATATTTCGATGCCTTGCTCCTCCAGCATCGGGGCGACGGGCGGGTTCTTTCGCCAATCACATCCTCGCACTTCGATGCCCTTTTTCCTGAAAATGACTGAAGTAATATTCTTTAGCAGGCTAGCGGGGATTCTTTGAGGGCACATGCTGCTTGTTAAAGGGCACGTTCAGGGGCGTTTTTTGGAAAAAAAGCAAAGGTTTTTGCCGCGGCCGGGGGTCGAACCCGGGCCTCCCGATCGGGAGACGCGGTCGCATACCAGTCAGCCACAGGTGCAACCTGGCGAGGGGGCGAGGGGCGCCCGACGCCGCAAAGGAGGGGAATGGAATGGCCTGTCACAGCACGGGCAGGCCGTGCGTGCGATCCCTACGTCCATAGGGTGTACACGTTGGGACGAGTACACGGCCCCTCCCTGAACGTGCGCTTTAAAGAGTCTTTTTAAGGGACCAGGAAGCGCCAGAGTCGACCCCTTACGCCAAATGGGTCGTGGCACCTCTAACGTGCGCTAAAAAAACAGCCTTAATAAACAGTACAGATCAACGGCAAAACGGGAAAATTAGCTTCCCCGTTAAAAAAAATCGGAGTTTTCGGGAGTATTTTTCGCTTTGTGATCCTAAAAACCCACTTGGCAAAAATGGCAATCGACCCGGTCAGCCGGCCGCATATTCCGAGAATGTACAGTTTCCTGAGACTAGAATCCATTTTCCGAGGTGGTGGTCCGATCGCTCTTGATAGCTGTGAAGGTTTCCGTGTCAGTTTCGTAGCTATTTATCCCCGGCTAGCCCCAATCAAGGTCAGCGCGACCGGGGGCCAGACTGAGGCGTTCGCAAAAGTAGCGCTAGCGCGTTTTTCTGCTCAGCTCGGGGATGATGTGGATAGATAGATATGGTCGGGGGAAGCCACCAGCCATGTCATGGCAGCTCTCGCAAAAAAATTCGCGAGGGTACCTCCATTTTTTGGCAAATTTGGCTGCAAGCGGAAAAAAGCGTTCCGGCTCCTGGAACGCAACATTCTTCGAGATAACATCTTAACGACGCCGGAGAAGGCGCAAAAAAATGGTGTATCTTGAACAAGGTCAAGTCGGCTATCTGAAATTCAACTGAAAGATCAAAAGAAACCATCAAAAAGTGTGTTTCGGCCTCTGGAGATCGCAACACTGCATCGCGAGCGATACCATCTTTGGGAGCGACCTCAAGACACAGTACCCTCGCAACACAGAAAAATTGCTGTGTTTTCAGCGGCGTTGTGTAGATACCATGACAACGACTCGAAAGAACTATCAAAAAAATGTGTTTCGGCCTCTAGATATTGTCACGCTACTCGAGATTATATTTTCAAACGCGACGCCACAGAAATATCATGAAGGTGGCTCGAATGAACTATCAAAAAGTGTGCTTCGCATCTGCGAGGTACCTTATAAAAAGGGTGGTAGGGAGTGTTTTTCATTTTTTTTGTTTTCGGCATGAATTATGCAAAATCAATACTTTCTGAGGTCCTAGACGGGGCCAGGGTGGAAAAGCCGCGAAGCGGTTTTTCAACCCTGGTGGTATCGCTAGGACTGAAAAGATTCGGGTATAGGAGCACAGGGAGATTAGATGCGTCTTTAAAAAAGATCATGAAACAGGTTCAAGCTCCAAAAAACTAGCGATATTGATGCTCGATTTGACGGAAAAATCTCAATACTTTTAAAAAGTGGTTTAATGCGCAGTTAATGTACTCAAGCATCATTGGAAAAAAAATCTAAAATTTGATTTAGCTTCTGCTGGAAGCTATCCAAAAATCGAGAAGCCAGATCACATTCTAGCCCAAAAATCGGTCTTTTTTGTGTGATTATCAAGAGGGAAACGGTACTACAGGCTTTTCAGACAGAAAAATTTAATTTGCGAGGATTTCAAATCGTTTTTATCCTCTTTTTCTTCTCGATTTCGTCATGCCCACAAGTTTTTCAAAACCAAACAGCATGTTGATTACTGTTTTTTGATGTTCGCAAGCCGGCGTAGGTATTGTTTGCATTGCTGTATAATCATGTTAGCTAACCTGTCAAATCCGACTGGCAAATAATGCTTTTCCAATCACAGCAGTATCGCAGATAGCAAAACACCCCTGCTCACCTAACCCCAGGTTATTTACCTCGTAATTACGGCTATTTTCTAGATAAAACTTGCAAAGTAACAAATCCTTCTTCTTTACGCCGGAATTACGATCTTTTCCACGTCAGACGGCGATCTAATAACTAGTCTAGTTTCTCTATAGAGGAGTTATACTAGTTATTCGACCAATACATAAGGAAATTACGGCGCTTTTTACTACCATTAATGTCGTAACTTGCGGCAGGCCTTGTCATTTCCGGAGACAACTTATTGACAGAACGAGCCCCCAGGGCAGCATATCGTAGCCTGGGGCTAAACAATTTTCCGGTTGACCTAGATAACAAAAGATTGGCGGTGGCAACCAAAACATTCACATTTTCAGATCATTTTTTACCCCCCAACACTACTCGCCAGCCTCCTCCAAAATAATGTTCGACATCTTCACCGCCAGTGCCCGGACGCCGTGAGTTTGGTTTTTTTTTTCACGTTTTTACCGCCGTATCGAAAGTTTTGAAACGTGTTGTAAGACTTTCGGTTTTCTTTTTAAGTTCTTTAGTTTTTTAAGGTGGTTTACGAAAGAATTGCTACGGCTTTTACTTCAATATGGTTCAGTTTTGCTTTTTATCTTACTTTTCCCTGCTTTTAGAGCTCTATCGAAAGTAGTGAGAGGTTTTTACGGTTTTTGGTTGCTGTATGGTTTAGTTTTGGTCCCTATCTTAGTTTTCCACGTTTTAGAGCTCTATCAAATGTATTTATGAATTTTCACGCTTTAGAGCCTTACTGGATTCTATTTTCCAACTTTCCCGGAAGTTCTATGACGTTTATTACATTTTTCGTTTTCCAGCACCTACATCTCGTTCGTGCAGCCTCAACCGGATGGAGTTTCCCTCAGAAGTTGTCTGCCATACGCCGAAAACTATGCCTACTACAAAATGCCGAACATTGACTGCGGGATCGCCAACGTGGAGGAGGTATCTTTATTAGATCGGCTTTTCTAACGTTGAATTTTCGTTTTTCGCTCTTTTTAGGTAATTTTTGTCCGTTCAAAATTGTCACGTCTAGGGTTTTTTAGCCACGCATTTTATCGTGTTTTGCCTCGCAAACTTTAAGTTTTATTCATTCACCTTCCTGCAACTGTTTTACAACTAGAAAATACAACTTTTCCAGGAGCTCACAGCGATGGCACAACTTCTCGATAAGAATGAGGACAACTTTGACGCCCTTTCTGAGCACAGCTCCATGCACTCTGTCATCACCACGAAGACGTCGTCGTCAAGGCTGAACAGCTCGCTGACAAAACTCCGGAATACCATCCAAAAGCGGTGCAGGTTCAGTGTTTTGAGTTTTGCCTAAATTTTTATTCATAGTTTCAACCAAGGGAACGCCTCCAAATTCCCGACCTTCTCGCGGCGGCAACAGTTCAAGCTGCACCCTTTCGACGTTGCTTCACCGGAAAAGGTGAGATAGTCGTGGCGTTGAGTTCAGGAAATACATCGTTTTGAAATACAAAAGATTTCCTTATTTTCATTGCAAAAATTCAAAAAACGCCGGTTTTTCGACTTAAAATTTAAGAAGTTCTTTAGATCTTTACTAAAAGCCTTTTCTTTGCGTATTATCCTTATTTAGGCAGGCAAAACTATTTGTTTTGCGGCAAAAACAGCCAATTTTGATCAAAATTTCTACGTTGTATAGGGTTTCGTAATCACCTTTTCCACTAGCTATATTTTTACCAAAAAAATACGAAAAATACGAAAACATACGAAAAAAATAACCCTATACGAAAAAATTCGGCTCTGCTATTTTATAAAAATATAGATCTTTCCGTCCATGTATAACGTTGGCGTTTTCAGGAAAACTACCGCCCGCTCGAAGCGCTCAAGCAGTCGCAAGAAGTTTCCAGTCCGCGGGTCCTCGTCGTCAAGCGCCATTCGATGTGCGAGAAGAGCTTCCGGAAGCGCGTGCTGCAGCGCCGCGAAACTGAGCTCGAGGAGCGTGATCGGAGGGTTTGTTTATCTATTTTGATAAGTTTAATCGTCATTTTTTTCAGAAATACCAGAACCGAATGCTGCTGAAAGAGCGCCTCGTTGACTACGTCGAGCTGCGCGGCCAGAGCATCGATTTGCCGTCGTACGCCGAGCTGATGCCGACGCCGATCGAGATGCCGGACCCGGAAACGCCGAAGGCCGTCCAAATCCAGCGGGTACCGGCCGATGAATTTTCGACACCAAAAGCCGCCACGCCCGTCCAGGGTTACTATCGAAAACGGACGGCTGTGTATGTTTTTTTTGGTGCTCTTGCATTAACGGGGGGCCGATTCGTCCTATAAATCTGGATAAGTATAGTCATGTAATAACCGTTGTTTTATTAGCAGTTTTTACAAGCTTTGGCTATATTTCCAATGAAAAATCACTAATAAAGCTTGGCAAAATGTTCAAAAAGAAATTCTTAATTTTCTCGTGTTTTTTAATTTTTTTTTAGTTTTGAGGTTTAAGAACAGAAAGTAGAATTGCTCTATTTATATTAGAAATGAAATATCTTTTTTCATTTCTATTTAATCTTCATAAACAAAATTGTAGATTTTTCCCCGATATTCGACGAAAATTTACCTGATTTTTTCTAACGTTTTGTTGATCGTTTTTCCTCTTGAAAATAGATTGTTTTTTCGACACTTCGATAAGCGATGAACTCTGCCCCCCCCGTTAATGCCAAAGCACCAAATAACCATTTTCTTTCAGCCGTCGCCACGTCTCCGATGCCACCAGTTTCCTGAAAGGTCCCGTGATCCCGGGTTCAATTTTCGAGGATGACGTCCGACTGCGCACCCCTCGCGTCCACAGATTCAACCAGAGACTTTTATGAAAATCCTTACGAATTACTTTGTATTTTTACCCTATCTAGGCCAAATTTTCTATGTGATTTTTCTGGGTCTTCAATGACATCTCCTCATCTCTGTGATTCCCCTAATATCTACCCCAAATACAAGCAAAAAAATCATATCTATTTCCCTTCATAGTATCTGAAAAGCCCCGGCGGTGATACTGTGTATTTGTTGCGCTGTGATTTATCATACAAATAGATTTTCAGTGAAATTTTATATTTTTACGCCGAAATTTGAAATTTTCATTATTGCTGATCTCACGTCTAGCGACCCTGTATTTCCGGAATCTTTTATACACTCTGTGGTTGCGAGAATAAAGAGGTTTATCTATGCACATTTATTTCCTGGTTTTTATGCTTTTGTGGAAATAGCGAATTTTTATATTTTTTAGCACAGATGCACCTGTTTGCAGGCGACTTCCGGCGTCTCCTTGGCCAGGATGAGCTTGACAAGGTCATCGACGATCTATAAAGCTTACTGAAGGTTATATTAATTGGTTCTGGTTCGTTAGCGGGGGGTTAATGGCGTAGCTTTTTCAATAGTTCATTATTTTTTTGCGGACTCGGTAGAGCATCAAAAATATATAATAAGATTTTTAATTCAAGATTAAAACGCAATAATTTAAGACGGTTATAACAGGAGCAAAAACCCTGAAAACGGGGTTAGTAAGCTATTTCTCGGACTTGTCGGTATTTTTCGACATCCTGTTAACGCTATTGAATAGAGCATCAAAAATATACAACGGGTTTTATATACAGCCCAAAATAAACTAATTTTAAGTAAGGGAAGCTATTGACAAAAAATGTCCCCCGCTAACGAACTAGAACCTATTAATCTAACAAAATGGCTTGCCTTCGACTTTTCGTAGCTTAAAATTCTTACCTCATCAAACGCCTTCTCGCAAACCTTCTTCAGCAGCCCGGTTTTGCCGCACTCGGTGGCGATCTCCTTCTCGAGAAAACCCTTGACATCATTGCCTCCCTCTTTTTCGGCGGCCTCAAAGATCGTCAGAGGATCAATAATATGTTTTACGAACATTAATTTTTTATTACAAATATCATTATAAACTTACGCCGACCACATCCTCGCAAATTTTGCAAATCTGTGCATTGTCCTGCTGGGGCTGGAAGGGTGAGGCGGCGGCGGCGACGGCGGCGAGTGCGAGGAAAAGCAGGGCAGTTTTCATGTTGTGTTGTTTGACTAAACTTAAACCGTTTGATCTGTACACCTATAAGCAAAGGTATCCAAGAACTTAATGAACGGCATCAAAAGGTTGAGGCGAAAAGTTGGGAGAAAATTGGGCTTTTTAGTTTGTAGGGCAAGTTTAGCAAAAGCTCTAGGTATCATCTTTTTTTTATAAAGATCTTTCTAATTTTCTGCTAGAATCAGGTGTTTTGCAAATACTTTTTACTATTCCTAAGCGTAAATACTGTACACATTGTCGTTAGAAAATACGACAATTCAGATTTTTCGAGCAAATATGGGCTCTTTTCGATCAAAATTCCACTAAAAAAATTTCTAGGTATTATTTAACGTTTTTTTACTGGAAATAGGTGTCAATTTCACTTAAAACGCGATTACGATGCCTTTAATTACATAATCAATATTACATAGCCATTTCGTACTTAGAAAACCGAGCTTTCGTATCCGGTAAAAGTTTGTAGAAAATTAAGGATTTTTATTTGGATAGATAATATCTATTAGATACTACGAAAAGTGGGAAGTTGGAAGTTATTTGGCATCCTATGAAAACTGGGTGTACGGGTGAAAACGTTAACTTTTGGCCTATCCCTTTCCCCCGGTGGCACCTTTTATGCCAAAGCATCCGTGGTCTAATTTATGGCCTTCTTATCTCGCGATTTCCCTAAAAAGTGCTGGAATTTAGGGTAAATCGGATTGGCCGCGTGCTTTTTTGCAACTTTTATGAGGGGACAGTAAAATTTTTGCTCCTGAAAAGTCAGGTGGGTACCGTCAAAAATTGGTTTTATTAGATAAGGCTAGGCGGATAGATAGAGAGTTGAACAATGGGCGTTCTTTGCTCTAGATCCGGTTAGAATAGAGCTTGGTTCTTTGGCGTTATCGGGGGGGGGGGGGGAAATCAATTTTTTTTCCCAGATGGTTAGCAATGCCTTTAATACCATAGTAAGTGTTTGAGTAGTGTCGAATATCGGCGTTTTGCATTTTTCCAATAAAATTTTGGAAGGTTTTTGCGCTTAGGAATGAATAGTAACTGTTTTAATAGTGTTTTAGTAAAATTGGACTATATTTTTAAGTGTAAAGCCTATCTGAAAATCTTCGAAAGTTTTGAGTTCTGGTCGAAAATCTATATTTTTCTGTAGTTTTTAATAAGAAAATCGTAAAGTTCATGCGGTTAGGAATGGTATTGCTAATAATCGAAAAATTGGTTGATGGTGAAAAATATAGGTTTTTCAATTTCTGTCGGTAATTTTCCCGCTTGTTAAATCCCCCGATAGTGACAAGGCACCTATCCTTTTTCATGTCGAAGTTGCGACACATGATTTTTTTCGATATACAGGGTGTCCCAAAAAAAGCACCCCCCTCTAGCGGCGCGCAGTCGTGTCCGATTTCGACCGTTTAGGTATCTATCGAAAGCTCTTGAAAAGGCGAGAAAACAAGGAGGGTTCATTTTCTTTATTATGATTGTTTATTCGCGAATTTTAGCTCCAAGAAAACGGCAGATTTACGCGAGATCTGCATGCTAATTGCGAAATTCCTATTGAAAAGCTGCCTGTTTTTTTACAAAAACGTTCATATCGGACGAATAAGAATAAATTTTAGAAAATGAAACCCGCTTGTTTTCTCGCCTTTTCGTGGGCTTTCGAATGGTATAAAAATCATCCTGTGGACCGTTTCCCCGGGACCGCTAGAGGGAGGTGCTTTTTTTTTGGGACACGCAGTAGAGGGCTATTGACTCAATATACAGTGTGTGTCAAAACGATAGAGCCACCTCTTTGAACGATATTATCTCGGCTCTCGTTGAGTTTGACGCCAAGCTAACTAGCAGGTCTTGTAGCGCTCGAAAAGGCGCATTTTTCTATCTACTTGAATTTTTTCAAAAATAGAGCACGCGATTTTTATAAGGCAAAGAACAAATAGAGCCAAAAAACCGAAGTGTCAAAACGATAGAGCCACACTTTACATATCATTAGCATCAAGTTTAAGCTTGCAAATTACATGCTAATTGCTAATACGAAGTTCAAATCTATGCAGATTGACATCACCCTGAAAAATCCGGAAGCTAGAAATGGAAAGCTACTTTGAATGTTCATTAGAATGTAATTTGCCAGCTTAAACTTGATGCTAATGATATGTAAAGTGTGGCTCTATCGTTTTGACACTTCGGTTTTTTGGCTCTATTTGTTCTTTGCCTTATAAAAATCGCGTGCTCTATTTTTGAAAAAATTCAAGTAGATAGAAAAATGCGCCTTTTCGAGCGCTACAAGACCTGCGAGTTAGCTTGGCGTCAAACTCAACGAGGGCCGTGATTATAGCGTTCAAAGAGGTGGCTCTATCGTTTTGACACACACTGTAATACATTTATTTGCATGCTGCCTATTTGGTGTCTAATATGTTCAGCAGAGATCGCATTCCTGGCACGCCTTCTCGGGGGTGGCCTTCTGCTTGATCCACGTCACCAGCTCGGAAACGGCCTGAAATTAGGGCGTATGTTGCCAATTAAGGTCTGCTTGATTCTATGAACAGCATGGTATGTCATCCTTTGTGAAACCCACCTCCTTAAGCGTCTTCTCGCAAATCTCCTTCAGGAAGCTCGTCTTTTTGCACAATTCCTCGATTTTGGTGTTCAGGTAGGTCTCGATGTCGTTGCCGCCCTCTTTTTCGGCCTCCTAGATAATTTTCGGGATAAATTCGGCTTATTTATGCAAAAAATAAGGATTTTTGACCAAAACTCATCGATTTTGTACTTTTTAGATAGGCCTTGCACCTTAACCATGGAAAAATTTCACTAAAACGCGATTAAAATACTAAATATTACGTTACCAGAAATTTCTGGACTACAGAATAAATAGTAACCGCTTAGAAAGCTTCGAATGGAAGAACCAACCTCAACCAACTCCTCGCAAATTGCGCAGATGACCGCGTTGTCGCGTTGCGGCTGCACGGCGAGCGAAGCGGCGACCGCGATGAAGCCGAGGAGAAGTAGCGCGGTTTTCATGCTAAATTGTAGAGGTTTAAACGGTTTTAAATTAACAAAAAACTAATAGAAGAATTTATAATTTATTCTTATCAAATTGTGCTGCCTTTTATACATCGAAGAGTGGCTTAATTCTTTCCTTATCGCGCGTGCCCACAGATCCGAACGTCTGCCGGTTTGGATAAGGCGGCTTAACCGCCGGGACGTCAGGGATTCCGGCAAGGGTTCAATTTTTTTTCGGATAGATCAATTGAATTCCGGGCCCGGTGTAGCAGGGTACGCCGTTGCAAATTTGAGTTGTGCCATTATCGCTTTTGGAAAATCGTTACTTTATAATGTTGTGTTATAGGTTATCATAAACGTATGAGAAAATATTTTTCCCATGAGGTCTTTTTTCGTATCTTGTAAATCTATAAATTTGAAGTTAGTTTAGTTATATTTGTTTTTCGACGAAAAGTGAGGGACCCGATTTTGAATTAAAAAATTTGTTTTTGGTTTTTAGGCAGTTTTTCCACATTAGATATATTTAACTTTGTCCAAGAAAACCCCATTACTTAATATCAAGAAATACCAGGAAATTCCGCAGCTTGCGACTTCGGGAATTTTTTTTGCTTGTCAAACTTTTTTTTAATCAATATCGTCTGATTAGATGAACATTTATCGAGTTCTTTATTTTATATAATATCCATTAAAAAATAAGAGTTAATCGAAAATTTTTAAACTTTCAGTCGCATACTTTGGCCGCTCGGCACGCCACTTCCGGAGATGCTTGTTTCAGGATTTGCGTGACGAGGGTAGTCGTTGTCTAAAATTTGGATTTTTAGAGGGTTTTGAAGGAAAGGAAAGAGGCAGGAGCTTATCTGGCTATACCTTAAACTATCAGACAATTTTTCCAAACCGCGATTCACCTGGTTGAGGGTTATCTTGCAAGTATCGACCGCGAAGGGTGGGAGCTTTTGACAAAATTTCCCTCCGATCGTCGTCACTTGTTGCCGAATGTTTGTGGTGATGTTGGTCTCGACTTGCTGCAAAAATCGACATATTTTGACTGGTTTTAGTGCCTGGTTACGGTAGTTTTAGTTTTAGTTTTTAACGCAATACCAAATTATCTAAATTTCCCGATTTCGTCTTACCATTACGGTGCTTTTGCATGCCGCGCAAGCCATGGAACCGAAGACGTCTCTTAGCTCGATGGCACTAACAGCTAATGCAGCCAGGAATACGAGCAATATCGCTTTTTGCATTCTAAATATGAAGCTTAAAAATACACAAATTAGAGCACTTAAAATGAATAATTTTCTCCTTAATCCAAAGTATGTAATGATAATTCCTAACAATTAAAAAATTTCAACAAAATTGAAACGACGCGAAGTGATTCGGGCCTGGCAAAGAATTGTCTTTTATAAAGAGCGCAATTCCTTTGAAATCTATTTTTTTCAGTGAATTGACCGATTCATAGGTGCCAAAAAGGCGTGGGCGGCAAGAAGACAATTGAAAACTGTTTTTATTTTCAAAAAAGTACGTGAATCATTTGGTGTAATCATCAGTTTTTCGAATGCCAGTGACAAATCAGAAAAGACTTTAATGAACAGAACAAGGTTTTGTAAGAAAATTTTGAATTTTTTAAGAGGTCCGGTAAAAGAGGTCGGCATGCTTCTTTTAGTTTTATTTCAATTCCTCAAGATACGGCGGGGTATCCGTGCAGATTTCTTTCTCCGTCATTTTTGCCATCCATTCGCAATACTCCGACGTGTCGATGAAGCGCACTGAAATTTGGAGACTCTCTCTCTCTCTCTCTCTCGCTCTCTCTCACTCTCTCGCCGCTTTCCCGCTCTCTCTCTAGATATCTCTCTCGCGCTCTCCATCGCTCTCCCTCTCGCTCGCTCCCTCTATCGCTTTCTCTCTATCTCTCGCTCTCTCTCTCGTGTCCTAAACTTACTCTGGCTGCCCTCCTCTTCATTATCACCCCGGCAATTGTCCGGTGCTTCGACGAGCATGCCAATTTGGATCCAGGCCCAGGTCGGTTGAAGTGTATGGAAAACGGTAGGGGCGCCGATGTCGCTCTAAGTTTAAATAGAGAGAAAGAGATCGAGAGAGAGAGAGAGAGACAGAGAGAGAAAGAGAGCGGGAGAAAGAGAGAAAGAGGCGATGGCTTACACTGCAAACAGTATCCTTCTCCGGAGTTTCCATACAGAACAATGTCTCCTCGTCGTCGTGCAAGCCATCGCAGTCTTCTCCAGCTAGCCGCTCGGCTGTGAATCTTTGAAGTTTCGCATGGGGTTTTGCTGAAAATTTACATGTTTTGGATCTTTTAAAGGGGCTCCGAAATCTGGTCCACGGCCCGCTGCGGTGATTCCCGGCAAATAGCCAGATGCGGCCGCAACGCGACCGCGTCGCCTGACTATTTACCCCTATTTGGACGCGAAAACACTTGAATTTAAAAATTCTGATATTATTTTTGGAATCCGCAACGAATTTTGATCATTCCAGACTTTCAGATTATGAAAATTGGCCAGAGAATCACCGAGATCGAGAGATTGGGTGCCTTACAAGGCATTACGACATGGAATCGCCGCGCACTCAAAATGTCGTTTTCGTCCCAAAAAGAATTCGGTTTTTCCCAAACATTTTACGTTTTTTCGCAATCAAATCACTTTTCTAGCACTTCTCAGCAGTGACCCTTTCGTTTTTTGACCCATAGGTTCAATCGCCGCACGCACGAATTTTGACTTCTGAGCCCCCTTAACAAGGTAAACAAAAAGCGGTGAAAAGGAAAGAAAACCGCTTACAAAATGCGCCATTAATGCGCCATCCAAGGATGTCGAAGGCCGAGACGCGAAGTCCATTGAATACGCGTTTCTCCAGGGCTTCCGGCGTTGGCATCCAGACTCGATTGGGGGCAGTGCCGTTCGGGCCGAACGTTATCGAGCCGTTCAGCTGAAAAAGGGGTAAAGTCACTACCCCGAAAAGTCACTACCCCGAAAGTCACTACCCCGAAAGTCACTACCCCGAAAAGTCACTACCCCGAAAAGTCACTACCCCGACAAGTCATTACCCCGAAAAGTCATTACCCCGAAAAGTCACTACCCCGAAAGTCACTACCCCGAAAAGTCACTACCCCGAAAAGTCACTACCCCGAAAAGTCACTACCCCGACAAGTCATTACCCCGAAAAGTCACTACCCCGAAAGTCACTACCCCGAAAAGTCACTACCCCGAAAAGTCACTACCCCGACAAGTCATTACCCCGAAAAGTCACTACCCCGAAAAGTCACTACCCCGAAATAATTTGCATGATTTTCATAGGAAAACCGCATGAAAACCGGATTTTTCCGGGAAAAACAATGCTATCATTTTTCGGGGTAAACGATTTCGGGGTAGTGACTTTTCGGGGTAGTGACTTTTCGGGGTAGTGAGTTTTCGGGGTAGTGACTTTTCGGGGTAGTGACTTTCGGGGTAGTGACTTTCGGGGTAGTGACTTTTCGGGGTAGTGACCGGACGCCGCTGAAAAACTTAGGCTTGACATTTTAAGGGTCCATATTGCGCCAAATTCGACCCTGTTTTTCCCGTTGCTAAACGCAGCAACTTTACAAATTTTCAAGGAAACGTACGTTTTTCGACCAAAACCTCATCGAAAATTTTTTCGGCGGTTTTTTTGGTAGTTTTTTGAGCCTTGAGAAATAGTTAAATTTGATTAAAACATGCTATTAAAGCGCGTTTTGCGTATCGCGGACCGGGCAAAATTCACGGTCCCGCCCTGCGTATCCCTTTAAAACGTATACCTTGACAAGCGCCACGTCGCCATGCCAATACTCCCCTTTCTTGTCCAACTTGTAGTCTTCGGCGAGGATCACGTTTGCGATTTCCAGAGATTGCTGAAAAATCCGGAAATCATGGAAACTACAGACTAGGGATTTGCAAGCGAGATGCTGCGATTCTGGATGTAAAAAATTTCCGAAAATCGGCGTGTCGGAATTCAGAATTAGCGAAATTAAAAATCTCGACAATTCAGAATGCCGAAAGTTATTAACCACGAAATCCGAATACGTCGGTTTTTGCGGTGTCGAAATTCCCTGGGCATCAACGAAAATGCCGACATTTCAATGCTTTGATGATCTGATACCGATCGATTATAATACCGAATACGGATCCGTTGACTCTCCTCTCTCCGGATGGATATTCACCGCGCCGACGAGGACTTGAAAATTGGTCCAGGGAATCCTAGGGGGTTGTTTAAGCCTTAAATCGGAATTTATTACATTTTATAAGCGGTCGCCGACTCCTCGGCCTCCTCTGTGAAACAGCCGGCCGACGTTAGGATCCATTCGGGATCCAGGATCGTTCCCGAGCATCGGAGAGGTCCGTTTTCGTCCCTGAAAATCTTGATGTGAGCGAAAATTAAAATGAGGGAGGGCGAGAGAGAGCTAGATAGGGAGAGAAAAAAAGAGAGAGAAAGAGAAAGAAGGGGGAGTGAGAGCGAGAGAGGGAGAGAGAAAGAAAGAGAGAGAGAGAGTGAGTGAGAGAGAGAGAAATAGAGAGAGAGAGAGAGAGAGAGAGAGAGAGAGAGAGAGAGAGAGAGAGAGATTTTCATCATACGAACTCGGTTGGAATCTCGACGATCGCGGCGATGTAGGGGTGCGCCTCGATCTCCACCGGCTTGGGGTCTGGCTAAAAAATCACATTAGATAATTTTATTAAACTTTATAGTTTTTGAAAATGATGCAAAATATTTTATTATAATTATAGGGTTATGTTAATGGAAATACGCTAAAAGAAAAAAATCCAGGTTAACAAAGTTGAATTATCATCCACCTCGGCCTGTTGACTCAAAGCAACGGCTGCGACGAGAAGAAGGGATCCGTATATAGCGCGGTATACCATTTTTCTTCCCTTAAATCCGATACGCAAGGCGAAAAGCGTCAAGCTAGGTAAAAATTGTCGTATTTGGCGCACGTTAAAGCAATAAAATAACATGCAAAGTTCCACGTCGGTTTTTGCCAAAAATAACTTTTTAATATCCACCTAGTGCAAATTGAAATTTGAAATTTTTTAACGTTGACGAAAGTACATACTTATTTTTGGAAAAGCAATAAAAAGTGACGCCGAAGGGTACCGTACTAAATCTGGATTACGGTAACTCGTCATTTCAAAGGCGCTTCGGATATGATACTATCTGTTTGAGCCCTAGATTAGGAGCGTCGTGGTACCACTAGTTCGTTAATTTTGAGGTCCAGTATGTTAGTTAGTCTCAAAAGTTTATTGAAATTTATTTATCACATTTTCATTGCTTTTTATGTGTTTATAGGCACAGCTTGGCGCTCCGGCAAGCGTTGACCGGGGAGGTCTTTTCGGCCTTCCATGTGCCCAGATCGTGGAGAATCTAAAAATTACGATACGATGCGCTAGGCTACGTACGGTAAGATATGCTCACATGGTACGATAGGCTACGCTAGAATACGTTGCAACACCCTGTATCAGGCGACGTTAAGCTACCATGCGCTATGCTACGCTAGGTTCATAGATCTGAGTAAATAGCCGTGTACGTTACGCTGCGGTAATGGCTTACTGTAGATCGCGGCGTGGTGTGCCGGGCCGCGTTTTAGTACCTAGCGAGGCTAGGCGAAGTTATGCTACGTTGCGCTACAGCACGCTATGCAAAGCTAAAAGACAAGACATTACGTCACATTACGCTTCGCTACGTTACGCTATGCTGCGCCACGTCACGCTACGCAAAGCTACAAGACGACACATTACGCTACGTTACGCTTCGCTGCGCTACGTTACGCTACACAACGTTACGCTACCTCACGCTATCCTATTTTACGCTACGCTACACTGCATTACCCCTCCAAGCGTTTTGATGCATGGCTGCTTCTCGATCTCGGTGAAGCTGCAGACACCCTCGAGGACCGTTGGAACCTGGTGGTGCTCGATTTCCGGAAGTGTCAGCGTCTGGAATCGAGATCCGAAATCTGAGTACAATAGAATCACTCACGTACACTACAGCTTTACATTGAATGCAAAGTGCGGCCTGCTGTGCATACGGTACGCGATACGCGTTGCATACGGTAGCCAGCAGGATAGTCAATGTCACCAGAAGAAGCCTCATCTAAAAATAGCTAAATGCGTACCGTATCCGCCTGCATTTTGCGAATTTTAAAGGCACGGCGACAGAAGAAATCTCGTTTCGACTAGAGCAAAATTCCGAATCAAAAACGAAGAAGATTTGATGTTAGTATTCCTATAAAACCAAAAACTGGAAGCCAAAAAAACCCGTGTTGTACGATTGTAGAGTGAAGAAACCACCAGGCCCGGGGTGGTAATAAAAACCGCATCCTCGCCGTCCCTTGAATTATTCATGGCTGGACCGTCAGCTTCTGTCTGTATTGAAGCGTTATTATAAAGCTAGACAAATACGCGCACCGTATGCCAACCGCGACGGATGACGTGACGCGGCTTAAACGAGCGTTAAATTCGGAAATTTGAATTAATGGCCCTGGTATCGGTGAGCACTGAATGGTAAAAACACGGTTCTGCTCATCCGCATCAAACGCTCTCACTGTCTCTCTTTTTCGTCTATCTCTCTCTCTCTCTCGCTTTCTCTCGCTCTCTCTCACTCGCTATATCTCTCGCTTTCTCTCGCTCGCTCTCTCGCGCTCGCTCTCTCGCGCTCTCTCTCTATCTCTATCTATCTCCCTCGCTCTCTCACTCGCTCTCTATCTCCCTCCCTTGCTCGCTCTTCTCCCATCTCATTCATCATTGAATTGATTTGTATTGGCTTTCAAAATTGTTTCACTGATTTATCATAATTTAATTGGGGAAACAGAACTGCCCTCCCTTGCAGAGACCGACGCCCTTGCACGCCGCCTTCGGCTCCTGATGGTCCTCGATGTGGATGGCGAGGTCGGCGCCAACCTTTTGAAAAAAATTGTTAAAATTCACTTGGTGGTATTGAACGGACGGACGAATGGATGAATTTTCCCTTCGCCATATCGGGGGAGGGGGGGGTTAGAAAAAATTAAAGGGGCACGGAATTTAAAATTCGCGCGTACGTGGATTGAACCTACTGATCGAAAAACCAAAGGGTTACTGCCGTGAAGCACGAGCAAAGTGTTTTCGAAATATCCTCGGGGCGAGAAAGGCTTTTTGCGCGCGCAGCGATTTTATGCCGTCATGCCCCTGTAAGGTAACTAATCGCCGATCTTGATGATTCTGCGGGTTTTTAGGCTACGGTTTACTTTACCCCCCCCCCCAGCCGGAATGTTTTGGCTATAACTTTTTTATTTTACATTATTGTGGGCTCAAAGTAAAACTCTTAGTATATTTTCCGACGCTCTATCGAATGGCGTTGCAAAAATTCCGACAAAATCAGCGAAAATACCGAAAACTTTGAGGCCCTTCGGCTGTGGGACGGGGGTTAAGTAAAGCCTTACCAATTTTTATAATTAAAATCTCTAGATATATCAAAATTGCGTGGGGATGCCAGAAATAGCGTCTAAATTTTAAAATTCGAGCTTTCCACGTCCAAACGGGGGCAAAAGATCATGCGGCGCGGTCGAGTTGCGGTAGCATCTGGTGCCACGGTGCCACTTCAAGGAAAGGCAAAAAATGAAGGAAAAAATTACCGCTGTGAGCCTATCCCGGCATTTGATCCTGAGGTCCAGGACAGGAGGCATGCCGCACAACCTGTCGATGCTCAGATAAACCTCTTGTGTCAGGTTCGGCTTGACCATTGCTTCAATTTCCTGCAAGACAGAAATCTCTTCCTACAACCTTGTTTTGGACGGATTAAAACCAGAATAAAAATTTTGGCCTTTTCTGCCCTAAAAAGCTTTATAACTTTTTCGATCTGATCGTCTCGAAGATTTTGAAAAGAGGTTCAGAATCAGCGCAAAATTCAGCATAAGAAACTTGGTCCTGTACGGAACGTAGATTGTCCCTGTTAGTCCGAACTCGAAACTTTGATGCCACTAAATAATGGGTCCTGGTTAGCAATACCGATTACTACATAGCCGTTAGGGAAAATTCAACTCACCGCAACGACCTTCTCGCACACCATGCAATAAGTATAATCTTCAATAGCTTTCTGGGTGTCTGGCGCTATGGGCAGGTTGAGCACATCAAATGGACTAAATTACCAAATCCTATCACTTCCCCGCTCTCTCTCTCTCTCTCTCTCCCTCACTCTCACTCTATCTCGCTCTCTCGCTCTGTCTCTTTCTTTCTCTTGCTCGCTCTTTCTTGCTCTCTCTCTTTTTCGGTCTCTCTCATCTCTATCTCCCCTTCTCTCCTTCTTTCTCTCTCTCTCTTTCTCTCTCTCTTTCTCTCTCTCTCTCTCTCTCTCTCTCTCTCTCTCTCCCGCTCTCTCCCCTTATCAACCTAACTTCTAGCAGCGCGACTCACTCCTTAGTTCCCGCAACGTGACGAATTCCGGCGATGCCTAGCGCCATCAATAGGGCGAATACCAAGCCGTACATTCTATAGGGGTTGAGAATTCGGATTCGGCCCCTGCTGGAACGCAAAAACTGAAAACCAGTTCGCGGCCCCTTGAAGCTCGCCAGTTTTCGGCCATCGCCTCATTGCATTGCAGAACCACGGCATAACTCATTCTTCGGGACCAAATCCTGGCTGGCTTCTGTCACATCATGTGAATATTCAGTGCGTCTTGAGGCCTGCTCCTTCGCAAGTTTGTCGAAGTTTTTCAAATCCGAACCTGAAATCAGAAGGCAAAGCGGATATCGCTACCGCGTCGAAAAGGCTTGAAGAGAATCGATCCTATGTTGTGAAATGCGCGTAAATCTAAATAAAACAATCAGCTTCTGGTCCATTCTCTTTCTCTCTCTCTATTGCACGCTCTCTCTCTCGCTCTGTCTGTTTCTCTCTCCCTCTGATAGCTCCATTCTTTGCATTGGCTTAGCACGTTGGATAACCGATTTATCAACAACTAATTCGGGAGACAGAACTGCCCTCCCTTGCAGAGTCCTACGGCCTTGCACGCCACCTTTGGCGCCTGATGATCAGCGATGTATTGGGCGAGGTCGGCGGCAAGCTGTTCAAAATTGGTATGAACATTAACAAGTTCAAATTTCGCAAAATTAAATTTTGCACCAGCTAGTTATCGACAAAATGAATTTCGACCCGCTAACAGCCGCCAAAAATGCCTGGCGCAAAACACTACCGCGGTGAGCACGGTGACACATTTCGCCTTCAGCATGTCGAACCACAGCTTGCTGCACGCATTGTTGATCGCCTTGCCAATCTCGGTTTTGATCTCCGGCGCTACCATTTCTTCAATCTCCTGCAAGAAAATTAATTTTCCTTTTGTGCTCTTTTTAAAGGTACACTAAAGTCTCGTTGGTTTAGTTACCGGCCGGTAACCGTCCGCGGGATAGCAAGCAGGGTTACGGTAGGCGCTCGCCGCGGAGCAAAACCGAACCCGGACCACCAGCCTACGGCAAGCGCTTTGGACCACTCGGCCATGGGAGGGACGAGAGAGGGAAGGGGGGCGAAGGGCTATGAAGGGTCGGGCCACGCCGCATTAAATGCTGAGGAATAATGCCGCTACTCTAAAATGCCGACAGGAGGTTTGCAGAAATTTTGAAACTCCAACAGGCGGTAAAGCCGATAGTTTCGGAAAATTCCATTTTCGAAAATCCTAATTTGTTAAAATTTGTTGCTTGATTTTTGAAGCCATGGGACGGTCCCTTTATGGTGACGCTCTTTTGCAACTATCGTTTTCGAAAAGGTGCCTGATTAGAAAGGAGTTTTCGACAAAGTGAAAAATTACTTTTTTCGGAAAAAACTTTCGGAGACATGAATACCTGAAAAAAAGTTCTTCGGAAAGCTGACTATCCAAATTTTCTGTATGCAAATCCATGCCGAAACGCCTACACCAAACGCGAACATTACTGTTGTCGGCATTTTCCGGATGGGGATTGTTCAGATTTAGCATTCCGGATTTAGAAAGGATAACCGGTGTTTTATTAATTATCGTCTTTTCGGTCTTGCAAGGACTATTTTTTCAGATGTAGGCTACAAAATGTCTGCAAATATCGAATGAGTCAGTGCGTCTAAATTGGAACCGGATACCGCTCTAGGACTTCCGGATTCATTACAAAGAGATTTTTCGGCGTGCTCGGAAAACTTCTAATCCATTCGCATGGTTCCCCCAAATTACTAGTCCGTTGTCATTTTTCGCTAATCCGGTGGCGGATTACGGTAATCCGGTTAACCTTTAGGAGGACACGCCGGGCACGAGAGTTTGCAAAAATATTTTTAATGGTTGTAGGGATCGGCGATTTGGTGGAAATGTGGTAAAATAGAGTTAAAAGGGTTAAAAATGACACGTTCAAATTTTCAAGAAATGATGAAAGCTACCGTATTTAAAAACAAAATACGTATAATCGTATGGGTTTTCGAAACTCCTTCAGGACACATGTCTCTTTCTCTCATTCCGGCTCTCTATCTATCTATCTCTCACTCTCTCTTCTCCCCTTGCTCTCTCGCCCTCTTTCACCTCTCTCTTTCTCTCACGCACTTTCTCTCTCGCTCTCTCTCTCTCTCACTCTCTCTATCATTTTCTCTCGCCAGGAGACCAAATTTCGTGAATACTGATTTTTCCACATCAACAGTTAAATCAGCTTACCTGAACCACCAACTCGCACGCCCAGCATAACATGGATTCCTCGATCGCTTTCTCGGTTTCTGTAGCGATGGGCAAACTTTGCGAAGTCGATCTAAGTAATAAGATTTTATGACTTGCCGCCTCTCTCGCTCGCGCTCTCTCTCTCTCTCTCTCTCTCTCTCTCTCTCTCTCCCTCCCTCCCTCTTGCTTAATTATCAGAACTCACTCCACCGCAGCACTTTCAACAAGGCCACGTCCAATGCCGATCGTGGCCAAGAAAACCAATCCCAAGCCGTGCATCCTAAATGAGTTGGGAATGCGCGGCTAGTAGCTGTCAAGACCTTGTCGAGGAAAAGGGTCGATTCATGTAATTTATGATCATGTTAAAGGGATAATGAAGGCAAAAGGTCTTAGTTAGCAGAGCGCAGAGCTACGCTGCGCTACTGGCGTTCCAAAACCAACAAAAATGCGTAGGTTAAGGAATCTTGGAAAAGTCCTGGAATGCAGACCTAGATGGTATTGGGTTTCCAGTTCTTTTCAGGCAAAAACCAAGCGCTATAGATAAAATAAAAATGTAACAGTAGTTCCCGGTCCCTTGAAGCCCCAGGTTTTTATCCCGCCTGCTCATTGCATTACAGAATCCGGGCATAAGTCGTTTTTCCAGACCAACTTCTGGCTGGGGCCTACCACTCTTTTGAATATTCAATGCGTCTCGACGTCTGGAGCCTCTACAGTCCTGCGAGATTTCGATTTGAAATATTGACTCGGACTCGGATTGTTAGGCGGCAATTTACGTCTGCGTGTAATACGCTGTTTTTACCATTTTTATCAAACAGGCAGAACGAGGATCCATGTCGTCAATTTCTTTCAGCTATGGACAATTTCGAGATAGAAAGCCCTGAAAGGGCGTCTGGCAGCAAGCCCCTTTTTCCACGACTCGTGGAAGCGTCGCGGTCGGGTGCGTCGCGGCAGGGAGAGAAAGAGCGCGCCCAGAAGAGAGACGCAGACAGAACTCTGCGTCTCTGCCCGGTCCCCAAATTGCCGTAATCGGTGTGCTGCCAGAGCCGCTTTAAGATCCCTAGAACTTTGTAAATCTGGCTATTTAGCCAAAATTTCAAAACAGATCGAAATTAGGAAAAATTCTGCACAAAACAGGGTCGGTCCCGTTTCGAAACGCACCACTCGCGGCTGTATTTACTATATTTATACATTTGTGACCAATTTATCCGCACCTAATTCGGAAGGCATAACTGTCCTCCCTTGCAGAGTCCGACGGCCTTGCATGCCACCTTTGGCGCCTTCCGGTCCTTGATGTAGACGACGAGCTGGTCGATGAGCTGAACATTGTCAGGTGGTAGTTTCATCGTGAAAATTCTTTGGTTTTGGTTTAAAAATTTTCCGGCAAAAAATGGGCAAACATTCGCCTTTAAAATTTTCTATAGTGAAAACTTCCAAAAAAAAACTAAAAAATTCAGATTGAATGCCTAGGTGAATCTGGACAGCCAACAAAATTTCTAATAAAAACTACCCCATTCAGCGTCTTGAGGCATTGCTTCTTGATGTTTTCAAACGGCACTTTGTCGCACATGATGTTGATGTACTTGCGCACCTCGGTGTCGATTTGTGTCGTGGCCTCAGCTTCTACCGCCTCGAAAATGGAAGCCACTTGCGAAAAAAGTATCTCTCGCTCTCTCTTTCTCTCTCTCCCTCTCTCTCGCTCTCGCTATCTCTCGTTTCCTCCATAAGTCGCTTACCGCAACAATTCTCTCACACGCCTGACAAATCACACCTTCCTGGATTGCTTTCTCGGTCCCCGCCGCGATTTCTATCGGTTCTTTCGGTACATCTCTGTAACGTTAATCGGGTTATTTTCTGTAATTTTGTTAGTAAGATATTGATTATTAGGTGCCATTCTCTCTCTCTCTCTCTCTCTCTCTCTCTGTCTCTCTTTCTCTCTCTTTCTCTCTCTCACACTCTCCAGCCTCGACCTAGCTTCTTGTATAGCAACTCACTCCCATGACACTTCTGAAGTTCCCTGAACGAGACCAACCGCGGCAATGCCGATGGTGACCAGCAAAACGAATCCCAAGCCGTGCATCCTGAACAGGTTGAAATTTTTCAAGATTTCAGGTTTTAAAGAGACGATGAAGACGAAAGGCAAGCAGGAAAGGATGCCGAGCACTGGGTTACGTCATGACGTTGAAATTATTATCGAAAAGTGAGAACTCGTGTTTTCCTAGATATATCCCAAAATCCAGGCAGTGACTGTGTTCCAGCCCCTTCAGAAAACCAACGAGTAAAATCCTGAAAATAAAAATTCAAGCTGAAAAAGTTCCCGGCCCCTTGAAGGCCCTAGTTTTTATGCCATCTTCATATTTCGAATTCAGAACCCAAGCATAAGTCATTTTTCGGGATCAGCTTCTGGCTGGCTTCTACCGCATCTCCTGAATATTCGACGAGCCTTGCCGTCGGTAAATTCTACAGTCCTCCGGGGGATTCGCTTTGACAGACAAACTCGGACTGTACGGTGGAGCAGAAAATTTGTTTTACAAGTATTTAAAAAACGATAAAACCCTACAGTCGAACTGGAAAATCAGCGCGATGACTTTGGCATTCATCAACCCAAGATTCGATTCTCTGAATAAGAATCTGCGCTTGAAAAGCTGATTTCTAGGAAAAGATTGATCCTCACTTAGGTGTATTTGAGATTGGCCTATTTCTGCCTTTTTATTTATTCGAAAAAATTGTCCGGCGCTCCATCCGTTTAACGGCGTCCAGCAGCGGCGGGCCTTCCGGTCGGGGGAGCAGGGGGTGGCTGGGATCCTGCAAATACTTATGTAATTTATATTCTCTTTTCCCCTCGCTCCCTCTCTCACTCTCTCTCTCTCTCTCTCTCTCTCTCTCTCTCTCTCTGCAAATTAAGGTAACTCACCAGCGGGAGCTGGGGGCTGGGATCCTCCCTGAACTGGGGCAGGCTTGCCGGTCGGAGGAGGCGGGGGTGGCTGGGATCCTGAGAATAAAAATTTAATGAATGTTTCAGATTTCTCTCTCTCTCTCTCTCTCTCTCTCTCTCTCTCTCTCTCTTTCTCTCTCGCTCTCTCTCCCACTCTCTTACCGGCAGGAGCTGGTGGCTGAGAGCCGCCCTGGACTGGGGCTGGCTTTCCTAAAATGCAAATAATCAAGAGTTACAGTATTCCATACCGGTAGGTGGGGGAGGAGGAGGCTGCGATCCACCACCTGGCGCTGGCGGCTTTCCGCTGGGCGGCGGGGGTGGTGGTGGGGAGCCGGCCGGCTGGGTCGCGCTAAAAATACGGTATTTAAAGAAAGTATGGAAAACTAATCGAAGCCTAAGCCAAGCCGAAGCCAGGCCTAAACCAAGCTTGAGCCAAGCCGAGGCCAAGCCTAAGCCAAGCCTAAGCCAAGTCTAAGCCAAGCCAAAGCCAAGCCTAAGCCATGCCGAAGCCAAGCCTAAGCCAAGCCTAAGCCAAGCCAAGCCAAAGCTTAAGTCGAGCCAAGCCAAGCCAACTTACGCGGCGACCGCGAGGAGAGCCAGGAGGCAGACGACGGCGGCCTTCATCTTCAGCTGACGGAAACCAGGGATTGATACTTCCTAATGGCAAGGTCGAGTATTTATACGGAACCCCGCCAGCTGGAAGTTCCCAAAAAAAACTTGGTCGACGTCATCCACGCATGAAACTACGAGTTAGTCCTCTTTCCAGGCAGTTTTGGACAGGGCAGCTGTGCAAATGTACGGTTTGATGATGGGGTTACTCGAATTTGGAGGGATGTGGATTACAGCGCATTTTAGCAAAAACCAAGAGACACACGACAGCTCGGCAAATATTTTAGGGTTGTGAACATCGTTTTTCTGGCCATAAAGCGATGCTGAATGAGGTTCCAGGGCTGGTAGTGAATTACTGGGACCGGTAGCTTTTTCTCGGCGCTGCCTCAGACGCACGTTCTTTCAGAAACTCTGCAGCCGGTGGAGCACGTTTGAGAATTTTTGAGATGTTTAGGTAGCTCTGTTTCTCTCATTCGACCTTTCTCTCTCTCATGCTCTCGCTTTCTCCGTTTCTATATCACGCACTCTCTCACAGTCTCTGATCTCCCACTGTCGTTATCCGCTTCTCACTCCCCGGTCTCTCCTATCCTCTCCCCCTCTCTCAGATTCTCTCTCTCGCTCTCTCAATCGCTCTCTCTCTCTCTCTCGCTCTTGCTCACACGCTGACTTTCTTTTTCTCTCTTTCTCTCTCTCTTTGTCTCTCTCTCTATTCTTTTATCGCTGTGTTTTTCCTTTATTGCTTTATTCAACGGCGTGCATCATTTGGAGCAGGGCACAGTTTGACGTTGGCGCAAGCTTGATACGGCTGCGCTCCAGCAGTCACCAATCGAGCCAGTTGGTCGGCTTGCTAAAATTAAGTTATCGAGCAGTACGTCTGATCTGATATAATTGTAAGCGAGATATCCATTGCCAACATACAAGAACCTTTTGGACCAGAGTGCATAAACCCACCGATTGAACATAAGCGGGGCATTGCTGCCAAAGGGAGATGGCTGCTATGCAAATCAAGTCCAGTCCATTTTGCAAGAAGGCCGTCTGGTCGGTTGGCTTGATCAGTCGGTCTAGCTGAAAAAATTGTAAGAACAATAAAAGTTGTTTCTGTTGTGGTTGTTGTTCTGATGGCCTCTTTTAGCGTTTTTGGCTAGAGAAGCAGAATTTTCGGGTTTGCTAATCCGCAACCCGGTCGCAATTTAGCTTTCGAATTTCCCTTCGTCGGCATGTTTGTCAAACAGGAAAAATAGGATTTCCGCGTATTGAAATTCAACATTCTCGTTTTTTGTTCTCGCGAAAATCAATTTCGCCAAAACCCTCACCACTCTAATTTTCCGAAAAAATAAATTTCGCCGTTTTGGACTTTGGAAAAACTAAATTCACAGTTTCTAATTTGACAAGGTGAATTTCGACAACAGGATATTTTCACGTTTTACATTACCTTCACTAGGGCGACACAGCCATCGCATACGATGTCTTGCACAAACGCCTCTGGGGGCGCTGTAACAGAATCAGTTCCGGCAGCGTATGCGGCCTCCATTAGCAGCGCAACGGTGACTAGAAATCCGCGCATCTTACCTGGAAATTGACTCTCAAAGAGATCGGCAACCCTACCATCCAAAAAATTGGGGTTATTACGTTTTGATGGTGGCTAGAAGGCCGAAAACGTATGAAATTCACGCTTTGAGGCTTATATCGCACCCTAGAAATTGTCGGCGACTGCTGTTTTTTAAGGAGCCGTTTTTCAATATTGCCGACCCTATACGATTCGATTCGAGTTTCTAGGCGACAGTAATCAGATGGTGATATCTGTGCAGTACGGTAGGATCGAGGAAGAAAGGGGGGAGAGAGAGGGACAGAGAGAGGGAAAGGGAGAGCGAGAAAGAGTGAGAGAGAGAGCGAGAGAGAGAGAGAGAGCCGGAGAGAGATAGAGGGCGAAAGGGAAAGCGAGAGAGAGCGAGAGAGAGAGCGAGAGAGAAAAAGAGAGAGGGCGAGAGATAGAGAGAGAGAATGAGAGAGAGAGAATGAGAGAGAGAGAGAGAGAGCGAGCGAGAAAGAAAAACAGAAAAAAGAGACCGCGACAGAATGAGCTGCCGACTGTAATACTACTTTCAAAACATCCGGTCCGGAAGAGCCCTTAAAATACTAAAAGTCCGAGTTAGGAAATTTCGAAAAAGAAAGTAAATGGCAAATCGTGACGGAATGGTCTATCAATTTATTCATATAATTTTATTCAGTGGAGTGTAGGCTTTCGGGTGGTCGGGTCCTGCGGGCACATGTGAACGGCCTGGCATGCCTGACGAGGCCCAATCTTAGCCCTGACCAAGTCGGCCAATTGGTGGACATGCTAAAATAAACTATGCTTCTTAAGGAGGGGCTCCGGGCAAACCTCTTTGAAGTATTTGGTGCAGGAAGGGTAGAGGACAAGCGATGGAATGCAGACGGTATCGATCATTTCTCGGAGATAGTCTTCAACATCTTGCAGTGCCAGCTCTTCGGCCATCTTAAACCATCATCGTCATCATCTCTCTCGCTCGCTTGCTCGCTCTCTCTCTCTCTCTCTCTCTCTCTCTCTCTCTTTCTCTTTCTTCTATCTCTTCTCTCTCTCTCTATTCTCTCTCTTTTAGAGCAACTTTTTCCTTAAGCCTAAATTCTCGAATACCAATAGTGGACGTGTTTCTAAACGGTTTTTTACGATTCTCGAGACGTGAAACCTGTGAGAAATTTGCATTAAAAGTTTCAAAAATACCGATTTTTCGACCGAAAATAGCCGACTTTTGACCAGGGTTGGTCATTTCGAGAGCTGGCTCTGAGCAGGAGCCGAGCGGGAGCAGGAGCCGAGCGGGAGCTCAAAATTCTCAGCCCCGCTCAGCTCCAGCTTTTGAGCCGGAGCTGAGCGGGAGCTAAGGATTTTCAGCTCCCGCTCCCGCTCTTGAGCGGGGCCCGCAAATCAGCTCCCGCTCCCAGCTCCCGCTCTTTTCGTGACCGACCCTGGTTATTAGCGGTGGCGGGGGCGGGGGCTCTACTAGAGGAAATACGGTAGTTGCTCTGCAGCCACCTTGACAAGTTTCATGCACCCATTGCACAGCATGTCCCAGTTGAAGCCGACCGGCAAGGGGATGGGCGTTGATGATGCTGCCGAGACCATTTTGGGGCTCAAAATGGTGAGGGCGAGGATTAGGCTGCGCAACTGAAGTTGTTTTTGCAATCTCCAGGAGTGTAGAATTTTTTTGAATGAAAGACTTTCAGAATTTGGAATTTTGAAAATTTCGAACCCGCGGATTCTCCGATTTTTACACTCTCACGTTCTAGAAATTGGAATGAACCGAATCAGGAATTTTGGAAAGCTTTCAAAATCTCGAATATTCAGAACATCGGAGGATATGCAAAGTTGAAAGCCAAAATCTTACCTTGTGGCAGCTCGACATGGTCCTGAAAATGAAACTACAACTTCTTACCAGGGTTTATAAAGTCGGTGGATATTAGACATTCCCTGCCGTTTCCAAAGCGAAACGGCTATCAATAAAAAATAATAACGGTGGAAATGTTTAAAATTCGCAACCAGTGGCCTCAAAAAAAACTTAAATAAAAATCGTAGGTTTGGGTTTTTGTCGATGGCCTCATGTCTGGGTTGTAGCAGAAGAGAGCGAGAGAGCGAGAGCGTGAGTGTGAGTGAGAGAGAGGGAGAGCGAGATAGAGAGGGAGAGAGACAGAGAGAGACAGAGAGACGGAGAGAGACAGAGAGAGAGAGAGAGAGAGAGAGAGAGAGAGATGAGAGAGAGAGAGATGAGAGAGTGGGAGAGATGGGGGGAGAGAGTTGGCGTTCTCGACATACGTTAGACCCAAGGTAAGAAGCAGCATATTTTTATGCTTTCAACAATTTATTCGAATTCCCGGTTCACTTCGGGGGCACATCGACACAAATGTCAAGTCCGCTGTTATATTTGAAGAAGTTGCAGTGCTGCGACGGATCGTGGGCCAGCACTGAAAAGTTTCTCTCTCGCTCTCTCTCGCTCTCTGTCTCTCTCTTGCTCTCTCTCTCTCTCTCTCTCTCTCTCTCTCCTATCGCTTCCCAAAACCACGAAAGCTCGCACTTTTTGCAGCCACGTCGTAGGTGCAGTTCAGGTCTAGGGTTTGGCTCATTACGCCGAGCTGAACCCAAAATCCTTTTCCCTGGCGGGTGACGAAGGTAGCTGCGGCAGCACCGGAGTCCCCCTACACTCCAAAATTGTTTTACACTGTTAAGGCTAAGCCGTAGCTCAAATCATAGCCTAGCCAACCCCCAGCTTACCCCGCAGGTACCAGTACCCTGCCGAGCTTTGATGCAAAACATTTTGTTGTTCATCTCGTACATGAAGCTCGCGTTGCAGCCGGCCGTGGGAAGCCTGTAGGCTTGGAAGTGGCGAAGGTCCGGGGAGCCGCCAGACTTCTCTGAGTGTCGAAGCGATTTCTCTATCTTTCTATCTCTTACGGTCTCGCTCTCTCTCTCTCTCTCTCTCTCTCTCTCTCTTTCTCTCTCTCTCTCTTTCCATCTCTCTCCTTCTCTCTCCACTGACCTCCAGGGTCGTAGCTTCCCCATCCGGCGACGTGATGCGGCAGCTCGAAGCTCTTGAGCCAAGAGGCCGGTTTCGGGATGACGATTTTCTGAGGAGCCACGCCAGCTTCCCCAAATTTAATCTCGGTTGCAAGCTGGAAAATAGTTATTACTTCTTAATCTCTCTTGAACCCCTTCTCTCTCTCTCTCTCTCTCTCTCTCTCTCTTTCTCTCTCTCTCCGGCTAGGTCCTTCAAAACCAACCCTGACGATCGCGATATCGCCGGTCATGACCGGATCTGTTTGAAATTCGCCGCTGATGAAGATCGTGTCCATTACCATGACTTGCTAAAGATATCATGAATCTCTCTCTCGCTCTCTCTCTCTCTCTCTCTTTTCTCTCTCTCTCTCTCTCTCTCTCTCTCTCTCGCTCTCCTACCGCCCCTCTATCCTTTGGCCCAAACTTGTCAAGGCTGGTCGCGCCGACGACGATTTGGATCATGCGTGGTGGATAGCTGCAATTCGGAAATCGTTCTCTCTCTCCCTCTCTCGCTCGCCCTCATACCTCTGTCTCTCTCTCGCTCTCTCTCTCATCTTTAACTTACCGATACTTGAACTTCGGCGGCATATACCAGCAATGGGCCGCGGTGAGAATCCACTTCGGATGGATGATGGAGCCGGTGCACAAGATTTCATACCCCAGGCCCACGCTAAAAAAATATTATGCCTCGAAAACGGCTTGGATTTACGTTTTATTTACGCGAATCGCCACTGAGTATGGATACTTGGAGACGATTGGCTTGTCGCCGCCAATGATCGAAGAGGCCGGCTAAAAAATCCAGGGAGAGAGATAAAATGCGAGAGATAGAGAGCGAGAACCAGAAAGAGAGAGAAAGTGAGAAAGGGAGGGAGCGCGAGAGAAAGATAAAAAGAAAGAGCGATAGAGAGAGAGAGAGAGAGAGAGAGAGAGAGAGAGAGAGAGAGCGAGGGGGGCTCCTTACCGGCAATTCCTCGCTTGTCCAAAAACTATCGAGCAAGGCTAGAAATAGCAGAATTGCCAGAAACATCGTTTTTCACTCTTACTGTACGATTTGCTTTCAATTTATACCCGCAATTGCATATTTATAGGCTACATTAAAACCTCAGATATTACGCGCTATTTTAGACATTTTGCAGGTGTCGGCAAGGCGAATTTGCATCTTCGAATCCAGTGGAATTCGAAGAGGACCTCCTGGCTTTTTCTTGGTTGTCACATAAATTTTCCAGTTGTTTGTTTCCAGTTCCGTATGCAATTTTCTTCGACTTTTTCATGGTTGATTTTTGATAGCTTCGAACCCCGTATCCATACGCCGGCCCAAAATTGTAGCGGGTTAAACATATAAAAAAAATAATCATAAAAGCTTTATTGTCACACAAGAACCCGTATAACACAATTCACGACATAATCCATAGGGAAAGGTAGAGGGAAAGTAATTTTCGGTGCGTGACGGTGGGCGAGGGATGAGTGAGAAGTAAATCGACGGCCGAACGGACGGCTGCTACTTCTTCTTCGCCGCATCTAAACGGCAAGAAACGTCAAAAAGGCCACCCAAAATGGATAAGGGCACAGTTTAATATGTTCGCTTTGTGCTGGCGAGCATTTTGTTATACTTTACATCCTTCTGACACAACGTTTAGCCGACTTTCATTCGATTTGGATCTGCTAAATTACACCCGACCAAGTGCCCACCCACCTCGCTTCAGCTGGGCCTCGGCCTCCTTGGCGTACTTGTGGTAGGCGGGCGCCCATTCATCCTTGAACTTCTTCTTCATCTCGTCGGTGAACCCGCGACCAGGGAGCTGAACCTCAGAAAGATTTTTCCGTATTTTTCGCGTGGCCGCTTCAAAAATTGTCTTTCACGTTCGAAAAATTACTAAAGTATCCTACTATATATAAAAAAAATAGTGTTTGTGTGTGTGTGTGTGCATTTGCATGCAACTTCCGTCACCGTGTTCCAGTAGTATCTCAAGAAGGGAAGAACTTAGGGGTATGTTCGATACGTCATTAGGTGCGTAATGGGCTGGAGATGACTGCACACATATTAGATTTTAAAAATATGCTATTTTCGACATTGAAATTAAGTTTTTCATGGAAAATCGGACACCCCACTTTGTTAGGATCAAATTAGCATGCACCGGAAGTCGCGGCAGCCTTTATAAAGGGGCGGCGAGAGCATTTTTCATTTTTCGTCATCCGAATTCGCGAACATTATGCAAAGTCAAGGATATCATGGACGCAGACAGGGCCAGGTTGAAAAGTCGCGAAGCGGCTTTTCAACCCTGGTCCTACTATATATAAAAAAATAGGGTCTGTGTGTCTGTGTGTGTGTGTGCCACTTTGCATCCACTTCCGTTTGGCTGTCCGGAGGATATCTCGATAAGGGATGAATTTTAAGGTATGTATGATACGGGATTAGGTGCGTAATGGCCTATAGATGACTGCACGCATATGAGATTTAACAAAATTACCTATTGTCGACATTAAATTTAAGTTTTTGTAAAAACCTCTTTGTTAGGAATAATTAGCATAGACCGGAGGTGGGGATTCGACTATATAAAGAGGTAGAAGAGGTTGTTTTTCATCTTTGGTCATCTGAATTTAGGACAATTATGCAAAGTGAAGGATAAAATGGGGTCAGACGGGGCCAGGGTTGAAAAGTCGCGAAGCGGCTTTTCAACCCTGGTAATAGCATTAAAAAATTAGGTAGATTCCCCCCTCCCCCCTCACCGCTAACAGTCTAGTATCGCTCTTCCGGAAGATTTGTTTATGCAAAATTTCGATGTTACGAACTTATTTCGACATGACGAAAGAGGAAATGAAATTATTTTGCTCAAAGCTGAAAAAGGCACCTGCTCAAAGTGCTGGAGGAGGGCCATGTACACGTAGATGAACTGCCAGGGCGTCTCGACGAGGTGGGCCCGAAGCTCGCGCATCGATCGGAGGTTGTCCTCCAGTGGTCCGATATGCATGTCGCTTTTGACGTGGTCGAGCGCGTGCTTCAACAAGGCCAGTACGCCGGGGCGGCCGACGCCCAGCAACGATTCGATGAGGATCGGCTGCCTGGAATTGAACTCCGTTCATGTTGCCGAATGAGAGAATGGGATGCGATACACCGGAAGTGGAGGTAGCTTTTAAACGCGGCCAGGCCGAACCAAATTTTTTCGGCTCAAGGCTAATTTTTTCTTACAAATAGGGGATGTGTGTCTAAATTGTTTTAACTTCTTAAGCATAAAAATTATACGAATTTTAAGAAAAAATCTTAAAAGATTTTTGGACTTTAAATATAGGTACAAATCTAGAAACAATGTCAAGACACTTTATATTTGATTACTAGGCCAACCGGTACCACCAGGAGAAAAAAAATTGGTTTTTCAGGGACCGCTTCGCGGTTTTTTTTAAGAAAACCGCGAAGCGGTCCCCCTGCTCCCGAAAGTGGAAGAAAGCAAAACTGAAAAAAACATATTGGGCGTAAGAGGCCTATTGGTATTGGGGAAAGGGAGGGGTGTGGCCTCCACCCCGCCAACGAACCAGAACGCTACGCAACCGCGCGTTCAACCCAAAACATGAATCAGGAGAAGGGTGGAAAACAGAACTATTACCTAGTCAATGACATATCCTCGAGCAGTTCGATGGGGCCAGCAAGGTCTCGGGTCACCCCGCCCGCCGGCCAGTCCGTGCAGTGATAGTGTTCAATGTTGCGTATTTTCTTTCCATCCAGCCACACCTCATATGTGGACCGCTTGACCGCGTAGTTGGACTTCGGGACCTCGTCACGCGAGAGGAACCACCAGTACTGAAACCGGTTCTGTTCTATTTCGCGGGGGGAACTGTGCGGGGGGGAATATGCTTCGCGGAATCTTCCATCTTTTCGCTATTGCAATTATTTGCAAATACATTAAATACAAATATTGCAAATACATTATTTGCAACGCCATTCGATAGAGCATCAAAAAATATACTAAGAGTTTTTGTTTTAGCTAAAAATCCTACTATATATAAAAAAATAGTGTTTGTGTGTGTGTGTATATTTGCATGCACTTCCGTTTGGATGTTCCGCGCCTACAGCCTCAGGGAAGCATTTTTTCGGTAGGGAAAAAACGTCATAGGGTAAAGAAGGGGGCGGAATCGACTGCACACACATAAAAGTTTCGAAAAATTGCGATTTTCGGTATTAAAATTAGGTTTTTGTAAAGTTTTCGGCCAACCTCTTTGTTAGGGAGCAATTAGCATACGCCGGAAGTGGAAATGGCTTATAAAAAGGAAGAGAGGGCGCGCTTTTCATTTTTGGTGAGCGGTTTTCGGCAAGAATTATGCAAAGTCAATACTTCATCGATCCTAGACGGGGCCAGGGTTGAAAAGCCGCGAAGCGGTTTTTCAACCCTGGTATTATAATATAAAAAATTTATAGCAAAAACAAAAAAAACTATTGAAACTGGTTCCGGAATGTTAGTTTTCAGCATTTTCGCCATTTTTTCGATATTTTGAACCTGTCATTCGATAGAGCATCAAAAAATATACTAAGAGTTTTAATTTCATCTAAAAATATTGTTTTATAAAATAGTTACAGCAAAAACAAGGTTTATTTGGTGTTTCCACATGGGTTCGTGGAGTCGAAAGTTAGTTTTCGACATTTTCGATAACTTTCAAAAATTTCTTGAATGCCATTCGATAAAGCGTCAAAAAATATACTATGAGTTTTAATTACAACTCAAAATAGCATCAAATAAAAGAGTTATAACAAAACGAAGAAAATTCCCCCCCGCGAAATAGAACAGAACCCTGAAACCATATAAACACACCTTTTGGCGAATACTCCCTCTCCCAGACCCCCCCGCTACGATACCGGGAAGTAAAGTATCCCAAGACAAAACATTTCAGTTAAGAGATTGGTACTATTAGGTTGTACAAAAAGTACTGGCGATTTCGGGGTTTGGATAGCTTTTTCAGGAACGGTTTGGATTAGCAGGGTTAATTGTATTGTGTCGTTTGAAAGTACTTATCGTGATCTACAGAATAGCTACACTAACTTTGTCATATTGCATTTTTTTCGTTTTTTAGAAGGTCTGAAAGTGGCAAGTTGACAGCTGACAGGCGGCGTAGGACCGTGATGAAGATAGCATTCGGCTGAGGTTACGAAGCACTACAAAACGTATCGTAACCGTCCCGGTCCGAGCAAAATTTAGCCTGGGTATATGTCGGCTACGCGGGGGGGGACAATTTTACGCGGGGGGGGACGGGACAGGAAGGCTTTTTTGGATGTTTTCGTTATTTTCTCGGGATTTTTGCGACGGCATTGGATAGAGCATCGAAAAATATACTAAGAGTTTTTGTTTTAGCTCAAATTAGTGTAATATAAAAAAGTTATGGCAAATACAAAAATAAGCTTTGAAAATCGGCTTGAGCGGCTGTTTTTCTGACATTCGCGCTATTTTTCGACATTTTAAAGACGCCATTCGATAGAGCATCCAAAAATATACTAAGAGTTTTTGTTTTAGCTCAAAATAATGTAATATAAAATAGTTATAACAAAAACCAGTATTAAACGTGGTTCCATGGAGGGCATAGAAGGAAATCAAGTTACATTTTCGACATTTTTACAAAATTTCTTTAGTGCCATGCGACAGAGCGTCGAAAAATATACTAAGAGTTTTGTTTGTAGCAAAAAGAAACGCAAAAAATAGTTAGCTCGGCCCCAACAGTCCGTCCCCCCCGCGTAAAATCCCCCCCCGCGTAGCCGACATATACCTTTACCCGGGTACCCAGATCAAATTTATACGCGCGTAAATAGGCCGAATCAGATGCAAATTTCGCCCGGCTGTTTCCGGTTGGCGTTTCGGTCGGAAAATGCTATCTCGGCATCGTTGTTTCTTATGAAACCCCAATTAAAATCAATTAGCATCCACTATTCAGACAGAAAGTTAATGGAAACGATCTGTGAATGGCGGAATTCTGTAAATCGGCATCCTACCTTATATAATTTTGGCGCGTATGTGTGTGTGTGTGTGTGGATGTCACTTTCGAGACCCGATTTGAGGGCCTTCCCGTGTCCAAAATGTCCTAATTCTCCGGCACCCGGGGGAATCGACCCTTCTGTTTCCGATGGCGTTGTCCGAATTTCGATAAAATACAAGTTTACAAAGTTAAAGCCGGGTTTTATTCATTTTTGGGGGTCCAGACGGGATAATTTGCATAATGCGGAAAAATAAAAATTTCCTCATTCTCGCCAATTGCACTCGCGTGTGTGGCCGGTGGGGGGGTAGGGGTCCGAAGGACCCGAGCTATCGGGAAGTCAAATTTTTCATGCAAAGGCCGCATTCCAGCGCCCAAGGCCCGCGAAGCGGGTTTTGGGCGCTGGTTATGTAGATAATTCCATTTTATGCATTCTTTGCATACAAAAACAATACAAAAAGTCTAAAACTTTTCCCAGATTTTCGCTTGATGATCAAAACGGTATGAAAAACGACCAAAAAAAGGCTACCATTTTCGAATATACCAAAAGCTTAAAAGAATTTGTCAAATGTTCGTTCTGAAGCGCACTAAAGACGGCTAGCTTTAGCCGACAAAAAAAGGCTGGCTGGCGCCGACTTACGTCGTTGGTAGACTCCCATTGGATTTTGAAGTCGCCAAACTTCTTCACTGGGTTTTCGCGGGTCGGCCAGTAGGGGGTGAACTTGCCGCTTTCACTGGGGTCGCTGAGCGTTATGATGTCTCGGCAATCTGCCTGCAGGATCATCCTAAACGGCCATTGTTGATCATTAACTACAGGGTGTCTGATAAAAAAACACGGCTTCTAAACCGACGCGGATGTATCGGATCGGAATGTAACACAAATTCACCACAATCTTCAAAACCTCGTTTTTGTATTTCAGCAACCCGTTTGAAAGCGATTTTGTAGAATTTTGCTGCTTTTCTCGGATGCAGGTGAGTTGATTAAAATCTTTAGCACGCAATTACCGGGTGTCCCAATAAACCCCTTTAACGTGACGTAGAAGTATCGGATCGGAATGATAGTTACATGCCTCGAAAGCCCGTGAAATGACGAGTTGCATACGAACTAATGTGGCTCGATTTGGCCCTGCCTCGTCCAATTTTTTTTCGCGTCTAGCCTAACCTATCTTTTGCAGACTTTAAACCGGAACCATAGGCCGGCCCAAGAAAATAGTGAAATCTCATACAGCCAGTGGTCGTCCACGGTCTCGCTGGTCGGCAACTGCGCGCAGATGAGAATCGACTCGAAGCTCGGGTACAGTTTATTGGCGTGGATGTAGTTCGGGCCCTTGTGCCACAGGATGACGCGCGACTTGTCGACGCATGGCACATCCGGTGACCGATTCTTGGGCCCGTTCTTCAGGAACGTCGTCATGTCCTTCTTTTCCACGTCCCTGCAAGGAACCGTCGATCGGAACAACCAAAAGAAATAACGTTCCCCTTGACATTACGCCGTTTTACACCCGACTATCCCAAAAATTGGACCATATCTGGATCAGACCCTAAACGACCACATGCCTGACTTACAGCCCGATCGCTACAGTAGTCCTCGAGTTATAAAGAAAATGCCGTGTTTTTCGGCGATTTTCAACGGGTTTTCGGCTATCTTTTTGGGCATTACATTATTTTGTTATCTAAGCTCTGTTTGTTTGGTTTTCCTCGTGGAAAATAGTTAAATTTTACTAAGATTTAATTTCATTGAAGTCTACAACGATTTCACGATGACGTTACTAGCTAACTGGCCGAAAAATTAATGCCCTCACCCGCCGGATGACGACTTTCAAATAACTTGCTAAAGAATCTCAAAAACGTTTCAACCAGTGCAAAACAATTTTTTCAGTCGAGCAAAATAGGAAAAATCCAAAAAATATTTTTCGCCGTTCGTTACACAAACCTGGGGACCCAGGCGAAGTCAGCTTCGAGTTTAGCGATCGTCTTGTCTTTTTGAGAGCACATTCTGAGAACGACGTGGCGACGTAGCCGCGGCGCTGGTGCGGTTTGGATAGAAGTTTAACGACTTGACTAAGTTAAGTGCAGTTTGCCGACCTACCATATCCTTCTTATCCTACGGGGTAGTAAAGTACACCAAAATACTCGGAAGAACAAGGCGAACATTTTGGTATAACTTACACACCTGTAGATGAACAGGGAGCTGAGATACAAAAATGAGGGACGGCTGGGGGGGGGGAAGCACACTCTAACCAAGATTCGGTCCCGATCAGATAGGAGACGGCCAAATGCCGAGGCGCCACCACTACTGGGAAAACCTAGGGTTGTTTCTCGGAACAGACCGAGATTCGCAACTTTCGGAACAAAGAGTGGTCGGAACGGTCCGACTTTCGGGTGTTCCGGCTGTTCCGAGATTCGGAACATTCCGAGATTCAAATGATGCGGTTGTTCCGAGATTCATATTGTTCCGACTAGAGTGAGGGAGCGGCAGGCCTCCTCAGGCTTTCTGGGGCCGAATTGCATTTCCGCGCCTGCCGACGCCTGGCGGAAGCCTAAGGATTTACGCAGGCTTTTTATGCAATGCGCAAAAACATGTTAATCAGGTTACTGCATCTAAAACGTTGGTATCTTTTGTCGCAATAACAAATTACAAGGATGCCGAAGGTGGGAAAAATATAGGCAAGGTGTCAGGAGAGGCAATTGCATCCCCCCGCCCGTTCGAACCGACTCTTGGCTTTTGTGTATCCGCGTGCTATTAACGTATCGTGCCGTAAGGTTTGTCAAAAACAGTAACCTAACTTTGTAGAATATTCTTGGACCCAATACAGCTCTTCGACCCCCCGGAAGTTAAAAAAAATTCCTTATTTGTTCGGCAAATCTTCGAATATTCTACGACTTTACATAAAATTCCCAGATAAAGCCTGACTAATTAGAGGTCAGGCGTACTTTGCATAGCCCAGGCTCAGCCTAGGCGATGCAAATTAAAAAAGCCTGAGGAAGCCTAGGCAAGCCTAGGCTTTAGCCTAGGCCTCCCTCACTCTAGTTCCGACTGTTCCGAGATTCGGGACGTTCCGAGATTTGGCTGTTCCGGCTGTTCCGAGATTCGGAACAGACCGAGATTCGGAAAGTCGGAACAAAGACTGGTCGGAACGTTCCGAGATTCGAGTGTTCCGGCTGTTCCGAGATTCGGAACATTCCGAGATTCAAATGTTGCGGTTGTTCCGAGATTCATAGTGTTCCGGCTGTTCCGAGATTCGGAACGTTCCGAGATTTGGCTGTTCCGACTGTTCCGAGATTCGGAACAGTCCGAGATTGAGCTGTTCCGAGATTCAAATTTTTTCGTAGGTAAATTTCGATTTCATGTAAATCGTGTAGATTGCATGTAAATGTTTCGGTTTGGCCGTCCCACGGCAGTGTGGGCGCAACTGAACACCTAATTCCGTCGATGGTTAGATATTGAATCCGGAAATTAGCGAAATGAGAACGAATTGGGGATCGAATTGAATCGAAATTCAGTCGTGTTTGGAAATTTACATGCGAAAAAAATTTGAATCTCGGAACAGCTCAATCTCGGACTGTTCCGAATCTCGGAACAGTCGGAACAATATGAATCTCGGAACAACCGCATCATTTGAATCTCGGAATGTTCCGAATCTCGGAACAGTCGGAACAGCCAAATCTCGGAATGTTCCGAATCTCGGAACAGCCGGGACGGTTGCTGTTCCGAATGTTCCGAACCTCGGCCTGTTCCGAGAAACAACCCTAGGAAAACCTGGTAGTGTCTTAAAAGGATACCTCGCTTCTGGAACAGGGGCAATCCTTGTACGGATTCTTGGCCATTCCGGGCGTACGACCGGCTGAGGTGGAGAGGCGAGAGATGATGGCGCTGTTTTTCGTCCGCTGCCTTACCGAAAGAAGTTCCGTTTATGCAAAGAAGTATATGCAAATTTTGGGTGGGCAAATGCGCATGCTTCCACGAACTATCCGGCTTAGGTTATTGCAGTTTTCAATGTGTTCCATATATCTTACGCAATGCCCAGCTCGAGCTTTATCCTCCCAATAGAATCCTTATCCGTTCTTTTCATTTTTAGATGGAAGCGGTGGTGGGGGTGATATTAGGGCTCCGCGACACTCGCGCAAGTGTCGCGGTCCGAACAAACGGGGCGATGTGTCAGGGCGCAAATGTCGTGGCACCAATATGAGTGGCGGTGGAGGCCGAGGTGCTGATAGAGCCGTTTGATGGCCGTGCCGTCATCCAGGTCATACCATCGACGCATCTAGAGTCAGGATAACTGGTAGTCGTTTCAGGCAGACATGGCAATTCCGATCGGCCGAGCCGCGCGGCCGGGCCGGCGGCCTAATTTCCATAAAAAACGCGGCCCCCTACGAGCCGCAGTAATTAGTTACTTCCGGAAATGCGGCTTCGCGGCCGAGCCGCATTTTGATCGCGGCTCGGCCGGGCCGCCGCGGCCAAGCCGCAAAACGGAAGTGGCTCATTTACATATCGAGAAGCCGCGAATTTCATGCCAAATCGGAATGGAAATGAGAAAATTAAGGTTGTCGAGTATGGGCTAAATACGCATTGCATCTCTGATTTACGTGCCGGAAGTACTCAAAACTCGTTTGGATGCGGCCTCAAAAGCCGCGCAGCTTGGCCGCCGTGTGGCCTCGAAACGGAAAAAAGCCGCGGCCGCGCCGGAAGTGCGGCCAAGCCGCGCGGCCCGGCCGCATTCTAATTTTTGCGGCCGAAAAAGCCGCGCGGCCCGGCCGATTGCCATGTCTGGTTTCAGGTACTAGCAGGCCCGTAAGGGGGGGCACCGGGGGCACGGTGAAATTTTTGGTATACTTTACACACCCGAAATTTCCGCCTGCGGCGCTTTATTACTATTCTTAAGACGCTTTTTACTTCTGTGAAGCCTATCTTTCCAATATCTCTCCCTCTCTACTGGAACTAGGAGAACAGTCCGAATCTGAATTCGATCGACACCTTAAGAACAGTTTTATTCCCACGCGAAACCCGATAAAACACAAAAGACGAAATGATAAGTGGCGTGGCGATCGTAGCTTCCAGCGGGTGAAAGCAATTTTCGGTGCATGACGGTGGGCGAAGAAGGAGTGAGAAGTGGATCGACGGCCGAACGGACGGCTGCTACTTCTTCTTCGCGGCATCTGAACGACAAGAAACGTCAAAAAGGCCACCCAAAATGGATAAGGGCACAGTTTAGGGGTCTGGACTGTTAGCGGGGGGGGGGGGGTTTCCCAGTAATTCCGTGCGGCCCTATGACCAAATAGAACCCATTTTCAAAGCATTTACATAATTTTAAGCCATAAAAAGCTCGTATACAAGTGTTCCCCCACCTCGCTTCAGCTGGGCCTCGGCCTCCTTCGCGAACTTGTGGTAGGCGGGCATCCATTCCTCCTTGAGCTTCTTCTTCCTCGCGTCGGTGAACCCGCGACCAGGCATCTGAAAATTTTTCGACATTTTGGCGTCTTCCTTTCAAGTATTATCTCTCAGGACTGGGAATAACTAAAAAGGTAGAGAAATCTTCATAATTTCCAAAATTTCAAAATATTTTTTCATGGCTTACTAGCAATGACAAACTACCGGAAACACGAGACATCATCTTCTATAGTAGGTAGATGGGCGGAGTGATAAAAATTAGCCCCCCCGCTACCAGTTCAGTACCGATTTCCCGGGGTCTGTTTACGTAAAATTTCGGTGATATGATATCTCGACAAATTCGACACTTTCAATTCCGACGTTATTCGACACATTGACGTGTTTTCTGGGTGACCCAGCAAGCACCTGCTCGAAGTGCTGGAGAAGGGCCATGTACACGTAGATGTACTGCCAGGGCGTCTCGACGAGGTGGGCCCGATGCTGGCGCAGCGTATGCAGGTCTTCATCCAAAAACCCGAGAAAACAGTTGGCTGTGGTGCGGTTGAGCGCGTACTGCAACAAGGCCAGTACGCCGGGGCGGCCGACGCCCAGCAACGATTCGACGAGGATCGGTTTGCTGGAATTGGATTTGGTGCGTTTTGCCTAAAACGTTCCTTTGATTTTCTTAGTATCCGGTTTTACAGGGTGTCCCAATAAAGAACAAACGGAAAGCATCAGCACTTTATAAAATAAGCCTGGTGTTCCCTATGCTAAAACATCCCCCGCTAACAGCTCAGAACCAGGCAAACTGGACTCGACCAAAGTCGCCCCCACGGATACTCAAGTACCGAATCAGGCGATGGGTGGAAAACGGAACAAGGCTTGAGTGCAGTTTACCCTCGCCCCCCCCAGCCGACCCCATCTACTGTATCTCGGCTCCCCTGTTCATCTACGGGTGTGTAAAGTATACCAAAATGTTTGTCTTGCTCTGGCGAGCATTTTCTTATACTTTACACACCTGTAGATGAACAGGGAGCCGAGATACAAAAGTTGGGGCCGGCGGGGGGGGGAATAAATTGCACTCTAGCCTGGAACAATTACCTATTCTGCGACAGACGCTTGAGCAGTTCGATGGGGCCAGCAAAGTCTCGGGGCACCCCACCCGCCGGCCAGTCCGTCCAATGATAGTGGTAAATGTTGTTTAGTTGCTGTCCATCCACCGAGACCTCATATCTGGACAGCTTCACTGAGTCGCGTAGCTTGGGCGACGGGTGCTGGAAACACAAAACTTTTTGGCAAATGGCAAGAGGCATTATTACGATTAGGGCTTCTATCGAGAGGCGAGTCCAGCAGGTCTGGTCGATTTTCGAAATGTCGGAATTTTTCTATCATCATTTTATAATGTTTTTACAACAACGGGCGGATGGTCTGATGCTTTTCTAACCAAGGGGTTTTTCACAAAAATCGCGATTTAAAGACCCTTGGAAAGATGGCCGAACGTGCCCGGGGGTGAGGGACCGACGGGGGACTACTATCGACGTAATTCAGGTCGTGAATTCGTAACTTCTATGTAAAGCGTAATTTCGGCCCGGAACAAAACGAGAAACCCGAAAACGGCCAGTTGAAGGCCCCTAGGGTATTTGAGGGCTTTTCGCCGCTCCGGCCCGGTTGGCCCCATGGTGTACTGGTTAGCGCGCTGGGCTGTGGGGTGGACCATCGCTGGTTCGACTCCGGCCCGCTGCAAAATTCTTTGCTTTTTCGCCAATTGCATCTTTCCAGGGGACTTTAAGAAACGAAGACAGTCGAGAAAACACGAAGCTGTCGCCGACTTACGTTCCACGTAAAATACCATCGGATCGTGAAGTCGCCAAATGTCTTTACTGGATTTTCGCGGGTCGGCCAGTAGGGGGTGATCTTGCCGCTTTCACTGCTGTCGCTGATCGTTACGATGGATTCGCACTGCGCCTGCAGGATCATTCTAAACTCCCATTGTTAGGATTTCATCAAATCGCCGCTGCTTTTCTCTTGCTAGGAAAGCCCAGAATGCCGCAACCCTAGCCGGCCGCAGAAGTGTCCGGTTCTCACGATTTAGGTATCTGTCTTTCTTCGATTCTCAAAATTTTGAAAGTTTTCATACGTTTACTAGGGTTTTACAAAACGGGCGGAGTTTCGGCTTGAGTGCAGTTTAGCCCCTCCCCCCTAGCCGAACCCCACCTACCGTATCTCGGCCGCCTGTTCATCTACAGGTCTGTAAAGTATACAAAAATGTTCGTCTTGCTCTGGCGAGTATTTTATTATACTTTACACACTTTTAGATGAACCGGGAGCCGAGATACAAAATTTGGGTGCCGGCTGGGGGGGTGGGGGGGTAAACTGCACTCTAACCGGATTTTCTGAGGTTTTTCTGACCAAGGGGCTAGACCAGTAGCAAGTCCTAAAAATTAGTGAAATGTCATACAGCCAGTGGTCGTCCACGGTCTCGCTGGTCGGCAACTGCGCGCAGATGAAAGTCGAGCCGAACAGGTACACGTAGTTGGCATGAATGTAGTGAGGGCCGGCGTGCCTCAGGACGACGCGCTCCTTGTCGACGCAAGGCACATCCGGTGACCGATTCTTGGGCCCGTTCTTCAGGAACATCGTCATGTCTTCCTTTTTCACGTCCCTGGAATGGGCAGGTTACTTTTTTCGGACCGCTCTAGCAATGAAAAACGACTAAAAACGCCATAAAATTCATAGTACTGACGTACGGCAAAAAATACACATCGGTACACAAACCTGGGGACATTAGCAAACTCAGCCTTGAGTTGATCGAACGTCTTCTTGAGAGTATATGCCGTGAAGTGCGTAGAAATGTTAATTTCGTCGTCCTGGTATGATTTGGATAGAAGTAGGCTGAAGGCATGATTAGAGTGCAGTTTACCCCTCCCCCCCAGCCGGCAACCAAATTTTGTATCTCAACTCCCTGTCAGTTCACAGGTGTGTAAAGTATACCAAAATGTCCGCCTTGCTCTCCCGAATATTTTGGTATACTTTGCAAAACGGTAGGATCACGCGGAGCCGAGTTACGGTAGGTGGGGTGGACCGGGGGGGGTCCTTTTGGACTATTTTTTCCCAGGCTACGGTTTATTTTACCCCCCCACCCCCCAGCCGGAAGTTTTTGGCTATAACTTTTTTATTCTACACCAGCGCCCAAAACGCGCTTCGCGGGCCTTGGGCGATGGAATTGGGCCTTTGCATGAAAAATTTGACTTTCCGATAGCTCGGGTCCTTCGGACCCCTTCCCCCACCGACCACGCGCGGGCAAATTGCAAGAATGAGGAAATCTGTACTTTTTCATATTATGCAAATACCCCAAAAATGAATAAAACCGGCTTTAACTTTGTAAACTTGTATTTTATCGAAATTCTGAAAACGCCATCGCAAAGAAAAGGGTCGATTCCCCCAAGTGACAAAAAATCAGCGCGTTTTATCCAGGGGAAGGCCCTTAAATCGGGCCTCGAAAGTGACATCCACACACACACACACACACAGAGATACACCCCAAAATTATATAAGGTAGGATTATTGTAGGCTCAAATTAAAACCCTTAGTATATTTTCGACGCTTTATCGAATGGCGCTGCAAAAATCCCGACAAAATAAGCAAAAATACCGAAAACTTTGAGACCCTTCGGCTGTGGGGGGGGAGGTAAAGTAAACTCTTAGCTTTTCCCAATTATCATGCCGAGTTCGTCGTTTGACGAAAAATTCCCGTTTTCAATTCTGCTTTGGGCTGGAGGGGTAAACTAAACTTTAGCCCATAGTTTTTATGGGTTCCCGAGTTCCTACACGGGGCGAGGGTTGAAAGGCCGCGAAGCGGTTGCTGAAACCTTGGTAATGTGTCAAAAGTATACAGGGTTCGGGGAACAGGAACTCTTCTTGGACGTCTTCTCGGCCATGCTGCACGACCGGGTGAGGGGGCGAGCCGGGGGTGGATGGGGCTGATTTTGTCCCGCTTCCGGAAAAGAAATTCCGGTTATGCAAAGAAGCTGATGCAAATTTTGGGCAAGCAAAGGTGCGTGCTTGCACGAACTATCCGACTCCGGTTATTGCCGTTTTCAATGTTTTCCATATGTTTCACGCGATGCGAAGCCAAAGATTTATCCTTCCAAAACATCAAATAAAATCCACTGCCTCCATTTTTTTCCATTTTTAGATGGAAGCGTTGGTGGGGGGTGATGTTAGTGGTGGTGGAGGCCGAGGTGCTGGTCGAGCCGTTGATGGTCGTCGTCCAGGTGGTGCCGTCAACGCGCCAATATAATTGAAGTCTAAAAGTACTAGCAAGGCTCGTACCCGGTAGAAAAAAGCAAACTGGGCTGGTACCCAGATCAAAATTACACGCCTGAAATTTTACCACACGTGTAAATTTTTTACACACGCGTGTATTTTTTTTTTACACGCGTGTAAATTCCGAAAGTTTCCTTAACAAATTTGTTAACAAATGAAAAAACACGCGTGTAAAATTCTACAATTTTTTACACACGTGTAAATTTGATTTACACGCGTGGTAAAAAAAGTGACGTGCTCGGAGACGGGGGAAAAACCCGAAAAAATTACACGCGAGCGCCAAAAATTTACACGCCAACTTTGGAAGCCTCCAGCAAATCGGAAAAATATTTTTTTGGAAAAGGTAAAACGAGACAAGCTGCAGACGGGTACCAACAGTCGGCCAAAAAAAAGTTGGATCGCTAAGTGCCCTGGAAATTTTTTTTATATGCCATTTTGTGAAGGCCCTTTTTTGAGCGATTTACACACGTTTTCCAAATGTAATTTTCTTACCTAAAAATTTACACGCGTGTAAAATTTCAAGTCAAAAATTTCTCGCCAAATCGCGTTGTTAGATCTTTTGCGCGTATCAAATGTAAAATTTATGACCGAAGCGGCAACGAGAACAATCAACAACAACAAGAAACAAATTATAAATAACGAAATTAAACAATATATATTATTTCGGATTTCAGTTACACGTGTGTTGAAGTGGGAAGGGTGTTTTGAGCTGCGTGAAGGCATTTCTAAGGTAAACTGAGTGGTCAAATGACATAAAACGTTCTAAATTCTCGCGCTTTCGCCATTTTTCCGAATGTAATTTTCTTACCTAAAAATTTAAAGGTTTTTCCGTTGTAGGTAACATTCGTATTTTGACAATTCGTCAAAAACAGCGCCCACATATTTGGTCGAAACTAATTGGATCGGCTCAGTTTGCTTTTTATACCATACGGAACCCGAAAATGGCGAAATTGCGAGAATTTAGAAAGTTTTATGTCATTTGCCCACTCAGTTCACCTTAGAAATGCCTTCACGCAGCTCAAAACACCCTTCCCCACTTTTACTGCACTTTGCTAAAAAGCTATGAAACCCGTTACCGATAGCTTTAGGTTCCTTCCCTGGCGTAAAACTACTCGAAAAAAAAGATTGGAATTAACCCTTCATGGCCCATCCCTGGCCCACTATGGCTGCGAATTTTTGCACGCGTGTAAAAATTTTACACGCGTGTAAATTTTCGGCCAAGTTTCCTTGAAAACCCTTATAAAACTCAATTACACGCGTGTAAATCCCAAAAGTGACGTGTAAATTTGACGTGTAATTTTTTTACCACGCGTGTAAATTTTTGGCTGTTTTGACACGTGTAATTTTGATCTGGGTACCAGCCCAGATGAATTATCGCACCGCCCAAAGTCGAACTTCGGATGAGGTTTCGGTGATAAAGGGCACATTCAGGAACGTTTTTTCGAAGAAAGCAAAGATTTTTGCCGCGGCCGGGGGTCGAACCCGGGTCCCCCGCTCGGGAGTCGCGAATGCATACCAGTCAGCCATAGCTACAACCTGGCGAGAGGCTGAGGGGCGCCCCGCGCCGCAGAGGAGGGAAATTGCCTGCCACGCCACGGGCAGGCAGTGCGCGCGGTCGCTACGTCCATAGGGTGTACACGTTGGGACGAGTACACGGTCCCTCCCTGAACGTGCGCTTTAAGCCAGCCCCCCCCTGGTAGCCCAGCACCGCGTAAACTGCACTCCAACCGAAGTCGCCCCACACGAATACTCAAGAACCGAGTCAGGAGATGGGTGGAAAACGGAACATTACCTAGTGTGTGACAAATCCTTGAGCAGTTCGAGGGGGCCAGCAAAGTCTCGGGGCACCCCACCCGCCGGCCAGTCCGTCCATTGATAGTGGATAATGCTTTGTATGTTCTTTCCATCCAGCGACACGTCGTAGCCGAACCACGTGACGGAGTCCTTCAGCGTGGGCGACTGGTGCTGGAACCACACAAAAACATTTTGGCGAATGCTAACAAGGAGACGTTTTTGAGTGACTTCCCAGTTTTGAGCATGACCAAACTTATCTTGCGCAGAATTTTGCGCTGATTCCGAATCTGTTATCCACATTTGCTTAATCGGAATTTTGCAAAGGTTACAGCGCATTTTAGGGCGAAAAGGTTTAAAATCGCAAAGTTTAGACACCTGGAAAAATTCGAGAGAAGGTATTTTTCAAAAGTAATTAGCACATCTTGTGCAGAAAAAGTTGCACTTTCGAATGAGTTATCATAGGAAAATGTTCAACAAAAAAATTGTAAAACTTGTCTCGAAATTCAGGGCAGGACCACATCCCGATAAAAATTGTTTTCCAGAAGGTTTCCAAAAATTTGTGTATGATAATTCACACAAAAAAGCGCAACGAGCTTTATCTGCACTAGATGTGCTGATTACTTTCGCCAATAGCATTTCTCTCGAATATTCCAGGTGTCTAAACTTTGCGATTTTCAGCATTTTCGCCCGAAAATGCGCTGTGACTTTTGCAAAATTCCTATTAAGCAAATTTGAAAAACAAATTCGGAATCAGCGCAAATTCTGCACAAGGCAGGTTTGGTCATGCTCAAACCTGGGATGTCACTCAAAAACGCAAACTGTCACCAGGGGCGTAGCCAGAAAAAAATTTCGGGGGCCCCAAAAAATTTTTCCAAAAAGCTCAAAACATTCACGAGAAAATAGCTAAAAAATATAATTTTTTGAAAAAAAAGCTACATAGCTCTACAAATAGCCGTAAAAACGTGAAAAAAATAGCGCCGCAGGCAGCCAAATTTTTGAGCAAATAAAAAATCATAAGGGTCCGCCCTTATGAAATTTTCGGGCCCCGGCCGATTTCGGGGGGGCGGACGCTACGTCCCTGACTGTCACTATAAAGTGTTTTCATATTGTTTTTAGTAAATTTTAACTATATTGAACGTTCCTTCAAAAAAGTTAGAAAAATGTTTTAAAAAGTCGAAAATTTGATCATTTTGGGCCTTTTTCGGATTCCCCCCGGGGATCCTAAAGAACCAGCCCACGAAGCTGTCGCCGACTTACGTTTTCCATACCCGACAGACGGATGGTGAAGTCGCCAAACTTCTTGATCCGATTTTCGCGGGTCGGCCAGTAGGGGGTGAACTTGCCGCTTTCACTGGGGTCGCTGAGCGTTACGATGCACTCGCAATCGGCCTGCATGATCATCCTAAACCGCCACCGTTAGTACAGGGTGTCCCAAAAAAAGCACCGCTCCGGCATTTTGCCGTATTTTATCCGATCGGTCGAAAATTGGGTGCTTCCTGGTTATCGGGGGTCGGTTATTTTAGCGGGGGTCGGTTGCGAACTTTTTTCTATAATATCGTGCGGCTCGGCTAATTAAAAACTGGCCGTTTTTATAGCCTTGTGCGCCGTTTGAAATGGTTCTGGACTGTTAGCGGGGGAGGAGGCATTAAGAAAAACGTCATAAAACATGTTGAAAAAAAATTTCTTTTTCGGTCTAACGTATATGAAAATGGCTAAAACCACGCCATAACCCTAGATTTCGTGACTATAGGATAAATATTTTTATAATTTTTGATTATCGGAAGCTACTAAAAACAGTATGAAAATAAACTACAATTTATCACTAGGCAGGTATAGGCTAAACGAAAAGAAGATGCCAACCGACCCCCGCTAAAATAACCGACCCCCGATAACCAGGAAGGACCGAAAATTGGAGCAGAGGTCATTTTTGGCCCCCTGGGGAGTGTGTTGTCAAGATATCGAATTTTGTTTCTATTCCTATCCTGGAAGCGAGAAAGGTATGTTGGTTTTCTGTATCGGCGTTTTCTCGGCCGTCCCGCCGAATTTCAAGCTGATTTTTGGCATGTGCGTGGGAAATGCCTTTTATAAAAAACTGCTTGTTGAATTTTTTGAAATTCTTTCATTTAACAATTTTACAAGCAAAAACGTGGAAAAAGTCCATTTTCCATAACTTATCGGGGGAAGCGGAGGCTCCAAAAAGCTTCCCCCCCGAAAACAGTCTAGTACCGGAATCGGAACCATTAGCAAGGCGCGGGAAATTAGTGAAATGTCATACAGCCAGTGGTCGGCCACAGTCTCGCTGGTCGGCAACTGCGCGCAGATGAAAGTCGAGCCGTACAGGTACACGTAGTTGGCATGGATGTAGTTGGGGCCGTAGTGCTTCAGGATGACGCGCGACTTGTCGACGCATGGCACATCCGGCGACCGATTTTTCGGCCCGTTCTTCAGGAACGCCTCCATCTTTTCCTTGCTCACGTACCTGGCAACGACAGGTGTCAATTAACCGCAAATGACATAGAGGAATGGGCGGGGAAGGGCGGTAGTTTTGGTTCTGGACTTTAAGGATTTTTAGCGGGGGCGGCGGGGGGGGGGTGGGGATAAATGTTGCCGAATAATGCCGTACGGCACTCTAGGGGGTCCCAAAAAAAAAATTCCGGGTTCGATTTTTAATTTTGGTCGAAAGCGCCCGGAAAGACGAGTGCCGCGTTATTCCGATTTCCGAAACTTTGGAATTTTTTGTTGGAATTCTGGCATTTCTTATGCAAAAAGGACACGTTTGGCTCAAGTCTAGGAAACCCCGCCCCCCAGCCGACTTTTCAACTTTTCTACCTCCCTTATTTTTATTTTTCGCTACTTTTTTGGCTCAATTGCAATGTATTCTTACCAATTAGCCTACTGCGAACATTTTGGTCGATGTTAGAGTTTGCCAGCACAAAGGGGGCTGGGGGGGGGGGGGGTCCCTAGACCCTTACCACACGCTTTTTCGTCAAAAACTTAATTCAACCGGGTTAAAGGTTCGGAAGTCGAATTGCTTGCGTGCGGGGAGTGGACCTACTGGTCAGAAAAGAGAACGATTGCCGGCGAAACATCACAGAAAAGTGAGTTCGTGGCGAAAAACGGCAATATTTGAGTAAAACCGAAAAATTCTGGGAGCGAAAACGACTTTTTGAGGGCGCCGTGATTACATACCCTAATAGATTGTATTGACGTAAGACTTAAAGGCTTAAGTGCAGTTTACCCCCCAGCCCAGCTCCTCAGCCATACGTCCTATTAATGCGCCGAGTATCTCAAAATGTTCGCCGTGGTCGAAAACCCCTGGAAAAGTGCGCTACTTGCGCCAAAAATTGTCAGAAAAATTTTTACAAAATTTTGAAAGTTGAAAAGATTAAGCCGCTATGCATCAATGTACCAGGAGTCAAAAACTCGAATATTTCTGTTTTCCGCTATTTTTTTCGACCCAAGCGTACTGTAGGCTTATTCTGCAGAGCAAGAGCTACATTTTGGTACCATTGACAGCTCTGTACGACTAAAGATAGCCGAGATACGAAAACTCACTTTGGAACAGCAAAAATTAACTAAAGAAAACCCAGACTTATAATTATTATAAAAAATTTTTTAACAATTTTTGGCGCAAGTAAACAACTTTTCCAGGGGTTTTCGACCACGGCGAACATTTTGAGATACTCGGCGCATTAATAGGGCGTATGGCTGAGGAGCTGGGCTGGGGGGGGGTAAACTGCACTCCAACCGACTTAAAATACACGTCGGTACGCAAACCTGGGGACCTCGGCAAACTCATCCTTGAGTTGATCGATCGTCTTGTTGAGAGTATTTGCCGTGAAGAGCGTAGATAAGTATTCGTGGCCCTGGTGTGATTTGGATAGAAGTATGTAGGCCAAAGGTATTAACGACTCCGGCTACGGTTCAGTTACCCCCCAGATTAGCTCCTCGGCCGCAAGTCCTATATTAATGCGTTGAGTATCTCCGAATGTTCGCCATGGTTGAAAACCTATGAAAAAGTTGTTTACTTGCGCCAAAAATTGTTAGAAAATTTTTTACAAGAATTTAAAAGTTGAAAAAATCAGTCGCAATAGTACAGAGTACCCGGTGTTTCTAACTCAAATATTTTCATTTTTTTTAATGTTTTTTTCGATTCAAACGTACTGTAGGCAAATTTTACCAAGCAAGAGCTATATTTTGGTACCATTGATAGCACTGTAGGACTAAAGATAGTCGAGAAACGAAAACCCACTTTGGACCAGCAAAAATTGACTAAGGAAAACCCAGATTTATAGTTGTTATAAAAAATTTGTTACAATTTTTGATCTAAGAAAACAATTTTTTATAGTAATTCGACCACGGCGAACATTTTGAGATACTCGGCGCATTAATAGGGCGTATGGCTGAGGAGCTGGGCTGGGGGGGGGTAAACTGCACTCCAACCGACTTAAAATACACGTCGGTACGCAAACCTGGGGACCTCGGCAAACTCATCCTTGAGTTGATCGATCGTCTTGTTGAGAGTATTTGCCGTGAAGAGCGTAGATAAGTATTCGTGGCCCTGGTGTGATTTGGATAGAAGTATGTAGGCCAAAGGTATTAACGACTCCGGCTACGGTTCAGTTACCCCCCAGATTAGCTCCTCGGCCGCAAGTCCTATATTAATGCGTTGAGTATCTCCGAATGTTCGCCATGGTTGAAAACCTATGAAAAAGTTGTTTACTTGCGCCAAAAATTGTTAGAAAATTTTTTACAAGAATTTAAAAGTTGAAAAAATCAGTCGCAATAGTACAGAGTACCCGGTGTTTCTAACTCAAATATTTTCATTTTTTTTAATGTTTTTTTCGATTCAAACGTACTGTAGGCAAATTTTACCTAGCAAGAGCTATATTTTGGTACCATTGATAGCACTGTAGGACTAAAGATAGTCGAGAAACGAAAACCCACTTTGGACCAGCAAAAATTGACTAAGGAAAACCCAGATTTATAGTTGTTATAAAAAATTTGTTACAATTTTTGATCTAAGAAAACAATTTTTTATAGTAATTCGACCACGGCGAACATTTTGAGATAATCGGCGCATTAATAGGACCTATGGCCGAGAAGCTGGGGTGGGGGTATAAGCTGAACTCTAAAGAACGACTCCCTCTCCCGACAAACCATTATTGTATCTGGTTCTGAATGTTAACGGGGGGGAGGGGATTGTTAGCGGAGGTACGCAGTTTCTGTTCTTCCAGACCTTTCTTAAAAATTTGGCTCTATACCGGTAACGGGGTCCATAGAAAAAACCGTGGTCCATAGAAAAAACCGTGGTCCATAAAAAAAACCGTGGTCCTTAAAAAAAACCGTGGTCCATAACAAAAACCGTGGTCCATAACAAAAACCGTGGTCCATAACAGAAACCGTGGTCCTTAGCGGAAAATGGCGGAAACCGTGGTCCATAATAAGTATCGTGGTCCAATGAAGGTATCGTGGTCCATAAATCCGGAAAAATTGGCGGCTATGGACCACGATACTTATCGTGGTCCATAGAATCGGGATTTCAGCCAGAATAAGGACCACGATATCGGACAGGTCGCAAATCGCCGGTTTTCGCGATTTTTACCAGTATTTTAGCAGTTTAAAGGCATCTGCATCTGTAGGAAAGTTTGAAGAGCCTATAATTTTGGTTGCGAAAGGCATTAAAGTCTAGAAAACCTGAATGTCTGGGAAAGCCTGACCTGGGAAGATACGGTACGAAATCCGGTACTGTTCTGATCCGGTACTGCAAAAATCTACGCCGGGGGCATAACCGCAGGCGAGGAGTTTACGATATTTTCGCTAGTTTTCAGGGTTTCTTGATTCCATAGCATCGAAAAATATACTAAAAGTGTAATTATAGCCCAAAATAATGTAATAGAAAATAAGTTACAGCAAATTCAAAGATTTTTTTCTATAATCCTCCTATATTACATTATTTTCAGTTTCTATTGGTTGACGCGCTATCTAATCGCGTCTTCAAAACATCCAAAAAATAGAAAAATATCCAAAACTCAGTTTCAAACCCATTTTCATATGTATCTTTGAATTTATATGCCTTTAAACTGCTAAAATACTGGTAAAAATCGCGAAAACCGGCGATTTGCGACCTGTCCGGTATCGTGGTCCTTATTCTGGCTGAAATCCCGATTCTATGGACCACGATAAGTATCGTGGTCCATAGCCGCCAATTTTTCCGGATTTATGGACCACGATACCTTCATTGGACCACGATACTTATTATGGACCACGGTTTCCGCCATTTTCCGCTAAGAACCACGGTTTCTGTTATGGACCACGGTTTTTGTTATGGACCACGGTTTTTTTTAAGGACCACGGTTTTTTTATGGACCACGGTTTTTTCTATGGACCACGGTTTTTTCTATGGACCCCGTTACCGGTATAGAGCCAAAAATTTTAGCTCTATCGGAAATAAGCAGCCAAATGCCGAAGGTAAAAGACCCTCCTATACAAACGTAATGTGTTAAAAGTATACGGTGGCAGAGGAGCTGGCTACGGTTTACTTTACCCCCCCCCCCCCAGCCGGAAGTTTTTGCCTATAACTTTTTTATTTTACATTATTGTAGGCTCAAATTAAAACTCTTCGTATATTTTTCGACGCTCTATCGGATGACGTTGCAAAAATCCCGACAAAATAAGCGAAAATACCGACAACTTTGAGACCCTAAGGCTGTGGGGCGGGGGGGTAAAGTAAACTCTTACCGAGGAGCTCTTCTTGGCCTTTCCAGGCGTCATCACGGCCGGGTGAGGAGGAGAGCCGGGAGAGGATGGCGCTGACTTTCGTCCCGCCTCCGGAAAGGAAATTCCGTTTTTGCAAAGCACTAGATGCAAATTTAGAGCCGATGTTTTTCCTTAGTCGACGATCTATCTTACTTCAGACATTGCGGTTTCAGTGTCGTCTGCTATTTTTCGCACCGCCAAGCCAAAGATTTATCCTCCCAAAAACTCAAATAGAATGCAGATCCGTGCTTTCCACTTTTTTAGATGGAAGCCGTGGTGGGGGTGATGTTAGTGGTGGTGGAGGCCGAGGTGCTGGTCGACCCGTTGATGGCCGTCGTCCAGGTGGTACCGTCGACGCACCTATATAGACGGCAGTTTAAAGGTACTAGCAAGGCAAAAACACCGGCAGAAAAAAGCGAACCTTCGGTACGGTAATCGGCTCATGAAACAGTTTTTGCAGATAGCTGTATCGGCTTTTATTACGCTCTCTCTCCCTCTCTCGCTCTCTTTCTCTCTCACTCCCACCCTCTCTCACTTCATCTCTTCCTGTCTCTCCCACTCTCTCTCCTCTCTCTCCCATTCTCTCTCACTCTATCTTTCTCTCGCTCTCTCTCTCTATCTATCTATCTATCTCTGTCCTCTCTCTCTCTCTCTCTCTCTCTCTCTCTCTCTCCCGCTCTCTCTCTCTCTGTCGCACCGTCACCTACAGGATAGACTGGTAGAAGACAGGGGTTCCGGTGAACGCGCCGTCTATTCCCAGGTACATCGGCACCATCTGGACATCACCAGGGGACAGCTCGTAGCTGTAGACGAGCTCAAAATGACGGAGTCAACGACCCTAAAAAATCCTCACGGTGGTGTCATCGATGTATTGGTACATCTGAAGAATCGTGCCGGCCGAGCTCTTCCAGGTATTGCGTTGGAAGCTGAAAAGCGAGAGTATGCGACGCAACGCAACGCAACGCGGCACCCAAAACGACGACGCCTTCATTTAACCCTACTGTAACTCGTTAGTTAATGAAATTATTACAAGTTTTGCTTCTATTATGGTGTCTACTACGCGTCTTAGAAGCCGAACAGCTTGCTGACGCTGTCTCTTTAAGAAATAACATTTCTCAAAATTTACCGAGTCATGAACGCGGCCTTCCCATCAGCTGAGTTGTACGCCTTGGCGTTGCCGAGAATGGTCTGAGTGGCGGTAGCTTTTCCCTAGTTCCAGAAATCAGAGCTTCAAATCTAGATTCGTACCTTCAAGTAGCTCTTCACCGTGACCGACTTCGAGTTGTTGGTGAGCGTGGCGACAAGCGGGATGTTGGCGTCGTCGGCGATGGCGGCGGCCAGCGTCTGCGCGTTGTTTAGGCCGTAGAATTTCAGGCTAAAATAGGTGTTTCCGGACCTCTTCCAAAAACAGTTGAAAACATCGAAAAAATCTTTGAAATATTTACGTTGAAGCTCCAGTAGTGTCGACGACAGCTCGGATATCGGTGCGCTGCACGTTGACCCTGGCGCCACAAGCCGCAGCTGAAAAATGGGGTTTTGAAGTTCGTGAAGTCACTTAAGCTATGCTTAAGTCGACTTTAAGCTATGCCTAAGCCTAAGCCAAAGCAGAACCTGTGAGACCTCAAAACCCACTTCCGTAGATGTTGATGTTGTAGACGGCATAGTTGGCGCTGATCGCGGCGAGGAGGGAGGCCTACAGAGGGGAAATGTAGGCAAGCTGCAGAGACCGTTAGCCAAAAACCTCATTTTTTTGGAAACTGGTTACCGTAACCCAGGTAAGGAGCAAGAGAGAGCGACGGAGTGGGAGAAAGTGAGATAGAGAGAGAGTGAGAGAGAAAGAGAGCGAACGAGAGAGAGAGAAAAAGAGAGAGAGACAGTGTCAGAAAGAGAGAGAGAGAGAGAGAGAGAGAGAGAGAGAGAGAGAGAGCTAGTCAGAATGTGAGCGAGAGCGAGAAATAGCACGATGAATCGAGAAATATAACGATAGTGAGAGAGGGGGGGGAGAGAGCGAGTCAGAAAGAGAGTGAGAGAGACGGAGCGGGAGAGAGGGAAAGAGTGAGAGAGGTAGAGGAGAGAGACAGAGATAGAGAAAGTGAGGGAGAGAGTGAGTGAGAGAGAGTGATAGAGAGATTTATCAGGTTTTTTAATCTAATTTTTAGGGTGAATTTGAAAAATACACATACCCAGATGACTGCTGTGAACATCTTTGGCGATTGATGAGATTCTGATCGACCTCACGGCCTTTTATAGAGCCATCGGACCAATTTAACATTTTTTTCACCGTCTCAAAAATGCCGTTGTGGGAGGCCATTTGGTCGGTCATCACACCAGAATCACACGGCAAACACCATCAACACCACGTCCACGCGGTTTGTAAGGAATCGTTTAGAATGTGTGTGCCGTTGGCGCGGTTCAACTGCCAATTCACCCTCTTCTTGCATTATCCTTTTCCTCTATTTGATTCGTTGCTCATCGTTGTTTGCCGTTGGGTTCAGAGACTAGGGTGCGGTTTTCATAACGGCGAAAAGGAATAAAATTATTAATTTAGTTTTCATAACAAATTATGAATCAAAGTCGGATCGATAAGTCGATGAAGTGATCTTTTAAGGGAACACTTTCTAAAACATCAATGCAGGGTGTCTCGTAAAAAAACATCCCCCCGTTAGCGGTCCCGAGCAAGGTCGGATCGGGATGATTTTTATACCATCTGAAAGCCCTTGAAATGGCAAGAAAACAGGCGCTTGTCGTTTTACACAATTTTTTAATCCGCGTCTGATTTTAAACGATTACTTGCAAAAAAAACCTGATTTTAGCAAAAATCATGCATCCTTCAGTATTTTCAAGACCTTTGTCTCCTCAGTCAAATTGTTGTTTGCCGAAACGCATATGCAACGTCACTTTTTGGTATTTCACTTTATCCTAATCAATAATTTTGAGCGGAATTACTTAGGATTTTTCAGTGTACCCAAAGATCTAGATAAACTTCTCCTGCCTCCTTAAAGGGGCACGCATATCTCCGTTTTTCCACGAATTGTGGAAAAGTTTGCATGTGAAACGCCTGCGTCTCTCGCCGGGGTCCGCTCTCTAACCGGAAATGCCTGCAAATTGTTCCAATTTTGTGGAAAACCGGCGCTGCTGAAAGTGCCTCTTTAGTAAGTAAATGTAATTAATTCCATTTTAAGGGTTCATCCTCAACTTGATCCATCAACAAATTTATTCTGGTCATTTCAGCTCGGGCACGTCAACGCAAAGCTCTTGCCCGGTCGTCTTTTCGATGAAATCACAGTATTGCGAGACGTCTGTGAGCAGAGCTAGAAAAATGCCATGAAATCATCAGCTTTCAAAACAAGTCGGAGTTAAAATTTGAGTTGTTTATAAAAAAGTGTGGCTTGAAACGTACGCGAGTTTGGCGCTCTGTTTCCCCAGGGGCAGTCCCGGTTGATGGTGACGCCTAGTTGGACCCAGAAGCTGCGGCCGCCGCGCGAAACATAGGTCGCGCTCGCACCGCCCGCATGGCCCTAAATTTCCAGATAGCGCCTGAGCGGATCATTTTAGTTTTTGGAGACAAAAAGAATAACTTTTGCACGGAAAATGCTGGAAATTTCACACTTAAACCGCCCACCCTGCAGACTACTCCATAGCGGTCCGTGGCTTTCAGGCAGTACTGAGAAACCGGGTCGATACCCGGATACTCCGCGATGCAGCTCTCGTCGGCGGTAGGAAAGGCGTCGAACTGCCTGAGCTTACCCTCCGTAGGGCCTAAAAAATTCGTGCGCTGCACGTGAGGAGGACGTGAGGAGGCTGTGCAGGTAATAGGCACGTTAAAGGTACCGTTCGCTCTCGTTTGAATGGTCTAACAAGGGAAGGGTACGTGGACGAAGTGGAATTTCGCAAAACCCTCGCGGCTACCCCCGGGTAATCGACTATGGAGAACACGATGCCGTTTTCCGATTTTCTTGCGGAGGCCTGTGGACAGAGGTACAGCACTTCCGGAAAATGACGATTTGCATGCGAAAAATTAGAATCCGGGGAAGCCTTATTAGGCTCGCTCATCAATATGGAATCACCGTTTGAATGGCCGATTGGTAAGCATCTCGCTTGATAGGATACTGACGAGGGTACGGATCCTCTCACGTTTTTTTCGTTTTGCTTTTTGACAGGAACTTTTTGCACAAGTCCAGAAATTCCTTGACTTCGACAAAATTTTTAAAGTGATGAATATCGTAGATTTAGCTATCCCACCAAAAAAAATTGAAAATTAAAAAAATATTCGCGAGAATGGGCAGCCATCCTCCCATCAGGGAAAATTTTCCTAGAGTTTGTGAAAGTATTTTAGATTTGGTTACTCTGCAATAACGTACGTATTAATTAAAAATTTACAGTTATCGCGGCAAAATGCAATGAAACTTTTTTTCGAAAACCACTGTCAAAAAGCAAAACGAAAAAATCGTGAGAGGATCCGTACCCTCGTCAGTATCCTATCAAGCGAGATGCTTACCAATCGACCATTCAACCGGTGATTCCATATTGATGAGCGAGCCTAATAAAGCTTCCCCGGATTCTAATTTTTCGCATGCAAATCGTCATTTTCCGGAAGTGCTGTACCTCTGTCCACAGGCCTCCGCAAGAAAATCGGAAAACGGCATCGTGTTCTCCATAGTCGATTACCCGGGGGTAGCCGTGAGGGTTTTGCGAAATTCCACTTCGTCCACGTACCCTTCCCTTGTAAGACCTTGGACAAATTGTGTTTTAGAACGCCGGGTTACGGTGGGTGCTAAAAGTCGGGCAAAACCGAACCCGGAGCGCTCGCCTAGGGCAAAAGCTTTAGACCACCGGGCCATGGGAGAGACGGGAGAGGGGAGGGGGCGAGGAGCTATGAAGGGTCGGAGCCTCCGACTCGGAGGTCGCGGCCGCCGGACAGCCGAATTCTTGCCGCCGACCTGGATTTTTTAACGAGCGCGGAATGTAGCTTTAAAGGGGCTAAAAAGTCAAGATTCGCGCGTTCGGGAATTTTTGGTGAAAAACCGAAGCGATACTGCCTAATTACTATCGATAAACTACTTGCTCTCAATACAAGAAAAATCCTCTGGCTACGTTTACCAAGAATCAACGTAGAGGAGCCTCAACCAGACTTCTTTGTCCCTTCAATAACATACCTGGTGGGCCGTCCAGCGTCACATAATCCGTCCACTTGACAATGTGATGGCGCACCGCGCTTTTGCGCAGCCAGCCAGCCGGCTTTGGCAAGGTGATCGCGCTGGGCGGGCCGCCGTTATCCCCCAAAACGATCGGCTCCTTCAGCTGGAAAAGAACTGGCTTGGACGTTTTTCAATTAACTTTCAAAATTGCGAAATTTTTAAATATCGAAACTTCATGACGCGGCGCTTTCATAATGTCGAAAATCATAATGCCGAAATTTCAGCATATTGCCTTTTGATATGGACGGAGGTCGTAATGTTGCAATCTCGGAATGGCGAAGTTTCATAGTGTCAAAATTCCATAATGTCGAAATTTAGAATGCTGAAATTTCAGAATCTCGAAATCCGCGGGGGGGAGGGTAGAATTCACGGGGGAAACCAACTTGTTTCCGGGCGGCCATGGTGGGGATAGTAATCAAATATAAAGTGTTTTCGCATTGTTTTTAGCAAAATTTAAGCCTATTTGAATAGGAAAAACCTTTTAAAACTTTAGAAAAACACTTGAAAAAGTCGAAAATTTGGTCATTTTTGGGCCGAAAAAATTGATTATTCGACCTGAAATTAATTTCTTTAATCCAATTTTGTACATTTTTTATGCTTAGAAATAACTATAAACAATTTGAAAACGCTTCCACTATTTATATAAAAAATTTAGGCTTGAGCCGAAAAAAGTTCGGTGTCCCCCCCGCGAATCTCCCCCCCCCCCGCCCCGGGAATACTCAAGAACCAGAAATTCTAATGCCGATATTTGTCTGGATTCATAATGTTGAAATTTCAAGATATTTCGATATATTAAGAATCGACATTCGGAAATTCCGACATTCTGAGATTTCGAAATTATGAAACTTCGAAATTATCATTTGACATTGACCTACCTTGATGAGCGCGATATCGCCACGGCTCTTGTTGATGTTTATGTCGAAGCCGGGTGCAATGAACGTCTGCGCGCCGTAAACTTCTTGCTGAAATGCGGGGGGGCTGGAAATGGACAGGGCATGGTGGTATTTCACACGTAGTCAATCACCTTACCGATCCTTTAGCTCCAGCCCGGATACTGCTGTTGACTATAGCCTCGAAGGTGTCCATCCGGTAGCTGGAAGGGCATGGCTTTCATGTTACACCTTGTTTCAATACCCCTCATCATTTTGATCGTACAGGCAATGGGCGGCGGTCAGCAGCCAGTGTGGCGCCACGATCGACGCAGAACAGTGGCGTGCGTGGGTGACGCCGTCAAGGTCGAGCGTGCCGACTAGAATAACCGCGTATGGGTAGTCAGCGATCGTGATCGGGTCTCCCGCGGAGGCTCGACGGAGGTGCTCCTGAAAGAAACCGCTTTTTATCCTATGCCTATAAATACAGATCGTTTGCCCGAACGTACTTTAGTAGATGCTTATAATCAACTCTTTTACCAACTTTTTTTTGCATATATAGGCTCTCCATTCAGGATTTTTTTAACGCGTTGAATTCGAAATGTTGAATTTTTACGCAATTTCTTTGTAAAATTCAGCTTTTGCCCATTGATCTCACCAAATTTTCCGTTCACCGAAAATTATGAGGTTTTTCGCAGTTCTGCCCGCGCTAACTAGATCACCGGCTTCGGCCGGTCGTCTGTGAGTCTCAGGTTGTACAAGACGAAACGGAAGCCCGCGGAAAATTCCGACCACCCAAAACATCTCCGAATGCGGAAACCGATCACTACTCACATAAAACGCTGTTTTTTCAAACTTAGGCATAAAAAAAAAATTTTCGGGAAAGTCCCAGCATACGGCTCTGCCGCTGAATTATGCTGTTACCCAAAAAAAACTCGCAGAAAGAATTTTTTCAAAAAACGGCGTGCTTAATGATATTTTGTAAGGCTGCTAGATCACGGGTGTGAAACTTTGGAAGCATCGGAAATCTTGTCAAAACACCACGCAGAAAAAGGCCAAATTTTAGGTGCATCCGAGCCCGGAAATGTTTCGTAAAGTAAGCCCTTGCCGATCTCGAAATGTTGCTTGAAACGTACCACAGATTCTCCCAAAGCCATCCCGACCGTGAGCAGACGTGCGACGGCCCAGAACAGCATTTGGGTCATTTTCAAAAATACAAGAGCCTAGCCAGGGCCTGGATTTTATAAACAGTAATGTTTTATTCATCATCGCATCGCGACTGAAGGTCTATTTATATATTTCTGATGAAGCTGTTATTAAAAATGACGCGTGCTGTAATGTATTTCGTACAGTTGGCGAGGAATACAAAATGCCGGAGATATTTATAGCTGTACACCAGAAATCGTCTAGCAGCAGTGGACGCCCTTGCAAGCCTTGGCCGGCGGCTCCTTGCGGCGAACCCAGTCGACCAGCTCATTGCATTTCTAAAAAAATGATATCGCATAAAGTAGGCTTAGCTTAGGCTTAGCTTAGGCTTAGCTTAGGCTCAACATAGGCTTGATTTTGCAAGCTTCAAAAACTCACGCTGTCGAGCACCTTCTCGCACTCATGCTTCAAGAAAGCGGCAAAGTCGCACACCTCAGCCACCTTGCTGTGCAGGAACTTCTCGATCTCGTTGCCGCCCTCCTTTTCGGCTAGCTGAAAAATTGTGGTTTGAATGTATCAATTTTTTTCAGATTATTGTTTTTGTTAATCCACCTCAACCAGATCCTCGCAAGCCTTGCATTCGATTTTGTTGCGCTCCTCCGGTTGGACGGCTACTACTGCCGACAGGGTCACAGCGACGACGGCAGCGAGGATTAGAAGGAGTTTCATACTCTAAAAGGGCGTAGAGCTGTTATTTGATCCAAATCACGACAGCAATTACTGAAAAATCAAAAATTCTTGCAATGCCTTTTTAAAATTGTTGGAAAAGGAAAGGTTTTTCGAACCCTTTCGAAACTGTTTTCAATAATGATAAGTGAGAGATAAATTACGATAATGATGTTAGATTCATTTTTATAAACCTTCAAATAAATAAATAAAATTTATTTCAGATAAAAAATAAACTACAAAAAGAAAAATGCAGAATTCCAAAAGGAGAACATTCAAAAAAATTGGCCATTTCCAATTTACGTTTTTTCGTTAGAAATTGAACAAGTCAGCGTCATAAAATTATAAATTATAAAAAACTGGCAAAACTATTTTAATTGGCTATAATTATTGGAGAAATTTTGTTAAAAACGGCTTCTCATCACCAAGCGATGCCGAGTGATCGAATTTTGTGAAAATTGTGCAAAAAGGAAATGGACACCGTACTCCGCGAAATTCCGTAGACAACTGTCTTCCTACGCTCTTTATAAGGCAACAGTAGAGCCAAAAATGTCTCGTTATCAGCGACCTTCGCCCGGGGGATTCCCAGGCGGACCGTATAAGCAGTGGCTAAATCCGGCACCTCCGTCAAAATTCCGCACAACAAGCGACCAAATCGGGAAGCTAGCCGATCAGAGAGACCCACAATCGCAGATCACATGATCTGCACACACACACTTCACAATATTTTCAACCAAAAATCAGGTGTTGCGTGGTGTGTGCGTAGTCGGATTTGGGTCTTATCACGTTCAGAAGTAGACCCCGTCTTCGACACGTTCTGATCGCAAGAAGATTTTTAGCCCAAGATCGAAAGTGTGAAAGGCCACGTTTATGGTATTAAAGAGGCTGCGAAGCGTCACTGTTAACTTTCAATTCTAAAATTTTACGGAATTAAATTTTAAAAATTTTAGAACGTTGGACGACGTTAAAAACGACGTGGGAAAATCTGAATCCTGAAATTTCAGAATCTTGGCATTGTCGAGATATTTTCAGGACCTCGACGTGCCAAAATTTCGATTTCACGGAAACTGGAATTTTGAGAATATTAAAGCAAATAGTTCTTTTCGAATTACGGTAAATTTGTAATTCGGTTTAAATTCAAAGTTCCGATTTTGGCGATGATATCTAGATTTTCGAGAACCATGATATTTAGATTTTCGAGATTTTTCGCAAATTCCTATCGCGAACATAATTCTCTAAACATATCGGCTCCACTCTTACGTGGGCCAAAAAAAATTTGTTTCGATTAAAGGCCCATTCAAGGCATGGCTATGGATTTTTGGAAATTAACATTTCTATTTCTTTCCCTATCTGGCTCTCTTTCTCTCTCTCCCCCTCTCTCTCTCTTTCGCTCTCTCTCTCTCTCTCTCGTCTCTCCCTCACTATCTGCCTCCGTTTATCTCTAAATCCTTTTTCACACTAAAATTGCTCGAAAGGGTTTATTCCAACAAATCACATCTTGGATACGTTGTTATTCGTTCTCGAATTTGCCGTCGTGGTCAATAACCCATTCGTCAAACCGCTTCTTTGGTTATTCTGAAAAAGAACGGTTGTCAAAACTTTGAAAAATAGCGATTTAGGGCTAAAAGGCTAGGGAGAGAGTGAGGGCGAGAGCGAGAGATAGAGAGAGCGAGAGAGAGCGAGCACAAGAGAAATAGCGAGATAGCGACACAGAGAGAGAGAGAGAGAGAGAGAGAGAGAGAGCGATAACCAGCCTCCTGTAAATAAGACAATCTCACTTCCAATGATTAAAAATGAAAGACTTTAGGCTGCATCAAGTATCAAAATCTACTCACTTCGCTTCGTCCGTCGCGGCATCTCTTTAACCGGTTATTGCACCGGTTCATCTCTGGCTACAGAGGTCGTGTTGGTGGTGTTTTCCATGCGTGCTCTGGATAGATCGTTTGATTTCCGTTCAGGATACCTATAAGAAATGGTGGTTCTTTCCGCTTAACGGGGGGTAATTCGTCGGAAAATCCTATTTTTTCCATTAATTCTGTTGGACCTTGTATCAAAACAGAAATCACTTCTTATAGCATTTTACAAAGTTTTTCTCGTCAAAAGCTCTTAAAAATGTAAAATTTGCGAAACCTTGGACTGACAAGGAGATGGTCTCAGCTCGACACCGAATTTCGTTTTGAAAATTTGCACACTGATAGAGCTCGACGAGACGAATCGATTGGTGTAACTTTCAGCTGCCCATACTATAATATAGCCGAGTTATAAGCATTTTAAGCTTTACATACATTTTGCATTTTGCATTTTAAGCTTTACATACAGGCGCAGTGCCCACAATACCTCATCATCAAAAATTTTCGAACTTAACATTAGACTTATGCACAACCTATGAACAACATTTTCAAAAAAATTGCGACAATGAAAAATGCTTGCTGACACACAACGCATTCACCGTATGTCATATTGATTCTTAACTTTTTGTTCTATTTTAAATTTTAAATTTTGTTGCTGGGACAGTTAATGCCCCTTGGGGTCAAAAATCCAATTTCTGAAAAAAGCTGTTTTATGGTCACTGCGCCTTGCAAGGGTTAAAATAAGGAATACGAACTGATTCCAGGCCTTCAGAACGCCAATGGCAGCATTTGTGCCAAAAAGCAAAAAATAAAAATCGTGAGCGGGTTCGAACCTTCAATAGATTCCCCATACGCCGCCGACTACGCCACTAGGCCACCAGGCCACGGTGATGGGGGAAGGGCGAGTGCTTATGAAGGTAGGGCGGAAAAAATGCAAAATGTATGTAAAAACTTAAAATGCTTATAACTCGGCTATATTATAGTATGGGCAGCTGAAAGTTACACCAATCGATTCGTCTCGTCGAGCTCTATCAGTGTGCAAATTTTCAAAACGAAATTCGATGTCGAGCCGAGACCATCTCCTTGTGAGTGGTCAAAAATGTACGAAAAAGGCGAAAAAAAGATCAAATTTTTAAAATTTCGAAAAAACTAAAAATTATTTTAGACTCTTCTGGCAATGGACAGCGGCTAAAAACGTCATAAGCAACATTATTCACCTTCAACATGTGTGTATAAAAGGGGAAATAAAAATGAGCATCCCCGTCACCTTCCCTTGGCAAAACGGAATTTTGCGAAAGTGAATTTTCGACAAAATTAAAAGGATTTTTGATGAATTATGGAACTTACGCTGTAGTACAGAGTTACTTTCAGTTAGCTCATAATCGTCGACTATCTTGGTATGAAGGAAGAGCCGTTCGTTGTTGGGGTGTAACTAAAAGCGTGGAGTGTGCAAAATACCAGAAAAACTTACGGTTTGTTCCATACCAGATTCCTGGACACAATACCACTTCCAATTTGCAAGGAACATGTCGAAACCTCCAGGAGTCGCCCATACGTTGGTCATTTTTGCAGACGCCAACGTCGAGGCGTACGCTGAAATTGCGTACACGGCGTTCAAAAAAACATTAAAAAGTAGATGATTTGGTCGAAAAATCGATATTTTTGATATTTTTAATACAAATTTGTAATGTTTTCACGTTCAGGAATAGTAAAAAACCATTTAAAAACACTTCCACTATTCATATTTGTAAAATTAGTTCCTAAGAAAAGGTTGTCCCGACGATAATGCGAAAGACCCCAAATTCAGAACATCTGCTAAACCGGGATGGGTAGACAGCCGGTTAATTTATTACCATTTTGAAAAATTCGAGAAAGCGGTTCGCGAGATAACTCATTCAAAAGCGCACATTTTTCTGAGCCAGACCCTTATTTAAGTTTGGCAAAATATTATGCCATGGTCTTTTCAAGAACCTCTTAAGTCCGAATTTTGAAAACGAGTTTCCACAACAGAAAAGGCTTCTAAAAGAACTGTAGCTATTTAACTATGGCCATGCCGATAAAAAATCCAAATTGTCTATGTGTTGTCCAAAATTACCTGATAGTTAATTTTCTTCTCCGTGAGTTGCACGTTGCTTGCCAGCCGATCGCAGGTGTCGCATTCGTAACGCTCGACGCCTGCCTCGAGGTACTTTTGGATTTTCTCCATTTGAGGCACGTATTTGTTTTGTAGGTACAGCTAAATTTTTTTGGGAGAATATTTCGGATAACTTACGACGTATAGGTGGTACTTGTGCAGAATTGGCGGAAACCGCTTTAGTAGTTCCCGTCGTAGCGCACCGTGTTGCAAAAAATCGAAATTATTGGCACAAATATCGATCATATTGTCGTAATTTTGATCCGTTGTGATGGCCTGAACAAGATTAAATCATTTTAAAAGCCATTTGGGTTTACCTGGGTATTTAGAAATCCGGCCGTCAGGCTTTCGATGTTTCGAAAGCGTGTCGCCAATGTGCCGAGTCCTGCACAGCAGGGCGCATATTTTTGCAGGGCGGGGGAGCACTGGAATTATGCGCTAGGATTCTTAGTCCAGGAACAACTTACCGGAATTTTTTAATTCAATTTATGCTGTTCCGTCATTCCACCGTAAATTCCGGGCATTTGGGCGAAAATTTTTTGGCGTTTGCGTTTGGCGGGTGGTTGTTGCCATCAGGGGCGACCATGTTCGGATTCTTTTCATTAGATATCTATCACCATACGTCATTTGTTCAAAGTAGCTTACGTTTTTAGCGACGCCCAATAATCCGTCTGGCATAATCTGATCGTCAAACACCGCCGTCTAAAACCCGAAAACTTTTTTGCTGCTTTTGCGCCCTGCTGATTCTTAATCTGCACGATTCTGAAAGGCACTGATGCCGGAAACCGCATTTGCCACTTACTCTGACGTGACATCCCAATGCTCGGGAGAGAGAGAGATAGAGAGAGAGAGCTAGAGAGAGAGATAGAGAGAGAGCTAGAGAGAGAGAGAGAGAGAGAGACGGGCAGCTGGGCAGACAGACAGACAGAAGGACAGACAAACAAACAGCCAGCGATACAGTCAGACAGACAGATAGAAAGAGAGAGAGTGAGAGAGAGAGAGAGAGAGAGAGAGAGAGAGAGAGAGAGAGAGAGAGAGAGAGAGAGAGAGAGAGAGAGAGAGAGAAATAACATCATGTCCCACAGAAGGATTAAAATAATTTAAAAAATCGTTAATAATTAAAAAAAACGTAAGCATGTGTTTTTTTCTCAATTAAAATTACTTTTTTAGAAAAAACTTACTGAACCAGTCTGATTCTAATAAATCCAGAACTGTCCATCGCTCGTATTCAGGAACCAGCATTGATAACAACGCGTCTAAAAAATGTGTTGGTTTTTGTTTTCTGACTACGATTACCGCTTATCACAGGCTCCACATAGTCCTGGAAGGTTTGCGTAGATATGATCATGCGAAATCCGGGATCATCCCTACACATGAATGTGAGCTAGGAAATATAAAAAAGTACTTACATTGCTGGGAACTCGTATGCAACTTTTCCGGTTACCGTTGCATAGATCTTGGCGGAGAGCGACCAGGAGTCCGCCAGCTCCCCACGATAAGACATGCCCACAACCTCGGGGGCCATGTAACATTCCGTGCCGCAATATCTACGGTTCCTCCGCCTCCGGTGGGCCTCCCTACTAATGCTCACACCTATGCCATAAGGCTAACTCAAGGGTAGCTTAGGGAAACTCATGAGAAGGACTTGTGTGGAGTTGGGACCCAACGGGACATGGGAGTATAAAAGGCACTCAGATGAGCCACTGCTACCTCAGCTATGATCTTCCCTAATCGTGCTGTTACTTATTTTATAGTTAGTCACCTGGTAACCCTAACTATCTGCGCGCTACGTGTTGCTCCCAGAACCTTGTAATCCGCGAAATGCATCCCTCCACTTAGGAGGGGATCTATTTTCTATAGTTTATTGAGACATTTAAATAATTACAAGAACATGGGAAGGGACCGGAAAAGGTGCCAACGCGACTAGCAAACCCTACTAAACGTGAGTCATCCTAATAAAAGAATGCAACCAGATGGGATTTGTCATAATCTAGTCGGTTTCTCTATGAGGGACCGGAGCTAGAATATGATATTCCCTTTGGTACTCCTAGATATTCCTATTATCTGCCTTATAAGTTGGGGCTCCTAATAACCCACTTATCTACCCATTGTGCCGAAGGCTGCGCTCTCTGAATTATACAATCACTAGCATGAACATGTGTGGCCTTGGTTAATCTACTCGACGGGAAGCGAGGAGAAGGCTCCCTTATTGAATGCACTTAGAAAACTGACTGTATATAGTTTCCTTTATTTGGAGGCTAAGGCAATTTAGAACATTGAGAGACTACCAGGAAAGGAATATCTGGCCGGCACAAATAGGCAAACCCCGAGATGTAAAATGAGTCACCCTAAGTCACCCATTTGAAGGGTGGTTAAATTCCCGCAAGATGAGGTGAGACCTGAAAATGGAAAATTGAATAGAAAACGGTAGGTATCAAAACAAAAATAAAGAATAGAGCAGAAAAATCGAAAAGTAAATGCAATAGGATTAGGCGTATCGGCATCAGCACGGAAAAATAGAAGGGATTTGAATACCTAGAACGCTACGGTATTAATTAGAAACTGGAACATGAAAAATGTAAGGAAAAATAAATCTAAGGTTCGAAAATAATTATAGAAAAGTATAGGAATGGTTAGATAATGCTTAATAGAGTTAGGTCAAAAGAAGAAAGGAAAAGTGATTTTCTAAGTAGTAAGTGTGCGCTAAACATAAAGAACTCCACGATAAAATGAACGTTAAACTCGTCGAGGACCTTTAAAAATTACTAAATGTGCTGGGTAGAGGGTAGAAGAAGGGTAATGGTAGTATGAGGAAGTATGGTTTCGGTAATCCGCCACTTCCTCTTATACCCTGAAGCAGATGCACTGACGCCGTCCAGAAGTGCTTGATATCACTTCATTAGTGCATCTCGCTACCTTTTGAACGATATTCAAGTTTTGACTATGACATTGGAGTGCAGAGATTCTTCACCATCTGCGCATTTCCGGAAAGCCCCCCGCGAGGACAATGATCCAGATTTTGGGACATTAATGGAAGAGTGATCCAATACACAATAATCCACCTTTTTAAAGGGCACGTTCAGGGACGTTTTTGGACAAGAAAGCATAGATTTTAGCCGCGGCCGGGGGTCGAACCCGGGCCTGCCGATCGGGAGACGCGGTCGCATACTAGTCAGCCACAGGTGCAACCTGGCGAGGGGATGAGGGGCGCCCCACCCCGGAAAGGAGGGGAATGGCCTCCCACGGCACGGGCAGGCAGCGCGCGCGGTCCCTACGTCCATAGGGTGTACACGTTGGGACGAGTACACGGCTCCTCCCTGAACGTGCGCTTTAATTCTAAAGCAGGATCGAAAACCGATACGCGGCTGTTCGACCGGTGTAGGTGTACGATTCCTTAATTTAACGCATTTTGCACATCAAACGCATATATTTTTTTCATATCAACATCGATTTTTTATGTTCTCAGCCGATTTCCAAAACAAGCCATTTTATTTAAAAAATTTTCCTCTTTAAGGATGAGCCCCAAAGCCAAAATTTTCGAAACTGGAGAATTCAGATTTTACAATTAGCTAAGTTGTAGAAAACAGCCAACTTCCAACGGCGGTATTCGCGCAATAATGAAAAATATCATTCGATTCAGAAAAATCAGTTAAGCTATCTAAAAAAAATTCGACAAATACAACAAAAAAGCCGAGCAGCCTGACCAAATAACGTCTTGGGTGCCCAAAAATGGCACTAAAACTTTAATATTTCGAGCTCCGTAGCAAATTCAAAGAACGTTGGCGTCAACAGCGTTGGGTCCAGCTGTATGCGAATTTCCAAAGCGACCTGGGCGAGGGGTTATTTGACCTTACCTAGTTATGGTTGACCTTGGCGGGCACGTTCAGGGACGTTTTTTTGGAAAATAGCAAAGATTTTTGCCGCGACCGGGGGTCGAACCCGGGCCTCCCGATCGGGAGACGCGGTCGCATACCAGTCAGCCACAGGTGCAACCTGGCGAGGGGCTGAGGGACGCCCCACCCCGCAAAGGAGGGAAATGGCCTGTCACAGCACGGGCAGGCCGTGCGCGCGGTCCCTACGTCCATAGGGTGTACACGTTGGGGCGAGTACAGGGCCCCTCCCTGAACGTGCGTTTTAAACCGTATCTGGTTTCTTGAGATTTTTTTTGAACAACACTCCAACAGTCACTACCGTAACCATTCGGTGTTTCCAGGCCCAATTTTCAGGCAGATCTTCATTAGATTCTTCTAGATTCTAGATTCTAGATTCTTCTAGATTCTAGATTCTAGATTCTACTAGATTCATCGATTACGGGTGGAAGCTCGTTTATTGCATGGTATACGATGGAAAAATGTTAATTCACAAAACGGTGAAATTTGAATAATAGTTGAGTTCGTGGCGTCGCACATGTGACCGGCGGAGAGTGGTCTATTCTTCTTTTTTATTGTCTTCGTTCATGGCTGAAAAAATAGATATAAATTAGTACCTTATTGTACCGCCTTTTTAGCGAGGGGGAGAGTAATAGCAAGTAATCCCGCACTGCTCCAATACAATTAATGGCTGATTTTTGAAGCATTTACACAAGGTTGGGCAGAAGCATGCCGATTCCTCGATTAGTGTTCCGAATTTTGATCTGTCCGCCGTTGGGAGCTAGATCCTACTATATATAAAAAAAATAGTGTCTGTGTGTGCGTGTGTGCCACTTTGCATGCAACTTCCGTCAGCGTGTTCCAACAGTATCTCAATAAGGGGGGTATTTAGGGGTATGTTTTATATGTCATTAGGTGCGTAATGGCCTTGAGATGACTGCACACTCCTAAAATTATTAAAAGTTTGTTGTTTTCGACGTTTAAATTAAGCTTTTTGTTGAAAAATCGAGAACCCTCTTTGTTAGGAAATAACTAGAATGTGCCGGAAGTTGCGGTAGTCTATATAATGGGGTAGAGAGCGAGCGTTTTTCATTTCTGTCGTCAAAAAACACGAGAACTATCCAAAGTACCGAATATCATGGGATCAGACGGGCGGGGCCAGGGTTGAAAAGTCGCGAAGCGGTTTTTCAACCCTGCCTTAGGTTATGTTTTTTCTGCAAAAATCATGCTCACCTGACATGCAAGTTTCTTCTCTTTGTTTTTTAAGCGCCTCTTCGACCTTCTCGAAGTAGTATTTTTTGCTGAATGGCTCAACATTCACCGCGAAAGGAAAGAACCCGTGGAGTGCTTCTTTGGTTTTTTCCTTTTAATTAAATTTAACTAATTTAAATTTTAAATTTAAAAATGTAAATTAAATTTTAATGTAATTAAATATACTAAAAACGCTATAAACAACATTGTTTGATATTAACAGGTATAAAGTATAGGTGGAAAACTAAAAATGAGCTCTCCCCCATTTCAAGAAAGTCAAATTTTGAAAACCTTAAATGCATTTTTTTAAATATTAAATTATTAACTTATTAACTTACGTTGATTTCTTATTTCCATGTTGTAGTCGTGCATAAACGGATTGTGGTCGCGTTTCTTTAGCCTTTTTTACCTTAAAACAGAGGAGCTGTTTTTTATGAATTAAAGGGCTTACCTTGTAATAAATGCATAAATTCAGATAGCTTAACGATTCCATTTTCGAGGGCGCGTTTGACCATAGTCATCTGCGATATTTGCATGAAAGTACTTCCGTTCATTGTTGGGGTTTAACTAAAAGCGGAGTGTGTGGAAAATTCAGAGAAACTTACGGTTTGTTGGTAAATTCGCATTAGCACTGCATTTACGATATTCATTGGTGTTGACAAATACGTTCATTCCCCAGCAGGTTGTGAATCACTTCGAGCCTCGCACACATCACGTAGGTTCATCATGCGTTTCATGTTGCAGCACTCGTATCCTAAATTTTTGTGGGCAATTGCTATCATAATGCCGATTCATAATGCCGAAATGCATAAAGTCGAATTCATAACGTCGAAATTTCACAATGTCGAAATTCAGAAGGTCGACATTTATTAGCATAGGCGTTTTTTCCGCGGAACTAGCTTATCTAAGTTTCGACATTATAAAATCTCCACATTATGAATTTCCGCATTACAAAAGTTCGACATTATGTATTTTGAGGATTTTGTAGGAGTATTTCCGCCTCCAAAAAAGTACCTCGAATTTATGTCTTAGATCGATGACGTCGGCAGAACAAAAATGGCTTCTTGTTGCGCCCTGCTCCGTCAGGTAAAGTGATTCCTGAAATAAGGTAAGATTAAAAAAATCGATCATCTTTTAAATAAGCCTGCCTTGGCTAATTTTTGTCAGAATCATTTCTGCGATTAAACATGTTTTTGTCACATCTAATTGTCTAATTCCGCCGAAAACCCCATGAAAAACCGATCAAAACGTTTAATTCTGTTGTTTTTCTAAAACCTCGTCAAACAACAGAGGCAGAAAGACAAAAAACCCTCTTAAAACGATGCTAATGTTTTTGAAGTCCGAAAATGCTACAGAAGAAGCAGATTCTTTCTTATTTTGTTAAATTAAACGATTTGATTAAACGATAATTTTAATTAATTAATCAATCAATCTTAATTTAATTAATCAATGAAATCAAAAAAAAATCAAATTAAAAAAAATTAATTAATCAATGTTGCCTTCCGACCCCGCTAGTGAATTGATCCGTTCTCAGATTCTCAGGTAATTTTCTCGGATGCTTCGGCTACAGGCGATTTCCCAAGCCGATAACTTTTTACCGCCAGTGTAGCTAGCTACTGTAGCTACTGTCGCTATACGTCATTTCTTCAAAGTAGCTTACCATTTTAACCACCACCAAGAAACCGTCTGGTATAATCTGCTTGTGGAAATCCGTTCGCCAAAGCGCGCTGCTTCCGCTTTTGCTCCTTGCCGCTTCTGGACATCCACTATTCTGCAAGGATTTGCTATCCTTTTGTCAAAAATCACTTTGTGGAAAATCAATTTGTCAAAATGCACCCTGTCGAAAATCATTTTTGGGTAGCTAAATTTGTCGAATATTCACTTTGTCGAAATGCATTTTGTCGAAATTTATCTTGTCCACAATCCCTTTGTCGAAAATCATTTTGTCGAAACCCTATTTTGTCAAAATTTCAATGATTTCATTTCATTACAATTTGCGGAATATTCGAGAACAAGAATTGAAGCGGAATCAGCAATGAAATATCGACAAAATGATTTTCGATATTATGAAATTTCGACAAAATGATTTTCGACAAAATGATTTTCGAAAAAATGTTTTTGCGACAATATGAAAATAAGCCATCGGCAAGGCACTTATTACGCAATGCGTATTTATCGCTTATTCTGCGCACAAGTCCACCAGCTCCGCGTTTTTTACTTACGAGGTGAGTCTTCAGTCGTTCCTCGTAGGAAAATAGGTTGTGAGCCACTTTAAAATAGCTGCCGCCCGCCATGTGAGCCAACACCATTTCCTGAAAATCATACATACAATAAATTAATAAAATAACGTCCCAACAAAAAAAGGTCACGCCGGCATTTCGCCATTTCAAAGCCGATCGTCAGGCTAAAAAACCAACCTTTAGAATCCATTTACATTTACATCGTGTTTTGTCACAGTCCGTTTTTCGATTTTTTCAAATTCAAATTTCCGACTATGGAAGGATGGCCGGAAGGGTGATGCCTTTTTATGAAGGCATTTGAAGGTTGGAGAAATCCCCGCCAGCCGAGGCGGAACCTGAAGCATGGGAAGTTTGGTAAAAAGTGCATTAAAAAGAAATCCAAAGAAAGCGAAAGTAGCAAAAATGCAGAGCAATGGGAAAAGCAAAAATACATAAAAAGAATAGGGTATTTCGGAGGAAAATAGTTTAAGATAAAGCAAATCAATAAATAAATCCTTCAATGGTCGAAACTAAAATGGTTTGATACCGTACGATATTTTTCGTAAGGAAAAGGGGAACCCAATTAAAAAATTAGCAAGGCAGAAGGTCTAAAAAGTGTGATGATTAGATAACGCGTCAAATATTTTGCGCGTCGGGAAATACAGTAGGAATGATGGATAGTGTAATTTGGAGTGTCGAGGAAAATAACCTAATTTGCTTAATAAAGGTTTCTAGAATCATGTCGATAAAAAATTAAGCTTGTGAATAATATTAAAAAGTTATAAATACTTAACGCGGCCCCAAGAAGAAGACAGGGAAATCCAGAATGAGGAATTATGATTCTGAGGCGCTACCATTTCTTTTCATACCCCGAAGCAGATGCACCGACACCGTCCAGAAGCGCTCGGTATCAAGTCAATAGTGTTTTTCGTGGACATATCAGCGATATTCAAGTTTTGAATATATCATTGGTGTAGATTAAACGCCAACCAGGTAATAAGATAAGCATTAACGACTAAGCCAAGCCCCGGTTCAAACGTAGGTCACTTCTGTCGGTCTTGTCTCTACATCTGGCGTAATGGTATTTAATAGTGGCCGGAAGAACTGCCATCATCAGATTTTTATTCGACCATCGCTTTGAAATCTCAAGTCTTTGACGTATACTACACCTAAAATATTCTACTAGTTTCCTATTATACTATTACATAGAAAAATACGAATTTTTTTAACCTTGCGTACCTGTTAATTTCCTTGATATACCGTAGTCTGTCACCTATTTCAAATTACTTGGATTAGTTCTTTAATAAAGCGCCTTTTTAACCTTCCTAAGCTCATTTTTGAAACTCTCCTTTTGAGCTATTTCCAAAAATCTTTAAAATGAGTTAATCCAACTTAATTCTAATTTTTATTGTAAGTCTACTATTCTACTCTCGCACTCTGTAAGTCTATCTGTACCACCTAAAAACATATATTACTTTATCTTTATCCGCTTACGGCACCCCCTTCTACAAACTACACTCATCCCCCTTGCACCGCCAACTCAAAACCTGGTTCTTTCCCCGACCAATACTGGCAAACATAACATTTAAAAACCTATTAAATCACTTCCTTTCTTATTAGCTCAATTTAGGTGACTTTAGAATTACTTGATTTACCTTCTATCTTCAAATTTTCGTTTTTTTTTGTGTATCTTCTATTCAAACTGTGGCACTTTTCAAATAGGCGGGCGGGGGAAAGATTTAGGCGGGGGAAACCAACTTTTTTTTGTCGGCCCTGGTGGGGCTAGTAACCAAATATAAAGTGTTTTCACATTGTTTTTAGCACAATTTAAGCCTATTTGAATCGGAAAAACTTTTTAAAAAGTTAGAAAAACTCTTGAAAAGTCGAAAATTTGGTTGTTTTTGGCGCGAAAAAATGGATTTTTCGACTTAAAATTAAATTTTTTAATTAAGTTTTGTAAAGTTTTTATGTTTAGGAATAGCTATAAAGAATTTAGAAACACTTCCACTATTTATATAAAAATATAGGCTTGGGCGGAAAAGTTCGGTTCCCCCCCGCCTATTTGAATTGTACCCAAACTGTTTTCTAAAATATTTCCTCCCTTTCAGGGCACCCCTCAACTTGACGTGATTCTTCCAAGCCCCCTGATGCCTTCATAAAAAGGCGTCCCCTCTCCGGTCAGCCCGATTCGACCGGAAATTTTGATATGCTGAAAACTGTGAATAGATTTTCATCTAAAGGGAAACGAGTAAATAGCCTCGTCAACCTGGTAAGACTAATTAAAAAAAACGACGGAATAAGTTTTAGTGAGGAAGAAGCGGCTTGAAAACGGATTGGTCTTCGCGAGATCCAGAGCCCGTTTGGCTCGTCACTCACAAGAAGAATAAGGAATGCATACACTCAGCACCGTTCGGTAGGACTTAATCGAAAAGAGCTTATAAAAACGTGGTGATATAAGCATGTACTTAAGCCATTTTTCCTACATTAATTTTTCCCAAATTAATTCTTCCTAAAAGTAATTTACTAAAAATCATTTTTTCCTAAAATTTCGAGAAGGTAAATGCTATAATTTTTTGGTATCAAGACACTTAGTTGGATCCGTATCAAACCTTTGTCGCAATTTCATTGCTGCTTTTTCATTTCCAATTTCGCTAAATTAAAGCCACACGCACTACCAAAATACTTCGTCTGAAATTGCTAGGCATATCTGAATTTATAAGAAAAAAAAATCGATTTCGATATTTAGCCGGTTTTAGGAAAACTGAGCTTTAGAAAAAGTGATTTTTAGGAATCTCGGAAAAAAGAGTTTAGGAAAAAACCGAATTTTGGACAAATAGGCTTAGAAAACAATACCTTAATTAAAAAACGTTTAGGTAGCCTCCCGATCGCGTGCTTAATGACATTTTATGGAAATATCGGTGGAAGCAATCGTTACTCAAGCTCGGATATGACAAAGTGAGTCAGAGAGAGAGAGTCAACTAAAAAATACGGAGTAAGAGGGTTAGATACGGCTAACTTCTATAACTTCTAGAGTCATTACTTTCTAAAAGTCATTACTTCTAAAATTCTAAGCGTCGATTTGGTCATAAATATGGCTAAACGTACCGAAAAACTGATAATCCGGCGTACAAACTTTTATAAGTAACATAAATAATGATTTTTAGAAGTAATGACTTTTAGAAGCAATGACTTTTAGAAGTAATGACTTTAGAAGTCATGATTTTAGAAGTACTGATCGTCCGCCCTTAGATACTCTACTCGGATAGCCCTTCTCCATATGAGTGGCACCGGACAACGACCCTCAGAATCCCGGATTCTTAAAACGCAACATCGTTAAGACCTAGGAAAAATGAAGAATGAATTAAAATGCGAAGAAGATTACGAAGATATGTTCATAACAGAAGGTGGGTTTTCGAAAGCTTCGATCGATTTGTTCGAGCAGACAAAGCCCGTAGGGGTCTCGTGGGAAGCCTTAAAACGCGCGATGATCCTGCTCCATGGCGAAGCGCGTGGCTATTATGACATGATGCCTTGCAGAAAATCATGGCGACCTACGAGAAGTGATACGAACACTCAGTAGTGTACTTAACACTCCACGCGTTGGTTTAAATGCAAAAGGCCCTTCAAATCAGGTGACAAGTACACGAGCAGTCCGAGCAGCTTAATCCAGGAATGGTCCACCAAGAAATGAGAGATGCTTTACTCGAACGGACGTGGCTGGAGATTGGAGGTTGGTATCTTTTCGTCCCTTTATCGAATGGTATGGAGATTGTGTTGCGAAGGCGTTTTAGGGGTGAAGTAATTAAAGTTAAACAATGTTCAGTAGCATTCTACAGTGATTTTATTTATTTACAAAAACATCGACATATACATATACAAACGCTCGCAAAAAATTACAATTGGCCTGGCTCCGCCGGTAACACGGATGTTTTTAGACGGCATAACTCAATCATTTAAAGGGCACGTCCAGGGACGTTTTTGGGCAAGAAAGCAAAGATTTTTGCCGCGGCCGGGGGTCGAACCCGGGCCTCCCGATCAGGAGGCGCGGTCGCATACCAGTCAGCCTGAGGTGCAACCTGGCGAGCGGCCAAGGGGCGCCCACCCCGGAAAGGAGGGGAATTGCCTGCCGCGGCACGGGTAGGCAGCGCGCGCGGTCCCTATGTCCATAGGGTGTACCGGTTCGGACGAGTACGCGGCCCCTCACTGAACGTGCGCTTTAAAGTCGAACATCTTTAGCGAACAACGCTCCTGCTCCATATACGAAGGCGTCTATCGAATTAAAAAGCGCCGGTAAGTTGCCCCTGACTAACAAACGTAGCGTATACTTCCAGGGCGCCCGCCCTGAAAAAATATGCCAAACTCCGCACATTGGCGACACGCTTCCGAAGCATCGAAAGTCTGACGGCCGGTTTTTTCAATACAATGGTAACCTCACCTGGCCTTTAAAATGACTTAATCTTGTTTAGGCCATCATCACCGATCAAAACTACGACAATATGATGTTTGTTCAAACAACTGCGATTTTTAAAAACACGGTGCGCCGCGACGGGAGCTACTAAAACGGTTTCCGCCAATGCTGGAAAATACCACCTATATATCGTAAGTTACCCGAATCAATCTCCCAAAAATAATTTAGCTGTACATGCAAAACAAATACGTGCCTCAAATGGAAAAACTCCAAAATTACCTCGAAGATTACGAATGCGAAACCTGCGATCGGCTCGAAAATCTGGATCGGCTGCCTATAAACCTTTTAGGATACATTTTTTCGTGCTGAAAATAATTCTCTAGGTATGTTTTTTGACGCTCTATCCAAGGAGAGTCGCGAAATCCAATAGTAATCTAAAATCTAGAAATGTATGAACACTCCCCATATGCATGCCTTACTTTGGATCAAAGATTTGCCGGAAGAATGCACCTGAAGAAGAGGTTACTGCGTTTTCCCAGGAAAACAAATTGCGGAAAAATTTAGATATCGAATTTCTACATGAAAAGATTGACGCACAACCACGCCCCGAAAAAATACGCCACTTTACAAGCTAGTGAACGAATGCGAGACACAACGAAAAGCACTTGCTCACATGCTTGCGGAGTCACCAGCTGAATGAAACGGTAGGTGATTCGGCACACATCGAATAACTGGGGGGGCAGGATAATAGTTTTCGGTGCTAATGCGCTTTGGGGGGGAGGGGTGATCCGAATTGATGGTAACAGGTTTCAAGGCGCTCCGCTTAATTTACTTGGTTTTAGCGCAAGCCTTGGCTTTAGTTGGCTTTAACTAAACTTACTAAAACTTACGACTTTTTACTAACTAAAACGAAGTCTTTGAGGGCTTGGCTTACTTAGAGCTAAGCTTAGCTTGGCTCAAGCTAAGCTTAATCTTCGTCTATATAAAGCCTAAGCCTAGACTTAGAATTTAAAAAACGACGTTTGGAGCGTCTTGTAGCCAAAATACGGACTGCCTCCCAAGCGCAGTAGCTCTAATAAAAATTTAATTTTTCTATGATAAAAATAGTTTTTAATATGGTTTTTGGGCTGAAAAAAACATCTTATTATATTTTTAGGCCCTTCATCCAATGACATTTTCAAACTAAAATTTTCTATGATCAAAAAATTTTAATATGGTTTTTGGGCTAGAAAAAAGCTTCTATTTTTTTCGGCTCTTCATCCAATGGTATTTTCAAAATATCGAAAATATCGAAAATGCCGGAGAAAGGTTTCCACCCCGTTATCCTCGGTGGCTCACCAAGTTTTCAACCAAAGTTTTTACCCATTAAAACCTATATATTTTTTGCCCTGAAAATCGTTAAATTGGCATATTATTCGACGCTTGTTTAATGGCACACCCGATATCCCACAGTAGTTTACAATGTTCTAAATAATGGTTAACCCCCGATATCCTATGTTTATTGATTCTTCTTACATCACCCAATGATAAAATAAACTATAGAAGTCGCCATTCAGAAGATGAGCGAATTTCCTGGGTGTTCCCGATCCGTTTAAAGTTGTGAATTTTTAGCTAACAACGCTCCAGCACAATGTACCAAGGCGACTATCCAATTAAAAAGTACCGACCAGAGACCCTGGACCTTACCGACAATTTCGAGGGGGAGGAAACTCCCAATGACACCGTCCTCATTTCGCGGGCTCCTGTTGAGGATTCTGACGACGAACAGTAAGTTTCTTATGACTCAGATTAACCGCCAAGCAAACCTATCTTATCAATTAAAATTTAGGGGTACCCTGGACCTTACCGACAATTTCGAGGGGGAGGAAACTGAAAAATTCGACGCGACGCTTGTGTAATGGCACACCCGATATCCCACGGTAGTTTACAACGTTCTAAATAATGGCTAACCCCCGATATCCTATGTTTATTGATTTTTCTTACGTCACCCATTGATAAAATAAACTATAGAAGTCGCCATTCAGATTCCCTGGCCAGCTACCACAAACTCTTCACACTTTGCCATTCAAGCTAGCTGACGTTGAAAGATGATATTCTTTGACGCACCGGATCTGGGCATTGAAACCCTTGGAAGAATTGCCAAATGGATACTTTTGCCGAATTAACGAGGTAATTTGCATACCCTTAACGGTAACTTTCATATCATCGGAGTAGGGCTTGGTTAGATTATATGTATAGCACATCGGTTCTTTTGCATTATTGGGGAACCAACGTTTTTTTTTCTAAAAATTCCCTTTTCTAAGATAAACAAGGCGTGTTTCCACGCTGTTTTTACTATACCTAAACGTAAAATTTTTATGAATTTTTGGTTAAAAATACAAAAATATTTTTTCGATAACAAATGGCCGAATGTCTCTCAAAATTTTAATAAAAAGCTATTTTTCTAATTTTTGCTTTGCTTGTTTTTCCACTTCAAACATAATCAGATTTTGCTTGAACACTATTAAAACATTTACAATTACGTTACTAGCCATATCTGGACGTATAGGAAAACGTTGGTACCCCTGAAAATTCCCCACCCCCGATAATGCGCAAGTACCCGCACACCTGGTACAGCTTTTTTGCAGCCGAATACGTTTCCAAAAAAATTGGGGAATCTGTCTAGTTCAGATTTTTTTCAGCGATGACCTACAATTAAAATACTACTCACTGAAGACGAATGTGCATTACACGATACGCAGATGATGAAAATTCCAACGTCTATATGCGTTTAGGGACCAATAAAGTATTTTTGATGATTTTTTGATTGTTTAAAACATCAAAAGGAAATTTCTGGGTTTTGATACTCAGACAGCGTATTTTAAATGCTCATTTAATACGTTATCCGGAAGTTGCTTGGGTCTTCCAAATATCTTTTGACGTACACCATTATCGGCTAAACTAAAGATTTTTGGTGTCGAGAAAAATCTGTTTTTTTCAAGCGCGTTAGAAAAATTCTTAAAATATTGGGAAAGTATGGAAATTTTGAGACCTACAAATAGGGCGTAAAATAAAAGGCCTGGCCTTTTTCCGAATTACATTGCAACAGTTCTATGCAAAAAAAACCATTTATGCAAATCGGTAAGCGTAAGTAATTACAGCGAAGCTACGGACAAAGCCATTTGAGACAAAGACATGAAGCTTTCCGCTATTAACAGAGTCTGACTGCGTGGCAGGCCTTCTTCGGATTCTCCTTCCTTTCGAAATGCTCGGCGAGGCGGTCGATTTCCTAGAAATTGGAAATTTACGGGTAGCTTACAAGAGAGAGAGAGAGCGAGAGAGAGAGAAAGAGACAGAGAGAGAGAGAGAAAGAGAGAGGGAGAAAGAGAGATGACCTACCCTGCGGAGCTCCTTCTCGCAGATGTGCTTGAGCAGGAGTGTGACGCGGCAGACCTCTTCGATTGCATGGTCGAGGAACTTCTTCACATCTTCGACGCCCTCCCGTTCGGCCAGCTAAAAAAGGCATCAAAAATGATTTAAAAAATAAAAAGCCTCCAGGACAGAGAGGAAGCGAGAGAGAGAGAGAGAGAGAGAGAGAGAGAGAGACAGGGCGTCATTTTCAAAGCTCACGTCGACCAGCTTCTCGCATGCCTTGCAGATGAGATGGTGTTTTTCGACGATGGGGTGGACTAGAGTGGCGCTTATTCAAATCAAATCGGCTTCAAATTGATTTGATTTGAATTAGCAAATTTGAGTGCGAAAAAATCAACTTCAAATCAAATCGATTTGATTTGAAATAGGGGCTGGCCAACTCAAATCAAATCGATTTGATTTGGGATTTGAACAACAGGCTTATCTGGGATGCAAATTGAAAATCGCCAGTTCGGAGGGTTTTTGGTAGCGCCGTTTCTGCCCATTTAGGTGTCCTTTACAATAAATCATGGGTGTTTCGATGGCCTATATATAAAATTGAGCCAGACGGTTTTATTTGTCAGATTTTGCCTGCCCTATGGTTTTTCTTTGCAAAAGCTAAAGCGTAAAAAGAATATGAAATGTATAAGGAATCATTAACTGGGACGCTGGAACAATGCTAAGAGATTGTAGGGAAAGAGCGGTGGACGAATTACGAGTTGCGTTGGGTTCATTTCGATGAGAGCTTATTCAAATTATTCAAATCGGCTGGATTTGATTTGAACTGGCTGAACTCAAATCAAATCGATTTGATTTGATTTGATCGGCTCCAATTCAAATCAAATCGGCTTGATTTGAATAATTTGAATCTTATTCAAATCTGATTTGAATAAGCGCCACTCTAGGGTGGACAGTTCGCCCTTCACCGGTCGGGTGCACGGTTGGATGGATGATTATGGCGCAGGCTACGGTAGCCAGGGCTAGGAATACGATGGCAAATGAGTTCATTTTCTGAAAATCGAAAAATAAATTTGCTTTGTCCCAAAATTAAATCTGTGTAGCATTAAATGGAGCTCAGCAAGATGTAATTTACTGATACTACCGCTTGCTCACTTGCACCTTAAATACCCCTACAAAGCCATAAATATTGTCATGTACCCATGCATTAGTTGCAAAGTGCATGGCTTATCACCGTTTCGAAAACAACGCTATCACTTGTTACTTGAATTAAATCTGGCAGAGAGTTTCACTGATAACTCATATTGACGTATGTCGAAAAACTTGTTTTTCTAACCTGAAGTGGACTTTTACGATCATTGAAAACTTAGAATGTATTGTCCTATTTTATTCGTTATAAGCCAAGCTAATATAACATCTTTTGGGGATCCAAACTAGGGGCAAGGTCATGGATTTGCGCAGATTTTCCAGCGGCAACAAAAAGGCGCAAAACGCCATCATGGTGTAATCTGATATAAGACAGGTTATTACAACGTCTTTACGAAGGCGAAGTGGCGTCAGTGTTGCGCATCGCGGTACCGTAAAATCCAAGGTATCCGTAGCCAAGGAAATCAATGGTTATGACCCGCTTCTATCTTTCAGCCATCATTTCATAGTGTGCCTGCATTCGTGACACAGTGCTGAAGTAGATGCGTCTGTTTTGGTGGACGAGATAGCTTTCGTATTTGGAACCATGTAAGCGTGTAAGCGTAGTAGTAAGCGCACGTTCAGGGAGGGGCCGGGTACTCGTCCCAACGTGTACACCCTATGGACGTAGGGACCGCGCGCACTGCCTGCCCGTGCTGAGACAGGCCATTCCCCCTCCTTTGCGGCCTAGGGCGCCCCTCGCCCCCGAGCCAGGTTGTAGCTGTGGTTGACTGGTATCCAACCGCGCCTCCCGAGCGGGGGGCCCGGGTTCGACCCCCGACCGCGGCAAAAATCTTTGCTTTTTTCCGAAAAAACGTCCCTGAACGTGCCCTTTAAAGTATCTTTTGGGCTAGGGATAGGTCCAAGCTGTATTGAAGCATTTTTTCGGCTAATGGTTCGATAATGGTTTGCGCCGTTTTCGCATCAGCTAATGCTCTTGTTTAACTAATTTTAATGGTTTAACTCGCGATATACCTTCAAAAATATTTATTGACAAAAACCGGAAAGCAAAAAGTACAGCAGTATTTGCAAAAAATACATGGGTTTCGGGTGTTTAGCAGAGCTTGGCCTTCTCGCAGGCCTTCTTTGGCTCCTCCTTCCGCTCGATGACCTCGACGAGACGGTCGACTTGCTGAAATTAGAATATTGAGGGCTTTCCAAGCTGATTTTTGCAGTTTCAGCGTGATAGAATTTAAATTCATAATTTACCCGCTCAAGCTCCTTTTTGCAGATCTTCTTCAGGAAGATGGAGACGTCGCAGACCTCATCAATAGCATAGCCGAGGTATTCCCTGACATTGTCGCCACCCTCCTTTTCGGCTAACTGAAAAAACAACTTTGGCTTAGGCTTAGCTGAGAGCTAGCTTAGGCTTAGCTTAGGCTTAGCTTCGGCTTAACTTAGGCTTAGCTTCTTGCCTTGGGCTTAGCTTAGGCCTAGCTCAGACATATGCTTAGACCCGTAGTTTTTCGTCTTCTCAACCCCTCAAAATCGATACCAACCTCGACCAACTTCTCGCAGGCCTCGCAGATGACCTTGGGCTTGGCGACGATGAGGTCGGCGACGGTTCTGCCAACAAGTGGATGAGCAGTAGTGCTTCCAATGACTGGCTCAGCCACGGTTCTTCCGACCACAGCGCCTACTTCTACGGTTCTTCCAAATCCGGTCGGGCGCAAGCTTACGGCACAGGCTACGGTAGCCAAGGCGAGGCATAGGATCACGGAGTTCATATTCTGAAATTGAGAAGCAATGGTATCTACAAGAAAAACGAAGCATTTCACGAATAAAGAAAATGATAACGCTTACAAAATCACCAAACTCCAACAAATTCTGAATTTCAATTTTACAAATATTATTTTTTTTCCATTTTATTTTGTATGCATATACATTGCTATAATTTCCAAGTATAAAAATTTAATCTCCAGAATCTTAGAGTTGTAGCTCAAAAAAAAAACCGTCAATAAATCGCAAAACGTTTCAGACTTCAAAATGCGAAATTTCTATCGAAATTCAAACCAGTTTTAATTTTGTATTATGATTTATTATATTTGAAAAATGGGAAAGGTATTAAAAGAATAACAGAAACCGAATAGTCGGCTGGATGCTAATTTTCCATCGCCGATCCCTTAAATACGCAAAAGACGCAAAACACCACTCTGCACCCCACGTAACTGTTGCAAAAGTGCAAGCTGACAACGCGGCTTATCAGCGCTGCAAAACCGGTTTTATTAGTTAGTTGAATTGAATTTAGTTGGGGAGTTTGGCAGATAGCACTACTGATTGGCGTATGCAAATAAACTTGTTTTTTCCAAGTGCGCTTGACGCATTTTTGATAAGGTTTTGAACCCTACGTGACGTTGGACTTTACTATTTCGAAATTTACATTGTTTAACATCCTGATTTTACAGTCTCTCTCATTGTCTCGCTCTCTTTCTCACTCACTCGCTCTCTCACTCTCTCTCTCTTCCAATCTCTCTCTCCCTATCTCTCACTCTCGCTCTCTCTCTCTCTCTCACTCTCTCTTCCAATCTCTCTCTCCCTCTCTCTCTCTCTCTCTCTCCCTCTCTCTCTCTCTCTCTCTCTCTCTCTCTCTCTCCCCCAATCTCTCTCCTCTCTCTCATTTTATTTTGGAAAATTGAAAGCCATAGCATGTTCCTGTGGCATTTTCCTCTAAAACGAAATAATTTATTGGTCTTTATCACAGGCAACATATCACAAGGAAAATTCTTTAAAATGCAAAATTTTTGAGCAAATTTGTGACTATCGGAGCATGAGGAAGGCAAGGAAGAGCAGGACAGCCGATGGAAGAGACGCGAGGGCTCCTGAAAGTTGACGGATTAATACTACGCACCCAACGGAATATGAAAAATTACGTACTGCTACTACGTACCCAAACGGAATCTGAGAAATTACGTCCTACGGTGTTTTGACTTGGGGTCGTGAACAGACTGGTGCTTATTCTCGTTTAAGGTCCACTTTTCCCACCCTTCCCAAAACCTACCAATCGAAGTGGTCGGGACAACGGTAGATGTTGCTCCGCCTGGTCCTCCGGTCGGTACTACGGTCGGTGGTGCCCCGGTGGCTCCGCTGATCCATTGTCCGATCAGCGCACCAATGGCCGTACGAGCCGCCTTCAGGTCAGCCGGATCAGAATCCCTTGGCGGGTACATGTCGGCGCAGTGGGCGGTGGCTAAAACGTAGAGATAAAAGCGCTATCTCAGCCGCGGATATACATTGCTGGGATTTTTTACGGGTAGCAGACATGGTATTTAATTAATCTACCATTCAGCGGGAACAGCGTCTGGCCTGGCGCGGTCGTGGCCAGAAGACCGAGTGCGTGCCACGGGTCGACACCTCCGTTGGGGGCGGCGATGTTGGATACCTAGAAAAACAATTAAACGGCTTAGAAAGGTGTAAAGCCCTAGGCCTGGTTCAAAAAGGAACGCAATCAAAAGCCGAGAATCGACCCCCACAGCCAACTAGATCTTGACATCTATAAACCAGCTGTAGTACGAGAACTTACATTGAACGTGGCGGTGAAGAAGTTGTAGTGGTCATCAATGTCGGACTGGATCTGCTTGGTGGAGTAGTCGCTGCCCTCCACGGTGTTTCCATCGTTGCCATTTCCGAAGATATCATAGCACATTTGGAGGTAGATGCTAAATAGAGTGCTCAACCGGTATCTATAAAAAAGGCGCAGAGAGAAAGAGAGAGAGCGACAAAAAAAAAGAGAGACACAGAGAGAGAGAGTGAGCGTGAAACCGTGAGGAAGAAAGAGCGAGAGAGAGCGAGAGTGAAAGAACGTAAGAGAACGGGTGTTTGAGAGAGAGAGAGAGAGAGAGAGAGAGAGAGAGAGAGAGAGAGAGAGAGAGAGAGAGAGAGAGAGAGAGAGAGAGAGAGAGAGAGAGAGAGAGAGAGAGAGAGAGAGAGGGAGCGTAGGAGAGTGAGAAAGAAACCATAAGAAATCATACGTACTTGACTGGGGTCACCGATCCGAAGATGTTCTCACGGCCGGCATCGGTAGATTGGTAGAAACCGAACTCGACGCAAGTCTGGTACGTCCAGGTACGATCGGCTCCGGAGAGCGAAACTAAACGAGAAAATGGTAAAGGTGCAGTCAAAGGTATCTAACAATGCGCTCAAAAACCAAAAAATTCTCTAAAACTCACGGTCCCTGAGCTCCTTGATCATCCCATTGTAGTCGTTGAAGGTCGAGAAAGTGTCAGTCGGATCGGCATAGAAGCTCCACATGTATCTAAAAAGTAACTAAATTATAGAATCATCGATTTTCTATCGAAAATGAAGGTTTTCTGGGTTGTAAAGCTCATGTAAAGTATACGAATTCGAGGACCAATTAGTTCTTGAATCACAAAAACCACCAATTAATAAATTTTCCTTACTTGTTGACGGCGGCGAGACCGGCCACGCTGTCGGTGTTGTTCTTCATAATTGCACAAACGCTTCCGATATCTCCTTGGTTGTTGGCGTACCACTAAAAAAGAGGTAGAGCGAGAGAAAGCGAGAGCGAGAGACAGATAGAGGGGGAGAGAGAGAGAGAGAGCGAGAGAGAGAAAGAAAAACGAGAAAACTTACAGCGGTGTTATCCCCCGCGTACTGCACGGCTCCCTGGAAGTTTCCGTAGATGTTGCTGAAGAAGAACTGCTTGTCCTGCTCCGACACCGTGCTGTTGACGTCCCAGGCGGGGCTCAGTCTGAATTGAAAAGTTTAAATATATCTTTAAATGCTTACGTGAAGGTATCCGACAAGGTCTTGAGGCCAGCTGGGGTCAGCGCGAGCTGCTGGAGCTTGGAGAAGCCGTCCTGGAAAAAGCACGATTGTTCCAAAATGCCTCTTAGATTTAATATATTTATAGTAAGTTATTATTTATATAATTTTTAGCCTAAGTCCTAAGGAAAAACCGTAAGAAAAATCTAGAATCCTGAAGAAACTGACCTGAACTTTGTCCGCGCAAGACGAGTCGTACATTCGAAGGGAGTTCGACGTGACGGTAAGGTATTCTAAAAACGATAGTTAAAAATGATAAATGTGAAATTGATAAGGCAAAGTAAAATAAACAAGATTAGAACCATGATGGAATAATAATCAAGGCAAAAACATTAAAACATTTCCGATCATTATGGTTTTTTTCTGTAATTTGAATTGACGACCTAATTGAATTTAAATGATGTAAAATCCTTTCATTGACTAAATAAGTCCAAAATAAATCAAGATTGGATTGATTTTTCTGCTCTTTTAATTAACCATTACCTGGCATTTAAGTCCTCAATTAAATAAAAAGTTGAATGGAATAATGCTCATTTAATTGAATAAAATCTCGACATTTGACAGACACCGATTTTTCCTTATCAAATCAACCTTTGAAAATTGGTACAGCTTTAATATAAGACGTTAACTTATTAAATCAAGTCCAAAAGTGTCTATCTGTAACCCACCGAAGAAGTCCAGCTTCACATTAATGGGAGCCGAGCTTCCAACGGCACCAGCGATCAGATCGGGGAACTTGTTACGGGCCCACAGCGAGAGCATACCTGATATTCAACTATCTATTTCCATGTCGTAATCGAACAAACCCGAGTAGGAGCCTCCAAACGTAATCCACGGTGCCGTATTTCCTTCGCGGTAGTTGACGGTCGAGATGAATTGGCGGATATCCCAGAGGGATTGCCACGAGTTGCAGAACAGCATCACGTAGTCGGTTTTGAAAGTCGAGTTTCTGGAATATCAAGTTCAGAAATTCAGAAAACAGCGAATTACGATGTGTGGTCTGTGGTTCAGCCCCGAAAACTCTTTGGACCAGTTTTGACTGTATTTTTTTTTCCTAGAGTCTCTTCCCAGACCTACCCGAGATCGTGACTCTCTCCATAGCACCGATGTTCCATGTAGTAGATGGTGGCTCCGTACTGCTGGGCCCATTGCAGGTAGGTAATGTTTCCGTTCAGCACCCACCTGAAAAACCATGTAAAACGTTGGTAAAAATATCATTTTCCACATTAGATGATGTAGTATGGTAGGACAGAAGAATGAAGCAAAGGGCGGCATGGTACGTAAGGGTACGAAGCCTGACAAAGGTGTCCTACAAAGCACTACGGCGTGCGAGTGCGATTACGAAACAGTACTAGGTAGATACAAGCTGTACCTGAAAATGTAAGTAGCAGTACGACGGTGTACGCAAGGGAACGTAATGCTACGAGAGACAAAAATTTGCGAGAAGCAAGGTAGGTTTGAAGGTGCGAGAGAGTACGCAAGAGTACTAACGAGTACGAAGGAATACGGACTATGTTCGAAAAATAATGAGACAATACGCAGCACAGAACTAGGAAGCAAAGTTAAAACGTACTTCTCCGGATTGGCCGGCCCCTCTCCGCCAATCATCAAGAAGTTCGGGCCGCCCGGCTTTGCCCATTGAGTGTTCTTCCACCAGCGCTAAAAATAGTGACTTGATCTCGGAATTACCGTCAACCTTCTGGTCCGTAGTATACGTCGTAAGTCCATACCTGTTGGAAGGTGTTCGGGATCTTGTTGTTGAAGTGGCACAGGGGCTGGGTGAACGAGATGGCCGAGTAGCCGGTGGCATCAACTTGGCTCAGGTCCTAAAGGAAGTGATATAATCTTTTGACAAGCCACGAAATCGACTCCTTCGTCGACTCGGTCTGGACAGTTACGCACCACTCCAAGTTACGGGCTTTGGTTGATTTTTAATAGCCAAACGTGACAAAAGCAGCGGAAAAAGCATGGATTTTAGTTTTCATGCTTTGGGGTCGAAACCTAGTCGACATAAGGGGTAGATTTTTACGCTTCCCAGTGCCTTTAATGCGCGCAGAAAGTTCAGAAAAACCTATAAAAAAAAACGAAAAAAACTAAAACTTACAACTTCCGGGGCAATAGCCCTCGGCCTGGTGCGGAGCATGGACACTTTGCGAGAGACTGGGTGGTCCTTGGACTCGTCCTGAAAGGTATTTAGTAAAAACCATAATTGTTTTACGCGCTCGATGGGGAAAGCCCTCTCCTCCTTGTAGGTGTGGGTGAACTCCTTGTGCTGGGTGGGGTACTTGGCGGCCAGGCGCTCGGCTTCCGTCGCGCTGCGGACGGCGTCGTGGTAGGGCAGTTCTGAAGACGTAAAGGTATATTTCAAGTGTTAAATTAATTTCTGATTTACTAGAGAATTTGAAACAGCGATTCTGGTCCTTAAATTAAGCCACTTACTCGATGACGGCTCTGGTGGCCCGTTCAGCCAGTTGTCAATGTGACGCGCGATAAGCGGGTGGATCTAAACGATTTTTTAATCGAAACTCTTTTATTTTTGGTATTTAGGTATGTTTGTTATTACTTACGACATCATAACGAGTATCACCGTTGCTTGGCGGGTACATATCTCCACAGTGGGCGCTGCCTGAAAATAAACGAATATTTGGCACAATCAAGGCGTAAAATGCTCAAAAAATTCTCCCGTACTATAGAGAGAAAGTAACATAAAATACGTAAGTTTTTTTATAAGCTTTAGATGTCACTCAACGTACCCTCGATCAAGAAGGTCGTCTGGGAGTAGAAGTCAGACTGGTAGCGGCCAAGTGCGTGCCAAGGGTCGAGATCGCCGTTCGGGAGCACGACATTGGAGCCCTAGAAAGTGGATATTTCACAGTAATCCTAAGATAGGCCAAAGCTAAGCCAAAGTTAAGCCCAGCCTAAACCTAAGCCTAAACCGAAACCTAAACACCAAGATTTACCTTGTAATTAGCAGCCCCTCCGTAGAAATCGTTGGTGGCCTTGACGGCCTTGGTCACGTAGTTCGAGTCGTACTGGATTCCGTAGACATCTTGGCACATTTGGATGAACATGCTACAATTTGGGGGAGATGAGATCAAGAAAGAAATAGAGAGAACGCGAGAGAGAGAGAGAGGGCGAGAGTGAGTGAGGAAGAGAGAAAGAGAGAGCGAGAGATAGAGAGAGAAAGTGATACTACCAAAACATACCTCAAAGCAGCGGTCGACCCGAAGACACCCTGGGTATAATCGGTGGTCTGGTAGTAGCCGAACTCGGTGCAAGTTTGCCAGATCCAGCTGCGAGCGGCGGCTGAAAAAAACAATCGGTTTTATTGTCAATTTAATGCGTTACGGTGGCTAAATAAAATCACGAACTCACCCAAATCCAGATCGTTGTAAGTTTCGTCTTTGAGTTCTTGGACATCCGAGGTGTAGTTGTTGAAGATGCCCTGGAAAAGGGTCAGTTAGCTTTCTCTTTCTCTCTCGCTCTCTCTAACTATCTCTCTCTCTCTCTCTCTCTCTCGCTCTCCCCTCTCTCGCTTCCCACTTACATTGTATACGCCGTGCTTATCCAAATTCAGGTAAGTATTGACGTTAACGAGTCCGACGAGACCATCGGTGGTATTTGTCATGATATTGCACACCGACGCGATCGAGTCGTACTGCGTCTCTCCCTAAAAATATGCAAATAGAATTATTAAATAGTTTTAAATCAGAAAAACAGTAGAACAATGCATTTTAAAATCTACACGATCGTTAGAGTACTGGACAGCTCCCTGGAAGTTGCCGAAGATGAGCGAGTAGAAGTTCTGGAAGTCGATGGGGGCCAGCGGCAGGTCGTTCAGGCTGGGGATGACTCTGGAAATCACAAATGATGCAGTTTTAGATGGTTTAGGATGTATTTAAGTAATTTAATCAATTTCAAACCTAAATAAGCTTTAATGTGTCTTTAAAAGTTAGAAACGGATTCTATATGTCTAGGAACGGTTAAAAAAGCTTACTTGAACATGGCGGTGACGGAGTCACGGCCCTCCTTGGTTTTCATCAGCTCGACGAGTTGCTGAACAAGAATCGATTATATTCCGGAGTTAAAATCTAATCGAAATTTAACAAGCAAAAATGTTTCAGCTAAATTATATGATTTCCGTAAAGTTTTGAGTAAAAATGATAAAAATGATAATTAGAGTTTCGATGTGGAAAATCGGATGTTTCTATCACTGTTTGCCAATTTCATAAAAATTTCCATAGCGGTTTTTTTTTGGCTTCATAATCCCTTTAAAACGGCAATTGTCATGAAAAACTCGCAGCAAATCCATCCTTGACCCTAGCCAAACACAGATCCGAGCCGTACTGCCAGCCCTTGGCGTTATCGGTGCCCTTGTAGGCGAGCGAGTTCTCGACGACTTGGAGGTACTCTAAAAACAGTAATTTTTTTAGCTATTAAGTTTTTGCTTACGGTAGAAGTCGACTGTAGCCTGGACCGGGCCGGAAGATCCGACCGCTCCGATGGCGAGCTCTGGGTGCAGTTGGCGGAACCAGGCGGCGAGAGCTCCTGAAAATGAGGATTTTGGCAGTAAAATCGTATATTTTTAGAATTAAGCGTATCCCATCTTGACAGACTGGCATGATTTCTGCAATTTTAGGGATCAAAACACCTGATATTATTGAACTTAACACCTTTTAAAGTACTTTGTAAATTTTGTCAAAAAATGTTTATTGTCCGATATAGGCAGATTTGAATGCACTATTCACCTGGATGTATTGCGATATATTATAAACAACCATGACGACATTTTTAAACGCTATAAATAGACGGCACAAATAGTTTTTGCACGGAAAACAGCTTGAAAATTCGTAAAAACGTCGAAGAATCTATTTCTGAAGTTTCTAAAGTGCATTTTTTTGAACCTATCATAAACTTTCTAACGCGTTAATATGCTTTTCTATATAGGTTTTAATTAGATTTTTTAGAAATTTTGGCGATGGCAATATGATTACGAACCCGAATATGATCCTCCAAAAACGACCCATTTCGTGCCGGTCCACCCATTCTGCTTGTTGATGAAACGGATGAAATCGGCAATGTCTTCAAGGGCTTGGCGGGAAGAGAGGTACTTGAGGTTGTCCACGGATTGGGTCCTGAATCCGAATTTCTTAATTCTATTTGTTGTAGCTTACTTGAATGGCTGGCTCTGGCCGTAGAAGCGGTGCTCCAGATCGAACACGGCTGCCTTGTGCTTGGCTGCCCACTGAAAAATTGCAAAAAATAATTGTTGTTCTTGCCCATGTTTTTGTCCCTTGATATAAACCTTTAGTTTCTGCTAACCAGCCTAAATAAATAGCAAGAAAAACGCTTAGAAGTTGAATTCTTCGATCCATTAAAAATTATTTTTCCTGGATTCTCGAGTTTGCAAAAAATCAGTGAAAAACTTTCGGAATTTTAAATTTTTGAGGTCGCGGTTCATTGTTCTTTTCTTTGCTTCCGAGTTTTGTTTTTTTTCTGTCTACAATTGTCGAAAGTTCCATGCCGGATTCCCGAATCCGCATGGCCCTTTCGAGGGAAATGCCCAGGCGGGGGTGGTCCCGCAACGCTCTCCCTGCGCGCCCCCTATACCGTAGGGCGGCCCCCAGGGGAGTGGGCTCTCTCGAGGAAACCAGCACTCGATTTATTGGCGATTTCCCGCTCTGAGGGAAATCCATGATATTTCGGGCGGGATTCATTCCCAAAGGGAATACCCGAACGCCCAGCAGTCCCACGCCCAGCATTGTGATCCACCAACGTTGCCCCCCCTGATTAGGGGAGGTTTTGGGAAGTTCCTCACTAAGTGGGGAGCCTACTGAGCCTTTCCCTCGTCGCTTGGCCCATGGCTGAGAGAGGGCAACGGTCCCCGAAAGGGGACGGTGCACTCCCCGCATCTCACTTTCCCTTTCCTACTATTGCTCTAGGTGTATTTGTGGTTCTCTAATAAACCCTTTCTATCTTTATTCTATTCAATAACTGCATTACATTCATATGCATTAAACCTTGACCAAAATCCACTGAACGACCGACTCTCTATACTTTACACACGGCGCGCTTTGGTATTTTCCTACTCGTAAGGCAGATGGTGGCAACCTTGGATATATTGAGTTTACCCTCGAGGTGCTCTTTATCCCAGGGGCATCTCGCCTTTCGACATGGTGCGTCTCGGGTTACGGCCTGTGTCTGTTTTCTTTTATTGTTTTCACTTTTCCCTAGTTTTTTATTGAGCCCCTATACGGTGTCTTCTCTTTTTTGTGTTTTCGCGTGCGGCGGTGTTCTAGGCACCGTCGCCGGGCGGAGTTTTCTCTGATGCACGACGAGAATCCTCCACGGTTTGCCTAGCCCTGACAGCCGGTCATTGGGCGAAAATTGCGGATGGGTCGCGAACTCACGCAACGGCTTGCCACGGGGCCAGCCCCAATGCCGCGTCCCTCACGTTGGCTTCGGCCTTCACTCCTAAGCCTGACTGGAAGGAATTGGTAACCGTAGGGGTTGGTCCGGTCGGATGGAATGATCCGCCTTGGCCGATTATCCCCTAGTGAGGGTGGATCCCCACGCCGCGGCCCTAACCATCCAGGAAGTGGGCACCGTAAATCATCGGAAGGAGGAGGGCGTTGCATTTGTCAAAGGTACGCGAAGCCTAAAAAGCCCAGTCACAAGCCCAGAACAGCCGCCTGATCAGCGGTGTGGTTAGAAAGAAATTAAGATCGGTGTTCGCATCGTTTTCCTTTTGCGGCACTCGTTGCCTGATCAAAACCATGCCCAGCTCACGATTGTGAAAAGCCCAGTACTCACCCCGCGAAGGTGGGAAAAGCCCAGAATCCCCTTGAAAAAGGTGGATTGCGATGGCCAGCACATGCGTTGGACGAAATGGACTGCAGGGCGGATGGTTCTCAACTTTACCGGTCAAGTTCTACAATGGTTAACATCGATGTGACGACGGAGATGTGGCTTCAAGTTTCGCAGATGACAAAACGGTATTGATTTTTGGCGCTAGCTACGCCAAAAACCTCATTCGCTTTCTCTTTCCCTTTTCGAATAAGTCCAGCAATGCTCAGCACTTTTTTCTACGTCCAGCAAAGTGTAAAGCAAGCGTATTTTCGCTTGTCTTTATTCTTTTTATGCCCAGAAAGGAAAGAAAAGCGTTTTCGCGTTTTTCTACCCTTTTTTTAATGCCCAGCCATGCTTTTTGTTGAAAGTTAGTACCGGCATTGCGTTTCGTACGCGCTGATGCTTGGGAAAACTTGAAACTAAAGTTTTTCGTTGCATTTGCAACGAAATAAACGCCCAGTTCCTGCTTGCAACGAAGAAGATGGCGGCGAACGGCGTGAAACAAGCTCAAGTCAATGGAAGGAAGCCAAATGGTCGACAGATGTGCCCGATTGCGCGCTGATGCTGGCGTTTGTGTCGATACGGGCGCTGAACGATGATTAAGCTTGCTCCTTCGATGATGGAAGTTTTGTATACACGCCCAGTCCGCACTTTTCGCTTGCTTTTAGCGTTTATGTCATTCATTTGACGCGCTAAAGCAAATTTATGCGCAATTTGCCACGCAGGGACGCCCAGTTTTCCTTTTTTCAAGACCAGCAGGATTTTTTAGATGCAACTTCGATTAGTAATGTGAAATTTATTCACCCCTTACTGATTGTTGTTATTCCCTTTCAAAGAGGAAGCATCTAAATCCTTTTTAGATGCCCAGTTTATTCATTTCAGGTGTCTAGCGCGGTCGCAGGTCCTTTGCCGCGCACCCGTGATGATGGAAATGAAGAAGTCCAGCGACTCGGTCCGGCGCAATAGAAGATAGCAAGCGGCGCATGGATGATCAACGTCTTTCGCGTCGTCTGCTTCGAAGATTGTCAAGTTTGGCAACTTCTTATTGCGGGGACCGAGGTAAAACGTCCAAGCGTTTTGTTGCTCTTGCAACATTTCGCAAAGTCCAGCCAAATTGCGCTAGTAATAGCCAATTTAAAGTCCAGCTAGGTATAATTTAGCAACGGCATGTGCGTGGATAGCTTTATCCGCCCTCGTTGCTATTTTATCCAAAGGTCCAGCAACAGGATATCGAAATTTTCGATATTCCTGGTTTTTAGGCCCAGTTGCGAAGTGAAGTGGAAGCGTTGAAGCATAACGATGATGCAATACGCAAGTCGAATGCCGCAGCGAGCGCCCTTCCTTCGTCGATGCCCAGTTTTCCGTTCGCGCCGCTCATTCCCCTTTGGGCGCGTGTAACGAAGTATTTGTCTTTGTTTATCGCGGGCACATCTCGCGCTCTAAACAAAACAAATAAAACAATGCATTATTGCATTGTCGCCCAGCTTTTTTTAAGTTGAGGCAAAAGCCCAGTGGCAAATTAGTTGCCGAGGTCCAGCACAGGTTATCGATGCGCCCGCCCGCCCGTGCCGAGCCGATTGCAACCAGCCCGCCGATCGTGAATCAAGCCGTGTTGATGTGAAGCGCCTCGATGATTCAAGTCGCAGCCGCCCATAAGCAGCAACGATGGTTCAAGGACAAGAAGCGGACAGTGGATGAAGCGAATGTTGAAGGCGGCGGGCGCGAATAGTCGGTATACCTAAGAAGCCCAGAAGGCATATGCAATAGCCATTCTTTGCGAGCTTGCCTCGTAGAGTTCGTGTTATGCCGCATTTGCTTTTTACGCCCAGAGAATAGAATTGATATCTATTCAACAAAGTTTTTTAGTTGCGCGCTGTTAAGCCCAACTAAAAACTTTAATGTCCAGCTCGCAACAACAAAGCTTTTCCGCTCGCATATTCTATGCGCAAGGGTGAAAGCGTTGCGGCGTAAAGTTTACTTTACGTCTAATACGTGTTGCACAAAGCCCAGACTTATCTATGTCCAGCACAAATAGGAGTTTAGGTCCGCGTTTACTGAAAGTGAAGTCGGTTGCTGAAGTTTACTTCGGTACGGCGTAGCTAATTCAGTAACACTTCGGCTTATTTCTCTTTATTTGCACATCTACTGATGTAAAAGCCCAGCGATTTAAGAATGTTTTAGGCTGCGAAGACAAGGATGCTTGATGGCCGTCGGTTGGAAGCATGCTTTCGCTGCCGCGTCCAGATTTCAACTTGTCTGCAGCCTTGACATTTCTTTTTTCTTTGCATCATTGATGCACAATGCCCAGCGTCGGACATCATTGTCCGACTTTACGTCCAGTTTTTCCGAAAGCACTCGTTGGCGCTGTTGTTGGAGGCCGGAGGGCCGCTTACAGCAGTGTAGAGCGAGTGAAGCTGGCGTTGCAGGAGCGCCGCCTTTACTCGGCGAGTGTACGACCAGTCCTGATGAGCCAGTTGACTTGGCTCAGATGCCCAGCTTCTCTGCCATGTTTGTGGCGAATGTCCAGCCTGGCTTTCGGCCTCCGCCGCCTAGTCAGTGTGTGCCTCGAGCACCGGAAGTCCAGTTCTGCCTTAACACTCGATGTTTAGCTTTGCTCGTATGACACCGCGAGCAAGCGTAGAGCATTCGAGTTAAGCCCAGGGTGTCATATCTCCACACGCCGGCGGCCAACATCACATCGCCGCCCTTCAACGTTGAAGACTTCACTCTTGTTGCCGGTGACAGCGTGCAAGGACAGTGTCAAGCGATCGCGAAGAGAGGTTCTATGGCGAGTTGGCCGCAGGATGGGAGAACAAAGGAGGTTAGTTGTGCTTTCCTTTGGCGAGCACAGTCTTTGATTGTGTATACGTCATTTGAACAAGCGCTCTGCTTCCTAAGCCCAGTTCTTCAAAGCCCAGCTTTGGCGCCATCATTGGCGTCAAAAATTTTTCAAAGTCCAGCAAGTTCTCGCGCCTTGCCAAGCAAGGACCGATGTTTCGGTAGCAGCTCAGCTGCGCGTGGAGAACGAGTTCTCAAAACGCCCAACAAGGTTAGTAACCGCGTCTCCGCGGTGAACGCTGAGGTTTTACAATTGCCCAGCCCATTTTGGCGCCAGCACTTGGCGTCAAAATTTTTTGAGAAAAATACACAGCAAGTTCTCGCTGCCTTGCCAAGCAAGAGCCGATGTACTTCGGTTGCAACTTTGTTGTGCGGCGGGAATGATGAAAAAATACACAGCGCAGGGTTGTAGAATCGTTCTCTACCCTCTACGGTCTCGCAAGAAGGGGTAACTCCCAACTACCGAGCCGTGCGATGTCCAGCCAGGCTTCGTATAGCCTGTCTCGTCTGCTGCTGCTCCATCAAGTTCAAGCTCTGCGATGTGGCATCACCCAGTTCAAGTCAACTTCACTCAAGGCCCGACAAGTCAAGCAGGACAAGCCGTCGCCGCCAGTCAAGTCAAGCTCGTCTGGAGTCAAGCCCGTCTACGAGCAGTCAAGCTCAAGTCCAAGCCAATCAAGCGCAGCAATCTGACGAGACAAGTACGTCCCCCAGGTGACCCGGCAGAGGTACGGGCCTCTTAGCGCCGGTCACCTCCCCCTGTCTCTATTTTATCATGTATCAGGTCCCGTGAGGCCCCTCCTTATACTAATTTGGCCCCACCCGTCCCACTCTTTTTTATGGACCACATTTTCTCCTCCTGCTCTATCTTTTGTACCTTTTCTCAACCATTTGCGGAGGTGAACCAGTTGTCTTTGGTCCATCACAAAAGCCCAGTTTGTCCCAAAGACCAGCACCCTTCCCGACGCTTGCCGTCGAGGCCCCCAGGGCCTTCTTGCGAGCCGTTAACCACTACTGTATCCCTTCCATGCCCACATTGGCACCAGGCCCGATGATAAAATAATGCATCACCTGGTGGGGGCACTCCGCGGACCCAACATTGGCAGCCATGCCGGAGGGTTCAACTCATACCTCCACTGGTAGGGCCTGGCCCGCCTTGCCCTTGTGTCGGCCGGGAGTGTCGAAAGTTCCATGCCGGATTCCCGAATCCGCATGGCCCTTTCGAGGGAAATGCCCAGGCGGGGGTGGTCCCGCAACGCTCTCCCTGCGCGCCCCCTATACCGTAGGGCGGCCCCCAGGGGAGTGGGCTCTCTCGAGGAAACCAGCACTCGATTTATTGGCGATTTCCCGCTCTGAGGGAAATCCATGATATTTCGGGCGGGATTCATTCCCAAAGGGAATACCCGAACGCCCAGCAGTCCCACGCCCAGCATATGTGATCCACCAACGTTGCCCCCCTGATTAGGGGAGGTTTTGGGAAGTTCCTCACTAAGTGGGGAGCCTACTGAGCCTTTCCCTCGTCGCTTGGCCCATGGCTGAGAGAGGGCAACGGTCCCCGAAAGGGGACGGTGCACTCCCCGCATCTCACTTTCCCTTTCCTACTATTGCTCTAGGTGTATTTGTGGTTCTCTAATAAACCCTTTCTATCTTTATTCTATTCAATAACTGCATTACATTCATATGCATTAAACCTTGACCAAAATCCACTGAACGACCGACTCTCTATACTTTACACACGGCGCGCTTTGGTATTTTCCTACTCGTAAGGCAGATGGTGGCAACCTTGGATATATTGAGTTTACCACGAGGTGCTCTTTATCCCAGGGGCATCTCGCCTTTCGACAATTCCCCCAACCAGCTTATCAGCGCGTATTTTTGGGGGGCGTCGGTCCGGCTAGCGTCCCGACTGGCGTGTCCCGTTTTCACAAACTGAGCCGATTGAGCGCCGCGATCCGTAGATAGTAGCCAATCGGATTCCCACTGGGGGTGATTCACGGGTAATCCGAGGCGTGGAATTTGATGAAAATGGAAAGTCAAGGATTTCATGGTGGCGTCAGAATGAACCTTGTGGCAAAACGCAGATGGAAAGTAGGGTGGAGTGGGATTTTGAGATTTTACTGAAAGAGAGGACGAGAGAGAGAGAGAGAGAGAGAGAGAGAGAGAGAGCGAGAGCGAGTGTGACAGCGAGAGAGAGAAAGAGAGAGGGATAGAGAGAAAGAGACCGGGAGAGAGAGAGAGAGAGAGAGAGAGAGAGAGAGAGAGAGAGAAAGAGAGAGAGAGAGGGAGAGAGATTTCAAAACTAGAAACTAGAAATAGGTACTTTTTAGATTATTTTATTCTGATAGCGCTAGCGTAACAACGGGGGACGCGAAAGGCGTAATAATGCGCGACGCGGCCGGTGACGCTAGCGCATACGCGATGCCAAACGCGTCAATATGATCATTGTAAGGTAAAATTTGTAAAAAAACTTTTTACCTGCATGTACGGGATATCCTCTCGAGTGCTCCATACGTCAGACTCCGGTCCCTCACCACCAATCATCAAGAATGCCACGTTGTTGGTGGCGTTTTGGAAGTTGGGTTGGAATTTGTAGTTGTAGAAGTAGAACTAGATGCGGATGATTTCTACCAAAAATATTTAAATTACTTGTTGCCACGTCTGCGTGTTGTTGGGGTTGAAGTGGCAGACTTTTTGGGTGAATGTGGTGTTGCCCGTGATCCCGTCCAATCTTTGGATACGAATCTGAAAAATGGGCTTTTTCAGGCCATTTTTGCATTGTTACAAACTTATCACCAGGAAAATTCCTATAGTTTAAAAAAATGGGTTTAACAACATTCGATTGATTTTTAGCTGTATTCAAAACTTGGAATCTACACAGTTTAAAGTTAACAAAGCTGAGAAAGTGACCTGCTCCATGTTCTCCGGCGGTGGCGGCGCCTTGCGCATACCGCCGACGCGGAACCCGAGGATTTGCTTCCGTTGCAACCCGGCGCACATTGCCTAGAAATTCAGAAATTATCAAAAAAACACTTTGCGAGTTACCGCCAAGCTGACGAGCAGCAGGGCCCCGAGGAGCCGCGTGTTATTACCCATCTAAAAGGTTCATAAAAGTTTTGGTAAATTAAAGTTTTCCTGAAAGGAAAGAAGTCTGAAATTCTGCCAGCACTACGAGGATTATCAGAACAGAACAAAATCGGCTGTCCGAAAGTAATTTGGATAAAACCATTTTCGAAAATATGGCAAAATGACGTTCTTGCGGAGCTCTTTCACCGGGGAACCCCAAAAAAGACTGAAACGATACGCAAAACTCATACTTTTTCGCTTCGCTGATTAAAACCTAGTTTACAGAATTGCAAAACGGCTACAATCTAAAAGTTATGCAGCTTTACAGGTGCGAAAAACCGCCAAAGTTGGTCATTTTGGCCATTTATCACATTGTAAAGCGGTACGGTCATTGGAGGCCGTTTCCTCAAACCTACGCTTTGATGAGCAAAAAAATTAGCAGAGGATAGACTTGGGGTCACCTGTCGAAGCGCCGTAGACGCCAACAACGCATCCTTGTTTTTTTTCCTTAAAGACCACGTTCAGGGACGTTTTTTTTGGAAAAACGCAAAGATTTTTGCCGCGGCCGGGGGTCGAACCCGGGCCCCCCCGCTCGGGAGGCGCGGATGCATACCGTCAGCCACAGCTACAACCTGGCGAGGGGCGAGGGGCGCCCCACGCCGCAAAGGCCTGTCACAGCACGGGCAGGCAGGGCGCGCGGTCCCTACGTCCATAGGGTGTACACGTTGGATCGAGTACACGGCCCCTCCCTGAACGTGCGCTTTAAAGGCTCGAAATTTAACTAGCGGAGTTAACTGAGCAAGACTCAGGTTGTCTCTACGAGTCGATCACAGGAGGTTGATTTTCGTAGCGCCAAGCCCCTTTAAAAGTTGGCTTAAGGCTTGGCTTGTTCGTATAACAAATTTTTTGCGGCGAATACCGAGGAAGACGGCTCCATATGGAGTGGTTGAAACACCGCGCAGTTTTTCGATGGATCAGTCAACCCATTTTTAGCACAAGTGATTTTCTATGGGCCGTGAATTGGGAACACACATAGAAAAGGATGAGGCCCCAGTTCGTTTCATTGCAAAAAGTTCTCGTCACAAGACTTTTAATTTTCATTAGAAGTTATTGGTTTAATCGAACCACCTACACACATAATTTTGAATAAGTCTTAAAGTATCAAATAATACTCTATTAAAACCGATCAGCCTCCATTCAATAAATCCAGGCTTCAACAGCCAAACGACCCAAATCAAAATTCCACAGGCCGAGTGGGTTTTTATGGTCCGACGGTGTAGAGGGGACTGTCCCGTCCAAAATCGCTAATTCTTTCTGGTGCCTTATCTTGTTCGGATTTATCGGCTTCAGGGCGGCCACCTCTTCGGCGGCCCGAAACGCTGATTTTAATGGGCGACTCGTCATTTTGCCCCGAAAAAAGGGAATGCTGATTGTATAGTTCGTGGACGGGGCCGAGCTGTCGATTCACCAGCGCAAAGCCGGGGGTAATTTTTGGTTTTTGGAATTCGCCCCTCACAATCATGGCTATTTGAGTCAATTGGATTCTTAATCAATTTCGGCTCACCATCAAGTTCAGCAGGTTCAAGTTGAACTTCGGTTTTTTCGCCTTAAGCTTTCGTTGTGTGTAGTTGCTTCCGATTTATAAGGGTCTTTGGTCAATTTTGATTTTTGTTTGCACAAGCTCATGCTCCAAAATTGGTGCTTCTCATCGCGTTGTTGCTGTTTTTGAACTCGAGGAAGAAGGCGAGCAGGGTCAGCATCACCGAGAAGGTCTAAAGTACAGTTATAATGTCGTCCAAAAACGGATATACCGTCAAAATCAACGGCTTCGACACGATGGCAAAGCCCCAGAGGCTAATTCCAAGGTCCGGTTGGTCAAAGTGTAGAGTTAGGGTCCTCGCTAGTCGATTGACCTAAACAAAATCTACATAATTTAAAGGAAAGGGCCATTGTAAAAATCCACCACTGCCGCGGCTAGGTCTCGACAAGTCTGCATCGCGCCAAAAACGACCGCGACATGTTGATTTTTCAGGATTTTCGATAAAATTTCGATAGATCTGCGCCTAGTTTTTGTTTTTTTTTGTTACCTCCGCGTCGTACGGTGCCCAAATATCCTTATTCCCGCAGAGGATGATCGTGGATTTAGCTAGCTATAACAAAAACTGATAGATTAAATTTTAGCACAGGCGAACCTCGCTCCTCATTTGTGTTGGGGCTACCGTAAGCCCTAGGTAGATGTACACAAAGATCGTGACGGACGGGATGGCATCCAGGATCTGTAAAATTTCTCTGAAGGAATTGGACCGTTTAGCTGCTGTTTGCGCACAAATCGCTAAGCCTAAAAAATGTTTATCTAGACAATGGATATGATTTTAGGGTATAGACATTTTTAGAACTTTTGAAAAACTCAAAAGGTTTCACGATTTAGGTCCATCTTGTATGCTAATTGGGGGTATTTCCAAGTATTCGATTCGAATAAAATAGTGACCTTCAGCTAGTAGATATATGTTTCATCTTATTCGCGGGATGTGGTTGCAGGTTTCCAAAGTACCAAAAAATGTCGAAACCATCGTACTGTACCTCAGCCCAATGATTCCTCGTCATCAGCCGGATCAGCCGGAACATAAGCGTCGGCACGTTGGCACACAGCATTAGGAAGGCGAATTGCTGCAGATTAAAATCTTTTAAGCCGATCTAGCGCTCGAGAACTTACCGAAAATACCTTATCAACGCAGCGGACGGTACGGGCGAGTTGGGTGTGTTTTATGAGTAGTCTCTCAAGCTCCATGCACATTTTTGAGGGGTCTGAGGGTTTTAGCTGAAATTACGAGTCCTGAGAGACGATAGAAAGCGAGATAGAGAGAGAGAGATAGAGAGAGAAAGACCGAGATAGAGAGAGAGGTGAGAAAGAAAGAGAAAGATAGGGAGAGAGAAAGAGAGAAAGAGAAAGAGATAAACATACCTCTTTTAAGTCTTGATTAAAAGCTTTTGCCTCCCAGTAAAGCCCACGAACAAAAGTTGAGAAGAAATGAACAGCCACCATCAAAGTAGTGCCGTTTAAATAATTCGCAAACGCACGCGCGATGTTTATATGCACGTTGAAGAGCTCCTACGTTTCAAAATTAAGATCCATTAGAAACTACCTTCAACTTACCGTCCTTGTCCCCGAATAACTCATCAGATATCCGTAAGAGCGTATGGCAGCGCTGCTGACAATATAGAACGGTACCAGACTGGCCATTAGCGTGTAGAAAAACTTCGCGACTTGTTGGCTTCGATTTCTTTGCTAAATTAGGCACGATTAAAGAAAATTTTTTCAGTATTCATTGCACATTTTCCAAATTTTCCACACTTTTTTCCTACACCAAATTTTCCACACTTTTTTCCTACATATAAACGGACAATCGCCTTGAAAGCGTTTTTTCTGTCGAAATTTTCATAATTGTGAGCTTTCCGTAGTAGGGTTAATGAAAATATACCTTTCGAAAAGTTGTGGACACCATTTCGGCTTCTTGAAACCTATCTAGAATTGCTTTGAAGGCATCAGTACGTTGCCAGACGTGGATAAAGAGCTGAAAAAAAGACATCCTACTATATATATAAAAAATAGTGTCTGTGTGTGTGTGTGCATTTGCATGCAACTTCCGTCCGTATGTTCCAGTCGTATCTCAATAAAGGAAGAAGATAGGGGTATGTATGATACGTCATTAGGTGCGTAATGGTCATGACACGACTGCACACCTATCAAATTTTTTTAAAATGAGCTGTTTTCGATATTAAAAATAGATTTTTGTAAAAATCTCGCTCGGCGCTTTGTTAGGAAAAATTAGAATCCACCGGAAGTTGCGCTCGCCTATATAAAGGGACGGAGGGGGCGCTTTTCATTTTTTGTCTTCGCAATTCGGGCAATATTAGGCAAATTGAAGAGTCAGACGGGGCCAGGGTTGAAAAGCCGCGAAGCGGTTTTTGAACCCTGGTAGCTTCTAAAATTTAGCGATCGCTAGCGCTTAAATAATTTAGACTTAAAATGTTACTTGACAAATAATCGTCTGCGAATTCCACATGACCAATTTAATACCGGTAGACGTGACGGATACTTCAAAGTCTTTCATTAGGGTTCCAAAATCGTGGATTAGCAGGAACATGCCTAAACCATGTTTTTGAATCGGAAAATACTCTAAGAATCCTAGATCCGCTTTAAAAACATAAACAAAAGCTGACCCAGTGCAATATACGAAAAGCAAAACAGTGTCGCCCTTGCGCGGCATAGCTTGGCATCCGTGGGCCGATACCGTACACCAATGAACCGAAGACCCTTAAAATGCATTTTTTTTGCAGTAGATTCATTGATGAAACCCACAATTTTAAAGATAAAAAGTTTTAAATTCAAGCGGAAACGAAACAAAAATTTTAAAACATCAAAGATCTGTTTAGAAACACGCAATTTTTTTCAGAATTCAAGGAATATCAAATTTACGTATTTATTACAGCGGAAAGCCCAGAAAAGCTATATTTTATAAAATTTGGAATCCACTTACAAAAGGTATAGTATTTAATGACAGCTTTAATTTCAGCAGTATGTGTCCGTCCCTCCAAATACGTCCCATCCTCCAGGGTCAGCGCCTGGAATATCCGATCAAAAATTGACAAAACAACATACCGAAAATAGCTTCCGACGACTCATTTTTCGCAAAAGTTCCGGTAAGTTGAAGCGCGCCAATTTTCGACGTCAATGCCTCGACCCCGAACGAACCAGAGGGCCATCCAAAAATTAATTAAATGAGCGGCGGTTGCTAGGTTTTTTTGGGCTCGGTTGAGTAAATAGTGACCGAGGCAATTTAGGGTTGAATTACGCAGCCAAAGAGGGTATTTTTTGGGATCCAAGCCCAGATCAAACGTTGTGTTTTGAGGGCGTTTTGGAATATTTATATCTTGCCCGAAAGCCAGAGTGAGAGAGAGAGTGAGAGAGGGTGAGAGACTGAGTGAGAGAGCAAAAAAGAAAGAGAGACAGACGGAGAGAGAGAGGGAGAGAGCATGAAAGATATATTTTGAAGACGATTTTTGTTTTCGAAATACCTTCGATCGTGTAAGTATGAAACTTTATTAAAGACGAGTATAAATCAGCGTTGAGTTAAGAATATGTTGTCAGGAAACGATATGAATTATGTTACGCGTCAAACTGTATTTGAAGTATCGGAGCCTTTTTACTGAATTGTAATGCAATGCTATGTTTCAGACATGTTTCTAAAGCAGCGGATGATAACTGAAATGTCAATACAAGATTAAATACAAATAAACGAGATTTTTCAAGAAATTCGATGATTTTAATACAGTTGATTCGCCGCTGCAGATGTTCCATTGGCGTTTTGGGTGTGGTGGGAGACATTATCAACCGAGCCAATCTCAGTAATAAAAATCGGACGGTAGCCGCACATCCGCTTGAACTTCTTGATGACCCTTCGCTGGATGCTCTTGTTCATGAAGAGGTAGACAAGGGCTGGAGTGCCTAGAAGAAAACGTCTTCGTTTAGAAAAATGTATAAATTTTAATAACGAAGACGTAAGAGCTTTAATATTGAATTAAAATTTAGCCTGGACATACCATGCATCATCTGCCAGCTACAATGTCCTATGTGCATTAACGTCATGGTAGGCGGGATAAAGATCATAGAAGCCCAGATGCCGGTAGTCAGCATTGTGAAGAAACAGACAGTAATGGCTTGAAACAGAATCTAAAGACCTAGTACGTTAAATCAAAAAAAAGTAAAATTCATGAAGGATAAAAGAGAGAAAGGGCTCGTGAGAGAGCGACAGAAAGAGAGAGAGAGAGAGAGAGAGAGAGAGAGAGAGAGAGAGAGAGAGAGAGAGAGAGAGAGAGAGAGAGAGAGAGAGGGGGAGAGAGAGAGGGAGAGAGAGCGATAGCCAGAGACAGAAAGAGGGAGATATACTGAAAAATTTACCTTTCTCTTCGCTCTGGCTTGAAACTGGTTATGATATCCCTTTGTTTTCATAGCATGTAGTATGCAAATTATTACGTAGCAGATGAATATGGTGCTCGCTACAATAAAGTTCGACACCGTTTGGTAGACCGAGACGTACTGAAAATCAAGATTTCTCCTTCACTCTTTCTCTCTCACTCTCTTACTTTCACTCTCTCTCTCTTTCTTTCTCTCTCTCTCTCTCTCGCTCTCTCTCTCTTTCTCTGTCTCCTACCACCAAGTGTTCTTTTCCTGGGATAAACGGATGGTAGATCCAACTCCCATAGTTTGAGTTGAAGATTATTGGTGGCGGAATTATGGCATAGAAAATACCGTAGATCCCAGAAATCGCGACGTAAATCCAAGTCTTCCAACCCTATAATTGAAAAATTACAGAAAGTCAGTAAGTGCAATCTTTGGTCTCAACCCGGAAATGGAAAAAGGATTTTCGCATTTCCTCGTCCCAAATCCCTGGGGTCGAGTTCCGAAGGCTCACTACGGTGAGTCGGACGAGCAAAACAGAATTTTAGAAAATTCGAGAAATTTCTGCCGGGTATTATTCAGTGAAACGACTACTGTAGATTCCTAATCTGCTATGCTCTGGTCCAACCTAATCAGCGCAAATCAACTTTTTAAAGGGTTTTGTTGGTCACGCGGACGAACGTTCACGAATTTCTATTGTAATACGTGAGAATTCGTCCTGAGCTTTGTCAATTTTGTAACCGGAATGATGCGTCAAAGAAATTCCAGGAATCCAAGCCGCAGAAAAAAAGGAAATTTTTCGTGTTTTCAAGAATCTGCCACGTGCCCACCCGAAACAGAAAATCCGCAATGTATGGTTTCCAAAAATCGACACATCTGTTGATGACCAAGAAGAAGCACAGGGCACAGCAGGTGTTGAAGATTCCTGCAAATTATGAGCGATGTACCTTAAAGGGGCTCCGAACTGCCAAATCAAAGCTTTTTTGGGAGGCCTCTTTGATTTCTGGCAAATTGCCAGCGGGCACTGCGGGACGAAGCCCTCACTCTTTCGATTTTTGCGCGAAGTTGATTTTGCCCGGTTTCTTTGTGAAAACACTATAATTCGCGCATTCTGAGTCCATTTTTGAAATCTTCACTCAATTTTAAATAGTTTTGGTGTTTTAAGCGTCAAATTTGGCCAAGAAACAGCCGAGAACGTGATTTCGAGGTGACAACAGGCAATTTCAAATTTGCGAGCTTCCCGGGCCCCGGGGTGCACATAGGCCTCCGATGTCCAGGTCTCGGATTTTCGCGCCGTCACTCAATTTTTGGCATTTCGTAGCCCTTTTAAGATATGGAAAAAAATGCTATGAATCTCAAACTTGCTTGTTTCCTTAGGACCGCCTCATTTTTGTTAAATTTTTGCGCCTTTAATTTCTTGAAAAACGTCGGTGCTATTGATACTCACCATTACAAATGCTCCCAGTTACGTACAAAAACCGGGGTAGCATACAGTACTCGGTTCCAATCATGTACAAATAGCCTGCCAAGTCACAGCTTAATACGATGCAAAGCGTGTCCATGATTCCTAAAATGGATGTACCTGGCAAAAATGGGTTGATACCAAGTGATAGCATGAATTTGTAGCATGAGATCTGTCGGAATTCTCGGGTGGCGATGACGGAGAGGGTCAGGGCGTAGCAGGTCTAAAAAGCAAGCAACTTACTTGAATGAACACCATGTTTAAGGCGGTTAGCTGCGAGTTTCAATCCTTTGTCCGGCTAAGGATCGGCTAGTACTTGACACGCCAAAAACGCTTGCAAGTGTTAGTGAATTTTATTTTAACGCGTTTTTTGCGGCCACAAGGCAGTGTCGACACCTCGTCGGTTCGATTGGAAGGGTTCGATTTTTGGATTGCTGCTCCCTTTAAATGTACTTATATTGAATTCCCGTGAAATATGGAAGAGTAGTGTGGAGTCTTAGGTTGCTAACTTACTAGATAGACCCTGAATCTCGAAAAACGATAGAAAAACAGAGAGAGAGAGAGAGAGAGAGAGAGAGAGAGAGAGAGAACAAGAGAGGGAGCAAGGGACAGAGAGAGAGAGCAAGAGGGAGAGAGAGACAGAGAGACAGAGAGAGAGAGAGAGAGAGAGAGAGAGAGAGAGAGAGAGAGAGAGAGAGAGAGAGAGAGAGAGAGAGAGAGAGATTGCGCGATAACGAATGATCCCATTTGAAATGGAGCCTGGCAGTGGGCCGATGAGCATCAATAAAGGTATTTTAGGCGAATCTTTACGTAATTTTAGTATTGTGTTTTCACAAGCGTATTATTTGTCGAATTCCGTTTCCAAAGCATTTTTTGGATTTCCCTTTCCATCGCTCGGTGGCCAACCTGTACGAGCAGCCCATAGGCGATGTAAAGTGCACCCAAAATGGGGCTCTTCTCATTACGGGCCGCCATTTCCGCCTCGCTCAGCGTCGCGTTGCTGCAATGGGAGTCGAAAACTGTGGAAAGGAAGGGAAGAGGGGGGTCATTTTCAAAATAGCGAGCCGAGATGAGCTCGAAACTACGGGTAGTTAGAGGAGGCTTCTGGCTTATTTTGCCCTCAAAAGTTCAGCCTCGGTTTCCGGCTTTTATAACTTTTTTTGAAGCGGCTCTATTTTTCCGTTTCAGATAATAGTAACTGGCGATGTGTTTTACATCTATTATTAGGCATTTGCATTAACTGGTATTTTTATCAAAGCTTTTTGTTGTTTCTTAGATAAATTAGAAAAATCGCATGATTTTTGATTCATCTGTTTTATTATCATTCATTTAACGGATGTAAAATGTTAAAAATTCTAGGATTACCAGGATATAATATATAACAATTGTCACATTTTTACACATCGATAGAATAATAAGGAATTATATTGACTAGGAAAACCTACACACAGCTGTACTTCGGATTATCGGCCAGCGTCCCGTATGCAAAGTAGCCCTCCATTTTCTGAAAACGAACGTTTTTGAAAAATTTTTAACCGCGAGAATTAGAATGGAAAGACCACATTGAAAACTCGTAAAAATTAACAGTAAAGGAATTAAGGCAAAAATCGCAAAATAAAGGTTTTTAATGGAATTAGACGTTTATTTTTTTGCAAAGAATTTTGCGCGATAGAGGACTAGTTTGCCTCCTTTCAGCTTTTATATGTCTGCCGCAACCTACTTGCCCGATTTCTAACATTAAAAAGTGAGCGAAGCTATCTCATCTCAGAAGATTCCAGAAAGACCTCGTGCTCCTTCTGGAAAACTGAGGGAGTGCGAGGCGGCGTAAATGTTTTCTCGCATAGCGGGAACGCATCAAGCCCCCTAGGATTCCCTTATTCCTCGAATCGAGGAGAGGAGCCCCGAATTTCCCAGGCGCAAATTAACGCACATCTGAATATATTCTAGACGATGCATTATGTCGATTCCTTGGGGAAATAGGGGGGATTCTGTACTTCTAGTGGAAGATGAGCTCAAAGGACAGACGAAATTAGCTAGAGGCAAGATGAGAAAGAGAGAGAGAGAGAGAAAGAGAGAGCTAGAGAAAGAGAGAGAGAGAGAGAGAGAGAGGGAGAGAGAGCGAGAGAGAGAGAAATCAAATCCTAATACCGCGAAAAAGAAGTACAACCCGACTATCTCCCAACTTGTACTCAACGTTCTTGGAATTTTTGTAGGAAACCTTTCCCGGAAAAGTCCGGCTAGCCTGCCCCAAAAATTCAGTTTAGTTCCGTCTCGATCCTTGGCCTTCAAAAAAGCGTACAAATAAAATGTTACCTCGTTTTGAAAGCGGGCTTTTGGAAATGAAAAACGAGAATATCACATTAACTGAAGGATACCTGAGATGCCGGTATCAAAAAAACTGACGTTTAGGTTCTAACTGGTTTTTGGCCCGCTGAGAAAATTTTACTTGACAAAAAAAATTCCACAGAACCAACGGAAAATTTAATTTAAGCTTGGAGAGAGAGAGCGGCGAGAGAGAGAGAGAGAGAGAGAGAGAGAGAGAGAGAGGGAGAGAGAGACAAGAGTCAAAAGTAATCAGCAGTCACGGGCATACAGTAGTGTGTGTATTCCAGCTTTTAGGCCACACTATTTATAGTTTTTGTCGATTTTCTTCAAAAAGTTGAAAAGTTGAAAAATTAGTGAAGTTTGACAGACCTGCTTTTTTGCGTGGCAGCTAGCCGTGAACATTTGCGGAAAATTCGAGGCTAATTGAAGGCTCTAAGGGATCAGGAGTTGACGTTCCCAATCGTGCCTTCGTCACCCCTTTAATATCAGAGATACGGTATCGGAAGAAATGCAAACTATAGGTGCATCTGTACTTTGGAGTGCTTTCCAATTTATTGATTTAAGCTTTTCGCTTAAAGGGCACGTTCAGGGACGTTTTTTTTTCGAAAAAACAAAGAGTTTTGGGGGTAGAACCCGGGCCCCCCGCTCGGGAGGCGCGGATGGATACCAGTCAGCCACAGCTACAACCTGGCGAGGGCGCCCCTCGCCGCAAGAAGGCCTGTCACAGCACGGGTAGGCACTGCGCGCGGTCCCTAGGTTGGGACGAGTACACGGTTCCTCCCTGAACGTGCGCTTTAAGAGAACGTGAAGTTGGTGCCAAAAAAATTTTGGCTTCTGGACTGGTCTTTCTATCAACAAACGATGTCAAATACAGGGTGACCAGTTGAAAGTGTATACAACTCGATATTGATAGAAATCGCCATAAAAAATTTCCTAAGCTGCTTTGAACCTTTTTGCTCATTGGATGTAAGCAAAACCGGTAATAATAACAAAGTATCAACAGATTTTGAAGGTAGCTTCGGTTGGGTGCAAGATACAGCTTCCAAAATGTTGCTCGATGCGAGGAAAACGCTCGCCAAAAGGCCGCAACTCCAATTCGGATACTTTGTGACGCCCTGAAGCACCCGAATGCTTTAGTGGGCTCAGATTTTGATAGAATGTAAAGAAGGCTTCTGCCTATATCAGACACAATTATGGAAATTTTTGGACACAATTCCTTTCGACGCGAAGCTTTTTACGGCGACCTAGTTGGAACAAGAAATTGGCTGCTGAGCTAGGCTCGGACTAGTTTCGCTCGTAAAAGGTCGCGGCAAGCTTTCGTGAGGCCCCAAATTTTGTCCAAAGTTGCTTGTTAGCATAAAGATACACATTATCAACATCAATAAGCGCCTTAAGCAGTTTTCGCCAGTTTTTGAGCCCCAAATGTCAAAAATCACGCCCATTTTACAAATTAAGGTCAAATTAAATCTAGATTCGGGATTTCAGTATTCTGAACGGTTCGAAACTTACTTCCGATTGTTTCCGACCGAAATAGATTATTCCATACACTGCCGATGGCCCCAACAAAATTTTGACTGAGTTTCAACACTGCAATAGCCAGCCGGTGGGAGCTGTGGCCCACGACCTCCTAATGAGCTTCCCTTCTGAAGCTCTATCCAGAAGCACAGAGCAGCAAGCTTAAAACCCAATAAATATGTGATGATCTAACTCATAATCTTTTGTTTTATTCATCAGAAAAGTTTGGGTTCAGCTTCTGTCAATTTGTAGAGGTAAAAGTTTTGTATACACTTTCTACTGGTCACCCTGTAATGAGCGGAAATAATTGACTGCCTACGGTATCATCAAACTACACTAGATTTTGCAAAAACCCAGATTTCAGGCACCCTAGAGCCTTCCCCAGCATGGGCATGAAAATATTTTGGGGATGGCACGGCGAGTATAGCAAATAGTGGGGGCGACGGCCAATCGGAAATCGGCCTCTAGGGGAGGGGGAGGGATATTATTAAATGGGTATATCGCTTGAGATAGGTGGAATATGCTGCTGTGTCATTCGCTTAAAAAGCAGAAAAGCAATTGGGTTGAGGGGCACCGAATAGGGAAGTCGCATGAGGAATGAGCAGTCAATGGGCGACTCTGGCTTTTTGCTAAATTAGATCTAAAACCGGGGCTAGACATCAGGGCAGCTCGGGCGAAAGTGTCGAAAACATGCTTCTGGCGTGGACGCGACCTTAAGACTCGGGGCAACTTGAAAAAAGTTTTCGAGAGCAAGAGTGAAGTTTCCGATTTTCTGTAAAGGTACAGTCCGCTCTCGTTTGAATCGTACGGAAGAGGGGGAGGGGGCCAAGGGCTATGAAGGATCGGAGGCCGCGGCCGCCGGACAGCCGAATTCTGGCCGCCGACCTGGGTTTTTTAACGAGCGCGGAATGTACCTTTAACCAGAGACTAGCAGGTGACGTTTCGTCAGAAAAGCACAAAAAAAAACACTTCGAGATCAGTAGAAGCTTGATATTCCAGCTGAGCGGTGCATTAATAGCAGGCTGTGGAACTTAATTTATTTGCTATTTCATGAAAAATGTAACCGAAAACAGGGTGAAAGAGAAATCCGAAATCCCTCGCAGACCCCCATGTCTGTTTGAAGCTGTTGGAAAGCCGTACGCTTTGAAGCTTCGTATTTTCCAATTTACGGCTTGAATCTGACGTCGGCGGCGTTAGCAGTTTCATGGTTCATACCCGGTGGCAGCCGGCTATTGGTTATATTATGTCAAAAGATCTTGGGTTTGAATCCCTAAATTCAAGCAGTTTTCAAAATTGGCGCGTTTTTATCTTTTATCTTTACCTGTCCGGACTTCTCCAATAACTTGACTACTTCTTTTTTTGCCAACCTTGCTCGGCGCCGAGTCCACATGCATCCTGAATGCCTTAATTTTTTTTTCGGATCGGCTTCCCGTCTAGGTCGGCTGTCGGAATACATGGGTCAGGGACTGACGCCTAAAAAGTGCCTCAACGACTGCACGAAAAGCATGAATTCCTTAAAATGATGTCCTTAAGGAAGCTATTGGATTTGAACATAAAAGAATTAGAAGGGAACGTCGAAATTTTGCTAGATTTTGGGGTCGAATCCCGAATTTCCGGATTCAGAATTTCCAAATTCTGTGGACTAACCTCCTTAAACGAGCAAAAATTTGCATCTATTTCTACTTACTCTCACCCTCGACTCCACTCGGCTTCTCTGAAGCTCATACTCCATCGGAACAACTTTAGCTCGGCCTTTAACACAATTGTTGAACTCCCTTTTCCACCGTCTCCCATCTTCTGGACCTGGAAGAGGGCGCGGTGTTGGCGAGCATGCATGCGGAATGCTGTTGTGTTTTTGGCCCCAACTGCGTGACCATCGTTCGCCCACCTTTTGTCCTTTTGGTGGCTAACATTCTTATTGTTTCGCCAGATTTCTGCTGTTGGCAATAGGGCAAACTTCCACTTTAGGGAAGACTACGGTAGTTTCAAAAGCCTTAAATAGGCGGATCCGGGAGTTTAGGATGTAGAGATTACTAAACACTAAACTTGCCAATTAATGGGTTCATGGCCTTTTAAAAGCCGTTTAGCTTAATTTCTCACTCTCACACACTATCCTTCTCCCTCTCTCTCTCTCTCTCTCTCTCTCTCTCTCTCTCTCTCTCTCTCTCTCCCTGTCTCGCTCCCTGTCTCGCTCCCTGTCTCTCATTCTTTCTCTCTCTCCCTCGCTCTCGCACTCTCTCTCTCTCGCACTCTCTCTCGCTCTCTCTCTGCCGCTTTCCCTGAGAAAATGCCCCGAAAATACTTTTATCTCCAAAGCATTTAATAGATTTACTAGACCCTTGCCATCAGCATCAAAGTCACACCAAAACACAGCCAATCTCTTTTGATCGCCCGGAACCTGGCTTTCGAGCAACGAACGAAATGAGTTTGCGAACGTCCTCTCGGTCGACACGTAGCCGTCAAACAGAATCAAGTGTAATGTTCGGTTCCGGAGCTTGCCAGTGCCTGTAAAAGGTTTGTTCAGGCTTTGCGTCGTAATGAAATGTATTCTGCTGGCTTGCGCTGCGCATTTTTCAAATCCGGATACCTAGCCCCAAAAAACCGCGTCGCGGCTTTGGAACTCTGGCTCAGTCGGGGACTTATTGGATCGACATTGTGTCGCTAACTAGTGGACAGAAGCGGCTGATGTCTTCTTCTTCCGAACGACTTAAATGTACAGGGAAGGGACAGGTTGTAGCTTTTTGCCTGTGGTTTCCCTGCCCATTTTTGGGCGAGATGGGATCGCGCGTCACGTGTGCGTCGCGTCCCGCGCCGCCGTAGGCACAATAAAAAAATTCATCTCACGAAAAATCGATAATTTTCCAGTGAGCTATTTGTCTAATTTTTGTTTTTGCAACGTCATTCCACGAAATTTTATTAATTCCGGGTAACGCAGATTTGTCGATACCTAGCGATCGGAGGGGGTTGATTCTCCGATCTTCTCACTCCCTTTAAAAGCTAGTAGACGTGTTTTCTAGGTGGGCGTATTTTTTCCAGGTCGATTCCGGAAAAGTCGAAACGCTCTCTGCCAATCGAATCATCATCGAGCTGGGGGCGTCTGGGATAATGGTTGGATTGGGTCTGGGGAGATAATGAGGGCTATGGTGGTGAAAAACTTTTCATCTCATCCTCCAATTCGAAAAAGGCCATTTCCCCGCGATCGTCTATCCTCAATTCGGTGGCCATCAAGATGAGCCTTCAGCGGGTGTAGCCCCCCCACGCACAACCCCTCAATTTAGCCACTTTCCGCTTCCTCCTTGCGATGCGTTTCTTCATTTCGGCTTTTGCGCTTTGGGGTCTAATCAAATATAGTGGATTTTGCTGCAGATGCACGTCTGATTCTTGTTTTTTAAATGTGTTCATTGGCCCAGTAATCGCGGAAAAGCGGCTACAGTTTACTTAACCCCCCCCCCCCCCCAAGCCGGAAGTTTTTGCTATAACTTTTTTATTTTACATTTTTGTAGGTTCAAATAAATATCATGGGTGTATTTTTGCACGCTCTAACGAATGATGTTTAGAAAATCCCGAAAAATGGCGAAAATATCGACAACTTTAAGGCCCTTCGGCTGTGGGGGGGGGGGGGGGCATAAAGGACACTCTCTCCGGAAAGGCTTCCTTTGGTAGAATTTCAATCAAAGAGTTGCAAAAAAATTTCGCATCTGTTCTGTTTTATTTATTTTGTTCGTAAAACACAAAAATAGCGTTTTTCGACCCAAAAAAGTATGTTTATAATCTTTATTCGGCATGAAAAGCTATATAAACAATTGGAAATGCCGTATTGTTCGGGATTTTGACTTACCATGGGCATTAGAAGTTAGAACATTAGCGTTTAGCATAACTTTTCATTATTTTCAGGCTTAATGAGGCATCCATTAATTAAGAGGCTTGTTGAGCTTCAACAAATTGGCAAAACTCCTTGCAAAGCGCACGTTCATAAGCTTCATTTTTATACCATAATTGGCCTGGTTATGAAAAGCGAATCCGCTGATCTCTAGTTTTTCAGGCACCTTTAAAAACCGCCTTAAAAACCCTAGCGGAAACCTGATCTTTCCTATGCTTGTGCTCCCCATTTTCTAGGTCAAAAACGGAACCCCGAAGAGCAGAGTTCGGCCTCATTGCATAAATAAGCATTTTCTCTTATGGATCTTGCGGCAAAAGAAGGAAAAGGACGTCGCCCCTATATAACCTTCCTTGTAAAAATAGATTTTCATAAAAACACGTAGCCCGCGGCGAGAAGCTGCTAGCTTTTGCATGGGCTTTGAGAGGCACCTGTCTTTTTCACGCGTTCTCCCATGTGAAAAAAAACATTTTTTAATTAGCAGCTGCCGATTTTTTTTATGGGCCAAACATCCTGTTTACGGCTATTTGAAACGTTTTTTTAGTTTTCTTCGATAAAATTATAAAATGAATTAAACCAATTAAATGGTGGCTTTCAAAACGACTGCAATTCGTGCTTCGTTTATGATAGTTCCGCGCCCTTTCGTCCTAATTTAAAGTTACCTAACATTTTTTGATAAAATCCGGCCCTATTTTGAAAACAAAATAAAATAATTTCATTGACTAATTCAGAAGTTTGAGAAATACCTAAAAATTACAAAATCAAAACTATAGTTGGAATCGTAAAGTTTAAATTTAGGTTTAAAAGAAAAATGAAAAATATGACCTTAGAGAGCAATTATTTCCCCTCCACAAATTTCCTATCAAAACACTTCCTCATTTCCTGCCTCATTGACCCCAAGCGCAGGCAGGGCCGATGCCCTCTCACATTCAATTTTGTCATTTGAGCCCCGGCGGCCAGCTAGATGAGCAAACGCACAAAAAGTGCAGAAGCGTCTGAGCGGTGGCATTTGGCACCGTTCGGAGGGTCGAGTGTCGCTTTGTCCTGGACGTTGTTGTGCACATTCAGGAGCCTGAGCATGGCCAGAAATCTTTAGCTTTAAAGCTTCATGTTTCCGTTAGATTTTGTTGCGAAAGGCGACGCACCTGCCATTCCGTTGCGTAATATCATAGACAGAAATCTGGAAAAATCGTCAGTAATATTTTTTTCTGTAATTTTTTATCATATTTAAACAAACAAGGGTCAGAAGATCAATTTTTCCAAATTTTGTGTGTTTTGCGTGGGCAATTTTGGACCTGGTGCGTCTACTTAAATCCTACCTATAATTTTACTCGTGTCAGACTTTGACATTTCACTCTTATGCCCAATTATAGGCGTCAAAGATAACGTTTTCGTTTTGGTACTGGTTTTTTAAGAAAAAGGGTTTTTGCACCATGGTCTTTGTTTCCAAAAGCGCCATGTTTTCTTCCGTACTAACTAAATTTTCAGTGGGTCAGGTGGAAATTGTTTTCCGAGCCCTTTCGCCCGCTTGACCTTAGGGCTCGACGGGACCCAAGTGGGGCCCAGCTGTTTCCCATCTTCTTGGGGGTACGTTCTTTAAAGAACACGAACACGTGTATATGCAGGAAAATGGGCACAAGATGAACCTTTCGAAGACGTGGATTTGCCACGACGGGTTGAATAACTTCTGTTCTATCGATTTGGCTCTCTCACCTTCTCTCTCTCTCTCTCTCTCTCTCTCTCTCTTTCTCTCTCTCTCTCACCCTCTTTGTCAATCTCTCTCACTCTCTCTGTCTCTCTCTGACTCTCGCTCTCTCACTCTCTCCGTCCCCTCTTTACCCCAAATTTTTGGGAAATCATGATTCTCGTGAAGATATTTATATTTTGGCCTCGTGAAGAGGTACACGTACCGTTTTTCTTCTATTGTAATGCAAACCCTATACTCCCACGGCCACTCAAAAACGCTGGAAATGTTGCTATAAGCAAAATGGCCCTCACTGCGAGCTCTCTCTCTCCCGCTCTCCCTCGCCCGGACTCTCTCTCGCCATCGTTCACCCGCTCTCTCTCTCTCACACTCTCGCTATGCTCTCTCTATTCTATATCTGTCCCTCTCATCCTCTCTCTCGCTTTCTCTCGTCAGTTTTCTCCAATTAATTGCATCGCTGCAGGCTCCAAAAATGGCGGGTCGCAACGGAAGTGGCCCCGATACGAATAGGATCTGCTTGGAGGACCAGCAGATGGTGCTCAACACCGACGAGTTGAGCCGGATTTTGTTCGGTTTGTTAGAACTCTGCTCCGCAATAAATAGAACATTCTTGAAGAGCCAATTGCCATTCCAAGCTACATTTCTTAGGATACGTGGTCCCGATTGTTGTCGTGTTTGGCATCAGTGGTAATTTGCTGAACTTGACGGTGCTGTTGGCGAAGAAGCTGCGGACTAGGTTTGGCTGATTATGATAGCATCGTAAAGGCGTTTTTCAGATCAAACACCCTACTGGCCTATCTGGCTATGATCGACATCATTTTTCTGCTCTCATTCTTACCCGACGCCATGGCCAATCATCAGACATTTGAGATGGATTTCTTCTTTCGAAAATTCTACCACTACAGCACCACGTATCGATTGCACGCCCAGAATTGGTTCTCGGCGGCGGCCATTTGGTAAGATTTCGACAAGCCAAAACTCGGAGCCTAAAGAGACGGGCAAGCAACAAAATATTGCTATATGGCTTTATTCGAAATCCATACGGATTCATAGTTAATGCAAATCGTATCAAGCAACCATTTAAAGAGACGTTGAAGCGTCAGAATCGACCCCTCCCTTTTTAGATACCGACACAGTTAAGCGGGGAAAACGACAATTATTCATACCTCTTTCCATTTCTCTCGCTTCCTCTCTCGCTCTCTCGCTCTCTCTAGCTCAATCTAGTTTATGGTCAGACGGTAATAACAGTGGCGAGTGATGAAAACCGGATGCAGGTCCTAGAGTGTTCTGGAGTTCCGCGTAGTTGTCTATGCCCAGTGGAGAGGGGGTTGAATTGTCGCCTCCTAGTCCCTTAAAGACCTAACCTTAAACAAAAAATGGTCGTGACAAGGCTATTTCAGGCTAATCCTCATAATCTGCGCCGACCGTCTGATCGGCATCCGGAATCCCTTATCCTCTCGAATCCACTCGAAATTCATGGCTCCTCGGTTCATCGCAGCGGCTACGATAATTTTCACGGGCATTCTGACGTCGCATTATCACTTGAAGTAAGCAAAGAATACCTTGAAAATTAATAAATATAAAATTTCAGCTTTGTATGCAAATCGCGGACATTTTGCAACGGGACTCAGTTTCACGGGATCTGTCGACCGCTGGATTCAAAGTCGTGAGAATTTCTTAAAGCTAATTAACAGCCTAATAAGTTACAACTATACTCTGCAAAGAACATTTAAGATTCAATTTGGATTTGAACGTTAATAGGAATTAGACAAATTCCAGCTGGTTCTCGGGTGAACGGCCGCCAGAAGCTTGGCAACTTTTCGCAAAGTACAGCTTGGAAGTTCAGGTAGTAACAGTTTTTTTGCAATTTTACCTTAACTTTTAGGCACTGGTTATCGTATTTCTACCGGTTCTGCTAGTAGTTTTATCGAACGGGTTACTACTATGGACATTGAGACAACGGTGGGTAGATCTGAATAGACATAAAATCATAGCTCAAAAGCAATTTAGACATTTGCTAACATTCCTTATAATTTTGATATACTATTTAGATAATTGAAATTAGTATAAAAATATTAAACTCGAAAAAATATTGATTTACAGTACACAGTTCCTAAAAATGGGCGCTGTTTCGGCGGAGATGACGTCAAATCAAATGAAGAAGGAGCAGCGGGTCACATTTACCGTTTGTGCCATCGTCACCTGTTTTAGCATAACACAGGTGGGCAATTTTAAGCTTGGGTTTCGAAGAGGTACCCTTCAAATAACCAGTAAAAGTTAGCAGTGATAACAATCTATTTAAAGGTACACTAAAGTCTGATTGCTTTGGTTACCGGCCGGTAACCGTCCGCGGGATAGCAAACAGGGATACGGTAGGCGCTCGCCGCGGAGCAAAACCGAACCCGGGCCGCTCGCCTGGCGCAAGCGCCTCAGACCAATAGGCCATGGGAGAGGCGGGAGAGGGGAAGGGGACAGCGGTTATGAAGGGTCAGGGCGAGCGCCGACAGAGAGCCCAAATTCCCGACCACTGCGAAAATTTTTGAACGAGATTTTAGTGTACCTTTAAGGCGCCCTCCGCCTTCGTCCCAGTATGGATAGCCGTCAGCGGGCAGACGCAGGCGGATTTCAGTACAGCGGTAAGCAACAATTTTGTACAACATTTTGTACAATTTTGTGTTCTAGACGATAATCACCTCAACAATGGTGATACTCGGGAAAGCACTCAACTTTATCCTATTCTGCCTTTCATCAGCCAACTTCCGACAGCGTCTGCTATTCAGGACCAAGGAGTTGGCGACGAATAGTGCTATGTAAGCCATTAAAAACAACATTTAGTCTACATAATTCTGATTTTATTTTAAATATCGATTTTCTGAATGCTCGGAGATTATAGGCTACAGTTTGTAGTTTGTAGCTAGAATTTTAAGCGGCCTAGTTGATATACTGTAGCCAGAAATCACTGGTTACGTAACAAGCTCGTAAAATTCAGGTACATTCCCACGCCATCCGCCAAAAATTCATTTTACAAGAAGGTTCCACCAGTAAGTATAGAATGCGTAGATAGCATGGTTTATAAAACTTATGTAACATCAGGAATATTATTTCCTATATTCTTATATAGTAAGATTATATGGCTTTCATAGTGTTTTAAATAGTCGATTGATTTAAAAAGCATGGATTGAGAAACCGGCACCCGCTTATGCACGTAGTTTGGCTTCCAAAGGTGTTAAATCCTGTTTATAATTACAATAATTTTTGTTCGAATAGTAGATATTATGTAGATCCCGTAATAGAAGGGTTTAGAAGATTGTAACCTTGAACATGAATTCATTTTAGAAAAACGAATCTCCAAGCATCCACAAAATGGCTGTCTGTTGATTTCAAGTCGTTGTCAAGGCCTGGATCGAGGCCCGTTTCGCGGCCTTCCTCTCGATTATCGCTATGGCCAATGGATGCTGGTTATGAGCCCGTTCACAAGTAGGTCTTCTTAATTTTGGCAAAATATACTGACGAACGAAAGCGTTGAAAATACAACGCTAAATTAAAATCGTAATTTTTGGGACGTTAAAAAGTTTTTGGATTTTTTTATTGCCTAGATCGTGAATGAAATTCCTTTCGCATCTGCAGAACTGATGGTACTTTTATTCAAACGCGGTATTTTAGTAAACTATCCTTGGTTTGGCTGTAATCGCCTCTTGACGACGTCTTTTATCTTTTATACAAAATTTACAAACTATGGATTTTTCTCTCTTAATTTGGATAACTTCTGCGCAATATGAACTTATATCGAGTCATCTATTATACCGAATATATTTGGCAGGTTTTGGTGCCGTAATGGTGAGTGTTTGCAGTGTTTCTAATAGGTTACTTACGAATTAAGATATTTGACCACTCCAGCTCATTTTGCCTCAAATTTACTACCACTTTATCCGCTTTTCACGCTCCTCTTTCAGCTTCAGCCACAGCCCGGTGCACGGCTGCGCCAGAGCCGCTATGTTCCGGCGAAGATCCACAGCAGGCCATGCTTACATGCCAGGGAGGGTCCGATCGGCTCCCCGACTGGACGCGCTCGACGAAATTCTGCCGATCGCCCGGGTGACGAGCTCGAATAGGGTTTGATATCCGGGACTATCGCTTTTTCATAGTCTCTATTACGCCTTTATACCAAAAAAAATTCTGATGTTGTGCCATCTATTTTTACTTAAATCTGATCACCGGGAGTTATCCCAAGACGGGTCGATTTTCTATAGCATATCCGTTAAATTTTTGCTCAAAAACCTTGTAGTTTTGATGACGCTTTTCGTGCGCTTTTTAATTTATGGCGATAAACGTTGAACGATGTAAAAATTGAAAAATGAAGCATGCAAGGTCCGAAAGCATCATGAATTTCTCGAAACGTAAAAGTAAGCCTGAAATCGAAATTTATGTATATTTTGGGCCTTGAAGGAAAGGTGGTAACTTAAAGGGGCTGCGAAATGCCAAAAATTGAGTGACGGCCCGAAAATCGGAGCCCTGTACGTCGGAGGCCTCTGTACGCCCAGGGGCCGGGAAGATCCCAAAATTTGAAATTGCCTGTTGTCAACTCGAAATCACGTTCTCGGCTGTTTCTGGGCCAAATTTGATGATTAAAACACCAAAACTATTTAAAATTGAGTGAGGATTTCAAAAATGGACTCAGAATGCGCGAATTATAGGGTTTTCACAAAGAAACCGGGCAAAAACAACCTCGCGCCTAAAATCGAAAGAGTGAGGGCTCTTGTCCCGCAGCGGCCGCTGGCAATTTGCCAGAAATCAAAGAGCCCTCCCAAAAGGGCTTTGATTTGGTAGTTCGGAGCCCCTTTAAGGAACAAATCGAGCTTGAGAATACGATCGTAAATACAGTACTTTCAAGTAGTATGCGATGAAAAGAGCAATCAATAAACGACAGTTTCGCCGTCATGTTGATTACTGCCGCTCTTCGAATGTTTTTCGATTGTCGAAGAAGTCTGGGGCATCGTTGGCTTGACGGTCGAGGTCGTCAAGTAGAAGGAGGCCACCGATTTGTTGTAGTTGAAGCAGTTTGATACCTTAAGAAATCAAATCTTCCTGTTGAAAAGTGTTTTGAGAGCTTCTATATTTCAACCAACCTTTCTCAAGGCGCGACGCTGGATCGTCTTGTTCAAAAACAGGTAGACGATGGCGGGCATTCCGTGGGTGAGCTCCCAGCTGATCTGGCCAAGATGCATCAGGAATTGGCTTGGAGGCACGAAGCTCAATGAGGCCCAGATGGCACAAGTCGTGAACGTGAAGAAACAGACACAGACGGCCTGGACGAGGATCTGAAAATGGCGTGCTAAAAAAACTGTCTGTGACAGTGCTGATCCCAAACATTCGGTTTTCTCGTTTTACTCAATAAAAATTTGTGTGGTCCCTTACGCTACAGTAGAAGCGACGTTACGCTGTTGACGCGACGTGATTACGATCTGGAACGCTACGCTATTTCGCTCGGTCATGAAGTCAAGCTACGCCTGGAACGGCATTGCGCTATTTAGGTACTGCACACTACGCTGCCTCAGAACGATACGTTATGGTACCCCATTACCTGTCTTCCGTGTGCCGTTACGTAACGCTACGCAGGGCATTTGTCTACGTTGTACTACGTCACTGCGCTGTTTTTTGCTACGGCACTATCGTATCTGCGCTACATTACGTTCCATTGCCGTACGTTATGACGCGGCCACGACTGCCCTACGTTCCGATACGTCATCTCTCACTTGATAGTTCCGTTAATCACTTTTCCTTGTAGTTACACTTCCTGGTCCCTAGACGCTAGTTCCGCCAAGACCAAAATCACATCTATTGTATGCAGATTAGCCCCGACCGCAAAAACAGACAATTCAGTTGGTCCCCCATTGTCGGCACTTAATCCTGGCCCTATTCGTACTTTTTCACATGCCAGGGACTATCCTCATGTATTGTTCCCTTGTTCTTCGACAATCCTAAGTCCTCCCCCCTAGGGACTAAAAATATCTGGGATGACAATGCATATTGTTCGGGACGGAGTGCACCCGGAATGAAGATTTTCGCACATCATCTGGGGCATGGTATGATCCGGATGGATCTGAGGTGAGGAGAATGTAGTCGGTAATGTAGGGGAGAGAGAGGGAGAGCGATAGAGAGAGAGTGAGAGAGAGAGAGAGAGAGAGAAACAGACAGAAAGTAAGATGACAGATAGAGAGAAAGAGTGACAGATAAACAGTCAGTCAGACCGATAGAGAGAAAGGGAAATCTAGAGAAAGAGAGAGAGAGAGAGAGAGAGAGAGAGAGAGAGAGATAGATACAGAGTGAAAGAGAGTTATTGAGTACGTTACCTTTCTCTGCACCTTCGACTGCATCTTGGCATCACTCTGACCTCTGAGGCGCATCGAGTGAATGATGTAGATCAAGGCGTAGCAGCTGAAGATGACGATGGCCACGACGAAATTGTTCACCGTTTGGTAGATTGACCCGTACTGAAATGTCGTAATTTTAACACTCATTGAAACTCAAAAAATTATCGTACCTCCAAATGCTCCTTGCCCGGGATCAGTGGGTGGTAGATGACGGTACCGTAATCGGCATTAAACAGGGCTGGTGGCGGATATGTGGCGAACCAGAGGGCATAGATAATGACGATTCCCACCCAGATCCAGGTACGACCACCCTGAAACCAAAGCATTAAGGATGGGCTGATCTGCGTCGGTAACAGTAAGCTACTTCAGAAGCTGTAGCTGTAGTTCTGGTGCGAATCAGAGTCAGGGAGAGACCGAGAGGAAGAAAAAACCCGTCCAAATTGTCTTGAGCCTGCCTACCTTAAATAGCATATGTCCGATGTGCGGCTTCCAGATGTCTACCAAGCGGTTGAAGACCAGGATAGTACAGCAGAGGCAACACGCGTTGAAGAATCCTGAAAGAAATTCCGAGGTTTTGAGAGATAGCGCGAGAGAGCGAGGTAGAGATCGAGAGAGCGAGAGAGCGAGAGAGCGACAGAGAGAGAAATAGATCGCGAAAAACCGCTTACCATCCACGACCGCTCCGGTTAGATAAATCAGATGCGGATACATACAGTATTCCGTGCCGACGATGTAGAAGAATCCGCACAAGAAATTACTCATCAGGATAGTGATTATGTCGATGATGCCTAGAGATTTGTCAGATCGTTAATTTCTCTCTCCATCTCTCGTCCTCTCCCTTTCTCGCTCTCTCTCTCTCTCTCTCTCTCTCTCTCTCTCTCTCTCTCTCTCGGTCTCTGTCTCTGTCTCTCACTCGCTCTCTATCCTATCTCTCCCTCTTTCTCGCTCTTTCTCTCTCTCTCCCCCGCCAAAAACAAACCTAGACACATCATCAACTTGTAGCAGGACATCTGAAGGAACTCCTTGGTGCAGATGACGGACATTGATAGCATATAGCAGATCTGAAACAATTTTTTAATAGTTTTAGCTATATCACCAGGGTTGAAAAGCCGCTTCGCGACTTTTCAACCCTGGCCCCGTTTGGACAAATGAAACTGTAAACTTTGCATAATTCAGCCTCAATCAAGCTGACAAAAATGAAAATATTTTGTTCCATCCCTTTTTATAGGCTTCTTCTACTTCCGGTATATGCTAATTGTTTCCTATCAAAGAGGGTTCTCGAAAATTTTACAAAAACTTATTTTTAATATCGGAAATAGCGTATTTCGATAATTCTGTTATGCGTGCAGTCATCGCAGAGCCATTACGCACCTAATGATGTATCATACATACCCTAATATTCATCCCCTATTGAGTTATCCTCCGGACATACAGACGGAAGTTGCATGCAAATCGACACACACACACACAGACACTACTTTTTTATATATAGTAGGATACCTCAAAGAAAATCCCGGAGATGATGAAGAGGATGCCAAGGAAAACATGCTTCTCATGGCGCGCGGACATCTCTTCGTACGTCATCGTTACATTTCTGAAAATGGATCAAATCACCGCGTCAGAAAGAGAGAGAGGGGGAGAAAGAGAGAGAAAGAGAGCGAAAGAGAGAGCGCGAGAGAGCTAAACTTACACGCAAGAGTAACGATAGTTCTGCTCCAGGGAGCCGTACTTCCAGTAACCGTCCATATTCTGAAATGTATTTAATTGTTTAAAAGTATGTACAAACCACAAAAGTGTATGCAAAAAATATAAAAGTACCGCAATTAAAAGTTCATGAAATTAACTTAATTTCTTAATTGGAAAATACATCCTGAAACCTAGAAACCTAAACCAGATAAATGCAAAAATGCCCAGTCGCTAAAAACCGAGACTCCGGCGCACTTTTAAGTGAGCTCCACCTCTTGGTAGACGAGCACTTTATAGCCGATCGGGTTTTCTGGTCTTCCAGAAATTAATAAACACGAGTTAAGACAATAGAATGGCAGTGCGTGCGTCTGGTTTGAATAGAGTGCGACTCCGGGCTCAGGTCCCTATGGTAATCTGGGGAGACAACTGGAAAAACGTGTGCGTCGGTTCCGGCTATTGTTGCCCGAATGTCTACGGTAGAAGGAATCAGTATGACCGCCAAACCAACTTAAACTTGTGAAAATCGGGGAAAATGTCTGGTGCTCACGTACGTTGAGATGTAGCGCTTATGGATCCCCACGGAGACAGTGAAGAGCTTAACCGGCACGCTTGTTTTGGGGACCTGTTAATGCGCAAAAAGTTAGAATTTTTTCTCATTTTTTACCTGTATCCGGTGGTAATTCAGACACATAAATCAACTATATGATCGGTTAATTGGTTTTCTTATAACGCCGATACAAAACCAATGCATGCGCTAGGGTTGGTTAAATCGTGTAGAACAGTTAAATCTTCTATGCTGGTTTACGAATATATGTGTGTGACGGTAGATTGCATACACTGACCCTCAACAAACAAAAATCCCAAGCCAGACTGGGAAAAAAATTATTTATCAAAACAGCCTGCTGTCAAATTCGCCGCTGCCGCGGAACTAAGCCGGAGAATTAGGGGGACCGAAAAATTTTATCTAATTGTAAGCTATTCCGAGGCTTGAAGCAAACGCGGCCTTAAAATGTGTAACCCAAACCAACCTGAAAAAACAATCTGTTACAGTGTCTAGCGATTTTCCGACCAATAGATATCGAGGTAAATAGCTCGGGATCGACTCGAAAGCGGATCCATTCTTTAGTCTCTGCATAAGCCCAAAAGTCATTCAAGACGGTTCTAAATTCTGCTAAAGTTCGTGTTTTAAAAAACAACCCCTTTGTATTTACTGGATTATTTCTCTCGGGATCGTCATACATTGCGACCAATTTTTGTGCAATTTCAATTCTTGGAAAGCCGCATTATATTATGCAAACAGCGAGTTTTCTAAAGATCGCCAACAGATTTTCGCTAGCAAAAACTAGGCGTTTAAAGCAATTTAGACCCGGGGGTTCTTACTTTCTTTGATTTTGGCAGCGTAAAACTACACAGTGTCCGGGCAAGTAATTTAATTTAGCTTGGCTATCTTCGTGCCGTTTCTTTTGCTGCAAAGCCTAAGGGAAGCCAAAAATCCAAGGAAATCTCATTGAAGACGTATTTCTCAAATTCAGCCTATCTCTCGACTCTTCCGGTCAATTATATCCGAATAGATTTTCAATATCAATCCTAGCCATTACTGCGCTGGCACTCGCGTCATTTTTTGCTCGAAAACGGGCTCCCAATTCCTCATAGCACATGTCCGGAGTCTCATCGGTTTTTGCTAAAATGGCCGATGTTGACCCCCACATCAACCGAAACTTCGCCATCAAATCCTGAATTTGCACAGCTGCCTTGTCCGAAACTGCCCGGAAACAGGACTAATTCGTAGTTTCAGGCGTGGATGATGTCGATGAACTTTTTTGGCCACTCTAATCAACCGGATTTTCCGTATAAATACCCTGGGTTCCCATTCGAAAGTATCAATCCCTGGTTTCCTCCAGCTGAAGATGAAGGCCGCCGTCGTCTGCTTCTTGGCTCTCCTGGCTGTCGCCGCGTAAGTTGCTTGGCTTCGACTTGGCTTAGGCTTCGTCTAGGCTTGTCCCAGGCTTGGCTTAGGCTAGGCGTACGCTTGGCTTTTCCATAGTTTGTTAAATTCCTACATTTTCAGCGCCACCCAGCCGGCCGGTTCCCCACCACCCCCGCCGCCGCCAAGCGGAAAGCCGCCAGCCCCAGGTGGTGGATCGAAGCCTCCTCCTCCCCCACCTACCGGTATGGAATACTGTAACTCTTGGATTTATTTGCATTTTAGGAAAGCCAGCCCCAGTCCAGGGCGGCTCTCAGCCACCAGCTCCTGCCGGTAAGTGTGAGAGAAAGCGAGAGAGAGCGAGAGCCAGAGCGAGCGAGAGAACGAGGGAGATAAAGAGAGAGCGAGAGAGAGCCAGAGAGAGAGACCGAGCGAGAGCGAGGGAGACAGAGAGAGCCACTTAAATCAAAAAATCTGAATATTTTTAGGATCCAAGCCACCCCCGCCACCCCCGACCGGCAAGCCTGCCCCAGTTCAGGGAGGATCCCAGCCCCCAGCCGCGGCTGGTAAGTTGAAGTAGCTTAAGGAGAGAGAGAGAGAGAGAGAGAGAGAGCGATAGAAAAAGATAGAGAGAGCGAGAGAGATTTCTTAAAACATCGCTATTTTCAGGCTCCAAGCCGCCCCCTCCTCCCCCTACCGGAAAGCCGGCCCCAGTTCAGGGAGGATCTCAGCCCCCAGCTCCCGCTGGTGAGTTAAAAACTCGACCTCATATTTTCCGCTTTCCGCTTCCAATAACTTATTTCCATCAAAATCTCGTCGTTTAGGATCCAAGCCACCCCCGCCTCCCCCTACCGGAAAGCCCGCTGCCGGACGCCGTTAAACCGAATGCATAGCGGAATGCCTTTTGAATAATAAAAAATGCAAAAAAAAACCAACCTGCTGTACACAGCTATCATACGCACGAAATGCGCAAGATTTTATCACCAAAAAAGGGACACTGCAGATATTCGAAGTTCGGTTGGGTTTACGCGAGCCACGCTTTTGTTCCGTTACGCGACGCCACGCGGTACGCTACACTTCCGGAATGAACGCGAGGGCTGAAAGCCCAAAAAATACTAACTTACAAGTGCTTTGTAAGGATAACATTACGCAGTCGTTTCTATGTAACGCAGTGGTAATTCTCGAATGTTTGAACGCCCGGCAAATACGTACATAGTCAACTTCAAAAGGTTCACTCTGGTTCTAGACGATTTCTAAATATCTCACGACGATGATAACCAGACACGGAAGTGCCGGTCCTTGATAATTTCGTCCTTGAATTTTTTTATAGAGATCAAACCATCTGCCGAAATAATCTGTGCCTTCCCGCTGCACCGGAAATACCCCCTATTGAATTTGTAATGCCCCGATTTCCGGCTGTCTGCGCTCTATCGCTTTCGACTATTGAACGCCTTGAAAATCTGTATAAATACCCGGGTCTTCCCTTCAGAAGTATCCATTCCTGGTCATCCTCCAGCTAAAGATGAAAACCGCCGTCGTCTGCTTCTTCGGCCTTGTCGCCATCGTTGCGTAAGTTCGCTTGGCTTGGGCTTAGGCTTAAGCTTACGCTTGGGCTTCGGCTCGGCCTAGACTTAGCTTATGTTCAGCTTAGGCTTAGCTTAGGCTTAGCTTAGGCTTAGCTTAGACTTAGCCTGGGCTGAGCTTAGGCTGAGGTCGGGCTGAGCTTAGGTTTAAGTTAGGCTTAGATTTAGGCTTAGACTTCGGCATCGGCTTAGGCCTAAGTTTAAGGTTAGGCACGGCGTTACCTAAGTTGGCTTGAGATTCCGAAGTCGACTTCGTATCTTATAATTTCAAAGGGATCTGACAGCAGGGAATAATCAAAAAAACTTCAATGATCGTCATATATTTTTCTTTTTAGCGCCAGTGAGCCGGTCCCATCCGGAAAGCCGCCGGCTCCAGGGGCTACTTCGGCCGCACCAGCACCCGCTGGTAAGCTACAGTAACCAGGTGTAATAGGCGAGTTTTAGGGTCCAAGGCCCCAGCTCCAGCTGCCTCCGCGAAGCCGGCTCCCGCAGGTTAGTTCAGTAGAGAGAGAGAGAGAGAGAGAGAGAGAGAGAGAGAGAGAGAGAGAGAAAGAGAGGGAGAGAGAGTGAGAGAGAGCGGCAGCTAGTTAACTCTAACGCGGTGAATTTTAGGCGTCTCGGCACCACCAGCGCCTCTCGTAACTAAGCCAGCTCCCGCTGCCGGTAAGTTACAGTAGTCCAGTAAGAAAGCAAGTAAGAGAGAGAGACAGAGAAAAAGAGAGAGAGAGAGCAGAGAGAGAGAGACAGAGAGAGAAAAAGTGTGGGATAGAAACGAGGACAAATTTTAGGTTCCACTCCCCAAGCCCCGGCCAAGGGATCTCCAGCTCCAGCTCCTGCTGGTTAGTTACAGAGCAAGGCTGGGCGAGAACAAGAGATGGAGAAAACTAACAAGAATGCAAGAGAGCGAGAGAGAGAGAGAGGGAAAGAGAGAAAGAGAGTGATAGAGAGAGCAAGAGAAAGATAGAGATAAAAAAGTTTATGTTTTAGCATCGAAGGCACCTGTCCCGGCGTCGCCAGCCCCAGCTTCCAAGGCCCCTGCTCGTAAGCTACAGTAACCCCTTGCTCAAAATCCAGATTTTTAGCATCCGCAGCCGCCCCTGCTGCCACTTCCGCGAAGCCAGCTGGTCGCCGTTAGACGAAAAGGATTGGCGAAAAACCTTTAATAAATTATGATGAAAAAAATTAACTGGGTACCTACTCTAAAAAACCGCAAGCGCCGTAAAAAGTCTAAACCCAGAATCACGAAAACTGATTCTAAAGGGATTTTAAACCCAGAATCCGATTATGCCAAAATGGGCTTTTTGGCTCTATTACCTTTTTGGTCTTTTGATTCGACTCGTAAATGCTCCAGGCTAGAAAAACTGAGCGGGTCCTCCATTAATAGAAGCCCGGAACCACATAGAATTCGGCGAAGAAAAACAAATTGGCACTTTCGCGCCCACGTCTACGGGGGCATTGTAATTCCTGGTTGGCTCTCGTTCTGGATTTCCAAGCTTTTCGCAAATTCTTCTTTTTTTTGTGTGCAGGAATGACGTGTTTCTGCATCAAGCAGGTCTATCGAAATTTCTATTTTTCCAGAACTGGGTCTTTCACGTGCCTGTTTTGCCCGCCGTTTTATCGTTTCTTTCCGAGCTTTCCGAATCCGCAATCCTAATAAAGAGTGGTTTTTGAGTGTCATTGGAAAATCCCTTAGCGACCTAGTTCCTTCGATAGAGAATTGAATTCTGGACAACCTCTCGTTGCTCATTTTTGCAAAACGGCTCTCCCTGATTTTATAAAAGTAGAAAACTAAAACCGTTTATAAACCGTTTGATTTTCAAAATGTCGAAATTCATAATGTCGAAATTTCATAATGTCGAAATTTCATAATGTCGAAATTTCATAATGCCGAAATTTCATAATGTCGAAATTTCATAATGTCGAAATTTCACAATTTCGAAATGTCCTAATGTCGAAATTCAGAATGTCGAAATTTACATAAGCTAAAATTCCCGGTAAAGTCCCCGAATTCTAGGCAAAAAATGTTGGCGTGAAATAGGATAAAAAAATAGAATGTGGAAAAAATTTTTTGGCTAGGATTTGGCGGTTTCACCGGTAATATTAGCCTATGTAAATTTCGACATTATGAAATTTCGACATTATGACATTTCGACATTATGAAATTTCGACATTATGAAATTTCGACATTATGAAATTTCGACATTATGAATTTCGATATTATGAGTTTCGACATTATGAATTTCGACATTATGATACCAATTCGACGTGGCTTAGTGGTTAAGGCTTCCGCCTTCAAAAAATTTTTTACATCTTTGTGGAAAGTTCGGTTCCTTGCTAGAAAATTTGTTTTGCTTTTTGTTAATAAAAGCGTTTGCAGACGCTTTGATAAGTTAATTTATTTAAAATAATACTTATTACAACGTTGCTCCTCTGCGCGCTTTCAGGAAAATTTACAACATCAAACAAATATTATGATCCAGGTTAGTGTGAGTCCTCTAAATTGGAGGTGCAACCCGTTTTAAAATACTGGGGCCACTTATCATACAAAAAGGAAAACAAATTACCTCTACAAGAACCGAACTTGCAAGAATTTTGGAAGACAGCCGCGTTAGCCACTGCACCACGCCTGATGCTGAAGGGGTCAGCGCTGAAGGCCTCTTCCCCTAGAGCTGGCAGACATGATTTTGATGCGGCGAACCGACGGTTGGCCAATTTCCACTAAAAGTTTTTAAATTTTATAAAATCAGGGAAAGGTGTTTTGCCGAAATGAACACCGGGAGGTTGTTCAGAATTCAATTCTCTATCGAATGAGCTAGGTCGCGAAGGGCCAATGACACTCAAAAACCACTCCTTGTAAGTGAAAGTGCGCATCGGAAGCAAAGTTTTTGAGAGATGACCAAAAAGTTGGGTCTTGATGACAGTTGAAAACGAACTTGGAATCCTGGATTTTTCATCTAACTTTGCTTTTCTAATTCGCGACAACCTCTGCTGCCATGCTGATTAGAAAAACTGAATTTAGGTGCCGTTACATGAATTTAAGAAGCCTTTGGCAATCCGAAACGGACAGTTTTCGCTACTATAAAATTAATCGAATCTGAAATGCCATCGAATTACCCCCGTTGCGCAAGCTATTATTCATCCCCTTAATTGTTTTCTGCGTTCAAAATAATCTCACGCGTTGATACAGACAAATAAAGGTAAAGGCCATGACATACAACAAAGTTCGACGCAATTCACGTTTTTCCGTTTTTCTTGTAGAGGGTCCAAGGTTTGTAAGTCCAGCACCACGAACGCAAGGCGTGGGAAAGCGCCCAAACTCCGTGCTCCTGTAGCTGTGAAAAATCTTAGATAATTTTGAATAACGAAAAATCGGCTTCGTTTTCTTACTTCTGATGACCAGCGATTAGCAAAAAAAATGGAAAGAAGCCGATCATGCAAGCTGGGGGCGTGCCACATTTAAGTAAGGTTCACATGAGCTCGTTTTCATATTTTTAGTGGGAGCTTGAGAATGTGAAACCGCTAAATCTTGCGCATTTGCTTTCTCAGGCTTGCTATCTCTATATATCTCTCTCTCTCTTTCTCTCTTTCACTCTCGCAAGCTGTCTCACTCTCGCTCACTCTCTCACGCTCTCTCTCACTCTCTCACGCTCTCTCTCTCTTCCACTTTCGCTCTCACGCTTTCTCTCTCTCTCTCTGTCTCTCTCTCTCTCTCTGTTTCTTTCTCGCTCCCTGCCACCCCTCTCTCTGTCACGCTCTCCTCTCTCTCGGTCTCTTCGAAAAGTTACTACTACTTTTTTTTGGAACGCCTGATTAACACCACGAAGCGGCAATGGGTGTTTTGAACCGTTCGTCGCAACTTTGAAGGGGCCTAAAATTAAGGCCGGAAAATTAGCGGAGCTGTCTCCAGGGAATTTCCATGTGATCCCACGCCAAAATCGGAACATCACTTCAAACTCATTTTTTACTTCTATGTTTCCTTGAAGACAGGCCTAACTTCCGAATAATGTTCTTGCTATGAATATCCATAAAACAATGAATGTTCGAATTTTTCCTTGAATTCTCCTAAAATGGATTAACATGTCTTTGAGCCATCCGTTTAATAATGTCATTTGTGCTGGCTTGGGTTGAAATACACTACCGTAACGATCATTGTCATCTCTTGCTCGTGCGGTATTTGAGGCTTCACTTACCTTTCCTGAAACTCCAGTGTTCAAGCTTTCGAGCAAGCTCCGAAAAGCAACCTCAAGAGCAAGTTCAAGAACTACGGTTTTTATTAAATGGCCACACTATGGATATCCCTGAACACACAGTAGAAATAATTACCGTAGCTGTGGTAAGTTCTCATCGAGCTTAAAAATGCGAAAATTTTCTTGCAGCTTGGAGCTCTTGGTATCGTATCCGGATATTTTGCGGTTCATTGCATAAAGAGATGTGATTATTTGACAGGTATTATATGATTTTACCATAACGGCTTATTTTCAAAATGTCGAAATTTCATAATGTCGAAATGTCAGAATGTCGAAATTTACATAAGCTAAAATTCCCGGTAAGGTCCCCCGAATTCTAGGCAAAAAATGTTGTCGTTGCAATTTTCGACATTATGAATTTTCGACATTATGAATTTTCGACATTATGAATTTTTGACATTATGAATTTTGATATTATGAAATTTCGACATTAGGACATTTCGAAATTATGAATTTTCAACATTATGAATTTTTGACATTATGAATTTTGATATTATGAAATTTCGACATTGGGACATTTCGAAATTATGAAATTTCGACATTATGATTTTCGACATTATGAAATTTCGACATTATAATTTTCGACATTATGATACCAATTCTACCATAACATATCATTCCTAGGTTCCGTCGAGAACTTCTGCCTGGTATACGTGGGTTCGGCGGCCACCGTTAACTTGTGCCATTTCTTTTGGGGTGTCCCTTGTGCTATTTGGTAAGTCGCGGGATCGAGGTACACAGCACTACGTAGTGACGCGGAAATTTGTAGATAGCTTAACGGACCCGATCTCCTTTTAGGGAGCTCAACGATAGCTTCGAAGCAGGGAGCCTCGTGTTTGGTTTCGTCGCCAATGCTTCTGTATGCTATATGTATACAGCCAGGGTAATTATTTTACGTTTTTTTTGCGACGGAAAGCTGGCACCGATTCCTGATAAAATGAGCTTGGTCTAGTCAACTTTTTTTTCAGATAATCCTCTCCGTAAATCGCCTACTTTCTATTGCATTTGATGGTCGTTATTACCGATATCTGGGCAAGGATAGGACAACTTCACAATTACCATTCTTAATACCGACGATATGCGTTATTCCAATGCTTATTCGTGAGTTCCCTCTGTCTCTCTGTCTCTCCCTGTCTCTCGCTCTCTCCCTCTAGCTCTCTCTCTCCTCCCACGTTCTCGCCTCCCCTTCACTTTTGTGATTTTTAGCCGACTGCCACATGACTTTCCTCACGGAGCCGCTCCTTGTTTTTGATAGCGCAGGCGGGGACTGCGCGACGGAATATGTTTATTGGCTTACGGTATGTTTTTAAGCTCCGGCGAGGTCTTATATACTTCGTTATCACTCTCGCTCTCTCTTTCTTCCTCTCTCTCTCACTCTATTTCGCTCTCTCCCATTCGCTCTCTCCCATTCGCTATCTCTCTCTCTCTCTCTCTCTTTCTCTCGCTCTCTATCTGTCGTATTTTAGCTTTTTAGATCCCCGCCGGTTACGGTACCATAGCAACCACTGCACTTTGCGAGCTTATCGTTTTAATTTTATTGGTGAAGAGGCAGGCGGTAAATAACTTCATTTCACTTTTAAATACCTCCATCTAACCTTTTTCGCCGTTCTAACCGACCCAGACTTGATTTTGAAGGCTTCGAAACTTCAGAGCATCCCGGGTCGGCAGAGTCAACATGGTCTGCGGAGGCAGTTCAGATTTGCCGGGCAGGTACGAGAATCTACTGTTTAACGGCTTTATGAAATTAGTCTCGTTTTAATTTAATCTGGTTGAGCGTTTTTTAAATACAATCTTACCGTATTTTTAGCTGGTGACTCATACCCTGTCTTCAATGCTACTTACCGTGCTTTCAAATATTGCATATGGTGGTGGCGAGGACATATTTTCTACGTTTTTATTGTTTACGGCTAGCTGGCAGGCTAGTTGCTTGTGCGCTTGGTAAGCTTTATTGAATTACTGTGGTTTAGTTGGTAGCAGCAAAACCAGGGTTTGTAGCCTTCCAAAGCTGAATTTTGGAATTTTTAAACAATGTGAAATTTGAAATATCTTAGAAGAAACCAATTCATAATTCCGTATGATTTGGATGTACCGTCACGGCTTGGAAAACAGGAACGTTTCGAAAATAACTTTAAAAAATTGCAAAATACCCTGCGTTTTTCTCAAAATTTACACAAATTTTGCTGTACTCAGGAAAATTGTTTTGTAAAACAAAAAATGCACTTTACGGTACAGCACCAATTATTTTTCAGCTCTCTCTACATTGTTTTCCATGCGAATTCCCTACGACGTCCCCGTATCGTTCAGCTCAGCCGCGTGACCGGATCGATCCTTGGCTATCCGGCTGAAAGAAGTGCCTTTACCGTGACTTCATAAATATGTACAAATGACACCTGTTTTAAATTAAAAATTTTTCATTTACGGCTTTAAAGGCGCAGTGACACTGGCTCTTGCGCAGATCGCAAATCACTAACTTCTGGAACCCCCAAAAACCAGCTACTAGAGGTTAATTCAGATCAGTCTGATTCCCTACCTCAGAATTCATATTTTCCAGACAATTCTTAAAAGTCGCCGGAACGTGCTACGCAATAAATAAGAAATTAATCTGATTCTGGAGGTATTTTGGCAGTTGGCAGGGCCTCTTGAGAGCCAGTTCCTCGTGATAAAACCTGGTTTTCCTCCGTGTTTTTCTCATTTTTCTAATTTTTCTGAATCCAGGAAAAGAATAAAATAGATGATTAAAATTGTTCTAATGCCTTATTTCATAATATCGCTCTATACCTTTCAGAATTGATCACTCTCTCTCCTTTCCCTCTCTCTCTCTCTCTCTTCTCTTTCTCTCTCTCTCTCGGTCGCTCCATCTCTCTCGCTCTCTGTCTCTCCCTCTTTCAAAATTGTGCAGTTTCCGCTTGTTCGACATTAAATCCGTTATTTCGGGTTCATTGAGTTTTGTCCCGTTTTGGGCTGATCATCTTCCGACGGCAATTCCGCGCGCTTCATTCGGCTGTTCTTGGACGCTTTTTGGGCCGGAACAACACGGTTTTATACTCCATACTTCATGTTTTAGACGCGATGCACGTCGACTGGGTGCAGATCGGGCTTATCGCGATTGTAAGTTTCGGTATTTGCAAAGAAACCGTAGAAAATCTTTCAGATCGGGATTCCCGGAGTGATCATGGGTATCTGGTCGATGGTTTGTATCAGGCAATCAGGATATTTAACAGGTACTTTAAAGGCCTAGTATCACGTCAAATCGCTTGAAGAAGCTCATTATATAGATGCGAAATATTTTAAGGTACCATCCAACATTATTCCCTAATTTATGCAGCTACAGCTACGGTGGTTAATATTTGTCATTTATGGGGTATCGCATGTGCTATTTGGTGGGTAAAATGAATACATGTTAGATAAAGAAAGAGAGAGAGAGAGAGAGAGAGAGAGAGAGGAGAGAAAGAGAATGAGAGATAAAGAAAGAGAATGAGCGAGAGACAAGAATGTGAGAGAGAGAGGGAGAGAGAGAAAGAGATAGCGAGAGAGAGAGAGAGAGAGAGAGAGAGAGTGAGAGAGAGAGAGGTATTTAAGGGACCTTAACCAGCCCAATCGCATGTGGAGTCAAATCGTTGGTCTAATTTGCTACGCCGCAATGCCGTTTCAACAGCTTGCCAGGGTTTGTTTAACGTAATTTTTAATGTAAATGTAAAAACAAGCTAGCGGGGATCTTTTAATGCATTTTATACTCTTTAGAATCAGATTTAAGGTCTTTATTTACCTCTCAGATAATGATCTCCATAAATCGATTCTTCGCCATCACATTCCATGGCAGATTCTATCGATGGCTCGAGACCCAACGTCCTCTTTTCTATACTCTGGCTCTGGGATTGCCGACGTTGGGAGCTGTTCCTTTATTCTTTCGTAGGCATAAATAGAATCCTGGACCAAAACTGTCTTTAGCGGACTGTCGCGTACGTTTTTACACGGATCCAATCATAGTGGTGGACGGCCTGGACAGAAGTTGTGCCACGATGTATGTATTTGTGACTACGGTAAGTCTGACAGACATCTTTTCACTGCTTCCTGTCAATGCTCTCCTAACGTTGCAAGACTGAGACATTCCGTTAAGCAAGTGCGATTTTCAAAATTATGTTTTATCGGAATTCGGCGTACTTTTTGCCGTTTTGATCGTTTTTAGCAACTAGCAGGCTTCTAATTACTTTTTCAGTTCGTCACCGGCTACGCAACGCTCATCGTTACAGCTTGCTGCGAATTTACCGTTATCTATTTGCTCGTCAAGAGGCATAGACAAGTAAAGCTCCATTTTCGAGTAGTACTTCGAATTGCAGGCCATCGCCCTACACGATTTCGCCCGCGATCAACGCTCCATCCGGCCACAATTACGATTCGGAGCACAGGTGAGAATCTATGCAACTCAAGGGCCATTAAAGGGCACGTTCAGGGACTTGTTGCTGGAAAAAAAGCAAAGATTACAGCCGCGACCGGGGGTCGAACCCGGGCCCTCCGCTCGGGGGGCGCGGATGCATACCAGTCAGCCACAGCTATACCCCGGCGAGGGGATGAGGGGCACCCCACGCCGCAAAGGAGGGAAGTTGCCTCCCACGGCACGGGCAGGCAGGGCGCACGGTCCCTACGTCGATAGGGTGTGCACGTTGGGACGAGTACACGGCCCCTCCCTGAACGTGCGCTTTAAGAACTTTAACTGCATAATCGTGCAAACCCATTTGACCTAGACAAGAAAATATCTCCCTAAAGAGATTTTGCACAAGACGGCAGGACAGACTGCAGACGTTGGAATTTCCAGGGATTTTTATAGCGGTAGATGTTCAAGGTTTTAGTTGATTACACACACGTTGACTGCAACCGTCCTGATCGTTGCTCCGAACATTGGCGACGCACTAATGGGAGGCAACGATTTTCAACAATTCCTTTGCTATACGGTTAGCTGGCAGGCCGGCTGCCTGCTTGGGTGGTAGGTTGATACTTGCGTACAACCAGGCCCGTACGGGAGCCGAGATTTCGGGGGGCACCCACCCAAAAAATTTTTGGCGACCTCCCCCTTCCCCCCCCCGTCGCCACTTTCAAAACCTTCGAAAATAACAGTACGAGAGTAACAATAACAGCGCCGCAGGCGCAAAACTTTAGAAAACCGCGTTCGTAACGCTTAAATTCGTGTGAAAACACAACGAAAACGGTGCGCGCAAGCGCAATGTTAGAAAAATAGGTTTTATAGAAGTAAAAATCGTTTCGAAACAGTGATAAACAGCGCCACAGGCAGAAAAATTTTTGCGAAAAAACATAAGGGTCCCCTCTTATGAACTTTTGGGACCTCGACCGATTTGGGGGGGGGCACCGTGCCCCCGGTGCCCCCCCGGCCTGCGTACAACCTTGTGCCCCAAAAAATCATTTTGGACAGAAATCCAAAAATTACATTAATTTAAGGGGTTTTTCGCTATATTTTATCATCCATCATTTAGTGCCTTGTTCGTCATCTTCCACGTTAAAAAGCCGGAGGAGCGGAAAATTCAAGTGCAATCCGTGGTTTCTGGTACATCTGTATTTCGGCCAAGGACAAGATGAAGCAAAATTACTAGTTTTTTAATAGAGGGTTCAATAAAGATTTTACTGTCAAATTAAATTACACAGCGACAAAAATACGTCTTTATTTTTCATGGAAGTTAGATAGATGGGCCCAAAAATTTGATTGTCACCTTTTCAAAGCATCGAAGATGTTTTAAGTGAATTTTTTTACAAAACTTGTACTAAATGACTTTCCAAAATAGTCCTTGATGCGTTGTTATCGATTTTCTTACCCTTAATGTCCTGGAATAAGAAATTGTAGTGCGCAAAAGCCTAGCAAAAAGACCCCTACTGGCAGCTATAAAAAATTGCACCTGCCGCAATCAGCCGCGTCGACCCGAGTCGAGGAGGGGAAAATTATTGTGGTCAGACCCTATTCGTAGTATTGGCCATTTTGGCCCTATAGCAAAGGGCCAAATGTTTTACCCAAGCCCTAGGGACACTCAAACGATTTATGTTACCAGCGATATATTATGGGCTATTGCGCTATTTTCCTGCATGATTGCTCTATATTTATTATGGACCCAGACATTCGCTACGAAACACTACAAATTACTGCAGATGAATTTAATGGTAATTTTAAGAAAATAGGCGTTCGAAAGATATAAAAACAAAAATCTACCCTCTTCAACAACTACAAACTACAGCTAACTACGCCTATGCTCATTTTCAGTAGAACAAGCGTTCTGTAGGCCGTTCTAGGCGCATTCTCGGCGCGTAATGATCCCGACCTGGTCGGTAAAGGGGTCGAGATACTCCCTATTTACAAGCTTTAAAGGGGGCAATGATAGGTTAACTTTCAGCTTCATGCTAATTTCAGCTAGCCTGCCTCCTTGCCGATACCCTAATTTGCATCGCTAAGCCAGTGTTGTTTCCCCCGTATCCGGTGTGGAAATTGGTCGGCGTACGGCTGCCCTTATCTGGCGAATTATGGCTATTGGTAAGAATTCTAATTTATTTTCGCTCGCTCTTTCACCCTCTCGCTCCCGCTTTCGTCCCTCTCTCTCTTGCTCTCTCTCGCATCTCTCTCTCTACATCTATCTATCTCTCACCCTCCCACTCTTTATTTTTTTGTTTCTAGGGCTCCTACATAGTCACATTACAATACATCGCGGCATCCTATTTGTTTATGGGATTTTCAAAGCGAAATCTGGTAGAAGCGTTGGATATCGGGGTCCATCGTTTCGTACGTCCCTGTATTGTTTGTCAATGGTTTTCCATCACCGGCTTGCTAATTTACTGTACAGCCGAGTCGTACGGTACCGGAAATGTGTATCAGAATCCTAAGGTAAGTGAAATATACACGTTAGCACTTTGAAGCCGTTATAAGCACATGCGAGAGATGGTTAGCGAGAGAGAGAGAGAGAGATAGAGAGAGAGAGAGAGATTAATTGCATATAAAAAGGCTAAAATTAAGCTCTGCGCCGAGCTGCCGATCTTCTGCGCCGACAATAGGACTACGATGTATAAAGGAAGGGGAGACTCCGGGCCCGTGACGCTTGGAGCTATCGGATTGGAGTTGTCCTTGATCTTCTTCTCCGCCTGGATGATACGCGACATCTTCTGGGCAGCATACTACAACAAAAACCCCAACTTCTCGAAGAAAGCCCGGAAGATGCTGTTGACATTTACTAATGTGTTCTTGGCGCAGGTACGGTTTTACTTTTTGGATTTGTAAACGTTAGTGTTGTCAAAGAAATGTACGAGGTGTCCCATAAAAACGCACCCCTCTCGCATGTCGCCATATTACATCCGATCGGCCCCTAAATTGGACCAGAGGTTTATCAGACCCTAAACAACCACAATCCAGGGTTATAGCCCAATCGCTACAGTACTTATCGAGAAACAACAGAAACCAACTTTGTTATCCGTTTTTCATAATGTTTTCGTCGGAATCGTCCCTTCTAATATTAAATGAAAATGAAGCGGTAAGCCTCCTTTACCTCTGGAATTTTTTTCTGATAAAAATTAATCAAATAACTATTGATTTCAACAATTTTTGTAACCCAAATTCACCCGCGATGGTAAATGAAATTAAGGATTCGCAGTAGGAAGTCGTTGCAAATCGATGCAAAGTCCAAAAAGGTAGCCGAAAAATCTGGTAAGAATCGCGTAAAAAAAATAGTATTTTGGCAATAATTCGGAAACTACTGTAGCGATCAGGGTATAACTTAGGATTGTGGTTATTTCGGTTCTGATACAGCATTGTGCCAAGTATGGGGCTGATCCGATGTAATACGGCGAAATGCCGGAGGGGTGCTTTTTTTGGGACACCCTGTAGAAGGCAAAAAACAGCTATGCAACGTTCAGAGATTTTTTGCACAATTTTCAAAAATTGGCAAGCTAAATTCGTAAATCCTGCTGCCGCAACACAATAAATACCATTAAACTATACTTTTAGGTATAAGGTAAAGAGTTTTGAAATTACAAAAATGTTTACAAAATGTTTTTAGATGATCAGCACCTTCATTTTCATTATGCTGCCCCTGACGATTTTGGGGGTTGGGTTTGCTGGACTGATTGACATCGACTTCTTTCTTGCAAGTAATCGGACTACAAAAAATTATGATAATTTGGACCGGGTTAGCAAAACTTGTTTTTCTTTCTAGGGTTAGGCCTAAAAACATATAAAAACGCTTTCCAGAAAAATTTTGGTACTTATCGTTCTTTGCCGATTTTCCGCCTATGTTTGAATAATTAATGATGGCTAAAAACAGAAATCCTCAGCCAATTTGTACTTACTGTATTCCAAAGCAAAAAGGGGGAATTTTCTAATTGTTTTGGCTTTTTAAAAAAACTCCCGAGCAAAACATGAAATCTTTTTTTAGTCGGAGCCCTTTCCCCTGAAATCGGCATTCTACAGTCGATCGTCAACAGCTTCATCCTGATTTTCACCGCCAAGAGGGCAATGCGAAGAATTGCGAAGTTGTTTATGAAAGAGCAAGACGAGGTAGAATCGGCGTCCGGTCACTACCCCGAAAAGTCACTACCCCCAAAGGCACTACCCCGAAAAGTCACTATCCCGAAATCGTTTACCCCGAAAAATGATAGCATTATTTTTCCCGGAAAAATCCAGTTTTCATGCGGTTTTCCTATGAAAATCATGCAAATTATTTCGGGGTAGTGACTTTTCGGGGTAATGACTTTTCGGGGTAGTGACTTTTCGGGGTAATGACTTTTCGGGGTAGTGACTTTTCGGGGTAGTGACTTTTCGGGGTAGTGACTTTTCGGGGTAACGAATTATCGGGGTAGTGACTTTTCGGGGTAGTGACTTTTCGGGGTAGTGACTTTCGAGGTAATGACTTTTCGGGGTAGTGACTTTTCGGGGTAGTGACTTTCGAGGTAATGACTTTTCGGGGTAGTGACTTTTCGGGGTAGTGACTTTACCCCGGTAGAATCTACTCACAGGTCACAGGTCACCTTTTTAGAATGCCCTGGCTACAAACTCGATCACATTGGCCGTCCGTTAAATGTCAAATATTTTTCTCAATCTCAACTACTTGAACTTTCTACAGCGTTCCAGCAAGTGTGTGTAGGTTGTAATCGTATAAGTTCATAATTTATTTTCCAAGTATAAATAAATACAATTGAAGCTTAAAAAATGTCAGGAAAATAAGGCAAAGTAAATAAAATACGCATCTGACCGCGCGATTGGAACCACATAGAACGTAGGTGATTTAATAATTAGGCTGCGTAGGCTGTCCAGTCTGAGTTGCCTCCTTTAAGTTCGTGGAAGCGGGTGTCTGATTTTGATCAGAAATTCGGTAGGGCCGTGAGTTGAGTTCCCGATCGCTGACCGAGTTGCGGAATCTCGTAAAGAGGCGAGGAAGATGCAGCATTTTCTTCAGGGATTCTCTGGAAAGAACAGAATATTTCTTTCTCACTTCCGCTCTCGCTCCCTCTCTCTCTCTCTCTCTCTCTCTCTCTCTCTCGCTCTCTATCTCTCGCTCTCTCTCTTTCTTACTCTCTCCATCTCTCGCTCTCTCTCTCTCCCTCTCTCTGACTCTCTCTTACTCTCTCTCTCCCTCCGTCTCTCTCTCCTTCTTCAAAATCTAAAAGCTAACCTGTAGCATCGAATAAAATAAATAATAGCTATCGGCTCGAGAACCGGATCAAAAACAACCAAGAAGCAGACCGGCTCGATATTTATTGGTAATCCAAACATTGACGATAATAGCACGCATGCTAGCGGGATATAGCTGCAGAATAAGGGGATGATAACCTGCAAAATCATACTTTATGATATCTCGAAAAACGAGGGAAGGAGAGAGCGAGAGAGAGATAGAGAGAGATACTACGCGGCGCTACCAACCTGTACAACCAACGCCACAAATAGCTCCTTCTGCAAATTCCTGGTCCGGACGCTGACCGTCTTGCTGTCGAGCAGGTTTTTGTAGATCGCTAATCCAGAATAGATGATGACTGACCATGTCACCAACAATACTGAGTTCATCCCAAAGAATCCGAGGTAGGCTCTCATTAATGCCGGGTTGAGGGAGGGCTGTAAATGTTTGTTATGAGAGTGATAGATAGAAGGAGAGAGAGGGGGAGAGAGAGAGAGAGAGAGAGAGAGAGAGAGAGAGGGAGAGAGGGAGGGAGAGAGAGGGCGAGAGAGAACAAGGTAATCACCTCAAAGGTTTGCGACAAACACGTCTTCCCCTCCAACGTCATCTGGAATCGCTCGGAATAGACACGATTTGCTTGCACGAGCACTTCCTTCCCAGCCGTCCAGCATCCGGCGGCAAAGTGAGAGCTGGCCGCCCAAATCGAGCTAAAGGTTTGATTTGTTGACGATTTTTCTCTCTTTTCGCTTTCTACGCTAATACTTGACGCCGTAACTTTTGTCGATTGTTTAGGTCGAGCGTAGAGTGTTACTTACCAAAGTACGACAACGGCGGCAAGGCACAAAATTCCCGCTTTAGTTGGTTGCATATTGGCGACCACGGAGTTTCTTTAAAAAAAATATAAGGTCGGCTCGGATTTTGGGGGTACTCGGAACCAATTTCATCGACTTTGCTAGTCAGTTTTTATGTAATTCCTGAAGAACAAGCGTATGTTTGACCTAACAGTTCCCGATGTATTTCGTATTTGTACTTCGTTTTTCAATTATCCGATTACGACATAAAAATCGATTTTCAGAGGCATTTTAGCCATCAAATTGGCTTGTTCTAGCCGGTATTCCCACGTTTTAAAGCGCACGTTCAGGGAGGGGCCGTATACTCGTCCCAACGTATACACCCTTTGGACGTAGGGACCGCGCGCACGGCCTGCCCGTGTCGTGGGAGGCGATTCCCCTCCTTTCCGGGGTGGGGCGCCCCTCGGCCCCTCGCCAGGTTGCACCTCTGCTTGACTGGTATGCGTCCGCGCCTCCCGAACGGGGGGCCCGGGTTCGAGCCCCGGCCGCGGCAAAAGTGTCTGCTTTTTTACCCGAAAACTTCCCTGAACGTGCCCTTTAAACTCCGAGATTTTCTCTACCTGCAGACAGCCGCATATCTGTACACGAATTGGCACATTAACAATACGATGGCCAGGCTGAATGTCGTGCAATAGAGCACTAGAAGGTAGTAGACAACTGCTTCATTCTCGATGAAATCTGATGTCGTGACAAGTAAGTAGGTACGCTCCGAAACAAGTGTAATCTATTAAAAAACGTCATTCAGTACAAAGCGTATTACGTACCGGCACTATCAGACAATCCGACACTGCGAGGATCAAATTGCCAAGGCAAAAACATAGCAGTAATCTCGAGTATTTGCCAACGACTTTGCTGGTTTTGTTGAGAATTAGGTAGATGGCCACGAAATTCAGGAAGACGCCGATACCACATTCGATGAGATGGACGGTTTGGAGGGTTTTTGGAGTCGTCATTTCTGAACAGGTAATCTTTCGATTCAGAAAACCTATTACAAATGGAAAAAGTACTAATTTATGAATTTAAATAAAATTAAAGGACCGTTGAAGAAGCGATCTAGAAAAAATTAGCTTTCTCGGGATTCTCTTAAAAGCTTCTGAAAAAATCTTATTATTTCTTCTTCTTACTTTTTCTTGTTCTTAAATTTTTTAAGATTCTCGTGTAGCAACATCAGAATGTCTACTTACAAAATTTCTAATAAACAAATTGAAAAAAATTAGTCGACGATCAGAGCTAAAAAAGCTTGATTCTTCAACAAAACTATAATTTTACAGTAGCCTAGAATTTCCAAGCCGCGAGCAAATTCTTTGAACTGACTTAAGAAATACAAATGGCTGAAAGCCTTCAGACCAATTTAAAAAAACCGAGACCAGACTCGGCAATAATATTTTCTGATCGTTACTCCGGGTTCAGGTGCTTTTAGGCAACATCGAGGAAGCCTGTAGTGTTTTGCTCGCCTAGAATAGACCAATGCGCGCAGGTAGACAATTCCCTAGAGACTCTTCGGGTTGGTTACTCGATTAAGAATCGACAAAATCCGCCACATTGTTGTTTTAGTTGAGGTACAGTTTTTGCGCGGGAAATGATGCGATTTACGGCGATTCTTGAAAAATGTGCCTTTCTGGTGCCAATCAGCTCGTCGCCATGTCATTTTGCGGTAGAAAATATCTTCGAGCGTCAGATGTAAATCAGGCAACACAAAAAAAACGAAAACTCAGAGCCGAGATAAAGCCCAAAAAATAATGTTGTTCGTATCACCACCAAAACTTTAAGCAGAAAGTAGGCATATTTAGAGAAGCTAATTTATTTTTATAAGATAAATTGATGTTTCCAAAATATTTATATAGAGGATTCGTTGGCATTTTTTATAATTCAGCGCATATTAACAATTTTTGCCTTTTTTCTGATGTTTGAGCACAATATCAGCATAAGCATTTTGAGAAAAGTCTCCATTTACAGAAATTATAGTAATCTTTAAAACTAACAAAAACAGGAAGCTAACTTCTTCGCAAAATGTCAAATTTAGATTGTAAGGAAAACAGGTCAAAACGCCTGAAAAATGCAATCCGAGAAGTCCGAGGCCAGGTGGATTTTTTCAGGACCACAGCGATTTTTATCGCCAAACCGCTTCTGAGATTTTTCTGAGAGTCATCGAAGATTAAATTTTAATTTAATTTAATTTTTCCTGAAGGCAAAATCCGGTTGCTCAAACACCAGAAGCGGTAGCGAACCCCGTTCCAGGAGTACCAGGCTTCCGAGCCTCCGTTTCGTACTGTGGTAAAAATTTTCGTGGGATGGAAAAAAGGAGGTTCGACGTGTGATTATGCGCACCTAGGCAGGTACCGGATTCCAGGAACCGAAACCGCACCAAAAATTCCGTAGTCTCACGTTAATAAACGAGCAGAAGAACGGGGTTGATGGTGAGTAGCAGATGACCGTTCCGATGTGAGAATGTAGACTTTCGAAAATAGTAAGGGACATTCTGTTCTGATGTCTACTATAATAACCTTATATAATTTTGGGGTGTATCTCTGTGTGTGTGTGTGTGGATGTCACTGTCTAGTCCCGATTTAGGGACTAATTTTTCGTCACTAAGGGGAATCGACCCTTCTCTTTCCGGTGGCGTTCTCAGAATTGCGATAAAATACAAGTTTACAAAGTTAAAGCCGGTTTTATTCATTTTTGGGGGTAATTTGCATAATGTGAAAAATAGAAATTGTCTCATTCTTCCCAGTTGCACGCGCGTGTGTGGTCGGTAGGGTGAGGAGGGTCCGAAGGACCCGAGCCATGGAAAAGTCAAATTGTTCATGCAAAGGCCGCATTCCAGCGCCCAAGGCCCGCGAAGCTGGTTTTGGGCGCTGGTCTACTATATTAATTTTCTTGAGGTGTTTGTCCGTGTGTGTGTCTGAAGCCGAATTCAATTCGAAGGGATTTATTTTTTTCAATCAATTTTTTCAAGTCTCAAATTTTCTTTTTTTCTTTTTCGATTTTTTTTCAATTTTCAAAATTTCAAACTTTTCAAATCAATATTTTCAAAAATTCAATCTAAAAGAAAAGGCATTTATTAATTATTTTAAGTACTCCCTAGAAACTGAAGCATCATGCATTACAAGTAGTTTAGTTAGCGCCGAGTCAAGCAAGTATCTCGGCGCTCAGAAAGCCACATTGGTTCCCATTCCGGAAACTATGTTTTTGTGATTCTCGTTGGTTAGAGGCACCCGTCACCACTATCCAAATATTCAAAAATCGCAGCTATAACAGCGCCGCACGCCACAAAAAAAATGCACAAAAAAGGCGGCGCCGGCGAAAATTTTATATCGACAGTTGACGTAATAATGAAAAACAGCGCCGCAGGCAAAAAAATTTGGAAAAATAGGCTTCATATAAGTAAAAACCGTCTTAAAAACAGTAATGAACGGCGCCGCAGGCAGAAAAATTTTTATTGAAAAAATCATAAGGGCCTTTTTCGGTCTTCGGCCGATTTTGGGGGTGGGGGGGGGTGGCCCCCCCGCCCACCTCGTACGCCCCTGCAAGGGTGCATGGGAAATTCCCCTATTATTCATCTGATGTGCTCTACTGCCACAGTAGCTAAGTTCGAAGAAGGGGTGTGCTTTTGCTCGCAAATCTTTTAAGCTTTTCCGAGCTACCTACCCAGAATCGCCGGTCATTTTTGCGCACTAATTTCCGGGGAGATCCATTACCCACGTCCTAAGCTGACTGCATGTCATATTTTAGAAAACAGCTTGGACACCCGGCAGGCAAAAAGTTCTTGTTTTGATAGCCTTTTTGCATTTTTGACAGGTTCTTCAAAATCGCGAAAAATTGAATCCTGTGTGATATGGTTAATTTATTCATCCCATCCACCTTGCCTCTCGGGCAGGGCCGTAACAAACCCAGATTTCGGGGGGGCGACCCCAAAAATTTTTCACTAATATGACTAAAACTACAGCGCCGCAGGCAAAATTTTTGAAAACATAGGGTTTATAACACTAAAACTAGTGTTAAAAATAGACAAAAACAGCGCCGCAGGCAAAAAATTTTTGGAAAAATTAAATCATAAGGGTCCCCCCTTATGTACTTTTCGGCCTTCGGCCGATTTCGGGGGGGCGGCTCGCCCCCCTCGCCCCCCCCTCTTACGGGCCTGCTCTCGGGTCCGTGCCAAAATTGGTTGGTTGTGCAAACAGAGAATTCAGCATAAATTTATCGTTTTTGCTAGAAACTTTTCTGGAATTGTTGACCCCCGCTGCGCGGCATAATTCGTGGGCTGGATACTGTAGTGGAGGATTGGGGAGAACGCTAAAATGTGACATTTAGAATTTGCAGGACTACTGCTATGCGACAAATTCGAAAATCTCTGGCGCTCATGTTTCCGTAAATTATCGAAACACTTTTAAAAGTAATGCGTTTTTGAGCTGTGATTTTTCACAGTGGAAGTTATGATCTTCGAAATAACGACTGTTCGAAGCAATATTTTTCTCTCCTGTTTCCGAAGTGATGAGTTTGAATTCATGGCCTATGAAGCAGTGATATTTTTCGAAAGACCTTCTGAATTGTGTCTCTCAAAATTACGACTTTGCTAAATAACGATTTTTCGAAGTACGAACTTCGCAATTACGACTTTAACAGGTATGGATTTGAGGTAGATGTCGCGCAGTAATGACTTTTCGAGGGCTTCAATAGTCGAGCAATCGAGGACGTCCATGTCACGCTTCCGCTTTCGGTATTCTATCCTCAAGACAAACCTGCATCACCAGAATTCCGGTGAACAACTGCTTGGCCTTGATCATCACCGATCTCGAAGCGACAATCACTGTCAGGCAATTCCCGATTGAATGGAAAAAGTTGAAGTACGCGAAGAGACCGACAACTATAAGAATATGGTAATTTATTTTTAAGTGAATAATACTAACTTGCATCACTACTGTCGGCATCATTACGAAAATGCCATTCATGGTCAGCTAAAAGGCAAAATTAGCGAGGATCTAAAATTTCAAAGACGTTTAACTTTGAATAAATAGCGAAACAAGCTCTAATCATTTAATAGCTAAACATTAATTATGTTAATTAAGTTAATTAGGAAGCGTAAACACAACATTTTATTTTTCTTTTCTTAATGAATCGTTCAAATCGAAATTGAAAATTTGAAAAGTTAAGTTAACTTTGCGGTTTTTTTCAAAAACAGCAACTTACCTGTGCAAAGAAAATGGCTGCGAAGCGCTTCATCATATCCCTAGCCTTAGCAGACATCGCCGGATTCGGCCGAATAAAACTGTCCCAAAAGACATCTTTTATCGCGTAGAGAAAAAGCAAACAGAGCAAGAACTCGGTGACGGTCGAAATGGTCGTCACCGTGTTTGTGTTGCCAGTGTTGATGAACATTGTCGCGCGGGAGTCGTTGCAGAATTGGGGGTTACGGCGGCAAAGCTAGAAAATAACTTGAATAGAACTTTTTCGTTTTTTAGCTTATAAAGGGGGGTTTTTGGTCCAGAAATCAATTTTTTTTGTAATTTTGGTTCTTGCACATTATCGGGGGGGGCGGAACTTTTTTGTGTTTTAATTGTGTTATCAGTAATCTATAACTATATTCCAATTCAAAACTATCTAAAAATTTTTAAAAACGTTGTAAAAATCGAAATTTTGGTCAAAAACCGGCCTTTTTTGGTCGAAAAATCTATATTTTTGATATTTTTAATAAAACCTGGAAAGGTTTCCCGTTTAAAAAAGTAGAAGGCCATTGAGAAACACATCCACAATTTATATATTAAAGATTAGAGCCTAAGAAGAAAAACTTGGTGTCCTAGGTTGTCTAGCCTTTACGCAATAGAGTCGTTTCTAAATTTCTGAATTTACCTCCGGATTCTTGAACACATTCCCAACGCGGTACCAGTCGTAGGCAATGAACGATAGTGTAAAAACAGATAAAAACATTTGCCCAATAATGTAAATCCGAGCGAATAGATAAAAATTGCTCGATTCCTTCATATCCAACGCTTTTCGCTTGGAGAGGCCGGTGAAGGCGAAGGAGAGGGCGATATATTGAACTAGCACCAGGTAGAAGACCTAAAACAGATACGTAGGCCCTTTACAAAATGAAAACGGCTGAAAATGAAACTTTTGGAAAAAAAATGAAATTTTTTTAGTTATTTTGTGGTGCTGGTTCGTTAGCGGGGGTGACTATTTTTCAAATGAATATTTGGTTCTCAGACAGTTTTCTTCCACCTACAAACAGCACTAGTTCCTCCACGAGCGTCGTCTGAATTGCCGTAATTTTCCATACATAGGCGGGGACGACGAGAATCGGTTTTGCTATCAACACCCACGTGTCCGCCACTTCACCAACGATCTGGAAAGATTTCCTGGATCTTTATTACTGTACGACAGGTTTGAGGCATCATCTTAGCTTTAAGAATGCTTTTTCGAACACTATTATTAAACTTACCAATAAGTTCAACTGCAACAATTTGAAGAGTTTTGTAGCCTTGAAATGGTAGTTGATAATGTAGAGGGTGAATAAAAATAGTAGAGTGGAGAAGACCCATAAAACATTGCAAATCACGGAGACTTTTGCAATATCGGCTTCACTGGGGTTAAACATTAGAGGTATAAGCCGAAAGGAGTAGGGTTTCAAACCCAAAACCATCTGAGGGCCCAATTCCAAAATCACCTGCTCTTTTGAGGGGAGTGATAAAAAAAGAAGAGCTGTCGGCCTGTTATTAAAGGTACGCTAAAGTCTCGTTGCTTTGGTTACCGGCAGGTAACCGTCCGCGAAATAGCAAACAGGGTTACGGTAGGCATTCGCCGCGGAGCAAAACCGAAGCCGGGCCCTTCGCCTGGGGCAAGCGCCATAGACCAATAGGCCGAGGGAGAGACGGGACATGGGAAGGGGAGAGCGGATATGAAGGGTCAGGGCGAGAGGCGGCCGAGAACCCGAATTCCTGACCCCTGCGAAAATTTTTGAACGAGATTTTAGCGTACCTTTAATGTAGGTGGTATCACATTAACTGAGATTCGGAAGCCAGTTTTCGACAATTTCGCCATTTTATATTAATTTTTGTGAATGTCATTCGATAGGAAATCCGTAAATCTATCGATCTTAAAATTGGGCACTGGAAACGGAAAGCTAGATTTCAAAATTTAGGTATTTTTTAAAAATTGTTTTTGCGTCAAAAACATACGGAGTTCAAATTTCAGCATAAAATAATTGCGTATTCATCGCCAGTTCAAGTTCCAGTTAAGGGCATATCTGAAAAGAGCCTAAAACGCCTAAAAAATGTCATTTTTTCAGCGTTCTCCCCAATCCTCCACAGCAGTATCCAGTCCGCGAATTATGCCGCGCAGCGGGGGCCGACAATTCCAGAAGTTTCTAGCAAAAACGATAAATTTATGCTGAATTCTCTGTTTGCACAGCCAACCAATTTTGGCACGGACCCGAGAGGCAAGACGGGGGATGAATAAATTAACCATATCACACAGGATAGAATAGAAATTTTTGAGAATTTTTAGAACCACAGGAGACGAACAAAACACAAGTAAATCAAGCAAAACAAGCCAAAAACATGATACGGGATTCAAAAAAAATACAAGATTCAGTATTTTCGGACAATTTTGTCGAGCAGACTCGACTCGGCGGTCAACTGCGCGGCTCCGGAGACGACCGACGAGAGCATCTCGGTCGCGGTGCGGGCTTGGGTCGGTGCTGGGGGCTCCTCGATGCCGAGGTGAGCGCGGAACGCGGTGACGATTGGGGTCTGGTCGGAGCGGCGTACGCCCTTCATTTCGAGTACCTAAAAATTAAGGAATTATGACCTGAAGGATATTCATCCTGTCGAAAACTAAAATATCGACATTATTTTCTTTAACATTCATTTTAATGAAATTTTACGTGCAAAAAATTCGGCATTCGAGTTTTCCACAAAATGAAGTCACGAAACGCTCAAAATTTCGACAAAATTAAATCTCGAAAAAATCAGAATTCCATAGAATTCTCGAAAGTTAAATTTCGAAAACGTGTAATCGTAAAAAAGTCAATTTCGACAAAACTGAATTTCGTTTTCGAAATCCCGAAAATCTAAACTAAGTACAAAGGCTGGCCTTTTGCAACTCGTTGACGTCACTCTGCGGCAACAGGCTGCAGTAGGTGAGCACGAACTGCTCGGTGGCCGACGTGTCGTGCATTACAATCTGAAGAAAACAGATTTTTTTATATATAGTAGGATATAAACAAAAAAAAAATTTTCGGAAGTCTGGAAAAATGGTCACAAAAAATTACCTTGAGCACCATCTCGGCCTTCGTAAACGCTGTGTTGACGGCATTCGTGTAGGCACCGGGGGGTTTCGTTTGAACCTGAAAACGACAATTTTCAGCTAATCATCAAAAAAAAAATAGCTGCCCTGCCAGAATTTTCAAAAAAAAAATAATTTCTAAGCTCACCTGGCTCTCCACCGAGGGTAGCGTCAGGAGGAACGTCTTCAGGGCGTGCGTGTCGAGAAGGAGCTGCTCGGCACCTATCATATGAAATTAATATGCGCTAAATTGTAAAAAAATTGTTTTCTCTCTTCTTCTTTCTTTATTTTCGTTCTGAAATTAAATTCATTATAAAAGTTCCCACCATGAACGGACAGCGGTTTGCATCGGAAAATCGAGGCGACAAACTTTTGCGACAACTGCGTGGCGAGCTTCAGGCAGAAGTGAGCAAAGTATTTGCGCCTGGAAAAATTATAGAAAAAAATATGGACCCCTGCTATTTATTTTTTGGCCTCTGAAGAGCAAAAAGTTTTTTCTCCAACGAAAATCAGAAAAGGAACATGTATTCCTCAAAAAATCTAAAAAAAATACGAAACACACCTATCGCTCAGCAAATCTCGAATGTTGGGCACGGTTTGGCGCAGATGATTCCGGATGGATCCAACGAACGGCGACTCATCGCCGACATTATCGATTCCAAGCCAACTAAACAAAGGAGAATACGCCGAAAATAACGATACTCACTTGGTCTTGATCATCGCCTGAATGGCGGCATCGCAGGCGCTCTCCGAGTCGCCGACCAAGGCGGCGATGGCCGAGTTGGCGATGCAGTAGAACGTCTCTGTCTCTTGCGACAGGTCACATGTCTGAAAAAATGTTCGTTGAAATTTTTTTAAAAATGCATAATGTATAAACTTTTTTGATATAAGCTTGTAAATAATAAACACCTCTATTTTTATCCAATTACCAACGCGAAAAATTACCGGAAGTCTCTGGACGAGCTTCTCCTGGAGCTGGATCGTCGTCTCGGCGCACCAGTCGGCCGTCGCTAAGATGCAGCAGGTCATGAAGAGTTGATCGGGGGTTAGCCTAAAACTAGGGTATAAAATCGTAACGATAGAGAGAGAGAGAGAGAGAGAGACGGAGAGTGAGAGAGAGAGAGAGAGAGAGAGAGAGAGAGAGTAGAGATCCAAGTAAATTCCTCACCTAACCGGCGCCGCCTCCTCCCGGATCAAGTTGAACAAGTTCGCCGCCGTGGCGATCGTGGACTGGCTGACGGGCTGCTGGGGCAAGAAAGCGGTCAAGCAGTTGTGGGCAAAATTGCGCAGGCAGCCCCGGATGACGCCGACAATGTCTCTAAACAAAAATAAACCATTTTCGGATGTGCTTACTTCAATAACGCATCCTGTTGGCTGCTCAACTTGCTGCTCTCGGTGATCACTTTCTTCAGCAGCAGGAACAGGTCGGCCGAGGAGGGCAGGGGGACGGCGTGGACGCAAGTTTCGCGGGTGGGGCCTTCGGTTCCGCTCCTAAAATTCGATTAAAACCGGAAAAAATCAGACTAATTACGCTACGTTTGAAAAACCTTATCTAAAAATTAAACAATTGATTTAAATTTAAAACATTTAAACAAAATAATAAAATAGAAAATAGAAAAGAAATAAAAGACTCGTTCATGGACCCAAAATGATCAAAAATTCCCACCGAATTTTTCCAGCGCATCCGTGCACGAACTCCTTCAGCGTCTTTTCTTGCGCGGCGACGAACACGTCGAGGAACGGGTCGAACACTTGCCAGATGGCCTCAAATTATAACAATTTAAAAAACAAAAGTTATTAAAACACCTTTTAAAATATTGAAAACACCGTTTCAAAAGTAATTTCAAGCTTTCAAAGGCAAAAAAAATTAAAATACGTTTTAATAATATTCAAAAAGTTTTAAAAAGTTCGACCAGATCTTAACCTTGTCAAAATTGTGGTCGCCCTTGGACGGGAAGCGCTTCACCAGCAATGACTCGAACATCTTGGTGTGCTGGATGGCGTTGCCTGAAAATCAATAAAAACGTTTTTGATTCAATTAAAAATTTAATGACATAATATTTCTATTAAATTAGATGTATACATTCTGAAAACTCAATGAACTACACTAAAAACGAACCAAGCAATTTCCAGTCCAAATCACGTCGTCGGCGCGTCAGCATCTTCCCGAAAATTTCTCTAAAAAAGGTTGTAAAAATGTAATAAAAAAAACGCAAAATTCATACGAATTATCTAGGTGAATTTAGCCGAAAAATTACCTAGTCATCGCACAAAATTGCTGCGTCATCAGCCTGCCCATCTCCCAGTCGGCGGGGAAGATGGCGGCGAGACCGGTGCGTTCAAAGTCCAGTAGTTTGTGCACGTACCATTTGTATCTAAAAAAGGTAGGTATAGATAATAATACAACACAAACTACAAAATTAAAAAAACCACCTGTCCTCAATCTTGTCCAACCAGGCGGCTTCCTCATTTTCGGCGTAGAGTACCCCGTATTCGCTGAGCTAAAAAAAAAAGATAGCATAAGTTTTAATCGATAAAAATATAAATTTTTCCTCATTTTAACAATTAAAAGAACCGAACTGAACTCGAGAAAATTCTCCCTTTAAAAGGTGTTTTAAAGCACCTGTCGATCAATAAACCATCGGCAAAAATTCTCCTTCACATTTCCCTCGAGCGCGGCGGCCACTCGGCACATGTTCGTCACTTCCTCGTTCAAAATTCCGGCCTGAAAAACACTTTTTATTTTTTATACTGGAGATATAAGATAAAATTAGAATTTTACATTTAATAAAGTATACCTGGAAAGCCGCCTTCATATCGCCGGCCAGCTGCAGCGTGAGGGTGTGCTTCAGCTTGTCCAACTGCTCCGAGATGCTGCGGATTTGCTCGTTGTCTCTGAAAAAAAAAGTGTTAAATTGACTCCAAAAATAGCCTTAAAATAGTACTATAAAATACAGCTAACATTCTGTATATTTATAACCATTAAATCCCGTTTAACCGTTTACTTAGCTTACTTATAATTATCGAACAACTGCAGCACGTTCAGCACAGCTGGAAGGTCCCGTGCGATCGACGCGTAGTCTTTCTTCGCGATCCAATTGCCTACAAAATTATAATTAACGCAAAAAAATAGATAATTACTAAGCGAATCCACGCCGTTTAGCAGAATGTGCAAATGGTGGAGCGTGGTGATGGAGGACGTCAAATTGCGCTTGACGACGTCGAGTTGGTGGATGTCGCGCGTCATTTCGCGGACAACCTGCAATTTAATGTATTTTTTTTTATAAAATATACATAAAATATATTTTAACTGAAATGTCAAATCTCCAGGAAAAGCTACCTGATCGGAAGAACGGCTCTTTTCACGTATCAGCTCGATTTTGGTCTGTAGGCGCCCCATAGCGGCAACGACCTGAAAACTGGGTTTTAGAGAGCTAGAAAAAAAAACAAAAAAAAGCAAAAATCGCGTTGTTTTGGAAATAAAGAAACGTTAATTTATATTTAACAACAAAAACTACGTTTAAACAACAAAATTACCTGTTGCAACGCTTGCTGGGACTCTTGCTCAACCTCGGCTTGTTTTTCGACCATATCGGCGAGCTCGTTCTCAATATCGACAATCTGGCGGTCAACGGCGGAAATGACGGTGTCGAGCTAAAAAAAACGTAAAACTTAAACTTCAATTTCACCTGATTCAACGACTGTTCCGTCGGAAAAAGCTCGTTCATCTGGGCGACAAGTTGGGGCGTCATTCGGCCGCTGCTCGGGCGAATACACTCTACAAAAGCGCAAAAATCGTCGTAAAACCACTTGAAAAACTCACGAGCTAACCGCGCCTTCGCATCCTCGCGCAACAAGATGTGTCGAGGCACGTGCGGCGGCTTGAAGTCGTCAATTGTTGGCATTTTCTTCTTTGGCTCCTCTTCTTCCTTTACTTCCGGCTCAGAAGCCTCTGAAGTCGAAGCGGCTGGCTCGGACATGCCTGAACAAAGCTGTTTTATAAGTATAATTAACCATATTTAAGAAAATAAGAATTTTAAAGCATGTTTATTTCATTAGAAGACGTCGCGAATTCCAGCTCAACTCGGCTCCGATAGGCTACACAGCGCGCCTATGTCCGCTTACGCCATCATATCCTTCCAGCTGTTTTTCTGCGCCGATGCAGCTGCATCTTTTCGTTTTAAAAATTATATAAACGAAAACCCTACTTTTATAAACTAAAAAGGAAAGATAATAACGATGAATTAAACTTATACTTTCCTAGAACGACCGGTGCTTAGGTTTGGACCTTTTTTCTTTAGAAAGATACAAACCTACCCTTTTTTGTTCAGAAAGGTAGTTGAATTATACAACATTTAGCTTCTAAGCTAGTTTTTGTAAACCAAAGTTAATAAAACTTCAGCTGCGGCTGCAAAGGTACAAAAGGAATCCAAAAAATGGAATGTTGGCCAGCAGAGATTCATTTTTATGTTGTAAGAATGACACTTTATGTGCAGGAAGTTAGAAAAACGGTATGTGGCACAAAATATCTTTATTATTCTTTATTCCCGTACATTGACCGGCTATTGGGTTGTATCCGGCGTTGACTGCCCCAGTTTTGCTTCCCGGAATCGACGACCGAGACCCCGGCCGTCATAGTGGTGTTCATATCCGCTTTGGTCAGCTTTCCAGTGACCATTTTTCGTGTCTCCTCGGAGATGAGTAGTAAGAACCTTAATAATTAAATAGATTAAGACATTTGCAAGAGTTTTTGGAGGCTTTTTTTTGGTCTTAATTGTTGCTAAGCAGAAAGAAAAGCATGTATATAGGAGCTTTTCAATAGAGCATGTATATAGGAGCCTATTTTCCAGGATTTTGCACTTCAAAACCCCCTTTTCCATAAAATTTCTAATGATGAGCAATTTTGCGGTGTCGCTGATCTTCTTAAATCCAACCTTTTTGCACCCTTAATTACGGTCGGCTCTACACCGAACGTCCCTGGGGATCGAGTCAGGCCACAAATCCGGTACAAGAAGCACAAAATAAAAATAGTTTTTGGAGGGCAGGAGTGTTTTGATTTTTATGAGGAAGTGATGCAAAAGCCAGAATTTTTTTCTTTTAAAAAGTTACGTCAGTGTCCGGAAGTAGAAATTGTTTAGCAGGTTTTCGCGATTTTTAAGGTTACTTACCACAATGGCATAAAATTTGCGATATCAGCGCATACTGGCTGAAATTGGAAGACCATATAATATTCATTAATGTTCAAAGTGTTGACAAGAATCTAAAAATCAATCAATACATATTTATTTTGGTTAAATTTAACATGAAGAATGTATAGATAAAGCGATTCCTTACCAGCTCTGCCGTGTTGATCAACTGCGCGATAAATTGGCCCAGCGTAGCAATATGGAAAGTTAATTCCCGTTTTTTCAACTTTTTCGTGTAGGCGAACAGCTTGATGCCGGTGTAGGCGTTGACAAGTAGCGTTAAAGCTACAATAGCAACGCAGATTGGGAAGTAGACATCGTCGAAAAATTGCTAAAAATTCACTAGATCAATTAAATATCAAATAAATTAAATCAATAGATTGGTCTGGGTAATCCAGACTTCCAGAATTTTTAATTCAGACTCAAGGTATCGAAAGGAAGTGAAAAATCGAGCAAACTCACTCCGATAGAATTATTCTGCAAGGTATAAGGTATGTAATAGCCCCAGCCAAATCTCGCAAAGAAGCTTGAAGCCGTGAAGCTGGGTATACAGTAGAGTAGTGGTATTACAGCCGTGCCACCAATAAAATGCCACGTGTAGAAGCCCCAGATCTGAAAATTCGAATCGTTTTGACGAGTTCCGGAATTTCGCTGACCGTATACCGACTCGTGATTGATTTTTCACCCTCATTACTTTTAATACTATGTACGTTACTTTTTCATATTTATGGGGCATTGCCATGGACGTTGCTCGATTTACAGCGATCAGCAGCGTGCCAAGGACTTGGAATAAAATGGAATACTCGACGAATAAACCGATTATCAGTGGGATTGGGCCATCCTAAAAATATCCTTCTGACGACGATCAGGATACCGTACCCGAATATACCAGTACCACTCAAAAACACCCCACGTCGAGGTGCGTACCCGTAGTAAGGAACCGTAGTGAACGACTAGATCCTAAAAAGGTTTGCTAATTCTTAGAAAAGTAGCGGTTCTATACCTTTGCAAGCGATACCTAGTGCAAGAAAGGACGAGAGAGAGAGAGAGAGAGAGAGAGAGAGAGAGAGAAGAGAGAGAGGGAGAGAGCGAGAGAGCGACAGAGAGCGCGAAAGAGAGAGAAAGAAAGAGGGTGCGAGAGATACACATAGAGAGTGAGAAAAATAACGAGAGATGCGATAACGGTATCTTACAAGGTTTCAAACTCCCTGAAAAGCATGCGATTAGTTTTCTAAACCCAGGAGAGAGACAGAGAGCGAGAGAGAGAGAGAGGGAAAGAGAGAGCGAGAGAGAGGGAGAGAGAGAACGAGTAAGCGTAGTTTTACTGTCTTGCTTACGTTGGCAGTACAAACAAAAAATATCTTCTGGTAGTGCGTCTTGAACCCGTAGCGATAGAAATGTCGTGCCATGCGCAAAAATACGTAAAACGACATCAGCCCGATAATGATAAAAATGCTGCTCGACGTTATCTCAAAAGGATCAACAAAATGACCATCGTAATCATCCGGAGGAGTACTGTCATCTGGAGCTGGTTCAGACATTCTAAAATTTTTAATGATGTCCAGACAGAAAGCAACAAAAGCAACGTAAAGAAAAATTGATGAAGCGGTCATTCGGTGACTTGAAGCAACGAAAAACTGGAAAATAGCAGGGTATTGGAAGGGCGCAAAAAGGGGTTTGTTAGCGGATCAAGACACGGACGGCAATTAGCCCACCTGGACTGTAATGCCTCTAGCAGTTGCGGGTACCAATTTTCCCGTAAATTCGGGAAAATTGGCATTGGCCTGGTGCTCTGAAGCAAGTACATCGTATTAAAACCATATAGTTAATTTCTGCTTTACAGACTCGAGAATGTGCTGGAGAATATTTTACGAATTTTTGCGCTGTACGTTCGCGTACGCTTCTAGATTATGCGCTAGTTTTCACGGGTCATAGGAGTTTTACGCACTGCCCAAGTACTTTGTAATGAGTACCGTAGGCCCAGGTTTGCAATCAACCCAAATGGCTTTGAGGAAGCTCCCCAGAACCTTCCACTCGAAGAGCCAAGTAAAGAGGCACTTGAACAAATCAATTTTTTTCAAAATTTATTAGAGCAAGTTTTTTAGAAATTTATCAAACCATTTTTATAAAATCCACTTTCAGAGCCGACTCGAATGTCCCTTTAAGTGCGTCTTTTTACCCGAATTTCACGGTTTCAAAGCGCATTTTACAGAGCTTCAGTTTCCAAGCAGAATTTTTTGCATGGTACTCACTTTACCAAAGGTATCGACGAGATTTTACACGTAAAATCTTGTGAGGAAGATAACTCCCTGTCAAATTACTTTAGAAATTCCAATGAAAAGGAGCAATTGAAGAGATAGTCGCGAAGTAATGAGTCAAAATTTCGAAAAAATGTAATACTGACATCGATTTCCCCCTATGAAATCAAAGCCTGAGTCGTTGAGGTACCAAGATTCAAGTTCGATTTTTATCGTCATAATAGCCAAAATGGACGCCGATTGTTCAAAAAATTCCAAAGGGAGTGCTAGCAGAGAGCATTGGGGAACACAATCAAACCCCGATAGGAGATTTAGCTTCCACAGTTTGATCTGAAAACAAGACTCCAGCCACCATAAATCCCAAAAAATTAGCCGCCTCAATGGAGCACTGACGCCGTTCGGCCAGAAAAAGCCTCAAAATTTCATGATCCATGAGGGCACGACGCAAGAATGGCTTCCGCATTCTGAGAGGCCGAAGAAATTAGCGATTCCCCCCGGGGCGTGGGCGCCTTAATTCGGCCAAATTCTAGGGTTCATGCCCCCATGAGGCGATCGCGCATAACAAGCCTGTTTTCTTTCACGCTCGAGTAATTTTTGCTTTCGCAATTTAGAGGATTTGCAAAAAAAATGATGCAGAGCATTACATTGACAAAAATTAAGTTCAATTCTAGGAGTATGATTCAGGGAGTTAACTTATACCTCGATCGGTGAGGTTGGGAATCGCCCTGGAGACCTCAGAACACAAGGTAGGCCTAAACTAAGCATAAGCCAAGCCTAAGCCAAGCCTAAGCAAAGCCTAAGCCAAGCCTAAGCCAAGCCTAAGCCAAGCCTAAGCCAAGCCTAAGCCAAGCCTAAGCCAAGCGTAAGCAACGCCTAAAAATTTTTAATGCTTCATGCAATGCGTTCGTTGTTCACTTTCTTCCCTAGCTTCTTCTTTTTCAGCTTTTTGGAGTTTCGGGGGAGGGGTATATTAGAGGGGTAGATATTTAGCGTGCTCTGGTTCCCATTCTCCTCGAGAATTCCATTTTATTGGGCACGGTATGAGCGCAAAACAATTGGGGTCGGGTTCGGTCTTCTCTCCCCTGTCGATGGCGGGGGACGTGGCCTCATATGCGAGATGGGAACGGGTCGTCGGTGATGAATCTAAATATCGAGGATATATTCGAACGATATAGGGAAAATCGTGGAAAAAATCGTTTGCATAACGATTTTCTTAGCTGCTGATCGAGATTTGACCTGATCGGTGAAAAGGAGTTTGATCGCTAACTTTTACAGATTGCTGCTAGTTTACAGATAATTTACAGAGGAGATACGGTAATAAAAATGGTAATTCTGCAAGAAATACCAAACCCGGACAAATATTTCCGAGGCATACCTGGCCCTTTGCAAAGGTGACGGGACATTTCCAGTGCTTCCGCGCACGTTAGCGATATAGTCCATGATGTAAAGCAAGGAATACTTTGATTTTCTTCACTGGCACCAAAACCAAGTGGAGTTGGAGGTCGGATGTTTTAGCAACCGATAGCAGTGGTAGAATCACTCAAGTCGAGGTGGAGTACCTAAAATTATGATTTAATGGGGCTTAGATATTAAATTAAAAGTTGAAAACGTGAAGGTACAGTCCGCTCTCGTTTAAATGATCTATCATCTTAGACAAATTGTGTTTTAGAATGCCGGGTTACGGTGGGTGCGAAAAGTCGGCAAAACCGAACCCAGGACGCTCGTCTGGGGCAAGCGCTTTAGACCACTCGGCCATGGGAGAGACGGGAGAGGGGAGGGGGCGAAGGGATATGAAGTCTCGGAGGCGGCCGCCGCCGGACAGCCTAATTGTTGCCGCCGACCTGTGGTTTTTTTAAAGAGCACGGATTGTATCTTTAAGGTGAGCTTGCAGTTTACCCCCCGCCCCCCCAACTCTTGTATCTCGGCCGTCTGTTAATCTACAGGTGTGCAAATTATACCAAAATTTTCGTCTTGCTCTGGCGAGTATTTTGGTATACTTTACACACCTGTAGATAACAAGGAGCCGAGATACGGTAGGCGGGGGGTTGGCTGCAGGGGGGGGGGGGCGGTGGGCAAATTGCACTTAAGCCGTTCTTTAAATTTCATAGCCTAAAATGCTCAAAATTAGCAAAGCATAAAAAAATTCGTATGAATACGTTTTTGATCTGTTGAGGAAAAAGTCGAGCGATGGCATTTTCTGCGAGGGCCTGGCTGGCAGGGCTAAAGTGCAATGACTCAACACACCCACCCTGCCTGCGAATGTTCCAGAAAATCTTTCACGTTATACCTTTCACAACCGGCGATTTCTTTCAACGCTTTTGAAAGCTATTCATTTTTAATTTGCAATTTTAATTCTAATTATTTAATTACAACGTTTTTAATTTGTGCACTATTTCACATATTTAGATCAACTTCCGATTTCAACTTGAGCGATTCTGCCAAATGCCATCGGTTTCAAAAGACCGATTAACGTTTCAGCTGCAAATTAAAATTACGAAATAGGTGAGTGGTGAGAGTACTAATTTTAAACTTTTAATTCATACTTTGTAAATACGCTTTGAAATTATGAGAAATGTGAGGTGATTCAAAATTCGTGATTATGATGGTTGCAAAATTCAAAATTATGAGGATCATGATTTCGAGGGGAACTTCGAGAATCCGCTGATTCAAGATTCGGAAGATTCTAGATTTCGATAGCCAGTTTCATTAAAGATTGATGTTATTTTTAGATACCTTGACGATCGCAATTTATTTAGATATCGGTAACGCATGCCTGCTATACATCACTACCGATGCTATACAAGCCCTCATAAAAAAAATCAAAAAACCACGGCCGGAATCGTTTGATATAAAGGTTAGTATTTTCGGCTATGGTTCTGGTTCGTTAGCGGGGCGGGGCGGGAAGTAAAGTATTGGAAAGCTTACTTTTTTTAGACGACCTAACTTTTGTTTGTAGTAAAAAATAGAAAATTTAAAATAGTAAAAAATTTATTCTGATTTTAGCGGCTTCCGATCACCATCTGGTCATTAAAATTTGACTCATTTTAAGCTATATTTTTTACATTTTACTTTGAAAAAATCCCGTTGGAGCAAGAAAGTGAATTCAATGATTTTTAATTTTTAGCTTTCTTTTTGTAAATTTAATGAACTTATCAAGGATTTCTACATTTTCAAAAAACGTTTGATACCAGCAACGACCAGTAAGCTAAAAAAAAGAAACTAATTAACCTATTCCTGCCAAAAAAATGAGTCCAATTTAGGGACGAGCAAAAGCCCCGGATGATCACCCGCACCGGTCGCGGTCCGGCAACGAAGCCGAGGACCTGGGAGTTCAACTACATTCCAAATCAGCCGTTCTCGCCGAATGGCACATGAAAGTGCACGAAAATGCCCTCGCAGCCTGCCACGAAGTTTACAAACCTGAACGCGCGCAAGAAGGTGACTGGCTCACTGACAGACGGCGAACTTGCGTGGCGCTTCCCCGCGCCATGGACGGCGTTGCGGCGTCATGGCGACACCACTTTCGGTCGTAGTTTGAGGTTCCCTTTCGGGCCTTCAGTAGCTTATCCTTTCATCTATGGCTCCGCCCCTTTCGGCCGCCCTCCGACAGGGAGGCCTGGGCAGAGTGACAGATGTCCTCTGATGATCTCCTCTAGACCATCTAGTAGGCATTCTACAGTAAGACAATCGTAGCTTATATATTAGGGGGAAACCTGGTTAGACTAAATTATGTGGGGACTAATAATATTGGGAAGCCGCCTCTATTAATGGTGCCTAATAAATGAGTAGTTCATTAATCTATCTAGAGCGTTTATTAGATTAATACATATTATTCAGCTACACGAAAAGTTGGGTACAATCTTCTTGAATACAGAGGAGATTGAGTTCTGCTCTCCCCCCACGGGGCGACAGGCGTTATCATTTTGGGCACTAGAGCAGCGTGTCCATCCGCCTGGTGGATCCAGTTGTTTCAGTCAGCTGAAGGAGCAGGCATGGTGACATCTATCGGTGCCCTTCTGGCTTCCCCACAACATCTATCAGGTCCGTTGCCTCTTTTTCAAAATCGCGTCCCCATTAAAATTTTGCCTTGGTTAAATTTCGCCGCTTTTCCAGACCTTCGCTCTTCGCCTTCGCCGCCGATCACAAAAGGAACCCCGACCGGAAATACAGGAGAGAGAAGAGGGTGATCCCCGACGTTTTTGACTTTATGATTTGATTCTTTGTATGAAATTCGTGTAGATAAAACGTGAAGTGTTACCGGGGAAACTTTGAAACCCCATGAAATCGCATATAGAAAAGATAAACTCTCTCTCTCTCTCTCTCTCTCTCTCTCTCTCTCTTTCTCTCTCTCTCTCTCTCTCTCTCTCTCTCTCTCTCTCTTTCTTTCTCTCTCTCTCTCTCTCTCTCTCTCTCTCACGAAATGAAGGCCACACGGAATATTTGGAGTAGAAAAGTTTTCAAAAATTCATTTGGAATTTAGGTAATTTCTTTAGGTATTTTAATACCTTTGTTCGCCCTAAAATGTAACCTTTTTTAAAGAAATTTTGTATAGTTACAAGATTCAAAGTTTATTGACAGTAGTGGTGCTAAACTGTGATCCTCGTCTTTTGTCGAGCTCGTGCTTCGTGCCAATCGAAGTCAAGAAAATCCCGGAGATCGGCTTGGCATCTCTGGCCAGCTTTCCGGATACCATTGCACGTGTCTCCTCGGAGATGAGGAGCAGGAACCTGTAAGATTTCTGCTTTCGACTTTTAAGCTTTCTATTTTTGTCATTGTGAAACTAAGACTTCGAAACTTTGCATTCTGTTTCTACTGCCAATTCGAGCGGAAAGCAACGGTATCGTTAGCGAGACTTTTTTTGCGCTATCGCGGTTCGCGTGCGCCCATAATTGGGGGAAATTTGAGAAGCGAAAGCCAGGACTACGGACCCAAATTAATTTTTAGTACCTTTTTTACCTTGATAATCTATACTTGAAATGAGTATTGATCGATCTAAATTTAGCTTTCAAAACTTGCAAAAACTGGTCGTCGTGGAAATTCTAGAGTCTGGCTATTTTGATGTTACCAAATCACGCAATACACGTAAAACTTTTACGGTAACAGACCTACTTACCATAATGGCAGAAAATTTGCGATATCAGCAAAGATGGGTTGTAAGAAGAAGATGACGTAGTTGTTGTCGAGGTCCATCGTGTTGACACAAATCTTAAGGCCGAAACTGTTGGTCTTTTATGAAAGCCCTAGCATCAAATATTTGTAATTTCAGGCGCGAGTCGGCCACCTCAAAAAGTCTTTTAAGGTGTTTCATTGAGTTTTCGTTATTAGATTGTTACCAGGGTTGAAAAGCCGCTTCGCGACTTTTCAACCCTGTCCCCGTCTGATCGAATGATATACTTCACTTTGCATAATTCTTGGATTTCCGATGACAGAAATGAAAACCGCGCTCGCTAGCCCATTATACAGGGTGTCCTAATAAAAAAGGTCACGCTGGCATTTTGCTATTTCAAATCCGATCGACTTGAAATTTTGCACAGAGGTGCGGAAGGGAATTCAAAATGTTCACAGACACTTTCAGCCCGATCGGTACAGTAGTTTTCTAGTTATAGCAAAAATAAACTTTATTTTACGTTTTTCACCTGAATTCCGCCGGAATTGAGCCCTGGGATGTATGGAGAAAATGAAGCGCCGACCCTTTTTTATCCTAAGAATTTTATATTTCGCCAAATTCGGCTTGGAAATAGGCTATTTAAGCATTTTTTAACAAGGGCTAACGACGGCGATGTTAAGAAGAATAAGGGATTTAGAGCCGGAAATTTATGTTAATTGATGCAAAGTCCAAAAAGATAGCCGAAAAAATGAAACTAAAGTGTGGGAAAAACAGTATTTTTACAATAACTCAAAAACTACTGTACCGATCGGGCTGAAAGTTTCTGTGAACATTTTAAAATCCCTTCCGCACCTCTGTGTAAAATTTGAAGTCGATCGGATTTGAAATAGCAAAATAGGATAAAGCAAAGGTTCAAAAAAAACAGGTCCTCACTTACCAATGCAATAGTGTTGACCAGCTGAACAACAAATTGTGCAAGTGTTGTAAAGTGGAAGCGGACCTCGCGTTGCTTCAGCTTTTTCGTGTATGAAAATAGTTTGACGGAGGTGTATGTGTTGACGAGGAGCGTCAGAAAAATTGTGATACCACAAGCGGGGTAGTAGGCTTCTTTGATAAGTACCTGAAACGACGGGAAATCCTCGTTAAAGCCGGTACTAACCGCAAATTCGCCATTTTCGATGGTATAAGGTATGTAATACCCCCAGCCGAGGCGCAAAAAATGGCTGGTGGCCGTGAAAGATGGTGCTCGATAAATAAATGGGATCAGGGCAGTGATACCGATGTAATGCCACGTATAAGGTCCCCAGATCTGAGATTGCAAGTTCTTCAAACCTGAAACAAAAAAGCAAAATTCGGGAGACTTACGTTCATATATTTTGTCGGAAAAGCGAGCGCTGTAGCCCGATTCAGGGCGGTTAATAAAGTGCCGAGCATTTGTAGCAATATAGAATACTCGCTCAACCAGCTGACGACACCGGGGAAAACGCCGGTCTGAAATATATGAAAGCTCTCTCTCTCTCTCACTCTCTCTGTCTCTCTCTATCTCTCTCCCTCGCTCTCTGTTTCTCTCAATTTCCCGCTTACGCTCTCTCTCTCTCTCTCTCTCTCTCTCTCTCTGTCTCTCTCTCCTTCTCTCTCTCTTTCACTTTACCTAGCTGTTTCGTTTAAGATTGACTTACCCTAACATACCAAAAACACTCGAAAAAGCCCCAAGTCGGGGTTCGTATCCGGAACAAAAATGAGTAATGAGCGATGAAATCCTAAAATCGGATCTCTAATTTTTTTTGTGACAAGCAGGTAGCAGTTCTAGACCTTTGAGCCTGAAAATATCACTTACATTAGCCGTAAATACCAGAAATATCTTCTGAAAATGCGACTCGAATCCATGGCGATAGTGGTATCGAGCTATTCTCAGAAACACGACTAGCGAAATGAGGCCGATGAGAACGAATACAGTGCTTGAGGTGGCTTCTCCAGGGTCGAAGTAATGCCCTTCATAGTCGTCCGGGCGGACGTCATCTGTCATGGCTAAAAACCGAACGAGAAGAAGCATAAATTGGCGTTAATTGGCATTAAAAAAAGCGCAAGGCATGGCTATGAATATTTTTCGTTATACGATACATAAGGATTTTACAGGGGGCCGCGAAACACGGCGCGGTATCATCCTTTCTGTTGCGTAGCGTATTAGCGTTGATTACGGTCTATTTTACAGGACTACTATATTATACCTTTTTATATTTTACTATATCTTCCTTTTTATTCACACGAAACCAATTCTTTTTTATTCACCCGATGTTCTTTCTATGGCCTATCGAAAACACTTTTATTCAAACCCAAAATAGTACAAGTTGTTTTTGAGATTTTTTTGCTCCTGTTTATTTTACACAAACAGCATATGTTTTATTTACCAACAACCTGTTTCTTCTGCACAAACCCGGAAAAGGTCCAAAATGAGGCAGAAGCCGGCAGGCTCCCCTTTTGGGCCGACTGGAGGGTAATGAATCAGGTCCCCGGGCCACCAACCAGGGCACCCCCAACAGGCCATCAATAAGACTCGTTAATCCTCGGAAGATTGACGGAGCGCCCGCCAGGGGCGAATAAAAGGGAACGTTCGAGGGGGAAAACTATTTCGCGCTACAACTATTCAGGATTTTTCAGCTATAATTTTTCGATTACTACTTTACCCCTGTTGCACGACTTCCCAACTATTCAGGATTTTTCAGCTATAATTTTTCGATTATTACCCGCTATTTTATTACATTTTCTTTGGGGAAAACTTTTTCTTTCTTATTCCTACCGTATTCCACTACCATGAAACGTTCGCACTCTGAGGGTTTGGTCACCATTCTCCCACCCCACAGGAAGACGATCGGCTAGTTGATTATAGCGTTTCTCGCCCTGAAGACGGGGACGGCGACGGTGGAATGCCTCCGGAAAACCAGGCTGGCTTTGGGGGGGTTGGACACCAAGGGAAAGGGATAAACTTTATACTTACGAAGAACTTCATTCTTTTGACAAATCCGCTCTCATAAAAAAGTTTTATAAGAATTTGAATGAGTACGTCTATGAAAAAGTAGGGTTAAGAAGGGTAGAAGGGTAGTAGAAGGGTAAAGAAGAAGGGTTAAGATGAATATTTCTGAAGGGGAACCCCCTGTATCCTGCTCCGTACTGCTCGCACAAGGTAGACCAACGTAAAATTCGGGACATTTGGACCCCGTTTGAGCTAGAACTGGCCCTCGTACACGTAAGGTTTTAGATGTTATCGAGGTCTGGCACTGGGCCAAATCCGGACTGGCAGGTATTTCCCGAAAATGGACTCTTTTCAGCCTATATGCGACCAAAGCTACAGCACGATTCTAGTGTCCATATCTATGTCAGACTCCAGAAGAACGGAGCATTTCCTAACCGATTTCAAGGCACGTCATGGTATAGATTTGGATCAAACTGTTCTTGATATGCCGAATAAGGGCAAGCGCTTCCTCGCAAAGGTCTGTCACGTCAATCTGGTAAGTTCCAAATTGCAATATTAACCTTCTTTTTTAGTGGGGTCGCTGAGGGCTGAAAGCCGACCGCTCCTCAGTGATCTTTGCGAACACACAGCAGGCAGTTGAAAAACTTTGGGATGATCCTACTCTCGACCTGCAACAAGATTTTCGAAGCATCAAGAGTCCCCAATTTGGTTTTTTAGCCATCGAAAGAAGCAGGATTGGATTCATTCTGCGCCTCTTGGTGAGCCATGCAAAAACACCCTAAAATAAAACTTTTTAGGTAGTTCCCATGCTTAACGACTCCATATGGTAGGGTACGCCTAACTAAATGGCTACTCGAGATTGGATACGATCGGGTGAGTAGAACTCAACAAGACTGATCGAAACGCAATTTTAGGTTTTGTACTCGGATAGTGACTCATGCATGTGGATTGGTCGCGGCGATGATCCGAAACACCTGGAATTTCTCAAGAAAAATGCTGGCGAAAATCTAGGGCAGCTGAAGAATGAGGTAGGCGATGGTTATCGCGTTACAAATTTTGTGAGTGGGGGTAGCAAACAGTACTGTTTGCGGCTATCAAAATACGAAGCCCAAAATTATCGATACCCGTGCGATCGCATAATTTTAGTAATCAGGTTATTACCACTTTTCGAAATATGGAGAAACAGGTCGAGAATTTACTCCAGGGTCCCTTGATATTTTCAGGCCCGTAAGTTAAGAAATGTTTTGGTCAAATGGGCTGTGCAAAATAAGAAATACGCCTGACGGGGAGACAAGTTTTACCTGACGGTTCCGTACTACCTTTTCCTGTAAAGGGCGGGACGGGGGAGGGGTGGGGTTGGGGAGGGGTTCGGGGGTGGGGAGGGGCGGGGGTGGGGAGGGGGGGTCAGCTCTCCCGGAGGACCTTCCCGCAAGGGGCCCTCCCTCCCGTCAGGGCCCTCCCTCCCGTCAGGGCCCTCCCTCCCGTCAGGGCCCTCCCTCCCGTCAGGGCCCTCCCTCCCGTCAGGGCCCTCCCTCCCGCCAGGGCCCTCCCTCCCGCAAGGCGGACTTAAAAGGAGAGAAAAATAATGTCTTTGTGAATAATGGAGTCATTCAAGTTCAAACACCCGTGTTCAATTTTTACTTTTTGTCAGAGTCTGGGTGGCAAAACCACCTGGACTTTGAAATTGTTGCGAAATTATCAAAATTTGTTAGAAAATGCTCAGGATATTAGGAGGATTTTGTACTTTACGGGCTCAAATACCCAAAGTTTTCGTGAAAAGGTCCATGGAATAAAGGGGTTAGAAATTATTGAGGGTGCCCCGACCGAGGAGGTCGTGAAGGGCTTGAGAAACTGTATTCTAGTTATTGACGACCTCATGACTGAAATGGGTGAAGGGTTGATGGCTAGGCTCACAAGTAAGGTTACCCATCACCAAAACTGTACGCTAATTTTTTTGAGTCAAGACGCTTTTCGAAGCAGGCGAACCGCGCGCGTGAATGCCAATTACATTGTTTTACTGCGGTCGGTTTCCGACCAGTTGCAAGCCAGACAAATTGGTATGCAATGCTTCCCCACCCAATTTTCATATTTTTGGGATAGCTACCGTTCGGCCACCGCCCAACCCTATGGTTATTTGGTGATCAACTGTCACGCAAGTTTGCAAAATTTGGACCATCGCCTCGTGACCAACATTTTCCCAGAGGATATAAACCAAATTTTTTACCTGCCCCCTTAGTTGTTTCATTGATGACTTCTTCTTCTTCTCACTTGACTTTCTTAACCCGTCTCTCCGCTAGCAAGAACCCCCGGCAACTTTTGAAAAGCGCCAGAAACGGTGAAATCAAGGTTTTGGTGGAGCTGCTGGCTAATATCGTGCGGGGGACTATCCCCCTGTTCAAGTACGAAATCAAAAGGCTTAGACCCTACTTTGGAATTGTCAAAAAACTAGCCAAAATAAGACACTTTCAGCAAGCACGTGAAGCCTTGACTAAAAATTTTGAGGCGCTCAGGGCTTTCCTTGTGCCGCTGGTCAGTTTTTGCAATGGCAAAGCCAACCTTTAGAAAGATGAAGCTAGTCCCCTGTCATCAGGAGGGGGATGGCTACATGGACACGCCAAGGCAGCAAATTGTTATTGAGGCTAAGCAAACTGAAGAAAAGATGAGTGAGCTTTTGCAAAGTAGCCTGCCCGATGACTTGAAAATGCGTCTGTACTCGACGTTGCTCAACGCTCTAACCTCATTAGCGGCCGAAATTCGAGATAAAGACAAGCCAGTGAACGAGCCGGTGGTTCTGAAAGCAGTTAAAAGGGTTGCTAAATCTTGCAAAAACCTTCCAGTTGTACCAGCCGCTTTTTCACCCATTAAAACCCGCGCCCGTAGACTTGCCGAAAAGAAACAGCAAGGCGATGGTCGTTTCCGTGTCAAAATCTACAAGAACTAAACTAGATAGGCTTTTTACGAATCTTCGTTCCCCTATCGCTTTCACTTCTAGGTCTAACCTCCTAAAAGCTGGCCAAGCAGCCGGCATCCCCAAGGCGAGCATAGATAGCTACTTACAAGGCAAACGGTCATACTTTTTGCATAGAAATTCCTCGCGTCGTTTCCCTCAGAAAAAATTCTCGGGCAGTAGTTTGAATAGTCACCATTGTGCTGACCTGGGGGATTTTCAAAAGTTAAAAAAATTCAATAGAGAGTACAGGTATCTGTTAGTCGTAGTGGATTTATTTTCGCGGTTCTTTAGGATTCCCGGGGGGGGAAAGTATTCCCGGGGGGGAAAACAAATTTTTTTCGGCGAAAGCCTAGATTTTTGTATAAATTGCGGATGCGTTTCTAAATTGTTTTTAACTATCCCTGTGCATAAAAACTACACACATTTTAACCAAAAAAAATGTAAAAAATTAAAAATTAGGTCGAAAAATAGACCCAAAATGACCAAATTTTCGACTTTTTCAAACATTTTTCTGAAAGTTATTCTGCTTTAAATATAGTTAAAACTTACTAAAAACAATTCGAAAACACTTTATATTTGATTACTAGGTCAACCGGGACCACCAGGAAAAAATTGGTTTCCCCCCCCGGGAATACTTTCCCCCCCCGGGAATCCTAAAGAACCATTTTCGCGTATGACCTACGTTAAGCCGTTGTTGACAAAGAAATGCGAAGAGGTAAAAGAACGGTATAGCGAAATTTGTAATGAAATTGGGAACCCCCCCCTATTTTTTAACGACAGACCGGGGTAAGGAGTTTGTCGGTGCATCAATGAAAGCTTTTTGTAAGGAACAGGAGATTGTGCAAATTTTCACGAACGGTCAATCAAAAAGTGCCCCTGCTGAGCGGAAGATTAGATCCATCAAAGATCGTCTGTTTGCCTACTTTACTGAGCGGGACACTTTTAATTGGGTGGATGTAGTTCAATCTGTTGTTGCCGGTATCAATGCAACCCCGACAAGCGCCCTAAACGGCCTCATTCCCAACGAAATTACGAAGGAACACCGTTTTCCAATTATCGTGGCGAAGCGTAAGCGAAAACCTGACCCAATGCTGGAAGTTGGTGA